ACCCTAACCCTAACCCTAACCCTAACCCTAACCCTAACCCTAACCCTAACCCTAACCCTGCAGCAGCAAACATGTGTAGACAGCCGTGAACAAGATTCGTTTGAATCTCCGCTTCGCCTGTGTTGTGCTTTGTCGATCCTTGATCTGTTGATGCCGAGTTTGGCACCGCGCCACAATGTCGGGGCTCCAATCCGCGGCCTTGTTGGAAGTTCGGTAATAAAAGCGAGGAACACTGTTCGGTACAACGACGCCTTTAGAAGTCCGCCTTCGGCTGTTCGCTTCCCGAATCTCGTCTGTTGCTGTGTGCACGTGGTCAAAGACTCCACATTTCCTCGTAGAAGGCTGTCGCTTCGACTCGCCAAGCCGGGGAAACCCAATCGTGACCCTGCAGTAGAAATGCGAGCCGAAGGGCCAGCCGAATGTACGTCGCTTCCAAAGCGAGGCCGGAAGACACCAAGAACGAGCAGGAGATGGACAAATGCGACGGCAGGTCCCATGCGCTTGAGGCTCGGTCATATCTAGCGTGACAAGCGGCTCGCAACGTGTTGACTCCCAGAGGCGAACAGGCGCGGCTTTCCATTTGCGCTGTCGATCCCCCGCCTTCCATTTGAGACGAGACCTTATGCCCCCCTTGTCGGTCCACGGCGGATGCATCGAGCCTCCCTGGCGAACATATAAGCACGCCTTGCGCTTCCACAGTCGGCCCCCCGCTACGTTATCGCCACAAAGCCGTTGCCACTCCGCTATTGCCTCTTATTCATCTCAATCGAGTCACTGATCAAAACAATGCATCGACACAAAACATCCCTACTGCTTTGGTGCGCACTCGCACTTCAGCTAGGCGGCCAAGTCGCCCTCGGCGGCTCCGTGATGCCTTCCACGGAGGAATTGCTCAAGCGACAGATAGGCGGGCAGTCCATCCCAACGATCCCGGTATGCATTCCTCCTGAGGTGACATCTCCTTTGACCGGCAGCTACCCAAAGTCGGCGGTAACCACGGTGCAGACTGGCACGAACTGCGGTCCATACGGTGACCCGCCTGCTCAAGTGCTCGACAATCTGGAGTCGCCGAATGGCCTGCAGGACTACTTGCAAATCTGCCACGGCGAAATCATCACCATGACGGACAAAGGTGGCGACAAGCGAGCGGTGTGCTTCTACGCGAACCCAAAGTCGACCGAGGCCAAACCACTGCCACTGCTTGTGTATCTGCACCCTTCGCTGGCAGGCACGACGGTCACGTTCCCACTGACCGGGATCGACGGGGTACGCGACACGCAGTCGCTCAACAATGAGGATGCGGATCGTCTCGGATTCTCGTACATCCTACCAGCGGGCAGGAACACGGTGCACCAGTATCCCTTCCCAGACGACAAGGGGCTGGGATGGGACAACTGGTACCGCAACGTTGACCGCTCATCACCCGATCTCAACATCGACGTTGACTTTATCGACAAGACCATCGCCTACGCCAAAAGTCACGTTGCAGTCGATAAGCGTCGAGTGTTCCTCACAGGATGGTCAAACGGTGCCTCCATGGCCGAATTGTACGCCGCACAGACGGATGGGATCGCATCAGCCGCCGTGTACTCTGCTCCAGACCCGTATCGCGACTCGCAAGACCCTTGCACGCAGGTGCCGTACCCCAAGTATGCTACGCCTATTCGCGATGTGCACAACTACTGCGACATTCTTGGCATCTGCACGACGGGCAAGTACTACAACGATGATCTCAAGAAACGATATCCTTCGCTGCAAAAGAGTCTGGTGGTGATCGATGTGCTTACCACGGCGGTCAAGAGCCAAGACGCCAACGCGCAGTGCGATCCGGCTTGCCAAGGTGCGTGCGGGATTACGACGGGTACGTTGGCGCACACCCGTTGGCCGGTAGCGCGCAACACCGATACCTTCTTTTCGTTCATGCGAGACCACCCTCTGCCCAAGTCCGGTACTTGGGGAGCCCCTTGATAAAGCTCGTTGAAGGGGGGTTTTTTGGTTTCTCTTTTGCCTTTTGCTTCTTTTATCTCGATCCTCCTGAACGGCATACTTCTGAATGCCTCTCTTCTCACACCGTGTCACCATACACGCTGTGACCACTCGGCTGGATAATTTGTCCATTTAGAATGTTTGTAGGATACAAATACATGAGTGGATGATGCAAGATCACGTGCGTTGCTTTTTGGTCTTGGACGTTGCTGTCTTGGATGCGATGAGGGAAGGAAGCTGATCGTCGTTCGATGGAGACTTGCGCTTCTTGGCGCCCGCATCTCCGCTTTCCGGCTGAGGTGACGATGCGAGCGGGAGCGAAGCTTCTACGACGGTGTCAGACGAAGACGGCGGTACAACGGCAACGGGATGTGAAACGACGCCTCGATATGTTTTGCGTGTCTGTGAGCGAAGGATGAGACTTCTGCAATTGTTCGAGATGGCGTCTCTGGCAGCGGAAGGATTGAGACCAAAGATGGCACCCAAGTTGATGACGTCGTAGGGCGCCCTCAGGGACAGAACTTGGGTAGCACCCGAGGAGAAAAAGACGCCTTTGCCGTTCGTGACGCGAAGTAGGTCCCTTGCACCGCTGATGAGATTCCTCCTCGCCTTTGTCGCGTCGTCAGAAACTGCTTGTGAATAGGTGATCTCGAACTGAACGCCATTCTCGAGGGCCGCGTTGACAGTAGAGCGCTTGAGGAAGAAGGGGAGTCGAGGCTGCGCACCAAAATCGAGTGAGATGATGTCAATGCTGAAAGGTTTCAGCTCGGAGAGCGTTAAGCAGGCGTGTTGGAAAGCGGCCTCGGTGGTGGGTCGAACAGCGAGTAGGTCGTAGCTTTGCAGCGCGGTTGCGTTGTTGGTGACCCAGCCGCTTCCAGACTTTGCCATTGATTGATCATCGAGCACGAGTGTGAGCCGACTCAGTTGTGTGAGCCCGGACGAGTCACCAACAGGGGCCGCTTTGGCTTTGCCTTTTGCGTTGGATCGTGTACGAGGATCGAGCTCGGGGAACGGCGGATTCGGTCGACCGTCTCGGAGGGGTGCCATGGTGTTCGGATGGTGGGCAGGGTCGTACCGGGAATGCACGATGTGATTGAAGGCAACGTAAGCATACCTCAGATGGTCGAGCTCGAGTGCAACCTGCGCTAGCAGCAAAGCATCGTTCTCGCGCAAAGCGGCGAGGGGTTTGGTGGAAGGTGAATCCGACGTGGACGACGAGCCTGCCGGTTGCTGGTGCTGCTGTTGTTGTTGCTGTTTTGCTTTCTTCTTGGAGGCTTGCGCTTGGGATGCAGAGCCGGTAGAAGAGGAGGTGCCAGCTCCGACCGCCTGGGGCCAGGGTACGTTGAGGTCGTAGAACATGCTGCGATGCTACTACGCCTGCTGATGGCTCATGCTCGGATGAGAGAGGAGTGAGCGAGCGGAAGATGGTGTCTGTCGAGGAGTGCGAAAGTCAATATTACGAGCTTCGCAAAAAGTTGTAGCCAATCTGCGGAACTCGGAGACGTCAATTTTTTGTCCACCAACATTTGTGCAAGAAGAAGGTCTCACATGCAGTTACAAGGCGTGGATGCCTACAGGACGACGTGCTTGGCTAATTCGTTTCAGAGACAAGTAGATAAGCAAGATCACAGTCGGGAGTAGATAGGGAGAAAGATGAATTGGGTATATCAACATGTGGGGACACAGTGGTGGTGGGGAAGACTGATCGCACCGCGGGAGGGATCGTGGACCGGAACGACACCGTTGAGATCGAGCGGAAACGATCTTGAAGCCACTGGTTTCGAGCTCGGAGGCCGTCAGGGCTGAGAAAGCAACAGATGCTGACGAGATTCGACAATTTGTTCTGGATACGACAGCGCAACAGAGCGATGCGGTGGAGAGTGTTCGAAAGCACGACTACCACTCGAGCAGAGTGATGACCGTACTGATTGCCACAATGGCAGCAAAGAAACTGATTCCGAAAGCGGTAAGAGAGAGCATGCTGGTCGTAGAGCTTGACTGAGCAGCCGAGTCACAATGTTCCTTGTGGTGATGCTTTGCTGGCGGATGCGAAGGTGCGATGGTGACGGCGAGCGAGAGAGGTGGCGATGCGGAATGCGGGGAAAGGACGATGCTGTGATTGGTGGTTTGTTAGAGCTTGACAGCCGCACAGCTTGCTTAGTCACGCTGAGATTATGCACCGCGAATCATTCCAGATTTCACGCGCTACTGTATCCAATCGTGGCAGCCGCATCTGTCAAAAAAAAATGGACAGACTTCATGCGAGCATACCCCACACGGCAGCGCCTTATTCTCCGACCATCGGAGGAAGAAGCAAGCGCAACTCCGCTACTTTGCAACTGCTTAGCAGCAGCGCTCTTCGTACGCTTGCCACAAAGGTCGTCGATGCGTTGACGAGCTGGCTGAAAGGCTCTCAATCGTTGAGCGCGCATGCATCGTCTAGCTGCATATATGGTTGCCGCTGCACCCCAACACTTACAGCGACACCAAGTGAAAGTCTACGATGCTCTACACCGAGAGCGTAGTCTGTTCCTTGCGATTTGAAAGGCCTTGAATACGAACGAGCCATGTCCGATCATGCTCTCAAGGTGCTTCCCTGTCTGTCTGTCTGTGTGTCTGTCTGATACCTCGGTACGAATCGCCACTGCTGCAAAGTGGACAGCGTAAATTTGGTGTGGACACGAAAGCCAGACTGCCGCAAGCGAGTCGGTGCTCAACCATTGGATCCACTAGAACACACCGCTCGCTTGCCTGAGACCCTTGTGACACTCCAGGTTCCAGTGGCGCTCTAATTACCCTCGGTGCGGCTCCCAAACACATGCAGGACCCTGAGAACGGTCATTTCACACGAAAAGCACTCATGCGGCTGCCGCTCTGTTTGCTCCACCCTTTCAGGCTTGTAGCGAGCATCAGCATCCATCCACATGCCCAAGTGACAAGCGCCGACATCTTCTGACTGAACACATGCCACCAATCGGCGAATTCTACTCTGCGCTCCCCCCCTCACCTTTTACGTCTCCGCTGCCTTCCTCCGCCTCGTTCGCCACAAGAGTATATATAGATCCAGCCACTACTTTCCCTTCCATCCACCAGCTTCCCCGCCATCTTGCATTGTCGTCAACATCCACGACGTCCACATCCGCAGCTATGACAGCGACAACTACCACCGACTCGAAGGGCTTGACCCAGTTCAAGGAACCCTTCACCTTCGACTCGCTCCTACGCATCCTCAACAAGGTGCCCTTCTCCACTCCCTTCCTCGGCCTGCTCCCCGTGCTCGCTGTGTACTACCATAAACACAAAAACCCTTCCCTTGCGCTCCCCACCTCGGCTACCGACGCTTTGCCACTCGTGCGATCGCTCCTCTTCACCCAGTACAAGTGGACCGGCTACATCTGGATCTTCATCCTCGTCCGAACCATCAACCGCGCCATCAACCGCTACGTGCGAAACCACACCGAGTGGAGACGTGATCCCATCGACTACACCAAAGACATCGTCGTCATCACCGGCGGTTCTCAAGGTATCGGCAAGGAGATCGTTCAGCTTCTCAGCCACAAGAAGCGAGCCCATATTGCCGTACTCGACATGGCTCCTCCCGCATACATCAAGGCTCCCGCTGGAGCACCCGAGATTCTCTACTTCAAGACCGACGTCAGCAACCGTGAGCAAGTCGCCGAAGTGGGCGCCAAGATTCGAGCCGCCTTTGGTGGCAAGAAGGTCGGCGTCCTCATCAACTGCGCCGGTGTCGCTTCCGGAAACGCCATTCTCGACGTCGACCTCGACTCGGCTGCTCGATTGTGGCGCATCAACACCCTCTCCAACTGGATCACCGCCAAGGAATTCGCTCCCGACATGATCGCTCGCAACCACGGTCACGTCGTCACTGTCTCTTCCGCAGGAGCCTATGCCACTCTTCCTTCCATGTCCGAGTACGCCACTTCCAAAGCCGCCGCGCTTGCGTTCCACGAATGTCTTGCCATCGAATTCCGCACTCGCTACAATGCTCCTCGCGTTCGAACCACTCTCGTCGCGCCCACCAAAGTCCGTACCGCTCTCGGTGACGGAATGGAAGACCACGCCGATCCGTTCTTCACTCCTGTCCTCGAACCCGTCCAGGTCGCAGAAAAGGTCGTTTGGACCCTCGACTCGGGTCTCTCTCAGCACCTGATGCTTCCCGGTTTCGCCAATCTCCTGCCTTGGATCCGTGCCTTGCCCGACTGGTTCCGTCGTCTCTTGGCCATTTTGGACAACAGCGACAACACGGTCACCGAAAAGAGCATGTCAAGAGCAATGAAGAACGGTTACGGAAGCAACTGGGAAGGCGCCGACAAGGAGCTCTACGATCGTAGGAAGAAGCTCATGGAAGCTGCCAAAGGAGCAAAGTGATCCCAACGCAACTGGCCCCTTGACTCTTGCTGTTCTCCGCTTGCACTAATGTGGTTCCGACTCTATTGTAATACTCGCTGCTCATAGACTTTTTTAATCTCAAATGTGACACACATCGATGCTGGCGCTTCCTGTGCGTGCATCCCTGTCTCCTTTCCTTCCCTTCTATGACCATGCGGAAAGTGATTGTGTCACAATGTGAGACTCTGATCATTCATCGGACGAACGCAAACGAGGAACAGGCGAGACCAAAACACGTATTTCAATTGTGTTTGCTTTGTCGTTTGATTGTGTGAGATGAAAGAGCAGATCCGTATCTAGATGTTGCCATCATGTATCGACTTTGAACTTGAAACGTGAAGTCCGCTCAGCGTCCACCTTTCTTCTTCTTCTTCTTCCCGCCACCCGACGTGCTGATCACAGGCGCTGCCACAGTCTCTGTAGTCACAGCATTGCTCTCCGTCACGAGAGCTGTTGGCGAACTGTCGCCAGTGTGCGTCTCCTTGCTGCCTTCACAGAGCATGCCCGAGCCTGCGCTTGCCTGACTCCCACTATCTCCGCCGTCCGAGTTCGAAGCACTGCTGTCACGTACCCCCTTGGCTTCCGTCCGGCTGTCGGCTGTGGTTGTCAAACCACTGCTCTGGCTTAACAAACTCGATCGCGTGGACCCTCCGGCAGGGAGAGCATACACCAGCTCCTTGGTCGAGATCAACTTGGATGTTGCATCCCGAGTTGTTGAAAGGCTTGGTCTCGGCTGCTCAGCAGTGACGTCGTCCGAATCCACCTCGAACACGCCCATGGTGAAATCGTCGTCTGCGCTGCTGCTGCCGTTGGACTGATCGACCTTGCCGACGCCGCCAAGCCCTGCGTCCATCACATCGAAGAGCGGAGCTGCAGGGGCTGTCGGGCTGCGGCTGGCCTCTATGGCGTCCCAGTCACACTCGTCAGGGTCTGCTGCTGCGTCTTCGGCCTCGCTGAAGCGTGTTGAGGGGGTTTCGGCCGAGCTGGGCTGTGAACCTCGCAATGGTTGATCGTTGCGCAACGCTGAGAGCATCGACAGATCGGAGCGGTTGGATCCAGATTCAGCATTTCGTTCGCTGCCGTCTATGCGAAACCGATGGCGTCTCGAACGGTCCGAGTCTAAATCTTCGCCGAGCAGATCCACATCTTCCTCGCCGTCAAACGAGATCGAAGCCGTGTTCCGAGACAGGGGATCCGGGCCACCTTGTGCGGCTGCCGATCCAGGTGTCGCACCTGTGCGTCGTCTGGCCATGTCGACGCCACGTCCAAGCTCCTTACCAGCGCGGTAGATGCCACCTAGCCCACCGGCCACAATGCGGATGGGAATGCTGCTGCCTGTCGTCCATCCGGCCGAACGGGCACGCTGCCCCTGTGGAAAGCTGGGGATATGTGCTGACGCGCTGCGTGGTCGCAGTTGCTCGGGGCTGAACGATGTCTGGTTGAGCGCGCCCGCCAAGCTGTCGTCGAACGAGCTGCTTTCTTCCGCTGAAGGCTCACGTGAGACGATGCGTGCGGTGCGACGAACCTGAATCGGCCGCGAGCCGCGACGCTGAATACTACGCAGAGACGCTGCTTCCGGCGTCAAAGCAGACGCGGCTTTGACGTTGCGCATTCGGGCATGGAAGAACGTCTGGCGAGATAAGAAGATAGATGACGGCAGCATGGCAGGCGATTGGCTGTAGGTCTCGATCTCGGCTTTGGCTACTGATTCAAAGGGCTTTGCAAGCGAATCCTGGGATCGAAGCAGAAGTCGTGATGTGGCCGAGGAATCCGCGAGCGTGGCTACGTTGAGCTCAGTGACGGCTCCAGCTTGGGGAGCGAGGTGCTCCCACGTGGCCACTCGCACGCAGTCAGCGTGCAGACGTGGAGCTGACTGCTGATGAAGGATGCCCTGGCCGGCTTTTCTCATCATCTGAGAGAGTCCGGATGTTCGTGGCGATGTGGCAGCATCAAGGCGATGTGTCGAGTCCACCCCTTCTTCGCTTGTCTTGCCGAGGCCGTGCACCTGTGCCTGTGTGCTCCAGCATCGGATAGCATGAAGCGTCACACTGACAGAGCGTGTGTCGACAGTCAGCAGTTCGAAAGGCAAGCTCGAATCCGCGTCGTGGCGAGAAGCTCGCGACGTTGAGTTGAGCAGCATGAAAGATGGAGGCGGATGGGTGATCTGCGAGTCGGTCGGATTGGAGGCGTCGAAGTCTTTACCCGTCCGGCTGGACGGTCGAAGTGCGACTTCCTGCGACAAATGTTGAGGCAGCGAGGGCCGGGCGGAGCGCGCGAGGCTGGATAGCGAGAGACCGAACGGCTGAAGCGCCAAAGGGTTACGGATCTTTGCTTGCACGTGATTGGCAATGGAAGGAACGCCGCCAAACGGATTGACCGCGTAGACATGTACGGTCCCGCTGTGTGTGCCAACAGCGATCCACTGAGAATCAGGAGACCACTGTGCATTGACGACATCGGCCGTTGTGATGCCACGCATCAGCTTGTACCGATGGAGAACGGCCGGCATGGAGGACGGAGTTGCCGGGATACCAAATGTGCCCGAGAGCGGCAGCTCGAATACATGAAACGCGTGGCCAAGCGCATCAGCGGTGAGGAGCATTCGTCCGCAAGGGCTGAACGAGACCAAGGTGACGGCATGATAGGAGGGTGCAAAGGTGCAGATGGTGCGTGCGTCGGATCTTAGGTCAACTACGCGAACACAAGCAGATTGCAGAGAGCTTGAGCCACGCCCGGCATCAACGTCGACAGCCGCTGCGCCGCCCGTCGACAAGCGCTTAGCGCTACGCGCACCGTCGTCTGCGAGAAGCATGGGGGAGCTCGAGGCTGAAGAGGCGTGGCGTGGCAGGTTGGCAGGTGCATGAGGAGCTGATTGGGAGAGCAGACTGGGCTGCGGCGGCGAGAATGTATTGGCGTCTGGTGGACTGGCAGCTTGAGGCCAGTAGGAGCTTCCCCATTCGCCAAGCGTGCGGACGCCGTTGACGACGCCTCCGCGAAAGCGACGAGCTGCGTCACCGACGTGCGCCGAGGTGTCAAAGAGGTTGTCGCGCATTTCGCCGACGCGATCGGAAGCAACGGTGTGCGTGGCGGTCGAGGGGCGCGAAGGATCACGGTGCGCTGCGCCGGAGGTTTTGCGCGTGTCGGAACATATGGGCGAGAGGTGTTCGGAAGCTGAACAGCCAAAAGCAAGCAGGCGGTGGGACAGAGAAATAGGCGGGGCGCGATCGGTCGAAACAGACGAGACGTCGAGAATGGGAGGGCGCACGTATTGGAGACTTGTTGTCGACAGCACATGAATTGCGGCCGGAGCAGCAAAGGAGAGCACGACGAAGTGTTGGTTGCACTGAATTTGGACTTTGGGCCAGACGAGGTCGCGGCGTTGATCGAATTGGCTCGACACTGTGGGTGGAGGTCGAGAGGGAAGCTCAAGCTGCACAGAAGCCTGTACGTGGTGAGTTATGAGCGAGTAGACGAGCAAGCAAGGGACATGATCGGGTTCCTGAACGACGAGAAGGAGCTTGATATCGTTCATGTCTGCGGTGGGAGGTCGGATAAAGGCGGTGAGAAGGGTGGCAGTTGAAGCCGGGGATGCGGATCCGGAGCCGGAGCCGGAGCCGGAGCGATCGAGAAGCGTGTCTGCTGCGCTCGGCAGAAAGAGCAGCTCCGAGATGGTCCGGTGTTGGACCAGGAGCGCCTGAAGAGAGCCGTCGTCGAAGTACGAGATGAGCAAGGGAGAGCTCTTGGCCGAGCTCGATCTGATAGGGAGGCGGTCCCATCGCGACCAGAGCAGACGAGGCGCAGCAGCGCGATGCGAGTGCTGCGCAGAGTGAAGCGCAGCATCGATATGGCTTGGATCGGGGGAGGAACCGGCGTTGTGGAAAGCGTCGTAGATGGGCGAGACGGAGCCATCGGAGCGGAGAGGAGTGGCATGAGCTGCGGAAGGGGATAGCGGATTGTTTGTGTTGGAGTGAGCTGCGATGAGGTTCGAGATGCCGCGATTAGCGTGCTGAGAGATGGCCGAGATGGTGGAAGTGACCGATTCGATAGCAGACACGGGTTTGAGCGTGGATGCTACAAATACACGAGGAGCTGCCGAAGCTGAGGCGGAAGGTGGCGCGCCATCATCGTGACCTAGAGCGAGGGCGGGAGCAGAAAGAAGTGAAGGCTGACTCTGGGTTTCAACCGGCTCAGAGTCTGCGATGAGGTCTGGGGTGGGTGAAGGCGAGTCTAGAGTGGAGACGGCGGGTGAGGAAGCTGGGCCGCCGTCGTTACTGTTGTTGGTGCTGCTGTTGTTTTTCTTTTTCTGCTTTGACGAGGATGATTGATTAGCGTCATTGGAGCGAGGGCTCATGGATGTCGAGCTCGATGCGAGCTCTGGCCGAGGAGACGAGATAAAGAGACGAACACGGTGCGGACCGAGATTGCTAGCCAGCAGGTTTGAGGACAGGGCTTCCTCGGGTCAAATGGTACGCGAGAGTGCAGTTCAAGATGGAGATAGATTGAGCAAAATGGAGGGGAAGAGGGAGGGATCCGGGATACGATGTGTATGTGATGGATGACGCGTGATGAGGAGGTAAGCGGACGTGGTGCAGCTGGTGGGACGAAAGCGAGCGTGTGGAGTGACTTGATGAGGTGTTGCTGTTGTTGCCTGTGGTTGTGTTGTATTAGTGTGGTTTGTGTGCTCAGACTTGATGATGATAATGTTGGTGGTGTCTCGTGGATGGGTGAGGAGGAGGATGATGCGTGGTGCTCGATGCCTAGCGATAGGCGTCGAGCGTATATGCACAGCCTGCATGCTGCCATCCACCCCACCACACAAAACAAGCTCGAGCGGCACAATCTGACGCGACTCAGAGAGTGTGATTCGGTTGTGCGACTGGGCTGACACTGGGTTATCGCTGGCTGCCTGCAGATTGAACCCTGAACTTTTGGCGTTCGAGGCGACCGTGCCCTGTCCGACCCGCATCCCGGGTGACCCGATGCAGCCGACCTCTGAGTCACTTTGCGAGAGGCGAGCGCGTCACCTCTGCTGCTCGGTGGCTCAGTTGCGAGTAAGTTACCGCAAAGGGTCCAACATAACACTGCCAGAGTGCCAAGCGTGCGAGCTCTGGACTGACGCGTTTGTCCGTGTCAGGTGAAGGCGCATCAAGGGGCACCAGATCAGTCTCACCGGCGCTTGTCCTCCACATTTTCGTTGGTTGACGTTGGTCAAATCACAAAGTGAAAGCGCGGCCGCCCCGCATCCGACTACACTGTATGATGGCAACAACCCGGCTCCATCACCAATTCGCAGCAGCCGCCGTTTCGCACGACCCAAGTAGCAAGGTCGAGTCGGCGTGTCATACGAGTGTGTCTGTATCGATCGATTGGATAACTTGACCGAAGTCGGGATCGAGTTTCTTGAGCCGGCCGATGCAGCGCAGATCCGCGGAACGCGTGGAAGCGTCAGGGTCCTGCTGTGTCGCTGCATCGTACCAGACGACGTTGATTGAAAGCGAGATGAAAGCGAATTGAATGTGTCGAACCTCCTTTCCTTTCCATCTGGTTGGCTTCTACACTCTGCAGCATCACGTCGGACCTGCTCATAGTCTGCTCAGCATGACGACCACATCAGCGACAGCAGCGGCGTCCTCTTCCGTCGCAGACGAGAGGCTCCACGCCTGGAGTCTCCAGTACGTACGTTTGAAAGCCATCGTTCTCCTGATGCGCTCCCTCAATTCGCTTCGTCCACTCCTACATGGTTCACAACCACCGCTTCCTCACGCTTTCGAACGTCACATCGTAGACTTGCCATCACGCCAAAGCGGTCGCACCATCAAGGCTCACATCTACCGCAGCAAGCACGTTGCCCCATCTCCCGATGGCGTCGCTGCTCCCTTGCCTGTTCACGTCAGCTGGCACGGGTCTGGCTTCGTCCTGCCCAACCTCGGCGACGATCACGCCTACATCGTCCACCTTCTCCAAACACTCGGTCCCAATTGCATCCTGGTAGACGCCGACTACCGCAAAGCTCCCGAGCATCCCTTCCCTGCAGCCAGTCACGATGCCCAGGACGTTGTCAATTACATCCTCTCACAACCCAACGTGTACGACGCCGATCGCATCACCCTCGGCGGCTTTTCTGCAGGTGGCAACCTCGCCCTTGTCGTCGGCGCACAGCTCGGTCCACAACGCATCGCAGGTATCGCCGCACTATACCCTGCCGTCGACTTTACCGTAAAACCAGGCGACCGCAGCCTCCCCACAAAAGATCGTCCTGCCAGCGGCTTCCCCCTCCCGTCGTGGATGAGCAACGTCTTCCTCGATTCCTACTTTGTCCGTCAGGAGGACAAGCGTCATCCGCTTTGCAGCGTCTACTTCCTCGACGCTGCCCGGTTCCCGCCCCTCCTCCTCGCCTCCGGTCAGGTCGATTACCTCTGGCACGCCTCCAACAAGCTCGTTCGCAAACTCAAGGACGCAGGAAGGAACGACGCCCGCTTCATCAGTGTCGAAAAGGAAGGCCATGGATTCGACAAGCTTCCACGCGGTCCCGAATCTCGTCAACGGAGGGACTACGTCTACTCCGAATTCGCCAACTTTATCCGCGACTCGTGGTCACGCACATCTGCTCAACGGAAAGCTCAGCTCTAGACTGCATGGATCCTGTATCGCACATCGCTCGCTTGTAATGCGTACGTCTCAAGGTCGTTATAGAACAATCCATTGCATTCTCTGCCTACATATCTTGATCCGAGCCCGGTTGAGAGCGCCCTTGCTCCTGCTCATCCAGCTGCTGCGATGCCTGGCTCTGCCGCCTTCTCAACCCATCGCTGCTCCTCAAGTCTGCCTTCTCTCCCTCATCTACACCGTCTATATTGGCTCGATCCGTTTCTGCTCCCGTTTCGGCCTCAAGGGCATGGTCACCGCCCGCGTTCGTTCCTTGCTTGGAACGCCGTACCGGATTTCGCATGAAATGCATCCTCTCTCCAGAATTGAGCATCCTCGCTCCGATCCGAGCCGGTGTCGACTGCATCCACCCCTTCCTCGTATAGTTGATCGGCGACTCTTCACCTGTGAAAACGGCCAGATCGTACAGTAGAGCCCCGAACAGCGCACCTGCAAAACAGCCCGCTTGTGGACCGTAGATCCACCAGTAGTCGTTGTGAGTCCAAAGCTCTTTTCCATATCCAACCATGTACAAGAACAGTCTAGGTCCCAGATCTCGACTCGGAGAGATCGCGTAGCTCGTAGGCCATCCGAACGACATTCCGATCATCACCACCACGAAACCCAACACCAGCGCAGAGAGACCGTCCGAAGGTGGTGCGTTCGTCTCGTCACCCACCGCCAACACCATGGCCATCAGGATGCTCGTCGCCGCCACTTCGGTCCCGAACCCGGATGCCGAGGTGAAGACGAGTTGCGGCACAGTGACGAACAGCTTGCCCGTTCCGTGGTCACCGGAAAGCGTGCGGATGGCGCGTCCGCCCTCGTAGTGGTCAATCGCCGGTAGGTAGATACCGTACGTGATGGCGGCTCCCAAGATCGAGCCTAGCAGTTGAGCGCTCCAGTAGATGGGCACTTGGATCCACGGGAACCCTCGGAAAACGGCGAGCGCCATCGTGATCGCAGGGTTGCAGTGCGCACCGCTGCGTCCACCACTCAGATAGATCGTACTGGCAACCGCCAGTCCCCACGCCCAGTTCTGGTTCGGATAGGCTCCTGCGCTCGATCCCATCGACTGCGATAGCGTCACCTGACAGTCGACGGCTGTTCCTACCGTGATGAGCAGCATCGTCGCCAGCAATTCTGCCAGGAACTCGCGACCGTGATATCGCCACCTTGACCACGTGGTGGGAAACGCTAGACTGCCGTCTGGCAGCGTACCTTGGCCGCCCAGCCAGTTCTCGTCGTCTAGGAAAAGCGCATCCTGGTTTTCCTCGCTCTCAAAAGGCTGTCCGTCTCGACTTGCTGCACCGTGCGTGTCTGTCTCGCTTGACGAGAATGCAGTGTCGTCGCTGCTTCGACCCGCCGCTTCGCTTGCCATCCCCGCTTGAACAGGTTCCTGGTTCGTCTGATTCGCGCCCGCCTCACCCGGTCCATCTTTCCCAGCATGTCTTTCAGCTTGAGAGGGCATGCTCTTTGCCAGCCACCCACTCCTAGTATCACGAACACTCGAGCCTCCTTCACTCTCGCTCCTCCCTCCCACTGGTCTAGGCTCCATACGATCCTCTCCAGAGCTTCGTCCACCATGCAGACTATCCTTGCCATCAGTCGTCGAGGGCTTCCTCTCCAATCCTCGCATCTCGTCCAGTTCCCTGCCCTCATCAAAGTATCCTGCACCTCCACGCTCTTCGTTATGGCTAGCTTTTCTGCTCTGCGTACTCGGCTTCCTGACTCCCACGCCAGCAGCAGGCCCACCTGCAGCCCTACCCTTTGGCGTAGGTCTAGCACCAGAGAGCCCTGGATGCCGAGTTTGATCCATCGCCGATTTGTGTGATTCCTCTTTGGATCTCTTTCTCTCTTCGACTTCAGTGTGGAGCTGACTGGCGCCCTTGTGGCTCGGCTCGGATACGAGGACGTTGAACCCTTGAGATGGGAGGAAAGGCATGGACGAAGTTTTGATGTGCTTTGGCGAGGGAAAGGTGGGCAGCCCGCCTCCTTGAGCGGTCGGCGATTGGTGAGAGCTTATATCGTCGTCGATAGCGCTGCCTTGGGAAGCAGAGGAAGCTTCGGCGTGTTGAGCTTCATGCAGAAGCTGCTGTCGAGCGGTTGATAGCCGTAGTTGAGATTCCGAGGCTTTGTCTGTCACGGACTCGCTAGGCTGTTTTCCACGTGGTCTGAGGTCTTCATCCCGAGCGATAGGAGCTCTTGAAGTTTCGGCGGCCGTCGGACTGCTATAGGACGACTCGAACAGTGGTCGGGTCTGCGTCAACGCCGGTTGGCCCACACGATCGGGGACGCCTGTCGTCGGTAGCGGCTCCCCCTCTCGAATCGGAGGTAGCTCGCCCGCGCCTGTATTGGTGGAGGTTGTAGGGCTGACAGTCAGTTGCAGCGGATGTGTGCCGGCTTCGCCACTAGCATCGTATTCAGTCTCGGTGTCGCGTGCGAAATCGCGTCCATGAACAGTCTCGTTTGGTCCTCCCAGAGAGTCTGTCGTAGTAGACCGGGTTCCGTGTGTCAGTCGACCCAGTTGAGGCGGTGGAACAGCTTGTGCAGGCTTCTGTTTTGCCGAGGGCAGCCGCTTCACCCGAGGCAGAGTGCTTCCCAGACTCCACAGCGGACGCTTGGGCGCAGGCTCGGCGGATGTGATGGTCTGGTATCCTCTCACAGCCTGCGGAGCAGAACTGGACGGTATTGTCGGAGCCCCTGCACGTGATTGTAACGACGGTGGCGGCAGGCTCGACTGAGATGACAACGAGGCGTTTGTCGCTGAAGCATTGGCGCTCGAAGCTTGTGAAGGCTGTTGCACCATATTGGAAGGGCGCGATGCTGGCGCTTCTGATGCGATCGAAGGTGAGTGTCGAGGTGGTTGAGGACGTTGACATTCGTCGCTCTGATCGGCTCGCCCCTCAGGGCCGAAATGTATCGAGCCCGAATCGCTCATGTTTACAGTTCATGGGAGATGATGGAAGAAGGTAGGAGACGAAGGTGACAGCCAAGATTTCTGCTCCTCATCGCTTCCCCCTTCCGAGCTCTGTATATCGCAGCGCCGCATCTAGCGGCACGACACACAATCCCGTTCCGATGACCAGCACTATGCAGCCAAGCACATGTTCTTCCTTCGAGCTATTCGACCCTGATTCTTTGGCGAAAAAGAGGGCGCCTAAGGCCGAAGCGAAGCTTTGTCGGCCCTTTTTTTTTCTCTGTGCCGCGAGTGAATCATCATCATGCGTCTGGACGACGCCACTTTGTTATTTCGGCGCTATTGGATTGGAGAAAATGAAAGGTTTAGCCGATCTTTTTCCTACCGCGTGAGCGACACCTGCGGGATGATCCATTCGTTTTGCAAACACGATGGAAATCTTGACGCAAGGACCATGATGATCATGCGAAACTCAGATCCGACGATGCAAGGATGTCGCTCATTCAGCTGCAGCATTTCGTCTGGGGCCTCAATCGTACCGGAACCACAGCGATAACAGCTCAACATGGCCAGAGGCCGTATCCCTGGAATTGTCAAATCATCAAAGAGGTTTGAAAATGCACTCAGAAATTCAGGAACGAAAAAGCCAATCTCCTCAAGACCTGTTGAATCCTCAGTCACCACGGTGGGAACGACACAAATTACTGCGGGAAAACACTTTTGGATGATGTCGAGAGCAAACGATGTGTGTGTGTGTGTGTGTCTGTATGGTACATGAACAAGATGTGCAAGAACAACCTTTCTTTTTGTGAGTTTAGTCGATCGACTCCATGGCCGACTCACCGGCCACCTCCTCGGTGGCAGCCTCGGCCTTGTCGTCAGCGACGTCGGCGTCGATGCCAGTGTCGTCGATGGAGAGACCGAGCGAGATGAGCTTGTAGAGGCGGTTGGCAAAGTCGTGGGGCTGCTCCAGCGTGAAGCCAGAGGTGAGCAGCGCGGTCTCGTAGAGGAGCACGGTCAAGTCACGCACGGTGGTGTCGTTCTTGTCCTGGCTCGACTTGGCGGCGAGCTCCTTGACGATCGGGTTGGAAGGGTTGAGCTCGAGCGTCTTCTTGGCAGCCATATACTGCGACATGCTCGAGTCACGCAGAGCCTGCGCCTTCATGATGCGCTCCATGTTGGCGGACCAGCCAAAGGTGTTGGTGACCAGCACGCAGGGCGAGCCGACGATGCGGTTCGAGACGACGACCTTCTCGACCTTGTCGCCGAGGATCTCCTTGACGGTCTTGCAGAGGTCCTCGCAGTTCTTGGTGTCCTCCTCGCGCTGCTTCTTCTCCTCATCCGACTCCTCGAGCTCGAGACCCTCCTTGGAGACGCAGATGAGCTTCTTGCCCTCGAACTCCTTGAGCTGGGTGACGGCGTACTCGTCGATGGGGTCGACCATGAGGAGAACCTCGAGACCCTTCTTCTTCAAGCGCTCCAGGAAGGGCGAGTCGCGGATCGAGGCGAGCGATTCGCCGGTGAGGTAGAAGATCTGGTTGTTCTTGCCGTCCTGGGGCATGCGGGTGATGTAGTCCTTGAGAGAGGTCTGCTCCTCGCCCGACTTTGTCGAGTGGAAGCGGAGGAATTCGGCGAGCTTGGCGCGGTTGGTGGCGTCCTCGTGGATGCCGAGCTTGAGGTTCTTGCCAAAGGCCTCGTAGAACTTGGCAAAGTTGTCCTTGTCCTCGGCGATCTCGGAGATCATCTCGAGCGTCTTCTTGACAACGTTCTTGCGGATGACCTTGAGAATCTTGTTCTGCTGGAGAGTCTCACGCGAGATGTTGAGCGGCAGATCCTCCGAGTCGACGATACCCTTGACAAAGTTGAGGTACTCGGGGATGATGTCCTCGCAGTCGTCCATGATGAAGACGCGACGAACGTAGAGCTTGATGTTGTTGCGCTTCTTCTTGGTCTCGAAGAGGTCGAAGGGGGCACGCTTGGGGATGAAGAGGAGCGCCTTGAACTCGAGCTGACCCTCGACGGAGAAGTGCTTTACGGCGAGGTGGTCCTCCCAGTCGTTGGAGAGCGACTTGTAGAAGGCCGAGTACTCGTCTGCGGTGATCTGCTTGGGGTCGCGGGTCCAGAGGGGCTTAGTCTTGTTGAGCTCCTCCTGCTCGGTCTTGAGCTCCTTGACCTTCTTCTTGGGCTTGTCCTTCTTTGCGTCCTCGTCGTCGACCTCCTCGATCTTGGCCTTCTTCTCGTCGTCGTCGGCGGTCTCCTCCTCGGCCTCCTCGACCTCGGTCTCGACCTCCTTGGTGACGACGAGCTGGATGGGGTACGAGATGAACTCGGAGTGCTTCTTGACGATCTCGCGGATGCGCTTCTCCTCGAGGTATTCCATCTGGTCCTCCTTGAGGAAGAGACGCATCTCGGTACCGCGGCCGATGCTGGGGTTGACGGTGTCCTGGGTGATGGTGAAGGTGCCACCAGCGGCGGATTCCCAGATGTACTGCTCGTCGTCGTTGTGCTTGGTGATGACCTGCACCTTTTCGGCGACGAGGTAGGCCGAGTAGAAACCGACACCGAACTGACCGATCATGGAAATGTCGGCGCCGGAGGAGAGGGCCTCCATGAAGGCCTTTGTGCCGGACTTGGCGATGGTACCGATGTTGTTGACGAGGTCGGCCTTGGTCATACCGATACCAGTGTCGCGGATGATGAGGCACTTGTTCTCCTTGTCGGGAGTGATGCGGATGTAGTACTCGGGCTCTGCCTTGGTGTACTCGGGGTCGGTGAGGGCATTGTAGCGGACCTTGTCGAGGGCATCGGACGAGTTGGAGATGAGCTCACGGAGGAAGATCTCCTTGTTGGAGTAGAAGGTGTTGATGATCAGATCCAGAAGCTGGCTGATGTCGGCGGCCTGTGAGAGAGCAAGACACGGAATGCACGTTGAGAATGGGTCAGTGATCGATGCTTAGGAGTGTGGCGGTTGGGACCGGCAGCAGAGGCAACGTCGATGACGGTGAGCGCCTAACGAGATGCTGCCGACGCGACGCTGGCGCTGACGAGCGAGGAGATACTTACGAAGCCGAAGGTCTCAGTGTTGCCGGACATGATTGGTATATCGTGATGCAACGTCTGGGGGGTATGTGCGGTGAGGGGAAGAGAAGAGGTGAGCTCGAGATGGGATTGGAATAAATGGCTTTGCGCAGCGGCTCAGCAGCAGCTCGGCAGCTCAGCAGGTTCAACTTGACAGGGCGAGTGTTGAGCGAAGTTCACGTACGCCTGAGCGCGCAGTCAAGAACCGTCTGGAAGAAAGTGTCCAGCCAAAAAAAGTGGGCGTGCGCGGAGATTCGAGAAGAAATTGGACGGCTGGGAAGCGCGCTTTGCTTGTTTCCATGTGGTTCTTTTGCGGCGACGTGTGGCCTCTCAAAGCAACGCTCTGCGCAGCCACCACGCCTTGTCATTTCAGACATGCTCACACGGTCGTCGGAAGCATTCCGAACAGAATCACACAGGCTTCTCTATAGAATGTCACCGAGGCATTTGGTACTGGCAAGGGAGCCATTGATAGTAATTGGCGGTTGCGAACCAGTCGGGACCTGAAGTCAGATAGATGTCCAACCGCCTCAAGGCGTAGGTAGCGCCAGTATCTTGCTACGCGTGGAATTCGATGGAAGGCTTACATAAGCTTTTGGTGCGGGTGTTCTTGCTGGGCCTTTGACTCTGAGAGTGATGTAGATGTAACAGTCATCCTTTTAAGATAAAGTTGTGTTAGACCCGCATCTACTCATCATTCGTATGACGTGCTCTCTGTGCAGACGGAGCCGAGATCGATCACCATTTTCTGGCAGGGTCGAGTGAGTCGATTTGGGATGGTGGGCAGCTGGTCAGTGTTGTTCAAGTCGGTTGAACGCCGCCTGTACTTGAGGGCACTGCAGAAGCAAAGACAGCGAGCGAGGTTCGAGTGACAGACAGCCAGCCAGCCGCTCACGAATCTGATTCCTCCACCCTGTCTGCCGTCGCTATCGTCTCCAACCATCACCTTCATCTTCATCTGCGCCCTTCTCGGCCTTTTGTCTTTGGCCCACTCTGCAGAACTGCATCAACGCGACAGCCGACATTCTTCCCTCGCACAGCTTAACCGCGATTCTCCCTTTGTGGTTGTGCGCGTTGCGTCTCACCGATCTCACGCATCTACCCTCCTTTTCACCGCAAACAGCCTTGACATTGTCTCGCTGCTCGACACGTCCATCTCATCGCTTCATCCGCGAAGAAGGACTCATGCTTCGCTTGTCCTCTAGCACCCCAACTCTCGCACCATCTGGTCAAGCTACACAGCGTTCTTGATCTTCTCCACCATCAATTCGAGCGGAACGACTGTATCATCACCTCCTCCTCCATCTGCACCACACCCTTCAAGCGGAACATGCAATCACCCCGCTCTTCTCACTCGCCCCTTTCAAATTCAGTATCGCAGCTTCTTCTTCACGCGCAATCACACGCGCCCCCATCTTGTCAGCCATCTCTTTCTCCTTCCCACCTTCCGCCTCTCTCTCATCACCATCACGTTCGCTACCGCCTTTGAAGCACGCGCCGCCATCTTCAACTTCCATCGCATCCCACCGCCAATAGACCCATAGCTACGCTCCACCTGCCCATCTCCTACCAAGGTCAAGCGGCGCTCTACTCTCACGATACATGTATCCCTCCCCGTCTCCTTCCCCGGCCCCTTCGCCTCCAGCATACCTATACCTCAACAACCACCACCATCAATCCGGCAGTCATGGCGGTGGTCCTCTCTCAGGTGCTGGTGGCCAAGCTGCGGGCCAAAACAACGGCTACAACGCCAACTTCACTCCCGTAGCAAGGTTCCCGATGCCCTCAGCCGCCTGGCCCCAACGTGCGCATCAGCACCCTCACCACTCGCACCAGCAGAACCCTTCGCTCTCTTCCTTGCCAGGTTCCATCGGTCATTCTAGCGCTGCATCCATCTCTGCCGGCGGTCCATCTTCTCCAGGCTATGCCAACCTCGGTGCTCACCACCACCACCATCACCATGGCGCTCATGGTCCATCCGGACTCTCCCACATGTCCTCGCCCGGAGGCATGCACTCTGGCCACTTGAGCTCCTCAGCCGGTCGCTCTGAAGCCGCTGCCGCAGCCGCTGCAGCGGCCGCAGCCTCTGGCTCGCCTCACTGGCAGCAGCAGATCGTCAAAGCAGAGATCTCACGTCAGTCCAACTCTCCGCACCACCATGCACGAGCCGCTGCCTTGGCGGCGCGATCCGCCACCAGCTCCGCCATCGCTATTCAGGACCCTACAAAGGGCATCGTGCCGCCTCAAGTGGCTGCCAACGGTCTCTTTGTCGCAAAGAAGGATCCCAGCGCTGCCAACGGTGGCGGAGCAGACGATGGAAAGGGAAGCGGTGCCGATGCTGCCACAGGCGCGACCAACGGCGCAACCTCATCCTCCTCCACCTCAGCTACTGGCGCCGCCGTCAAGGACAAGCAGACCTGGTCCACCATCGACATGGGCGGATTGGCGCTCAAGAACATCGCCAACGAGGTCTACCGCTACTCGTTCCTCACATCGCTCTTCATCAACCACAATGCGCTCACCACCATCTCTGCCGACATTGTCAAGCTTCGTCACCTCACCGTCCTGGATGCATCGGGCAACAAGCTCTCCTCGGTTCCACCAGAGCTCGGCATGCTCACCAGTCTGCGCGAGCTCTTCCTCTTCGACAACAACCTCTCCACGCTTCCACCTGAGCTCGGAACCCTCCATCAGCTAGAGATGCTCGGCGTCGAAGGCAACCCGCTCCAGGACAACTTGCGCACCCTCTTGCAGCGCGAAGGCACCAGCGCCGTCATCGCCTACCTCCGCGATTCGTGCCCCGTTCCACTGCCGCCACCAGAGCGCGAGTGGATCATGATCGACCCCGACCTCCCGGATCTGGACGCAGACAAGGATGCAGACGACCTCACCCAGGAATCGTTCAACGTGCTCTCGTACAACATCCTCTTTGATCGATACGCCACAGCGCAGATGTACGGCTACACGCCATCTTGGGCCTTGGCGTGGGACTACCGCAAAGAGTTTATCCTGCAAGAGGTCATGTCGTACAGCGCCGACATCTGCTGTCTTCAGGAAGTGGGTGTCGAGCAGTACGAGGACTACTTCCTTCACCACCTCTCGCAGCAGGACTATGAGGGCGTCTTCTACCCCAAGTCGCGTGCACGCACCATGCGCGACGATGAGAGGCGACGCGTCGACGGCTGTGCCATCTTCTACAAGTCGAACAAGTACCAGCTCATCGAGAAGCAGGTGGTCGAGTTCAACCAGATTGCGCTCCAGCGACCCGATTTTAAAAAGTCGGAGGACATGTACAACCGCGTCATGACCAAGGACAACATTGCCGTCATCGCGCTGCTCGAGAACAGGCAGTCCGGTTCGCGAATCGTGGTCGCCAACGTTCACACCCACTGGGATCCAGCGTTCCGCGATGTCAAGCTGGTACAAGTCGCCATGCTCATGGACGAGGTGGAAAAGGCAGGCGCGCGCTTCGCCAAGCTTCCGCCCAAACCCACCGTCGCCGAAGGATATCCGCCACCGCCCAAGTACACCCACGCCAACCAGATCCCCACCATCATCTGCGGTGACTTCAATAGCGTGCCCGAAACCGGTGTTTACGACTTCCTCGCCAACGGAGAGGTGCCAGGTGACCACGAGGACTTTATGGACCACGTCTACGGCAACTACACGGCTCACGGTTTGCAGCACAGCTACAAGCTCGAGTCGTCGTACGTGCCCATCGGTGAGCTTTCCTTCACCAACTACACTCCCGGATACGAGGGCGCCATCGACTACATCTTTTACAGCAAGAACTCGCTCAATGTGACGGGCGTGCTGGGTGAGATCGACAAGCAGTACCTTTCCAAGGTGGTCGGCTTCCCCAACGCGCATTTCCCAAGTGATCACATTTGCATTATGAGCGAGTTCAACGTCAAGAGATCCGATCGAGGCTCGACGTCGACGGGTCGAGAGGTTCATCATCCGACGGGAAGAAAGTGATGCTTCCAGGGATATCCTCGTTGTAACATTTACATACATCGCATCGTTCTCTCTCTCTCTCTTTCTCTGTATTGCAGTGTCTGTCTCTTCCCCACTCCATCCTTTTTCTTCTAACTTCTCGTTCCATGTTGTATCACTTTCCCTTTACAGCTTCTTTTCTCATCCCATTACAATTTTCCTCTTTTTCGTCCTAGGGTGCAAGCGTTGTGATGTGTTTTGGCTGTCATACGCACACACGTGCACTCGGTTCCTGTCTCAGATGTGCTGTTCCTTATCTCTGCAAGTGGTGTTGGGGTTGGCGGTTTTGAAAGAAATGCTGGAATTCAAATGATATATATGCTCTTTGTTGTGCTCGTGTGCTTGTTGGGGCTGGGGGTTTTTAGATGCGTTGACGTTTTCGCTGTTGATTCCGAGTAGCGGTGGCGACGAGGTTGTTTCTTGCGGTGCTGCCGGTGGCGGTTGTGGGTGTGGAAGTTTCGATGGAACCGATGCTGTGGGTGCTTTTGACGCTGGCAGGGTTGGACACGGTTGCACCGCTGGTACCGGCGATGGTGATGACCGGGTTGTTCCCACCAGCACCGCTGCTTGGTGCGCTACTCTGCATTCCTGCGCCCGCGCCACCTCCACCAGCAGCTCCGCTACCGATCGTAATCGGAGGCGGTGCTGCCGGACCCCCTACGATGGGTGCTACCGGAACAACTGCAGTGCCCGGCGCGTTGTTCCTGGCTGAAGGTTGCTGAGATTGCGAGGGTTGTTTCTGCTGCTGCATCTGTTGGTGTCTCAGCTGTTCCTGTTGGAACATGAGCTGGGCCAGACGATGCGGTTGACTGCTGTTCAAGTTGTATTGGTGCGAAGGTTGGATGTGATGCCTTTCGATCGGTGGCAGGTAGTTGCTCTTCATCTTTGGATCCATGTCGTCTTGGATCACCCGACGGTTTGGGTAGGTGGCCAAAGGCTTTGTCAGGCTGCTGAAGGCGTTTGCTGTTGGTTTCGGATCTTGCGCTGTAAACCATGCGTGTTCGAGTGCTTGGTTCGCGGTCAATCGTTGTTCCGGATCGTACTGCAGAAGCGAGTCGAAGAGATCGTATCCATCGTCGCCTTTGTTGCGCGTGGCGTACCATCGAGAGAGGGTCTTTGGATAATTGTCGAGTCGCAGGTGAGGCCACCATCCTTTGTAGTCGGGCATGGACTCGATTGCAGGCCAACGGTCTTTGTTGGGCGTACCCAGCACCTCTACGATGCGCTTGAGTTGATCGGTTTGGAAGGGTGCTGCTTTGGTCTTGGGATCCATCTTTGCCTCTTCTCCCTTGAACATGGGTCGCAAAGCCAGCAGCTCTCCCCAGATGCATCCGACACTCCACATGTCGATCGCTGTGGTATAGTGCCTCGCACCCAACAACAGCTCCGGTGCCCTGTACCAGATGGTGACCACCACCTTGTCTCCGTTGTACAAGCTTTGCAACGGTGAAGAGTACAGCCTGGCCAAACCCAGGTCTCCGATCTTTACCACACCTTGTGACGTGACGAGGATATTTGCCGGTTTCAGATCACGATGGAGAATCCAGTTGGCGTGCAGGTAGGCGACGCCGTTGATGAGCTGCCAGAGTAAGCTTTTGAGAACGGCGAGCGGAATAGGAGCTCGTAGAGCTGTAGAGTGATAATGAATGATCTGGAGCAAGTCGTGCTCTGCGTATTCGAAGACCATGTAGATGGCTTTGTCTTCGAGCATGACTTGGTGGAGAGTGACAATGTTGATGTGGGAGAGTTCGCGGTTGAGCGATATTTCTCGCATGGCACTCTGTGAGATGCCAGTGTAGATGGTGGCATCGGTCTCTTTGCTGTCGGGTTTGAACTTTTTGATAGCGTAGATTTGACTGTCTGGAAGATTGGTACCAGAGAGTTGAGCGGAGTGGTCGGATCGGTCAAGAGCATTGGCAGACGAGCCAGCGAGTGAGGCGCCCACACCGGGCGAGGCTGTAGGGGTACCGTTGGCACCTAGTGCACTGGCGTCGAGGGCGGATTTGGGTGTCGCGTGCAGGGACGAGCCTGGAGAATCGAGCAGTTGGTGTTGCTGCAGCAGTGCACTTTTCTTCTTCGCGGTTGAGCTGCTTGTGCCCGCTGTTGACCCTGAGCCAGCACCGCCGTTGGGATTCGCCGCACCTGCTGACCCCGTCGCTGATGCCACTTGAGGCGGTGTCCTCAACCTAGCCTTGTACACCCTACCATAGGTACCCGAGCTCAGGAATCCCAATATGGTATACGTAGCCAGAACGGGCTTGCGAACGCGATCTCTGTACTCGCGGTACGCTCGCATCGCTGCCGCGGGTGAGGAATCGGTTGGGATATGCCGCGCAGCCAAATCGTGCGGATCCTCGAACTGCGACCAGAAGGCACCAGCAAAAGGATCTTCGGCATCAGAATAGAAGTAGCCGGATGGTCTGATTGGATCCGACATGATTGTAGTGGAAGAGGTCGATGCCGAAGTAGAGGTAGAGGCGGAGGCGAGGTGTTCTTGCGTGTTCATCTTGATGGCTATGGGGTTGGTGCTCGAGGGGATGCTTGTGATAGGACGGTGGTCCAAAGCATGGCAGTGATGCGATCGATGCGTGTAGCTGGAGAATGTCGACCAGCGCGTGAGCGAGGTGGTGGGCAGCTGGACACATGAGTTGGCCAGTGTGGAAGAGCAACAAGGGTCCAACTGCAGCGCAAACCTCGGAACGCGGACTGCGAAAAGTCGCCGAGTTGGACAGAATCGGAGTGCTCTGTGCACCAAACACATTCCTTCTCACCATCTACTACAGCACTCGATGCCCCCATCACCATGCCGGTCCACTTTTTTGCATCAACTGTATCCTCCACCATTCCAAGCGAATACTGGGCCACCATCGCAGCAACCTGTGTAGCCATTTCATTCCTCAAAACCTGGTCAAAAGGTGCAAAACTTCTCGATCCACCACCTCCTCCTCCGGCGACCTCCTCCTCCTCCTCCTCCCCCACACCACCACCGCCCTCCGACAAGCTGTTCACCGACCTTCACGGACGAGTCGTCCTCGTTGCCACCGGAGCATTTACCCCACTCGGCGTCGTAACCCTGTCATCCCTCGCCCACCGCGGTGCACAGATCATCGCCCTCACACCCGACATCTCCGACCCGTCCGTGATCCAGCTCGTGCATCTCATTCGAGACTCTACCCAGTCCGAGCTCATCTATGCGGAACAGTGCGACGTGGCGAGTCTTGAGAGCATCTCTGCTTTCGCAGCGCTATGGAACAGCGGCGACAAGAAACAGCAAGAAGGTGTCAGACGCTTGGACGGCGTTCTGTTCTTGCCGCCTGGTCGAGACGACTTGGGTACAGTGCAGGGCTCGCATCCAGCTAGAGCGGATAGAGTGTATCAGCTGCACGTGCTTGCAAAGTTTCACCTTATCAACTCGTTGCTGAGCGGGTTGCTGGTACAACCGCCAGAGAGAGAGGTTAGGATCGTGTCGGCCATGTCTCCTTTCTACGCCGCTGGTGTAGGACACTTCGACGTTCTCTCCTCGACATCGCAGCCATCTCCGGATCGAGAGGGCGGAAAGAAGAAGGCAAAACAGGAAGAGAAGTCGCCTCAAACGCAGCTGCAAAAGCTCTCCGAGTCGAGCTATTCAGCTCTGATCGGTGCTGCATCCTTGCGATGGTACGCACTAACTGTGGAGCTTCAACGTCGACTAGACTTGCTTGCCGAAGCGGATCCTCGCCCGCGCACAAAGCTACCCGGCATCGACCTCAACCCCAACTCCGTTGCAACTCGTTTCACCACCAACGGTGCATCTTCCACAGCGATCCAAGACGAAGCAGCTTCACGGATGAAACGTCACTCCAACATATCCGTGATCAATGTCTGTCCCGGCTTCGAACGCTCCACCGACATCATCGACACCTTCCTCCCACCACCATCCCACCCTACCAGCCCCAACCCCATCCAATCCACCATCCACCTCATCCGCAGTATCCTTCGCTACATCCTACTCCTGCTCATCTGGCCTTTCGTCTGGCTGCTCGCCAAATCGCCCGCCACCGCAGCGGACAGCCTCGTCTGGGCAACCACGCGATCCCTCGAACCCCTCTCGGAACGATACCATCGCATCATCTCCCTCCTCACAAAATCAAATACAGGTTCGGGGGACCAAATCAGAAGGTGGCAGGACAACCTCATCCCCGGAGAAATGTATCGTGAAGGTCGAATCGTCCGTCCTCAACTACCCCACAGATTCGGATCAACTAGACCAGCAGACACCAACGACACCAAAGTCACCGACGCTTGGTCAGACTTGTGGAAGCACGAGGAGCAAGAGGTCGAGAGGCGCATCAAGGCTCTCGGTGGTCAGATCAAGCGACCTCAAGTATAGCCACACCATTCACTCGCAGGTCCAGGCACTCATGACGCTGTTCTACACGTAACTTGATGATACATTACATTTCATCGTCCATCTCCTATCTACCCGAATACAACGCCATCATGTACATTCGTCACCCTCGCTGCGTCTGCGCCTGAACCGTCGCCTGAGTAGGCGTTTCCAAAAGCGTCTGTGATACGCTCCTCTTACCCGCCGCGGCCCCGAGCGCAGGCCCTTTGATTCCCTTCGCCTTTTCCGCCAGGAAGTTGGTCGAAGCGAACGAATTGTGCATCCTCGATCTCTGCAGCACCGACGACGGCGTCTTGCCAATCGCCGGCGTCATGAGAGCCTGCAAGTTCAGAGAAGAGCCAGGGTTCACCGAAGCGCTTGCCGATGGCGTCTTGGGTGGATACATGCCGTGTCCGCCAGGCCGAGGAGTCGCTGCCACCATCTGCGCCTGCTGCGAACGATGCAACGGCGTCGCCGCGGGAGACCCGGGAATCGTCGCCATACTCGGTCGAGAGTGCGGCGTGGCAGCCACAGCGGGGGCAGGCGGAGGTGCAAGCAGCTCCGTGTTGTCGATGGTGAGCGACTTGGTGCAGTTGGCCGTCTTGTACACGCCAATCAGACGCGACGACAGCTCGAACATGTTGTTCCGCAACGAGATGATGATAAACTGACCGCCCTTGGTACGCTCCTTGATCAAGTTGGCCACGATCGACACGTTGCGGAAGTCGAGCGCAGCGTCGATCTCGTCCATCACGTACACTGGCGTCGGCTTGTAGGCGTGCAGCGCGAACACCAGCGCCAAGGATGACAGCGTCTTTTCACCACCCGAAAGGTTCGAGATGTTCTTCCACGACTTTTTCGGCGGCATCACCGAAAACAGGATGCCCTCGGCGAAAGGATCTAGCGAGTCGACCAGCTCGAGCTCGGCGTTGCCTCCGAGAGTGATGGTCTGGTACATCTCTTTCAGCTTGGACGAGATGACGCTGAAGCCCGCCATGAAATTTTCCAGGCGCTGCTTGCGCAGGTCGTCATATCGCTGCTTGGCCGCGTCACGTTCCTGCGTTGTCGCTTCAAGGTCCTTGGCTCGGGATAGGAACTCGCCTTCGCGCTTGCGGTACTCAGCGAGCACCGACATGTTGGCCGAGCCATTGTCGACCTTTTCACCATACACAGTGATGGCGCGCTGGAGTGCGATCTTGTCCATCTCGCGCAGCTCGTCCTCGGGATACTCGAAGAGCTCGTCGGGGGATGCTTCGAGAATGTCCGCATCCGCCCCCGTGGATCGCTTCTTCGACGATTTGGTCCTCTTGACAGAGCCGTCTTGACTGTCATCCTCGTCGTTGGCTTGTTCATGGTCGCCTTCGTCGTCGCTCTCGTCGTCTCCGTCAACGTGATGGAGCGTCAAGCCAGCTAGCTTCTCCTCCAAGTGCTTGGCCTGCACCTCGTGCTCCTTTCGGAACCGTTCGTTGTCCTCGAGGTTCTGCTTGATCTCCATCTCAAGCGCGCGGAAAGCATTGGCTGATTCGGAGCATTCGTCGAGCTGCGACTTGATCTCGTCTCGCTCTTCCGCTTTGGAGTCCATGAGGTGCTGTGCGTCCTCAACCTTGGAGCGGATGGCGTCAGCAGCCTGAGAATTGCTCGAGATTTGTTCGCGCAACTGTTCGAGCTCGCCATCGAGCTCCTCGCACTGCGCCTCATTCTTCTCGAGCGACTTTTCCAGCTTGATGACATCCTTTTCGGCCTTGGACTTGGCCACCTCCGCCTTGGTGGTCAGTTCAGAAGAAAGCTCAATCTTCTCCTTGATGCTGTCGACCTTGCTGTTCTGCGTCCGAAGTTCGACACCGCCGGCTTCGAGGATCTTTTCTTGGAGGCTCTCGATATCGATCTCGATGGCTTTGCTCTTCTCGGTAAGTTTTGCGAGCTCCTTATCGAGAGAGGCGATCTGAGCGTCGAGCTCGGCGATTCGCGAAGCATCGTCCGCGTCCGGTTTGCTCTGGGCCTTGAGCTCAGCGACACGCCTCTTGGCTTCCGTGACACGTTGCTCTCCGCTCTCGAGGTCCATGCGGATCTTGTCAAGAGCGACCTCGATCTGCGGTGCCCGAGCGCGGTGACCCTCGAGCAGAGACTCGACCGTCTTGATCGATGCAATGTGGCCACGCAACGAGTCCTCGAGCGAGTCGCGATCGCGCTCCATGCGTTGCAGCTGCTCGGGCGAAACCTCGTCGGCGGCGAACTTGGAGCTCATAGCCCCTCTAGAGACCTTGTTGCCACCTCCCGACATGGTACCGCTCTTGTCGATGAGCTGGCCGTCGAGCGTAACGACACGCCAGCGCTTTGCACCGTAGGCGATGCGGTTGGCATGGGCGAGATCTTTGGCGACGAGCGTATCGCGAAGCTGGTGGTAGAACGCAGCCGCAAAGCGCGACTCGCGTGGCTTGACAAGGTCAAAGAGTCGCGGGACGTTCTCGGGCGTTTCGATGGGCTGGAGGGCGGCAGCACTGATGCCGAGGCTGTTGAGCAGAACAAAGTTGGCACGTCCGAGGTTGTTCTTGCGCAGATGCTCAATGCATGCCTGACCACAATCGACCGAGTCGACGACAATGTTGTTGAGGCCGGGGCAGGCGGTGCTGATGGCTACGTCGTACTTGTCGTCAATGACACCGAGATTGCCAAGACGACCGTGGAAGCCCTTGATCATACCAAGGTCGGCTTGACGGGTGAGGCTCGAAAGCACGTCGCCTCGCGATCGACAAGCACTGACGGTCGCTTTGGCCTCGTCAGCCTTGGAGCGCGCCGAGGCGACCTTGCTGCGAAGAACCGCTTCTTGCTGCTTCATCTCGTCGAGCTGTTTCTGACAGGACGCGGTCTTCTTGTCGAGGTCACGACGTTCCTGATTCAGGCTCGCGACCTCGTCGTTCTTGGTCTCGTTGTCGATGTCGAGGTTGCGGAGCGCCTCCTTGGCCTCGGCGATGCTGTTTTCGACTTGAGCGCCGCGGCTGGCGAGGAGATCGCGCTCTTCTTGAGCGACGTTCTTCGCAGCTGTCTTGTCGCTGATCTTGGCGGTCCAGGGCTGAAGCTCGCGCTGCTTTTGCTCGATGGCGCGGCTGAACTTCTCGGTCTTGCCCTTGAGCGAGTCGCGAATCTTTTCGAGCTGAGCTTCTTCGCGCTCGAGCGAGGCTTCGAGCTTGCCCACTTCAGCTTGTTCCTTTTCGATCTTGTGGGCCGAGTCGGAGGCGGTCGCCCTTGCCTCTGATGCAGCGTGACGATCTTCTGCGATCGACTTTGCCAGCTTCTTCTTCTTGGACTCGAGATGCTTGCGCTTCTCCTGCAGCTGCACATCCTCCTTCTCGTATTTGGCGAGCTCCTTGGCGACCTTTTCGGTGCTGCGAGCGATGCTCTCAAACTCCTTGACGAGGGCCTTGTAGCTGGATTCGAGCTCTTGGATCTCGGCTCTGGAGCCGGAATGCTTCTCGGTCTCTTGCTTGAGCTGTGCTGTGTACTTCTCGATGGCGATGGTAGCGACCTTGATGTTGTCCCTACTTTCGAGCCTGTAGACTTGCCACAGCGCCGAATGACGTCGAGCCAGCTCGTTCTGGTCGCGGAGGTACTGCTCTGCTTCGCGCTTCTTGGCCTCGAGGGCATCCTTCTCCTTCTGGACGATCTTGAGACGACCGAGCTTTTCTGCCCTCTTCTCGTTTGCTTCGTCGACCAGCTTGGCCTGCTCCTCGATAGGGGTCTTGAAGCAGCTGGTGCCGATGATGTCCTCGAGGTATTCGAGGAGGCCCTCTTCGTGCTCGTTCTTGGCACGCGGAGGCATCTGAGCGATGGATTCGACCTCGCCTTGCAGAATGAGGAAACGCTTGTGGTCGAGATCGATACCTTTGGCCTTGAGGAGGGTGGTGCACTCGGTGAACGTAGACTTGCGCGCGTTGATGAAGTACTGGGAGGTGTTGTTGCGATATGCAGTACGCGACACGATGAGCTTGCTGCCGGGCACCACCTTGAAGCCGTCTCCGGGCAGGTCGATGATCTCTCGGAACCAGACCTCGACGCTGCACTGGGGGAGATTCTCCTTGCCGGCCGAGTTGTGGATGAGCTCGCTGAGCTTGCCCTGGCGCATTTTTGTTGCCCTCCAACCAAAGACGAAGAGGAGCGAGTCGATGACGTTGCTCTTTCCGCTTCCGTTGGGCCCGACGACACTGGAAAAGGACTTGTGGAAGGGACCGATCTCCTGGCGGCCGGCGTAGGACTTGAAATCGTTGAGGACCATCTTGTGAATGACGAGACGCTTGAGTGGGCCGGCAGGCGGGGCGGGCTTTGCGGGGGTCGCGATCTGTTTGAGCAAGCTTGAGGAGGGAGTCTGGGGAACGTCAGAGCCGGAAGAGGCGGCGTCCTTGGGCTCGGGAGTAGATGAGCGCGCCTCTTTGAACGAGAGTTCGGAGCCGTCGGAGTCAAGGTCCTGTTCCTCGTCCGAGTGCTCTTCCTGCTTGACTGGAGCGGCCTTTGACTTGGTCATAGATGACGCTTTGGCGGTCTTTGAGCGGCGAAGAGCGGTGGGCGAGGGCAAGTCGTCTGCGTCGTCTTGATCGTGAGCAAGACTGAGCGACTCGTCGACTTGCTCCTGATCTTCCTCATCTTCATCTTCATCCTCGCTTTCGATCACCTTCTTTGCGCGCGACTTGGATGGCTTGGTCGGAGGCGGGGTGACTTTGGCGACGGATCTGGAGCGTGCCGCAGAGGTGCGCGAAGCCGGCTTGGCGCCTGTTTTGGCCGCTGCTTTTGATCTGGAAGCAGGCTTGACAGGAGTGTCGGGCTCTTTGTCTTCGTCGTCGTCCTCCTCCTCTTCGTCCTCGTGCTCCTCTTCACTTTGTTGGTCTTGTTCGCTGTCGTCTTCATCTTCCGAGTCTTGAATGCGTCCTCTGGATCTGGAAGATGTTGCTGTTTTGGATGATTTGGATTTGGTGGCTGTGGAAGTGCGTGACGACCGTGTGGACTTGACGTGCATCGTAGGAGAGACCGATGAAGACGATCCAGATGAAGCAGTGGATGCGACCGAGTCGCGTGCCTTTGCGGCAGCTGCCCTACGAGGAGGCATGTCGATGTGTTCGATGTGGGTGAATCAGGGGCGTGGATGACAGTATGCTGCGCGGGCGAAGGATGATACGTTTATCCCTTTGCAGGATGCGATGTGGTGATGAGGGAGGGTGATGAGCGACTGACTGACTGATATGTCGATGGAGCGAAAAGCAAAGCTGTGGTGAGTGCTCTCACAAAGGTAAAGCCAAAGCCAACAGGGTTCAATACTCGACCGCAGTCACAAGCAAAGCAACACCAACGCTCAAAAACTGAGCACGCGCGCCCATTTCGGCCATCCCGAAGGTGTTGGTTGCTCTTTTCTGGCTCGACCAAGTCCAGCTCTCGGCTGCGGCTCGCCTCGCCATGTCGCGCCTGAGCCAAAAAAAGTGTTGCTCTCTCTCAGTCCCTTTTTCTTTCTGCCACGCCGGACGCGTCGCCAGTTGAATCTGTTAAGGCTGGCACCACTGCCAAAGTCCTGTTTTGGCGTACGGAAAAAGCGAGCTAGCAACACGCGCTCTTGCAAGATGTCGGTCACGTGCTGACCTCCACACCTGGCAGGCTGCACTCGCACGGCACCTCGAACCTCACCGCTAGCTACTCCTCAATCAACTTCGATACCGTCATACTTGTGCGCATCTTGAATCGTAAATAGGAGCACTCTACTATGCGAGGGAGCGATTCAGTACCACACGCCTCGTCGAGCAGCCTGCGATCCAATCGCAACGCCGACGCACTCAACGTCTACTACTGCCTTTGCGGAGAATTCGTCCTCGTCTCGGATCGACCCCTCTCAAGTCTTCCACTCCGACCGCTCGACAATGCACGTATCCTGCGCTGCCTCGACTCTCCTCCCTACTCCATCACAGGTGCACCACAGAAGGTGCGGAAGGCCAGGGTGTTCAAGCTGAGCGCAACACAGGGTACAGCTAAATTCATCACAAGACCGGACAAGACATTGGAGAAGCAGTATCCCTTCAATTGCTCACGCTGCAACCTCGAGCTCGGATACGAACATACTCCCCCTCCGCTCAAGAGCGGCGGAAAGTTTACCTTCATCTTGCCGGGAGCGTTGACGTGAGTGTCCTGCATTGCCGATACCGAGTCCCAGAGCGATAGCTGACCAGAATTTCGATTTCACTGTCGCCCACGCAGAGACAGGCAAGGCGTCCCACCGCGAGATGCATTCCTGGAAGACTTTTTGGCGCCAAACGAAGAGGAACGGTCTGGCGATCTAGATTTCACCTCGTGATCGCGGCCATCGAGCACTACGGTTGTCACCTATACCAGTACACCAAAATAAACAAAATATACCCATGCGCATTCACCACGAGCGGAACTTTTCCACCTTGAAGTACTGATGCTCACCCTCAAGGTGAAGATCACACTTTTGGTGGTGAAGAGGAACGAAAAAATTAGATTTGCGAAAAGATACTATGGATAGGCAAGACTAATCGAGCGATTAATATTCGCTTTGCGGATATCTTCAAAACGTGAAAGAAGCGATTGAAGGGTATCATCGGATAATGGGCAGAAGAGAACAAAGGACGAACCGAGCCATTGCAGATCAGGAGCAACGAAACAATGCATCATCATGCCTCGATTAGATGGCAGTGGTGGTGGCGGCGTTCTTGGTACCCGTGGTCGAGGTCTGGTTGACCGACGAGCCGTGGTAGCCGCCGGTCAGACCGAGGTCGCGCTGCAGCTTCTCGGCGATACCGTCCACCTTGCGGTCGCACTTGCCAGTGTTGAGCAGGTTGGCCTCGTGAACCGAGCGAATGCTGTTGGTGAGGCTACCGCCACCGGACAGGAACTCGTCCTTCGAGACAGCCTTGTGGTGCGTCGACTCGTGAACGATGGGAGCCTCGTGCGTGACGACGTGGGTGGGGATCACCGTCTGGATGCGGTGGTACTCGTGCGAGTCCTTCTCAATCACGGGCTGAACCACGTTGTGAATGTGGTGGTGGATCTGCTCGTTGACCAGCTCACCCTTGTCAACGACCTGACGGTGGAGGGGAGCCTCGGTGAACTTGTCGGCGTGCTTGCCGGCAACCGAGGTGAGCAGAGCGGCGTCCTTGTCGGTCGAGGCGTGCGTCTCGTGCACACGCGTCACGGGGTGGATCTTGGAGTGCACCTTCTCGGCGGCGTGCTCCGAGTCGAGCACGGGCTGGACGTGGTGCTGGACGTGGTGCACGTGGCGCTCGTGCTCGCGCTGGCGGGTCACCTCCTCCACCTCGTGGCGCTGGTGCGTCTGGTGGGTGACGGCAGCAAGGTGCTGCACGTCCTGCTCCACCTTGCCGCTGCTCAGGTCGAGGTGCTTCGAGTTGGTCACGTCGTGGCCGTGCTTGTGGCGGATGGAGCCATCGGTAGCGTGGACGTCGCCCGATCGACCGACGCCGTGCTCGACCTTGTCGGCGATCTTCTGGCCGGTGGTGCGCGAGCCAGCGGTGCCGGTGGTGGCCGAGGTACCGTTGAGGCCAAGGCCGTTGTTACCAGTCGTGGCATCCACATCGGCGGCATGGCTGCTACGCTGACCAGCAGTAGCGGCACCAGCGGCACCCAGGGAGCCGATCTCCTTCTGGCGCGAGACGGGCGAGCCAGGGTTCGAGGTGGGGGCGGTCGAGGTAGAGTGGCGGCCGTCATCGGACGACTCGTCGCCCGAATGCGACTTGCGCGAAAGAACCTTCTTGACAGTGTTCATGGTGAAGAGTGTGTCGCAAAAGCGATGTGCTGCGTTAAGCTAAGGGGGAGTTGGTATGCTGTTGCGTACGTGGTAAGAGCGGGAATAGTCTTCGACCTTTGCTGGTAGCTTGGGAAGAAGTGATGTTGATGAGGAGCAGGAAATGGACGGCCACCGACTGGACGCTTATATGGGTTTTGGCTTGGATAGATGAAGCAGTGCAATGGCGCTGACGGGTGAGAAGAAGCAGAATGACATGGGGGCCAAGCCGTATGACTTTCTTGCCGTTGGTACACGAGCACAGCGAATACGAATGTTGGCTCACGCCCAACGCCAACGTCAGGCGCTCGTCACGGGTAGGCTCGAGGATCTTGTACACAGTAGAAGCAGCGTACAGCACACCATACCGTGAGGAAGAGAGTGATGGCAAGGTGTCATGCCGAGTGACGCAACTTGGACAAGATACAGTACGGCATGCAGAGGAACGACTTGTTTGAGATGGCTCCAATGATGTCAGAGCGAGCACATCGTGCACACACGCTTGGCCGTTCGCAAAAGGCGACGGAGGGCTCCCAGATGGTAGGCGGATGCGGATTCGCCAACCTGTGAGAGCAAGGCTCACAGGTGATGGGCTACATACGTATCCTTGCTGTTGGTGATCAGGTGGAGAAACATGGTGGTTCACGCTGGATGCGAAGCGAGGATACGAACCGAGGCGAGACGAGATCAGATAGAGCGCGGCGAACGAAAGCAAGGCGGTGTGACACAGAGACCGCGTTGGCCCGGCCGTTGCGCGTGGGTCACGGCGTGATCATGCCGGTATGCAGGCATGGCCAGGTTCCAGAACACTTTGCAAAGGAGGAGGAACAAGCTAGCGACCTGGATGCATCTACGTCAAGTCGCGACAGGAGGCTGCGGCGACTTGCTATACTTGGCTACAGCGCATTTCATGCAACAGACTGAGGAAGGACTGGGAAGGAATGTGGGTGGGCAAGCTAAACGAGACCCGGCACTGATGACGAGAGGAGGTTCCAATTTAGACACTTTTGGCAGCTGACAATAAACGTCACACCAAGTGAGACAGAAGCCGTGCAAGCGAGGCGGTTGAAGGGCCGATAGTTCGCCAGCTCCATTGTGGTCACTCTGCCATCTCCTTCCTTTCTAAATCAGTGTCAGTTTCACACGGCGCCTCTGTCGCCGTATGACGCTGACACTCATTGGCAGGAAGGAAAATTCCTCTTGATGCCGGTCAACGTCAAAGCTCGCCGAGAGGTTCACACGTTGATTGCTACATAAGTGATCGAGCAGCGGCCAATCAGTCGGGCGAGGCTTGGCAAGCTCGCCACTTTTACCGCGCCACCATACACTGACCAAGCGAGACGGAGCGATGCAGCGGCAGAGCGCACGGCAAAGACGGTCATTTAGCGGAGCGTGAGGACAGCAACACAGACAGTGACTTTGACTGCTTCAGGTTAAGGAAGGGAAGAAAATAAATAAATAAAAAAACCCCGGTCACCGGGCCAGAAGCACTTTTTGACAGGTTTGACGCGCAGCACGCTCTGGCGGATGCCACATTGCTCAGCTAAGGAATCTCCTTTTTAAAGGAAAAGCAAGAGCGCGAACGGATGATGGTGATGATGAAGGCGGCCATAAGCTTGAAATCCGTCCACCTCGCATCTCGATCTCGCGAAGAAAAGGTACCGCAACGAACCGCGCCGCACCGGCCATCAAGTTCTCCAAAATAGAACTAATTACTCTCTCAGACGCGGCAGCATTATTCCGTTCAGGTTGGCAGCCCCGCCTTCGATTTTGTAACAACGAATTGTCATCCTCCACCACCAACTGACTCAAGTTTGCAGATCTGCCTCCCACAATTCGCTTCACGGCGAATGGTCCTTCTACAACCACCACCACAGCAAAAGCCACCAAACAAAAGGCCGTTGAGCCACAATCGGACTGCGCTGCCACCGTGATTCATGCATAGCAACCGTTCCTCAAGCCATCCTTCATACACGCTAATAATAGTGCTGTGACTTGGCAGATGAGTTTCGACCCTGACGTTTACAATAGATCGGACCTCGCTTGGCCTCTCGCACTGCGGCCGCCAAGCCGCCAAAGCGTGTGGGAACGTCGGTGATCCCCGTTGAGCGTGAACTTTTCAAGTTTCACAACCTCCAATTTTCGACAAATTATTCAATCTGCTTTATTTTTGACATTCCCAAAAAATCGAAGCTCGATCCGAATCTGGATATTCACTTCGAATCGCACCGGCATGCACCCCGCTGCAGTCGACAAACAAACGTCGCTTCCCGAACCGACCTCTTCGATGGACTCGTATGCGCCTCTGCTTCTATCTCAACGCACTGCATCAAGATCGGTTACATGACAGCATCATCATTTGGTCTGATGCGTCTAGCTTCTGATTCGGATATCGAGCCGCGTTGCCGAGAGTTGCCAATGTTCGAGGATCCCCCCGAGCCAGATGCCGGCAGTGCGAGCTAAACGGATCAAACGAGACGGCCCAGTGCAAGTATATCGATGCTGGTCCTGTGTGACCCCAAATTGTTCCGAAGGCCTACACCATGGTCGATGACGCGACTCGACGTCTGCCGACCTATCTCGTGTCGAGATTGGATCAACTGTTCACAGCGTCAGTAATGGAAACAATCAGAGCGCCAGTTTCATCCAATGGAATGCAGATGTCAGATGACAACATCCATCATCCGGTCAATCAGCCAATCACAGTGCGTGGATCCGGCCATTGCGCACAAGATTCAGACGAGAAATGACGCTCCGAGGCCATCTGGGTGTCGACCGAGGTTGAGCTTCCGAGGCACGTGTCGGCCGTCTCGGGTCAGGCGGCGACCTTGTGACGTTGCTTGTGCCATTAGTTAGCGCGAACGACTGCTGCCGCTCAGCTGTCCATTGCGGTACGCTAGCACCGCGTTCTTCGTCATCGGTGTCTTAGCTGGCTACGGCCCGTCTTCCGGTCCTGAACAACCCCGGTTACAAGTATAATCACGCAAGCCGGACTGGGGCGAGCGTCAAGCTCCACATGAAAGCTTTTGACGATCTTTCCCGGTGGGACAGCGCGCTTGTCTACCTCGCAATGGACTTGGTCCTGTGTCTCGCAACAGGTATCGCGTACTCGACTTAAACCCGACTGCTCGGAATGCTTTGAACTTGTACCAGAACCAGGAACAAGGCTGCGTGCGATGACGTTTACATTCAGCCAGCAGATGTGATCAACCCAGACGTTCGGAACGCACACATACAAGAGCGCTGGCACTCGAAATGTGCGTTGCCACACATGCACAACACGGATGCAACGCCAGATGAGCTTATTTTCACTTCATGGAACGAGGCTGTTTCGCGGCCCGAGAAGGTTCGCAGTTCACCATCCGAAGCTGGTCGTCATTTGCAATCGCTAACGCGAAAGCAGCATTGGACCTACCGAGCGCAAAGCTCGCGCTTCCGCACGCTGATATGTGGAGCCTAGCACCTGAAACGAATCAAAAAGGAATCAAAGGTAGAATTCGTTCAAGCGGCTTCTTCACCGCCCGGCCATGCCGTCAGCGCAAAGAGCTGCTCGATGACGACCATTCAAGAATCAACGAGACGGCCCGGGCATGACCCAGCGAAATCGAAGGTGTCGTCAACATAGCGATATTTGACAGCCGAAGAAGCGCACCAATCGAGATGACTTGGCCTCTGCCGAGACACACGGCGAAATTGGCTTCTTGTGGATCTCGCAAAAACGCGGACATCCGAATTTCCATTCGCGGTCACCGCCAGACGAGAGAGAAAAAGAGAGACACGCTTCGGCATGTGGAGAAAGAAGACTCGACGATACTCTTGTACAGAAATGTCGACGGTTCCAAAGACAGCATACCCGACGGAAGCTTGCGCTACCCTGTTCGAAGTGCGACTCCTAGCAGCTGTATCGTCGTTTGAGGCGCACCTTGGTGTCACTGGTTCAGGAATTCGCGATGCCTGTCCGGGATGCTGGATCCGGGAAGCTCGAATGCGATCACTTGCCGCCGGTTCCATTATTCCGACTTTGCTTCCAACAACTAGAGGCCAACTTGCACTTCCAACTGACCCTCCTGACGCCGCGTCCCGACTGAGATGGGCCCATGCCGTCACCGACCAAAACGACGTCGCTTGCAGATGATCGCGACACCAGCATCGCAGACAAGCCTACGAGCCCTTTCCAATCGTGTGAACCAGATTGTCGCCACCTCATCGCAATGGAATGGTGCGTGACAGCCAAGATGGCTATGACGTTGGGATGCGTGCATCCATGACCACCGCAGAACGAAGCAGCATGGACGTGTGAGTGCAACGGTCAGAACAGCAAAGGTGACAATGTTAGAGCTGCAAAGAGCCGTAGACCGCTTTGGGATCGTGGTCGCATGGACCCGATCTTAATTCTTTTTGGTAGAGTATTTGAAACGAAATCAAACAAATGGAGTGGAATTATTTTTGTTGGGCTCGGCTTTCGGCCGCTGTGTTTTTGTCACGCAGGGTTCAGGCGCGTGTTGGTGTTCCTGTTGGCTGTTGCTGTTGCTGTTGCTGTTGCTCTTGCTCAGCTTTGACCACCCAAAAACCACCATCTCGACTACGCTCATTGATCAATCAACAGCATCTGCATCATCTGCATCACCGGAAGATGGGAACGCGACGCTGAATTGTGGCTATGGGCTTTTTCGCTGCCGATTCGCCATCTCGAAAGCACAATTCTTGCCAACAACCGTCATATCGAATGCACCTCCTTTGTCGCCTCCACACGAAAGCCATTCGCCCTTGACCACGGATCCGGCACGATCGTCCTCGCCGCCGACCTTCCTTCCTCTCCTTTACCCAACGCTTCTCAGCATGGACATCATCCCTTATTTCTTCACATACCGACCAGCCCAGATCGACAAGAGGCTCTCACGTTTCCGCACAAGGGCCTTTAAGCAATGAGCTAAGCTTGATACCGCTCTCAATAGCTTTCCGACCAACTCGGCTCAGCACACGAGTCGCAAGTCTGTCTGCAGTCTGAAGCGCTCGACTGCGGAGACCTTCTTGTTCTGTCCTCGCCGGGCTCGTTTTCCGACATGTCGCAATCAACACCCACCGCAGCGCCCAAACGCAAGGTTATGGGCCGCATGGACGCTGCTTCGTCCGATTCTCCTTCGAATTCCATCACCCCGAATGCGCGTCCACGCATCGTCAGATCACAGCACGCTTACTCCTCGCCGTCTCTATCGAACAATGTCACCCCGACAGCCACCCGGCCAGCTCCCGGCACCGGTCGTGCACGCGTCGATATGTCTGCCTTTGCCAGCCCCTCATCTGTTGCATCCAGCCCTGCCATGTCTCCTTCTGCATCCGGACGACCCACGTCTGCCTCTTCTGCTGGCTCGAGTACCATCTCAGCAAGGCTGTCGGCCGCCTCGCCAAGCGTCCGCTCCACACCGACTTTTCACGGCAGGTCAGGCTCCACCGTCGGAGTTGGCGCCAGCGTTTCATCTTACCGCCTCAATGAAGCTAGAATTGATGTCTCCAGCGACTTCAACCTTGGATCGATACGCTCGCCACAGATGCGAGCTCGCAACGGCAGCGTCGACCTAAGCGGCGGCGGATCGCCGGCTGTGGCCTCACCGAGCACACGAGTCTCGGCGGCAAGCTCGCAGCTTTCGTCGTCCATGTCTGTCAGGTCGCCAGTACCACGCCCAGATCAATCGCCGTTTCAGAAGCCATCCACACCGTCCGCATCCGTCCGACCAGCGCCTTCAATGTCGGCTCGTAATCTACTGTCGCCGCAGCGATCGCAAGACAAGCTCGAACCCGCCGCCAGAATATCCGTCAACAGACCATCTTCACCCAACAAACCGCCGACATCGCCTGCACCATCGTCGACCACCTTTGCGCAGCCGACGAGCCCAGCCAAGCCACACAATTACGCTCGCAGTTCCGATCCCATCGTGCCCGGTCGTCAAACGTCCATGACGTCCGCAGGGTCCATGGCAGTCCCGAACGGAGACGTGACGCGCAGCCACGGTCTTACAAACGGAGCTGCGTTGCCCGCTGATGAGCAAGCGCTGTATGCCATTTCACCGACGGACTCATGGCCATCTGCGGCTGCAGGTAGTGTCAACCGCATGGAGCCAGGCTCAGCGATGACTACCGGTCGCGCAGGCTTACGACCCGCACCGCCATTACAACGAGCCTCGATGCCGTCTAGCTTCATGGACCTCGCCTCCGTTTCTGCCACAGGTACATCATCACGTCCTGACCTGAACCAGCGTGCTTCCTTTGCGTCCAGTACCTTTTCCACCCACTCCAGTGTCAGTCAACCACTTTCACCGTCATCCGAGACACCCCGTTCGCCGAGCGAGACGGGCGAAGCGGAAGAAGCACGCATCCACCGCAAATTGCTCGACCTCGAAATCACCAACAAGTCTCTGCTGGCGATCAACTCGGCGTTGGAAGTGACCAAGTTGAAACAGGCAAAAGAGATTCGCGAGTTGAAGAGGCGGTTGAGGGATGGAAGGGGTTTACCCGGCACCGGGGGTGGAGCGGCACGCGAATCGAACGGTAGTGTCGGTCTGAGCGAGGAGGATTTCAGCGAGAGCGAAGATGAAGATCTGATCGGCGTGAGGGAGGATCCCGAGTTGGAGGCTGCCCATCAGAGGTGCAAGTCGCTCATCGATGCAATGGTCGAGAGAGCGAGGAATGCCATCTTGGCAGAGTACGAGGAAGAGAAAGGTTCGGGCCGTGGCAAAGTGTTGCATCCCGCGGAGGTGGAAGAGCTGCAAAGGGGGAGCGACGAGGAGGAGGAGGGTGATGAAGATCGCGTGGATGCGACGATGGATACAGATGTGATGGATGCCAGCGTCACGTTCGATACGGATGCGGATCAGAGCGCGCTGCCGGACAGCTCTACCTTTGATGCCGATGACAGCGTTGCAGGGCTGATCCCGTCCGACTCAGTCGACTCGAGGACGAGCACCGTTGACGAGGCAGCGTCATCGCAAGACAAGTTACTCAACGATCAAGCTGCAAACGTCCACGCTTTGCTGCCTGGCGACGTCTCCATCGACTAGCACCATGCAAGCATCTGAGGATGCGTTGACGATTTCGATTATAGTAATATGGACCTTGATAGCAATATTGATACCCCCCTTGGTCCATGATCATAGATCAGATGCCGTTCGAGAATGCTGATGTGAGATCTGTGTGTCGCTGTTCGTGAAGATGTCACTTTGGGATCGCTGCACAAGCTCAGACGATAAGCGACGAACGCTTGCTCGCAACACAAAATACCCTTGTGATGAAATCTACGAAGTCTCTCCACCCGCATCCACCGCCAACACCTCTTCCACCACGACATCCAGCAGACTATAAATGAGATGCTTGTTCAGTCTCTTGTTCTGCAACGCGGCAAAGACTCTCCTCGTACCCTTCCGAGCGTTTTCCCTACCCACGAAATTCGCCGCCAGCTCGGGTATCAAGCTAGCCAGCTTGCTGTTGGCGTTCTCCCTGAGCGCGTCCTTTTCCGCTCGTGTTCTGGGCGGTGTCGGTTCCTTGAGGACCCCATTCGGCCACAGACTCGCTTTGAAGGCTAGAACGTATCCGCTAATGGACGGAGGCGAAAGGGCGGCAGAGAACGTTTCGCGGATCTTGCGTTCTACTGTGGAGCCAAAGAGTTGCTGGAGCAGGATGACAATGGCTTGACGCCGAAGCCAGTTGTTCTTCTCGTGGAGCTCAAAGAGCTCGGTGAAGAGATCGCAGATGGGTTCGGTCCAGTAAGTTGTGCCGGCGCCCGCGGCTTCGCGCAGTTCCGCGGGTGTCGCATCTTTGTCCATGGCCTGCGAGACCATGTCGATGTCAGCGATGCCTTGGACCAGCGTGGCCCCAGACTTGGTCTGCATCTGCATTGATAGCCGTTGCACAACAACATCGAGCATCGAGGGGCCAATCCCGATCAGATCATCAAGACCCTCAGCTACGCCAGTCATGCCTTTGAAGAGCGTCTTGACCAATCCACCTCCGGGGAACGCACTCGGCTGCTTGCCGGGCGTGGAAGGCCTCGAGCTGCTCAGCTGAGGCGACGTGACGCCATCGTCAGAGGCGCGTTGAACCACCCTCGGCATCGCAGCAGTCGGAGTCTGTGAGAGAAAGATACGCAACTCGTCGCTCTCGCACGCCACCTTGAGCTTGACGAGTGCCTGCAGGTACCTCTCCAATGCCGCCTTGCGTGCATCGACAAATGGAGCATGAACAAGTCCCACAAGTCGCTTGCCAGGAAACTCCGATTCGAGAGCCCGCACTTCAGCAAAACGTTCCTTCAAAGCTTGATGTAACGACCAGAACTCGGAATACCTTCTGCCTACGATCCAGCCACGCGTGGTTGGAGCGACGGCCTCCTGACTCTGTTTGTGACTGTTGCTCTTGCTCGGACCCTTCTCTAAGATGCCAATCTCAATCAAATACACCGCATACTCCTTGCCCTCGGGGTCGAGCGAGATCATCGTATCTTGAATCGAAACCTTGGTTTGGCCTGGGTTGAGCTGCGTCGCGGCAACCTGTTGCTCGAGCTGATTTCGCTGCCATCGAATGTCACGAGATTCACGCCGGACCGCTTGGATAGATTGAGCCAGCAGCCGAGACTCGCTGCTCCTTGCGCCTGTGAGCTCTGCCTTCCGGGCCAGCGCTTCCAGAATGTCGGTTTGCGCTTCCAGCTTTTCCAGTTGGGCGTCCATTCTGCCGAGCTCCTGTCTCATGTTGAAGCTCGGCAGTCCAGCGAGGCCAGCGACCGGGGCGGTTGCATCAGACATGACACCGGCAGCCTCTGCACCGTCTAGAACCTCGCTATTCCTCTTGCTCTCGGCCAGTCGTCGTTGGATGTCCTTGTCACTGTTGCGACTCGACTTCGTGCTAAAGTCTGCACTGGAAGATGCGAGACCGGCTGGGCGCCTTCGCGTTTTATCGATATCGTCGTCGATGATGCTTTGCAACACACTGTGCAACTCATTCACCTTATCGACCTGGATGAAGTCTGAGCTGTTGTCACCACGCTCCTCTTCGGCTTGGTCGTCATTGCCGTCGTCCTGTTCGTCGAAGAGTGGGTCTTCTCTGAACAAGGGTGTTCTTCCGTCTGGTCCAGCATGTTGGGTTCGTCCCCCGATAAGGATGTCAAGGTTGTCCGACTTGGCGCTTGCCTTCGACCTGCTGCCCGCAAGAGTGTCGCCGAAGAGATCGACCTGCTTCGATTCTGTACCCATCGGCTTGTCGGTGCCGAAAAGATCGGCGTGCTCGACGTTGGGCTTCACGACCCTTCCAGCTGGACGGTGGAGGCCTTCGGATGCGTCTGCGGTCCGATTGGCGAAGGAAGCTGTCGCTTCTGCGGCGAGGGAGCCAACGCTAGATGCGAGACCAGCTGCGAGATGAGGATTGGGGCGCAGATCCTGGGCAGCCTTGAGGAAGAGATCGCTACCCCGGAAGCTTGGCCAGTCCTCTTCCTCCATATCATCGTAGATCTGTCTTTGAGCGCGAAGGACGTCTCGCCTGACCTGCCACACTTGCAAGGCTGTGATGGGGGTATCTGGGTCGTTCGCGAGAAATCGTCTGGCACTGTCAATGTACCGCTGGGACACATTGAGGAAGGGGGAAGAGTAATAAACATTGTCGAACATGCGAAGGTCTTCCCTCAGGGTCTGGACGGAGGCGGTTGACGGAGTAGAAGCGCTTGCCGCAGCGCTCAGCGGAACATGTTCGTTCGCTGCGTCTCCTTCAGAGTCCTCCAGCGGATTCTTGAAAGACTCCACAAGAAGCCAGAACTGGACCAAGACGGATCTCTTGCGGCGGTCCATGAACTCCATGAAAAAGGAGAGACTAGACGGATTGAGGAGCACGTCGTGCAATTTGACTCGGGAAGCGTTCGGGTCAGCACCAGCCGAAGCTTTGGCCGAGACCGTGGGAAGTCCCTTTTCGGATCCCAGCTGCGCGATCTTCTGCTCTGCTACAGCATAGGCGGTTTCGAGGCGATGGAGATACGATTGAAGCTTGGCACGCGAAGCATCGGAAGGGTCATCTGAAACGCGCTCCAGGTTTGACTTCGTCTTTCTGATCTGGACCGCAACGTCATTCTTGATCCTTCGGACCTCGAGCAAGGAGGTGGTGTGCTTGATGGAGCGCAGGAAAGCTTCAAATGATTTTTGGTCGGGCTTCTTGGCTTCTTGCGTCCAGGGAAGAAGGTTCTTGGCGTCAATGTCGACGAACGGCACCGTTCGTGTCTTGCTTGGTTTGGAGTTCGAAAGTGTTTCTTGCTTGTCTAGAGCATCACGCAGCTTGCTGACGAGGATCTGTTCGTGGATGACAGCACCGGCTTTCTGTTCGAGGAGATTGTTCCAAAAGTCGGGATCGCTGATGGCCTCGATGATCGCGAAAAGGACAGTGCAGCTGAGCAGCTCACGAACGATGATGTGGACCGACGCGCTCTCGCTCTCAGGGTATGGCATCAAGGCCTGAAGCAGTCGAGCGCACACAGAGCGGAGGAAGGCTTGCTCGGCTGGTTTGGTGTTGGGACTGCTCATGTCGCCTACAGCCGGATGGAGACGACCGTTCTCAAACTTGCGAGCCAGAAAGAGATCCGTCTGATCACTCCCAGAGCCAGCAAGCTGAGCATTCTCGGAAGAGCCGCGAAAATCGGCTTCAGCCTTGCGATATGAGTGGATGTGAGTGGTGATTCGAGGCATCAGTCTACGCACGACAAGGTCCGCATAGTCGAGCTGTCTGACCAGAAGAGCGACTTTGCCCAACGCGTTCTGAATGGTATGTTCAACGGCTTGCGTAAACTCGGGCGCCGAGTCGCTGGTGGACGGATCGAGCGATCCGGCAGCTAGCGGAGTATGCCACTTGCTGACAAAGTCACGGAGAATGAGCGCAACCACATCGTCGATGACTCGGTCTAACGATGAGCTGTCGGTGCGCTTCCGATTCGAGGAAGAAGAGGACGTTGCGCTGCGAGGCTGACGAGCCCATCGAAGACGTGTCCGTTGTGCCGACCAGGCAGCCGGAGTGAGGAAGGCCAGGCGCGGCAAGGATGCGAGACTGTTCCGGGAGTGCCGACGCCGCCGAAGAGCCCGGATGTCCGCAATGTGACAAGCGAAGAGGACGCCTACGAGCAGAAGCAGGGTCCAACCGATCAAGAGAAGCGGGAAAGCCCAGACAAAGGCGGTCCAGTGTGAGCGCAGCGCAGCGTTGAATAGCAATGGCGGGACGAGCGCGATGATCGCAGACAGAGCGAAAGGCGAGCGGAGCATTCTGACAGCAGCGAGATCGCGTCGGTCTCCGCCGGCGTCGAAGCAAAAGTTGCTAGCTGTCTGTGAGACGACGGGGATCTTGTGAATCGATCGGAAGTGCCGATGGATGGTCAAGGTCGTCAAAGTGCTAACGCTCGGTCCGCGAAGGTGCAGGGCGTCCCATGCTGACTGCGCCGGTCGTCGGCTTCGATGATGGGAAACAGGTGGGATTCACCGAAGCTGCTTGTCATGTAGATCTAGACGATGGAGTGGCAGGACGCATTGATGATGATCACGATCAAAGCGGATTCCAGGTCAGGTTCATGGCTGAATGTGGGTCAAGCGAGATTTCAGGGTCCAAGCTTAGAGAGAGAGTTAAGTTGGAGCGTGTCCTTTGCTGAATTTCTGAGAGGACGCAGTTGGTCCGAGCTGCCTGGATAGCGTGTGGCGCGTAACTAGCTCCACGGACGTGATTTGCTGCAGCCTAAATTCGGAAGTGATCCAACGTGGCTCCCACGCCCAAGTTACGCCGGACGCGAGACGCCCAACTTGGTCACGAGCTCATCGGCTTGAGACCGACGACGAGACCCGAATTGAGATGCTGCTTGTCACATCGTCTTCTCTGTGGCGACCTAGCGTCGACGTTGCTCGGTGTCAAAGCGCAAATGTCGCAAGCTCAGCTCAGGCCTCTACATTTCTGACTGTCGTTCACAGCTAAGGCTCACCTTCGGTCTGGATCCGATCCGTCGTCTGGGATTCAGTCGGGCCGGTTGTTTCAACTCCCAGAAGTCACAGTGAGGAGTTGAAGTCGGCGTCCGGTTTCACGTAGGTGTGCTGTCTCTCAGACTCTTACCGGCACGTTTCCGCGTGTTTTTCTCACGCCTTGGAGCGAAGAAGCTCGACTCCTTCATCATTTCAGGCTTCAACGCACCCCTCGGAGCGTTCGGACGATCTTTCAAGCTTATTCGTTGGCGCTAGTGCGCATTACCGGAGCATCTGCTTACTCTGGCTCGAGAGCCTCTACCGGATCCATTCGAACGTTCAAGTGTGAGCCGTTGGCAGTGCTCAGCATCGCCAAAGCGACGCTGAACAGTGGGAATTGGCCTTTGACCGATCAGCGATCTTGGAATGCGGTGGGCGGGAGGCGGCAGAGCCGGCAACAAGGTATTGCAGTAACCTCTCTCCGTTGGAATTCGTCTGCAGTATATAGAGCATGCCTCGAACCCTCGGCCTGGCCCCACATCCCGTTCTCAGCCAACAGCTCTTCCGACAAACGCTTCTAGGCTCAGCAGTTCCTCACATCCACGTTCGCACAAGCCTTCAGATTTTCTTGACTTCTTCGTCAGTAACTTCCTCCGACAATGATCCTCCTCACTCCCCCCTTCAGAGGTCTGGCCGCCTTCATCGTACTGGCTCTGCCTGTCTGCCTCAATGCACGACCCATCACAGCCGACAATGCCCTCTTCGCAATCGAAGCTCGCTCGGCGGGAATATGGTCTCAGCCATCAGCCGAGAGCGTCGCCCACCTCGAGCGTCGATCTTCCGACTTTATCGTCGTCGCCGGCAAGGGTAAAGACAGTCATCCTGTGATTCTCTTCAAAGGCTTCGATTTCAAGGGTGGTCCTCCCTCTGCATCCAAAAAGGGCGGCGACAAGCATCGAAAGGGTGGCAAGAGCTCTGACAAGACAGAATCCCACGGCGGCGAGTCAAAGGACGAGGGCGGAGAGAAAGGTGGCAAAGACGAGAAGAAAGTTTCGGAGGGTGAAGAGAAAGGCGGTGAAGGCGAGAAGAAAGGTTCTGAGAAAGGCGGCAAAGACGACAAGAAAGGTTCGGAGGGTGTAGGGAAAGGTGGAAATGGCGGGGAGAAAAGTTCAGAGAGAGGCAGCAAAGGTGTCGAAGAGGGTAAGGAGGGAGGAAAGGGAGGTTCCGGAAAAGATGAAGGTGAAGGAGGCGGCAAGGGAGGCGAGAAGGGCAAAGGAGGAAGCGGCGAAGGAGAAGGCGGGAGCAAGGGAGAAGGTAAAGAGGGCAATGGAAAGAGCGGCCAAGGAGAAGGAGGAAGCGATAAAGGTGACGAGAGCAAGGGAGACAATGACGAAGGAGAGGGAGGCAGCAAGGGGGGTGAAGAGGGCAAAGGTAGTTCCGGAAAGGGTTCCAACGAGAAGGGTAAGGGCGGCGAGGGTGAAGGAGGGAAGGGCTCCAACGAGAAGGGTAAGGGCGGCGAGGGTGATGGGGGAAAGGGTGGCTCCGAAGAAGGCGGGGAGTCTGGCAATGGAGGAGATGAGGGCAAGGGCGGCTCTGAAGGGGGCGAGGACTCTGGCAAGGGTGGCTCCGAGGGGGGTGAGGAGTCTGGCAAAGGAGGAGACGAGGGAAGAGGTGGCTCTGAAGGTGGCGAGGAGTCTGGCGAAGGTGGCTATGGCGAAGGAGGAGATGACGACGAGGAATCTCAAGGAGGCGGTGACCATCAAGGCTCCCAATCTTCTGGCAAAGGTGGCTTTGGTCGTGGCGACGAAAAGTCTGGCAAAGGATATGAAGGAGGCAAAGGTGGCGGCTTCGAGTACGGCGGTGGTGGAGACACGCCCAGCTACTAAGTTAGAATACGCATCACATGGTCTCGCTTTTGCCGTGCATCAGCGGTATCAGAAGAAAGCGGTGTCCATGCCAGTTGATCGCGCGGTCGGCAACTTGCTTCCACCATGCGAACCCATTCCGTTAAAAATGTAACAAAGAAGATCGTTTTGCTACCACGTAGTAAAGGGTGAGGTTTCTACGAACCCGAAGCCGAGTGTTTCCAAAGCGACATGATCAAAAGCATTACCACATTCAAAGTCGAGCCTTGCCTTGCTCGCGATCTCGAACCGACGCATAGAATGGACGCCAGGGTGCAGCTCGAGCGGAGTTGGACGTGAGATGACGCACAGCCCACATGTGTCTTTTGGCCCACGCTGCCAAGACTCTGACGGTTTGCTGTGACGGTCTGGTGGGTATTATTCGCGTTCAGGCTCAGAGTTTAGCCGAAAATCGTGAAATTACCGACCACGGCGTTGTGCCTCTTGTTGCGCTGTGGGCGTCGAGAGTGATGTGTCGGAGTTGGGCGCAATTCACGTCACTATGAGGCGCACAGCGAAGAACAGAGGCAGTGAATCGAATCCCGCCGGCGAATGCTCTGCCAAGCCTTTATCCGCCGACGCTCTCTGCCTGCATTGCTGTGGTTCTGCACAGATGCAGCATACTGCGAGGTACTTCCCCACACTTTGCATCATCCGACTGAGCATTCTTTCTCCTTGACCATCACCATCATCTAGCAGCACCATATCGACATCACAGTACACTCAAGACACGGACGATCAACCTACGAGAACGCCTACAAAACAGACGCGCGGCATACAAGAAACATCACCTCTCAACATCCACCTGCTTCATCTCTCAGACGCTCTCGGATCCGTGCACCATGTCCAAGCTGCTTCGCAATGGCATCCCTCGCAAAGAAGACGGCAAGATCGACTTTAGCTGGAAGAATCACTACGGATTCACCGGCTTCATCGTCCTCTGTGGATTCCTCTTCCCGCCCCTCGCCGTAGCGGTACGATTCGGCATCGGCAAGGACTTCTTCATCAACGTCATCCTCACCATCTGCGCGATCATTCCCGGTCACATCCACAATTGGTTCATTCAAAATATACGAAACAACGATACCAAGGCAAGGACGCCCAAGTGGGCCATCAGGTATGGGCTGGTGGATGATAGACCTGCCAAGAAGCTAGCAAAGAAGAGGCAGTGGACAGGGAGGTATTATGACAGGGTGCCGCAGAGGGTGGTGTATGATGATGAGGGCAGAGCGCATGTGGTAGAGGAGGAAGAGGTCGAGACGAGAGAAGACCATGTGATCGCACCGTGGAATGTCCACCCTAACCGTGTCAAGGAGCACAAGACGGGCTTGGTGGATCCGGACCAGTGGATCAATGAAGATCCAGAACGCGAGAGGAGGAGCTACGCAGAGCCACAGCCAGCAGCGAGACAGTCAAGGTTCGCCAGGTTCAGACAACGAGGCCACGGCGATACAGACGACGTGGAATACAGCACGAGCCAAGGCGCGAGAAGGTACAGCAGCAGCCGAAGCTCTACCTCCTCGCTCAGCATTGTCATACCAGAGGACGCAACACGGTCATCCTACGCACCTTCACAGGGGAGAAGGGGAAGCAGCGTCGCAGGTAATCGATACAAGACGCAGTCCGTAGCCGTTGCTGCACCGGCAACCGCGACTGAAAGCAGCAACGACCGCACCGCTGCTCGTCGTACCGACGACATTTTTGCTCATGAGTTCTAGGAGCCAGCCAAGTCCTTTCTCCTCGTCTCCTTGTAATCTAGCTCTTTGACTTGTAAGAGCATCCTTCTTCCAATGCTCGATCAATCGTGAATTCACAATGCATCGGCCCACACACACACAAGGAGGCGTATCAGAAAACAGCCTGCAATTGTCCATATCTTTTCCCCTTTCACTTGGGTGGCCACTCGGGCTGACCCAAATTGCTCCAGACCCCCAACTCAACATCACCCTTGACACCCAACTCCTTCAATCCACCCTTGTTGGTCCCCGCGCCGGGCGCCACGCCACCACCTTCCTCCACCCTCACCCCCTGTCCGCCCGGCCAGCTACCCCTATCGAGACTCTTGCTGTAGCTGATCAATGCAGCCCTGATGTAACACGCTGTTGCGGCGGGAGTCAGGTATCGATCCGTCAATGTGCGCTTCGCGTTGCTTGCGATGGTTTGACCTTTGGTGATGAATCCCATGGAAATTGTCTCTTCTTCGATGAGTGTTTGCATCGTGGATGGGAGGTTCTCGAACCACTCTCCTTGCAGCACGAGGACGTTCTGATCGGGGGAGGTGGAATCGCTGACCAATGCAGGGTGGAAATGTTGTTCCCACTCCAACCTGTGCATCACCACGGCTGATTGGCAACCGAGGATGAACTTGCTCCTTCCCGAATACGCCACTCCTTCGCTATGTATCAAGAACTTGTGTCGACAGTGTTCGGGTGGGGAAACAATCTGGCCAATGTCGGGTCCGGATTCCCAGAAGCTAGTTTTCTTGACGTCGGACCAGCTTTGCGTGCCGGATCCGGTGGCGACACGGAGGAGCGATTCGCGTGGTTTGATGTTGTTGCCCAGTAGCGCGTCGCCTCTCCAGAAGGCCGGATTGGACTTGCTACGCCAAGGCATTTCGAGGTTGACTTGGGCTGCTTGACGTCGGAACTCCGGGTAGGAGGGGATGCCTGCTTCGGGCCAACTCGCAAAGCTGAAGTCCGGGAAAAGATACTGTCCTTCGGTATCGTTGATCCTCTTGTCCAACACCCATCCCGCACCTCTGCTGCCCTTTGGATCGGTGAACCCATCGAAATCGGCCGTGCTGATGACCAGCTCTGTCCCTTCGATCAAACTCTTTTCCTCCTCACTAGCTCCCGCATACGCCTGCTCCAGCAGCTGCAGCGTGGACCTCACCCTCGATTGCCAATCCTTCTCCTGCCTCCTCACGAAGATCTGTCCATGCTTGATCACCAACTGCACGCATCCTTGTCTACAATTCTCTGCTGCATTCTTGACATCGCCGTATCGGATCCCACCCTTGGACTTCCAGACCACCTCGTTGGCGGTCAGCTGTGGGAAGAGTCGAGAAAACTCTGCCTTGCACTGCGGTTGGGCCAAATGCAGGTCGTTTTGCAGAAGAGCGCTAAGCGATGGCTGCGGGCCCCACCGTGACGGTGAGATCGGAGCGTATGCTGGGAAGAAATTTGACAGCGGAACGATGGAGAACACCAAACAAACTCCTACGAACAACGCTGCGAACATGGCCATCGGTGCACCGCGTGCGGATTGTAGCGTCATTCCACCACCACCACCACCAGCGCGGTGACCCGTCAGCTGCGTCGGCATGTTTTGCGCAAAGGATCGATGATGACGTGGAGATGGATTGTGGTCAAGAAGCAAGACTGCAGAGAGCGCTCGAGCCGGAGATAGTCGCCGTTGGTGGGAAGATGAATTTTGGTTGACCGCGTGCATTAGCGCCGAGTTTGACACGCCGCTTGGCTTGGCGACGTTACGCATTCACCTGTCCAAAGACCTGCATGGTCGGATCGGTTGTATGGCCTTGGAAATTCTCCGCTGGCACGTCATCTCTCTCACGTGTTGCTGAGCCATCTGCATCCACCTCGGCTTTTAAATTCTTTCGCCTCACATAGAACAAATCTAACATTGTAAATGAATTGCTCTCATTGCGTATCGACCTAACAATATTAAGGTGCACCTCGCCTCCTCTGCGAACCGAACCCTGTCAGAAAGCGCACCTCCTCCTCCCGCTGATGAAAGCATAGGACCACGTTTCGGCACTCTGTTCGGTTTCTCGTCGATAACCGCGTCTGACATCCGTAAGCGGGCTCTTCAAAAGATTCGTAGCAAGGAATCAGATTATCACACGGAAAAAAGTAAACCGCTTTCGACGCTGGGTCGAAGAGTACGCTCAGGTTATTGTACGAATTCAGGACTCCGTCTTGTTAAGGATTGCGAGTGAGGGCAGCAGCTCATCTGCATATGCTTCTGAGTCCATCCGTGTTCGCTTCTAGAAGACAGACATGATGAGCTGCAACCATTGGCCCCTGTCGGAAATCGGCATCTGCAGTCAGCCGGAGCAGGTCGAACTGGCACGTGACCGCCCACGAGTCGTTGTAGCACTTTTCCGTCGCCAGTAGCACTGCAAGCCTCACAGTCCTTGCTAACACCGTTGGCATCACACAATCGCTTGCAAAGATCGTGACTGAGGCCAGACGTTCCCGAGAGGTTTGCGCAACTGCACCGAGCGTCTTCGTCTATGCTGAGGTTCCCGTGCCTGTTGCTAAGCCTTGCATATGGCGGGGCAACTCGACAGACCATTGCAAGCGGCTGTAATGGTGGCTACCTTTCCGAACCATGCATTCGGGCTATGGAGCACGGTGGAATGGACGACTACAGCCTCTTTTGTCCACACTGGTCCCGTTCCTGTCCCTAGAGAAAGTCGGAACCCGAGCTATGGGCTTCGGAAACGGTCCCAATCCCACTCCTGGTTTATTGAGTTGGAGGTAATGTGATCATATGCATGGACGAAAAGGATGCTCGGACACGATCAGAGGCGCCAAAAGGTCACCCGAAAGCTGTAATCCGTCTCGGATTCATCGGCATCAATTCGTTAGGCTTTTTGCTTGGCCGCGGGGACCCGCAGCGGGACCGCGCATAAATGAGCTTGGCGGAACACGAGCTCGATCGTCCTCACCGGTCATCCGAATTTGAAACGCTGACTGACGGCTCCAGTGTATCGGGCGGCTCGAAGCAGGAATTGATCGACACACTGTACAGTACCAGAGCGCCGTGCGGTGCTAGTCGTCTTACCTCCCTTGCCGACTACACCGAGCGACTGGGGTGCGGTACAGACTCGAAACTTGACTCGTCGGTCTCGCGCTATCCCGTTTCAGCAAAAGGATCGCCAGTTGACTCAATTTGACAGGACTGCCGAGCGCCTGACAGCAGCTGACAGCGGCACACTACTCTTCTGCCAAGACTGACAAAAGGGTACAACGAGAGCAACAGCTCCTCCCCTTACATATCGATCTGATCCCGGCCCTGCGGTGAGCAGACGATCCCAGATCATCGTCGTCTACAAAGCGGCTCTGCAAGCTGCACCTCGGTCCTGAGCGTCGTACAAACAAGACGGAATCGTATGTGTTAGCTGCGAATAATCGTCCCTTACCTTTCCGAACCATCGAATTACAAAATCGAGCACAGCGGAGTAGAGCGGAGATGGATGACGGCAGCCACCGACACGTCTGCTCTCGTTGCCACATTCCTGTCAGTATTCGAGACATCCCGAGCCCGATTTGCTGTCACTTTCACCTGCCTCGCTCCGATGAAGCACTCTGTGCACACGGTCCCGCGTCGGAGTCAGCCATGTCCTCAACTTGTCAAGCATTGCCTACTCGTGACCCTCGAGCGAATTTTAAGCCACGGGCTCGACACGACGCATCTTGCAGTAGGACTCATCTACTTCATGCCTGCTGCAGCCCTCCAATAGGTCTCATGCCTCGTGGGAACCGGCGGGTGTCGAATAGTAAACCCGAGAGGCCTGACTGACAAGTGTGCTCAAATCTCAGCCATCTTTGATAGACCCCCGCAGGGTCGCGAAGAAACCGTGGGCGTAAGCGGCGGTCACGAGGCGTCGTTTCTGGCGAGAAGCTCATTCAGTCGCTCGCCCAGGCTCAGCGAACCTTCCCGCGCTTCATACATGGAAACGTCTCTCTCTTCTCCTGTTGTGCGCACGAGGACGAGCATTGTTTAAGCGGATCCAGAAGCTAAATCAGAGGCTGAGCTGAGGCAGAGTTGCAAGTGCAACGACGTGGTCGCGTAAGCCCCGTGCTCGTCTATAAATACATCCTGTCCTACGGACACAACATCAGTCTTGTCCCCACCGAACACTGTATCAGTCAAGCCTCTCTCTTCGATTCAAGTTCCACATCGAGCGACCACGAAGCTGGGTCTCTCCGTCCTTTTGACAATCTTGCCCCTTGCGCTTGCGGCCCCTGCTCCCGATGTCGTTGGAGACATCGACACCAGCGACCTCTTGAGCCTCCCCGACCCCACTCCCGTTCCTGTTGACGTGATCTCGACCTCTGTCGATCTCGCTGCTGTTGCAACTTCGCTTGCAGCTCAGCAGAGCGTTACTGCCGATGACAGCGCGCCTACTGTGATTCCCCTCCGCAAGCGTCAGGGTACTTGCAAGCCATTCTCTTCGTTCGCAAGCATCAACTCGGATCTCACTAAAGCTAGCCCAACTGCTTTCCAGACCTACCCGCCCTGGCAGGCTGCATCGGGCCCTATCGGCACCTATGGCCTCCCCATCTACGAGGGTGTCAACTCTGTTGGACCGAAGAACGGATTGCTGAGCGTCAATGCCTACAGTACCTACGACCCGACCGTCTGCCAGGCCAAGTGCGACAGCTTGAAGAGCTGTGCATCATTCGCCATCTGGCGCGAGCGTGTTCCCACCCAAAAGTACGATGCTGCTGCTTGCCCAAGCCCTTCTACGGACGCGGCCTACCAGACCAAGTGTCTCTACTACTCCTACAAGCTGGCTGCAACAGATGCAACCAACAAGGGTCAGTGGACGAACAACGGCAAGTTCAATGTTGTGCAGACATCGGTCAAGTTCTTTAACAAGAACAGCTATGTTCCTGCCGCGGTCGATGGCTTCTCTGGTCCCACAGGCGACTTTGGTGTTTGTGCACCTCAAGCTATGACCACCGATGGTGGCAACGTCTTGACTGCCACGGGCACCTTCCACGTCACTGTTCTTGCCCGTGACCCTGGTCCCATGACGACTGCCATCGATCCTAGCTTCTGCGCATCCACTTGCAAAGCAATCACCTCCGGTGGACAGCCCGATGCCACGTCGGGCATCAAGGTCAATTGCAACATGTTCAGCCTCTTCCTCCTGCGCGCCAATGGAAAGGATGCTTGGCAGTGCCAGTACTGGACCATGGACCTGGATGCGAGCAGGAACACTGCCTGCAGTCTTAACAAGTTCGTAGTTGCTAGCTGGAAGTACGTGGCCTCCGGCAGCAACGCTGTGGCCCCCTACGTCAACACCAAGCCGCTACACCCCCACAGTGTACTGGCAGCGACAGCAGCACATTCGGTCTACGCTGCATCGAGGACTTCAAGAACATTCCTATCCGCTCTGATTTCCAGGCCGATTCTTATTCTCTGCAGGAAAGCTCCGACGGCAAGCCCAATGCTTACATTGAATATGCCTCTGAGATGGCTGAATTCACCAGTAGTGACTCAATCGGCTCTTACTACATCTTCAACAAGCCATACTTCTATCAACAAGATGCCACCAGACTTGCGGGCGACGGCTTCTTTGGTCTAGTCGGAGCAGATTACAACGGGGGTGGATTCACCTGGACTGCCAGCGGCTTTACTTTTGATCTCGAGTCTGTTGACCTTGGGCGTTGGTTCTTTGACTATGGATCGAGCTCGGATACTATGCAGCTTCAAGGACTGCGCAATGGCCAGGTTGTGACGCAGCCAACTCCAGCGTATCACATCCCGGGTACAGACAACGAGGAATGGGTCCACGCTACCGGCCTTCTCAATCTTGGCTTCAACAACCTTGACGCGATCCGAATCCAGTTTGGCGATGAAACTGGCAGTGCCATTAATACTGCCTGGGCCGTCGCCACCAATCTCGTTCTCACTCGTCACGCTGTGCCAACTACACAGAGTGGACGACGTGGACTGCACACTGTCAGCGCACGCGACGCCGCCAACTCTTCTTCTGGCGGATCCCAGGCTTTGCCTACCCTCCCGGGCTTTGTCCCCACGGGCATCGTCTCTCCAATCTTCAAGATCGCCTACAAGCCTGACAACGGGACCTCGGCCTCCAACTAAGAGTGCTCGCTAGTCATCACCTTCGATGCAATCACGCATCGCCCGATGCTTTCCCTTGCTTCGCTCCCTGCCGTTGCGTTTCCCTAGTCGTTCTCGCCCGGTCAGATTCTTACTACTTTCCCTCCCCATCATACTGGTCACAATCTCGTCATCTAGGGTTTCGTCTTCCTTGTCCATTCGATCCCGTTACAATGTCACCGTCTCCTGATCGTCTCATGTGTCATGTGTCCAATGTTGATGTCGCCGTTCTTGTGTCAGTGCACCACCGAGTGACGCCCGACAACATGGGCCTGGTTCCACATGTGGCTGACGATTGTATATTCTTCATTGAATGATACATCGGTCATCCCGGTAAGTGTAAAGACGTACACACAAATGTTTATGATGATTCTCATTCGAAAGCCAACTGCCCTTGTTGCGATGTCACAGTACCGGAAGAAATTTTACGCCTCCCAACTAAAACGGAACCTGGCCCCTAGTCAACCCTCCCGTCGCCTCTGTAAACCGAAACCTATCAAACAACCCACCGCCTCCTCCTCTTCCTCCCCTGCTCACCACATCACCTTCCTCTCCATCGAGCAAGAGCGTCGGGCTTCTCTTCAGCACCTTGTTCGGTCTTGTCCCCTGCGCTGCGGCTGGCGTCCTTGCGCTGGCTGCCAGCTTGAGCACCGACGGCGACACGGTGTTCGCCAAAGTGGTGGTAGCGGCGTCGGTCGAGCGTCTAGGCAGGGTAACACGCTGTGGCTCTTCCTGCTGTTGCCTCGGGGTGTGGGTGGTGTATCGGAACGCTTCGAGTTTGGACATGCTCGCACTGGTGTGCAGCATCGGCTTGCGTGCACCAGCACTCCTCGCTGCCAACGGCGTCATTGGTATCGCTTCCACGTCATCCTCTTCGTCGCTCACACTGGGCTTCCGCTCCATCGGCAGCAAGGGCGAGCTGGGCAACGCGTCCGTCTCGAGCCCTCCTGCAGCATCCACCCTTTTCACGCTCGAATCTTCCCCTCCTCCACGCACCGACGACGACGCTGGCGACGAAATTAAACCACTCCCTATCGCACTCTCCGGCGAAGACAGCACCGCTTCGCTCTCTGTCGACGCCGAAAACATGCGCTTTCTGCCCTTCGATGGCGTTTGCGGTACCACCACCGACGCTGAATCTGTGCTCGGCACCATCTGTGTAGCCACCACACTTTGCACCCTGCTCTCGGCCACCTGCGTCGACTGCCACAGCTCCTGCGTATTCATGACCAGCGCTTGCGACTCTGGTGCCACCGACGGCGCTCGAACCGGGCTGCTCGACTTGACGAAATCGCGCATGTCGTCGCACTCGTCGTCCCAGTAACCAGAATCATTTGGATCCTGTCGAGCTCTTGGCGGTGTCAGCTGGCCACCGAGATGCAGATAGGCGTGGTCGAGTTTAGCGTCTTGAGATGGCCGTCGCGACGCGAAAAACTTGCTCTGCGTTGGTCTCGCTTCCTGGCCTTGCTTTGAAACTTCTGCTTTCGCTTTGACTTCCTCCCGCACTCCATTCTGCCGATTCATGTCACGTGGCGCCAGCGCTACCCGTTCCTCCTTGACGACGCTGACATTGCTCTTGGCGCTGCCGTTGCTGGGCGAAGGACCGCCGAAAAAGTTCTTGAGACTCTGCAATCCCGCTTCCTTGCTGACCACCTTCTTTTTCGCAAAAGACGACGTTGCGCCCACACCCGACCGGTAGAAGCTGTTCCCACTACTGCTTGCAATGCCACCGACTCCATTCTGCCCCAGGGTGACCGGAGCGGTGGTGCTGCGAGTTAGTGAAAAGACTTCACCAGCTGCGGAAGCTGACGCACTGGTCGAGGCGATGTTGTTGGCCGAGTTGCTCCTTACACCGAGCGGCTTGGGCACGCGATCCACGATGTGTGTACGAGAGATCGGATCCACGATCCCCTCGGCAATGCCTCTCGCTACCTGATCCTCGATAGGAGCGCCAATGAAAGGAAGCATATCGTCGTGCGTACCATCCGGAAGCGGCGTGAGCGTGACGAGCTTCTGCGAACGCGGATCAAATACCCTCTGATGCACAAAGGTGAGCTCGGCCTTTCGAAATTCGCGCGAGTAGGTGGGTGGGATGCGCATCTTGCCTTCGAGACGAACGGCTTGCAAGACCTTGTCGACGGTCTTGTACCTCCTGAGGAGCCTGTGTGCGTTCTTGAGGCCCATTCCGACGATGCTTGGCAGGTAGTCGCAACCCGAGAGGATGGCCATCTGACGAAACTCGACGGCGGTCCAACCGGAAAGTGTGATGTGCCGGTTGGTCCAGAAGCGGTGTTGGAGCATCTCGACGGCGTTTCCCGCCTGATCGAGTTTGAAGAGAACCGTCTTGCAGCCAAACACGAGCAGATCCGAATCCTCGGTGACGACGCCGTCGATGATCCCCTGTGCTTCCAGATACGCCAGCTGGGCATCCGCCTCGTACGGTGCTACGACGTACGGGATGTTCTCTTCCTTTAATACCTTGATCAATTGAAACGCCATTTCAGGCGTGATATCGACGCATTTGCCATACACATCTCTCGCCTGCTGCGATTTGCCTTCTTGCTCTAGCTCTTTGGCACGTTGCAAGTTGTCGCTCCTGCGCTGTTCTCGATCGTCTTCGGTGCCCTTCTTTGCGGGGAGTTTGTCACCGTCGAATACGAGGTAAGGCTTGACGCCAAAATGCTGCAGCATACGGATGCGACTCAGGGCATGAGCTATGTAACGCGGAGTAGGGTCGCCGAGGACGATCTCGCGTGCACAACCGTATGCGCCGCGGTGGAGCCAGACGTAAGCGTCGACGCCGAGCGTCTTGCCAGCATAGCTCGATACGTGGACCGGTCTCTGCACGTCCTTGAGCAAGGGCAGCAAGCCTTGGATACCCATGTCGGGCCGGTGATTGCTGACTGTGCAGCTCTCGACGATGTTGCAGCGGGTTAGAAGGGCAGCCTTACTTCATGATGTGGTGGTGGTCAAAGATAGGATTGGATGAGGGGAGGACACGGTTTGCTCTGCTTCTGTGGAGGCTCGGTCGGCGATACTGCGCTGTGCAACCTTGAACTTACTTTGCGTAGCCAAAGCTTCAGCGAACGAATAAGAGCTCCAATCAGCTTGAATTTCGTCATTTTCGCAATTAACACGTCCAATTCCAGCAAGTGTGTGTGTGTGTTTCTCTTTCCGTCTGCTCGACGCGACTCGCGACTGAATATCGGGAGATCGGGCGAGAGCGCAAAATCCGATCGCACGGCGAGAAGACTTTGGGTTTGGATTGCACCGTCGACGCATTTCCCTCTCTTTACCATACCATTCCATCACATCAGCAATCTCGTCGACTCACAACAGAAGTGGGATCATTCTCACCGCCGGACTCCCTGTCACTCTGCTCGCTCACGTGCTTCCGAACACTAGCTTGCATTCTCAGGGTCAAGGCTTACCCGCTATCCCCTAGCACACTCTTGTATCGCAACGTAGCGACTGCGATTCTCCCAGAATGAAGCTTGTCAGGTAAGTCATCCCTGCATATCATACGTCTTTGCATTTCGTCGTCCTCGCTCACTGACCAATTCTTTGTCTGCATTCTTCGCTCTCGCCCTGCAGATTCTTGATGAAGCTCAACAACGAGTCGGTGACCATCGAGCTCAAAAACGGCACCGTCGTACATGGAACCGTGACCGGCGTCGACGTTCAGATGAACACGCACCTGAAAACGGTCAAGATGACCGTACGTGGACGACCTGCTGTGACGCTGGATACGCTGTCGATTCGAGGCAACACGATCCGGTATTGGATCTTGCCGGATGCGTTGCCGTTGGACATGCTGTTGGTGGACGATGCGCCCAAGCCCAAGGGCAAGAGGAGGGAGCCCGCGGCGAGGGGCGCGAGGGGAGGAGCTGCGATGGATAGGGGGAGGGGGAGGGGGAGAGGTGGTGGAGGCATGCGTGGCGGAAGAGGTCGTGGTCGCGGTTTCTAGTCTCGCGGCCGACACACACATTGTACTTTTAGCTATCGTAGCATCCACTCACACCGAAAGTCTGCGTCATATTCTCCATTACGCCTTCAGCTCGCGTGCGTTTACCGTCTCATACCTGTCCTTGCGTCCCGTTCACCTTGGCCTTGGCTGATGCAGCATCCCTCGCCTCTACCTCATCCATCAACTCCTGCTCGCTCCTCAACAACCCCTCCGCTCTCCTCGCCGCCTCCTCCGGCCTCTCTATCGGGTAATCCAACCTGGTGATCTGACCTCCTCTCAACAACAACGTCATCCTTTTGAAGTACTTTTTGCCTTCGCATTCGAACGTTGGGATGTCGAGAATCTCTCTCAACTGTTGCGATTCGTCGCTGAGCAGGTGGAAGTTGAGATTGAGCCGCGTTTTGGCTTCGAGCTGCTCGGTAGGGGATTGGGTGGAGAGTCCGAAGATTTGCAGAGAGGGTTCTTTGGACAGCAGGTGCGGGAGGTGAGAGTTGACGGAGGTGAGGTGTGGGGTGCAACCGGTGGCCCCGGGGATAGTGGACCAGGAGGCAGGAGTGGCGCGGAGCGGGGAGGCGGTGGACGGGTAGAGGAAGAGCATGATGGGTGTACGCAGCGAGAGCGTGAACAGGTCGACCGTGGTACCGGATGTCGATGCGAGGTCGATCAGCGCTGGTAAAGGGTGACCGAGGAGGTGGAATGCTGCTCTGTCTTCTGTCATCGTGGATCGATCTGTGAAATTGTGCGTTCTTGCAGTATGCGTCTAGGTCTCTATCAGAGCAGAGTGTAGGCAAGAGTCGACATCTAGCAACCAAGACGAACAAGAACATCTTCCAAGTTGGACCCTGCGAGCCATCCAAATCGGCAGCATAGCCGATTTCGAACCGGCCGATACCGCGCTCGCTGAACCGTTGCTTGCATTTACTTTTTCAAGTCTCGAGAGACGCACAATTTCCTTGCAAGTGCTCTCTCCTCTCCGTCCACTCTCACCATCACCATCATCAATTCGTAAGTATCCAACATCGTCGACACCCACAGCATCCCACTTCTCGGCGAAGGACGATATCACAACAAACTCTATAATCTGTCAATCCTCCGATGATACTCATGAAGAGCATCACTTGCGGAGAATTTTGTTTCAAGAAAGCATAACGGACGCCTCTCCTTTTTCCTCGTCGAACGCTGCTACGCAAAGCCAAGAGTAGCGAAATAGACCTTGCTGACAGTGACACCATGTTTGCACTTTCGTATGCATTGTCTTTTGATCCCGCAGGCTCGCAATGTAGTCCCTTTGAATCTTGTATACCAATACCTCTTCGCACTGGCCTCGCAATGGGAATTGATCGGTGCATCATCCCTCTGGCGCAGAACCTCATCACAACCCGGCACACGCACGTCGATCTCTCTGTGAAAAACGCCTGAGATTTCTCTAAAACCTGATCAGATAACTCCCACTGCTTCTCGTCAGATACCTCACCCACTTTACACTCTGGTAGTTGCTCTTCTCGAACACCTTGAGGTACCTGACCAGCAACCCACTGCTCGTGAACATCAGCACCTGGAAATCCACCTCGATCGGCGGTCTGCTCCAAGCCTTCCTCACCGTGGTGCTGCTCAACTCCGCGTCGGCACCGAAACTCGCCTCGCCTCCACCCTGGATCCTAGCGATCTTCCAGACGATGTGGTTTTCCGCAGGGACGTACTTCGCTTTTCCCATGCTGACCTGACACTTGACGGTGCTCGTATTGAGCGGTGTGGGGATCCGAAGGACTACGTTGGTGGCGGAGAGTTTCGTGTCGAAGTTGGCTTTGAGGTTGAGCGTGTATTCGACTTTACTCTTGGAGATCTCCTCGACGATGGCGTGCACTTTGAAGGGAAGGTTGACGTTGGTGGTGCTTCGATACCTCATCAACTCGAACTCTCCATCTGGAGGGATGAAGCTGATACTCCTATCCGTATCGTATTTGCCCAACTTGACGCACTGGTGAAATTGACAGTCGTCCAACTCGACCGCATCCACCTTGCCCTTGTTCTTATCGTTCTTCTCCAACACCAACTTGTCGTTCAACCCAAACCGGCATTCCGGCATACCCGTCAGATATGCACGCATCAGAATCGCACCATCCACATCCGCCCTGAGTATCGTACCTTTACTACTCATCAACAAATTCACCGTCTCGACGACATCCACAAACGCCTCGTTCTTCCTGTACTTGACATCCGCACGTCTCCAACTCGTCGCACCCGTAGCCTGGATCGTGATCTTGCTCGAATCCTCCCTCACCGCCTGTTCCGACTTGACCCCTTCCGTGGTGATGTACATCTTGAGCGTGTCGATCTCCGAATTCTGCGGGTAACCGAAATCCAAAATCTCATCCAGGAGTTCGTAGATCAGGACAAAGTTGTTCTTGACCGCTTCTTCATCAAACTTGCCGCCAAAGTAGGATCGTCCGATGGTGATGACTCGATAGCAGAACTCAAAGACGAGCGCGGCGTTGGCGTTGCACTTTGTTACCGCGACGATGTACAGGTTCTCGTGACGCACGTGGAAGAAGCTCGTCGAACCGAGCGTGATGATGGGAGAGCGAACGTCTGGATTGGAGACGACTTGGATGCGAAAGATGTCGGCGATGCTGCGTCGAAGATCGTTTCGAAACAGACGAGAGATGAGCACCTCGCCCTTTTGGTTGAAGATGAAGAACGCCGAGATCATGATGACGAGGGTGATGCCCCAGGCGAGGTGGAGAAGAGGAGTGGTCTATATCTCTCTCACGCCTCGGCGTGCGCAGGAGGTGGGACTGCAGCACCTGAGACTCTCTTTGACGGTCAGACTTGATGTGAATCGCTCCAACTGAAAGGGACTGTGCTGACCTGATCCAGTTGTCGGGGGCTGACGATGGCTGCGGGTCGACTTTTTGTTGTTGAGACGAACGAGGCTAATCCGAAATGAAGTCTCTTTGTGAACAAGGTTGACCGTCGGCTGAGCAAAGGGGTTGTGCGAGAAGGGAACAAAGGACTGGCCGGGTATTCGCTGAGCGCTGAAGTCGAGGTCGAGGTTCTGAGTAGAAGAAAGGGAAGAGTTGCCTACAAATCAAGGGTCAACAAGACCGCGCGTGTGGAGAGAGACGCACACACACACACTGCGCTGACCCTTTTCTTGCTCAATTCTCGCCGAGTGCCGAAAGGCACAAAATGGCGCTCAAGCCAGCCCGCCTCATATCGCTAGATCTAACAAAATATCTTTTTATCGGTTGCCTTGTCACTTCCTCTCACCTTTGGCTTCCTTCCACGAACAGAGATGAGCCGGACACAGCGAGGGACGGTGTGCATCTACTGTACTCAGGTGAGTGGGTATGGCATTTCATTGGGTCTGCGACAAGATCCGTTTCTGCAGCGCCGCTCGCATGAAGCCAACCACGGCAGACGAACCGCTCAAGCACAGCTCATGAGCGCGTTCCAGATCTGCCAAGTCGACGGCACCCTGCGATTCGGCCAGGATCTGCTCCGACACCTCGTGTGCTGCCGCTTCTTTTTCTTCTCCGTCGAGAGCTTGCGAAAATGCAAATGCAAATACGTGTGTGCTGAGAGCATAGTCGAGCTCCAACGGCGTTGGGTCCAACAGTACCACGGTGCTGCAAGAACAGAAAGAGTGATTGGAAGAGAAAATGTCAGTCGTGCTTCAGATACGGTTCGAAGCGCATCGTTGTATTCAGACTCACTTTCCGCTGTATCGCTTCTTGCGCTTTCTGCCGTTGGACTCTAGCTCGTCGTCCACCTCGATGTCATCGCTTTCGCCCTGTTCCTCCTTGTACTGGCGAACCAGACCCGCCAACTGCGATTGCGAGATCTCGGCCATGTGGCTGTTCTGCCTCAACACGATCCCCTGTGCCTCTGGTAGAATCGCACAAGAGCAGGCGGCAACGCTAGCCCTCGCCGGAATACCCGCATCCAGCAACGCTAACGATGCAGCATTGATCAAGGCAGCCTGCTCCGTCACGCTTGGCGGGTTGTCTGGCCCTAGCAGCAACGGTTGTCTCGGCACGTGTCGTTGGTTCGATCCAGTATCTCTCGCAAGCGGCTGTCCGGCCGACTGTGGTAGTGATGGAGCTGACAGTGTCTGGAGCACCACCTGTATCAACGATCGCGGGTGGTGGTGCAGCAGCAGCACCGAGGAGAAGGCGGTGGTGAGGGAGTCCGAGACGGCTTGGGCTGGGATACCTGCAACACCATGCTGAGGCTGATAGATAACATCGAGCGTTGCGCGATCTGTGAGCTCGTCGCGGATGCGCACTTCTGTCGGCCCCGAGACCGAAGCGACGACGATGACGGAGCCTAGGGAGAATGAGGCGCTGGCGTCCGATCTAGCCAAGGTTCCGAGCTCGGCTTTCAGAGGTCGCAGTGCCGTCGGCGAGGTCCTCCTGACGCTTGATGAAGGGCCTGCTGTCGCAACGGATTCTACCATCTTGCAGAGTGGAAGCAGCTGAGAAGATGATGATGATGATCGAGGAAGTCCAGAATGAGAAGATCGTAAGAAAGCTCGAATAGCTCAAGCAAGCTCAAAATCTGCTCTTCCGAATTCCGAGCCAGACAAAAAGGAGAAAAGCGACGCTGAAAAATATTCGAAATATTCGAAATATTCTGGCTGAGCGGCTCTTGCCGAAATGGCAGAAAACGGAGAAATGTTTCAAAACCTTGCTCGGTCCTTCCACATCTTCTCGACTCGACATCATCACCATCGTCGGTCAGCTGTATACACTTGCAACGATGAGCTCGACACCGCCATCGCAGCCACCGACAACGCCTGCTGCCTCCTCGTCCTCGTCTTCGTCGACGTCGGCATCGGCGTCCAGCTCGACACCCACCACCAATGCTGCCCCTACCGCTCCTGCTGCCAAGGCGCCCAAGCCAGCGCCTCGCGAGATCCCCGCAGTTCTTCGTCCACTCGAGTTCATGGGCATTCCCAAATCTGTCCTTGCTTGGAAGCCTCGCTTGCCATCTCGCAATTGGTCCATCTTCCTTGTCACCGTCGGAACGCTCTCCTACCTCTACTACGACGACCGTCGTCAGTGCAAGCTCATCCGCGAAGACTACATCGACAAGGTCAAGCATCTCTCCACCGAGCCCATGAAACCAGGAGAGTGGCCACGAAAGATCACCGTCTATGCCACCCGCTCTCCCGGTGACGATGACTACGACAAGGCGTTGCGATACTTCAAGAAATACGTCAAACCTGTGCTCGTCGCTGCCGGTATCGATTGGGAAGTCACGAACGGCACTCGTCACGGCGGTCTGGCGCGAGACCTGCAGGCAAGGATCCAGGAGAGGAGGCGAAAGCTGTTGGGACTCGAGCCGTGGATGGACGAGATCACCGCCATGTCGCAGACGCAGTTTTCGCTCACACCGCAGCAGGAGCTGCAAAGGGAGATCGATGGTGGACTGGTGTTGGTGGGCAGACCCGCGCTCAAAGAATGGGCTTGGGCGCTCAAGAATGGCTGGTGCACACCACTCGAGGTGCTCAAAAAAGATCGTGATGACGAGCTCGCACAAGAACTCGCAGAGGACCATGCATTCGACGAGCTTCCTTCCGAGCCCTCCACCTCTACAACCGGTGACAACGCATCGACAACACCGAGCGAATTCCTCGACGAGAAAGACAGAGCCATCGCCGCTCTCGCCGACACAGCCGAGGAGGACGGAGCAGGTGCACCGCTCCCGTCTCGCTTCGGCGCCGGTGCCAACAAATTCGGATCTACACCGTACAGCCTCGGTTCCGGTCCCAATGCGTTCAGCAGCATGATGGGTCCATCTCCCGCTGCCGCTGCCGAAGCGGAAAAGAAGCGCGTCAAATCCGAAGCCGAAGCAGCAGCAGCACGACTCGACCCCAAGCTACTAGCACCACCCGAGCAGATCCCAGCACAACCGCCCATCTGCTTTGTCGACTTTAGCAACCTCGTCGGCTGGCGCAACATTCCGCTTCGAATGTACCAGTTCTTCCGACAGCGCGACAAGGTGCAACACGGTGCCGAGCTTGCCCTCACCTTGGTCTACGGTACCAAAGAGACTGCGCGAGAGTTCCAAGCCGGTCGACAGGGTACCTTTGCCGGCGAGGTGCCGCAAGCGCCACCACAGGGCGGTGACCTCGATTGGGGAATCGAGACTGAGGAACGCTACCCACCCTACTTCCTCAAATCCGAAAAGAACCTCGCCGAGGCACGCGAGAGCTACTACAAAGCACTTCCCAAGCACCTCAAGGACGCGCGCGACCTCGCCCGCGGACTGCGCGAACAAACCAAGCTCGAAAAGAACGATCCCAGCAAGACCGAGTCCGAGCTGCGCGAGCAACGCTTCAAAAAGGAAAAGGAGTGGAGGAACGCAGAGATGGGCTTCGACATCATCAGACCGAGTGCAGGTGTAGAGTGGGACGAGAAGTTCAGAGGCAGCCTCAGAGTGTTTGAGCTGTCGAGCGAGGTGAGGCAGCAGATCGACCATCAGCAGCAGCTGAGGAAGGAAGCGAGCAAGGACAAGGAGCAGAGGTTGCAAGCGGAGGAAAAAGTGTTGAAGGCGGAACAGGCTCAACGACAGAAGGAACTAGAAGCGCAGCCGTTGGAAGAGTTGCCTACAGATATCTGAGAGCGAGATTTCATGTACTGTCACAGGAAGGAAACGCATTGCAAGCAAAAGCCCCCATTCACATTGCTTTGATATGGCCATGGTCAGAGTGAGTCGATAGCAAAGAACAGGGAAAACCACAGGTCTACGAGTTCTGCAGCGTAAAGAATGTCGAAAATTGCGCTCTTCAAATCGCGCTCTCGGAAGACGGAGATGGAAATTGAGTGGAGCAGGACGCAAAGACCAACCAATACAGAAACCGCAGCTTGAACCATCTTGTCCTTTACCACTTCACCATCCACCAATCAACACGAACCCGTCGATACTCGCAGGTGGAAAACGACCGCTATGAGCAAAACGAGATAGCGGTGCATCGATTCCGAGTCCACCTTCGAGTTCCGTCGTTCTGACGTAGGGCGATCGCCCTCCTACACCGACCTCCAACATGTTCGAACGCTCGCTCTCGGCGCTCATCAAGGGCCTCCGATCGCATCGCGGCAAGAATGAGCCCAAATACGTCGCACAGGTCATGGACGAGATCCGCCACGAGGTGCGATCCGGCGATCTCGAAGTCAAGGCCGAGGCGGTGCTCAAGCTCACCTACCTCCAGATGCTCGGCTACCCGTTCTCAGGCGCCAACTTTCACATGCTCGAGACCATGGCATCCAACAAGTACCACCACAAGCACGTCGGGTATCTAGCTGCGGCGCAATGCTTTTCTGCCGATACCGACGTACTCATCCTGGCAACAAACATGATCAAGAAGGACTTGCAGTCGAGTCAGCCCCTCGACGTCGCGATTGCACTCAATGGGCTGGCCCACATTGCCACTCCCGACCTGGCGGCACATCTTGGACCGGACGTAATCAGGCTGCTCACCCACAGCAAGGTCATGATCAGGAAGAAGGCGATTCTGGTGCTGTACGCGCTCATCATCAAGTCGCCCGATCTGCTCGAGACAAGTTGGGACCGCTTGAGGGACAAGCTCGACGACCCAGATCTCGGCGTCGTCTCGGCCGCAGTCAACATCGTCTGCGAGCTGGCCAGACGTGATCCAAGACCCTTCCTTCCACTCTCGCCTCAGCTCTTCCGCCTACTCACCACCTCGACCAACAACTGGATGCTCATCAAGATCATCAAACTCTTTGGCTCGCTCACCCCGCTCGAACCGCGTCTCGTCAAGAAGCTCGTGCCACCAATAACCACCATCATCTCCACTACCCCCGCCATGAGTCTGCTGTACGAATGCATCCACACCATCATCATCGGCGGCATGCTCACCCAGCCGGGTGGAGACGATCTAGCCCACACGTGCGTCGAGAAGCTAGCTGCGTTCTTGACGGATACCGACCAAAATTTGAAGTACATCGCGCTGCTGGCGCTGGTAAAGATTCTGCCCAGTCATCCTCACTTGGTCGCAGAGCATCAGGATGTCATCTTCGAGTCGATCGAGGACCCGGATCTGTCCATCAGGTTGCGCGCGCTCGAGCTCGTTTCGGGGATGGCGGTGAGCAGGAACCTCGAGAGCATCGTCTCGCAGCTGCTGTCGCATCTCGAGCCACCGTCGTCTGCGTCCCATGTTGCTTCGGGTAGCGTCAACAGCGCTGGTGCAGCTGCTGCGGCACTCAAAGCGAGCCTGGCCAGCGGCGGAGGAGCAGGCTCCGACGCAGATCCTTCTTCTAGCTCGCTCGCCGCCATCACTTCGGCAAACAATCCAACGCTGTCACCGTCGTACAGGTTGGAGATCGTAGAGAGGATCTTGGCTCTGGGAAGCTACGATACGTATGCCAATGTGGTCGACTTTTCGTGGTACCTCGATACGCTTCTGCATTTGGCCATGGTGTCCAGCCTGCCGGATGGCAACAGCATCGGATCCAAGATTCGAGATCAGCTCATCGACATCACCGCTCGAGTAAGGGCGATCCGTCCACACGCAGCTCGCGTCATGGTATCGCTGCTCAACGATGGACGTCTCGTCCCGTCCTACGACTGGACGCGTTCCAGCACTGGCTTGACCGTGACGAAACCGTCCAGCGCAGCAGCCGACGACACGAGAGAATCACGCAAAGTCCTCCACGCCGCAGCATGGATCCTCGGCGAATACGCACACGATCTCACCACCCCTCCTGCCCAAGTCGTCCAACTGCTGCTGAAACCCGCGCTGTTCGATCCGACCATCTACGACGCTTCCACTTCAGCAGCGTGCGTGCACGGCGCGGTCAAGTTGTATGCGTTCTGGGCATCCGCGGTCTCGACGCGGTGGAGCGAGGATGGGATGGAGCCCAAGGTTGAATTTGACGATTTGAGGAAGGCGACGGTGGAGGTGGCGATGAGGTTGGAGGCGATTCAGAGCATGTCGCTGGATGCAGAGGTCCAGGAGAGGACGGTGGAGTACAGGCAGCTTTTCAGGTTGATCGAGAAGGATTTGGAGGCGTATCGCTCTCCTGCGTCGTCAACGGTCGAGTCTGCAGCTAAGGAGAGCGAAGGGCAGACGGATGGAAAAGGCGACGAGATCAACGAAAAGCAACCCGAAACGATCGAAGCGCAGAGCACATCACCACCGCGAAGCCTCGACCTGCTCTCGCCGCTCTTCTTCAACCACGCTCTCGGCCCGCTCGGGGCTAACGCCCAATCCCGCGTCCCCGAACCCTCCGACCTGAACCTCACCACATGGATCGTTCCACCCGACAGCTACGTCGTGCTGGACACCATCGATCTCTCCTCACACCTCGACGCCGACGACGAGCCTCCTGCAACCGTCACCAACGACACCACCGCGGCAGAGCGGAAAACATCGCAACGTCCATCCAAACTGCAAGCGGAGCGTGCACAAGATCCGTTCTACATCGTCGACTCTTCCCACCCTACCCGAAGCAAACCGCAGCCAGCAGTGGAGGACGATGTGGATTCCATCCCCATTGTTCGACTGGACTCGCTTCTCGCTCCCACAAGAACAGCGGAAGCCGAAAGGGTCAAGGTGAGACCACCCGTGTTGGAGCAGGAAGAGATGCCAGAACCGATCCCCAAGAAGAACACCAAGAAGAAGAGTGCAGCCAAGAAGTCGGGCGTGGGGGAAGGGGAGGATGATGTGGGGACAAAGGTGGTTACAGTGGTCAAGAAGAAGAAAAAGACGACGACGAGTAAGGGTGCGTCGTCTGGTGTGGTGATTGATTAGCGAGGGCTGGGAGGCAATATCAGATCAATGAAAGTCACAGTCGTTGAACACGATAGTGCTGTGGAAAAAAACGTCTTTCTCATCGACTTGCCACTTCTCGCCACAACTCACATACATCACGCTCGTCTCTCTCTGAACACACTCTTGCATTCCTTACCCACTCACAACCCCTCCAACGTACTCTTGCTCCTCCCCGCCGCAGCCCTCACCCTCTTGGCATCCCTCAACACCCTCCCCGCTCCCAACGCAACCACCTTGTCCTTGCTCCACCTTTCATCCAACAACACCTCATCTTCCTTTCCTTTCCTTCCCTCCAGTGCGAGAATAACCTCCCTCGCCCGGGCATCAGCCTGTTCGACCCACTCGATCGCCTTTCCCCCATCCTTGCTCCCTTTAAACCAGGACGGGATGAGTTTCGATGCCGTCTTTCCCGATGAGGAGCCACGCGTCAGCGCGAAAACTGTTTCCGCGACGTGTAGGTCCAAGATGGACTGGTGGTGGAGGATCCACAGCTTGTGAAGTTCCGCACCGGGTTGAGTCGAGGAGAAGGGGTGGAGACGGTTGAGTTCGGCGGAGGAGAGCTGCAGGGCGGACATTTGGGTCTGCAGCGCTTGTTGCAGGGATGCTGGGGTGGGGGTGTGGGCGTGCAGGGCGGATTTCGAGACGAGAGCGGTGATGAGCGAACGAGTGAGTGCTGGTGGAGCTGCTACTACTGCTGCTGGTGCAGAGACCGGCTCGGCGACTTGCGTGGGAACCGAGCTCTTGGAGGTAGAGAACCATCCTCCCAACCTACTCTTGTTGCTCTCCGCCACAGTTTCCACCTTGCTCACGTCTGCCTCCAGCATCCCTGCCCCAGCCGTCGCAGCAACCCCAACCGCCCTAGCCAACCACTCCTCCGCATCCCCCTTCCGATCCAACGCCGAATGTAGATCACCCAACTTGGTCGCCAGTCTCACCCTCCTGCTCGCGTGATCCCTGCTCGTCGATTCTGTCCAGCTCGCGATATCGTACAGCTTCTCGTAGCTCGAGATGGCCGATTCAAGTGCACCGCGACTACCCTGCCTCTCCTTGACCGCTGCCAGTCTCGCTTCCAACGCCAAGGCCAGCGGGTCGACGTTGCCCAGCTCACGCTTGGCCGCGTCATCCGTGATGAGTCCAGCTCGAATGGCATCCGTGTCCGGAAGCTTGATGCCCTTGCTAGCAGCGATCTTGACCGCAAGGTTGAGGTACTGCATCGCCAAGATCATGCCATCGTCGACGTGCAACGCCTTGCTCGAACTCATCGACGTGATCGCCGTCCTACCCAGTCCGGAGTTCCCACCCGAGCCACCCCCGAACATAACACTCGGGGAGATCCCACCGCCCCAATTGACGCACATCCAAGCCGATCGAACGGCGTGTCTCCCCTTGATGCCTAGTCGAGGATCCGTGCCGCGACGTTCCGGCGAGCCTGACCAGGACTCTTCGAGCGCCAGCTCGCTCCACCCGTACAAATCATCCGAAGAAGAAGCAGCGGCGGCGGCAGCGGGCATAGCAACGTGCTCCACGTACTGGTGAGCAGCCTCGAACGATACGACTCCGATGGTGGCGACTCCGAGTGCCGAGTAGGTGATGATACGCGCGATGCGCGAGATGGTGTGGATGAATTGGGCGAAGGGTGTACCGAAGGACTGGAGGACTTGCTGCTGATTGGGTGCTGTCGAGTAGCTTTTTGATTGAGCCGTCAGACGAGGAGAGGTGAAAGCTGATGCTGGTGTCCGGGGTGCGAGCGTCGGACGAACGACTCGCAGACGAGATGGTCGGAGCAGAGCAGTCTGCAATCTGAGAGAGGGATTGACCGCACTCATCGCGGCGGCGCTTCGAAGTGATTGCTTCATGGTAACGACAGGTGATGAGTGTCGAGAAGGAAGGTTCGATGCTCGAGTGGAGTGGAGCAATCACCAAAAGAACATATAATGTCTGATTAAGCCTCCGCTGCAACACACTGCGCGTATGAAAAATTCCCAATCGGCCACTCTCACCGCCCGATTTCTCAACACGACTTGCTCAACATCACCCTCTCTCTTGCTCCGTCACTCTTCGACCTTTTTGAAGTAGAGACCATCACAGACGATCTCTTTCAACAAGCCCGCTGGGTCAGATTCGATACTATCTACTACAGCACTTGTCAGGTCCGCGTCTCAACTACGCATCCTTAGCCAGCGCCTTCTTCCCACCCTGCACGACCTTCCTCGCCAACCCCTCCCTCCTCTTCTCCCTCGCCTCGATCCCGATGCCCACAAACACCACCGCCACCCCGAGCCACTGCGCCCCACTCAGCTCGTGCTTGTACACAACCACCGACAGCAGCATCGTGAAGAGCTTCCTCGTCACCGTGATCGACACCAGGGTCAGACTGCCGAACCTCTCGAGAGTCTCGAAGATCGACACCTGACCTACTGCGCCTGCGAGTGCATAGGCGATGATATCGCGCCACACTTCCGGGTGTTTCGCCGTGAAGGATAGGGCTGTTGAGAGTTGGGTTGGTTGTCCGGAGTTCGAGAGGAAGGGTAACGGGAGGGAGAGGGTGGTGAACATCAGGAGGAACGAAATGCTGTTCATGACGAGCATCATCTGACCTGCTGAGACGGTCTTTCTGCCGAACTTGGAGAATACCTGATCCTGGGTGCTGTTCGTCGCACCATCGAGCACCAAGTTGAGCAGACACAGAAGCAGACCGATAACGCTGCTGCTCTCCCTCGCGCCCTTCTTGGTCGGTTTAGCAGGTGCGAATGCCATGAACAACCAAATCCCCAACGTCACCAGTCCCACCACCGCATACTTGTACCCTGCAAATTTCCGCCTGTACAGCACAACGTTCATGACTAGCACCGGGACGAGCTTGCACGACTTGGCTAGCGTCAGCGTCGGGTAGGAGATGTATCGTAGGCTGAGAAATCCTAGTTGAGAGGCGGTGCTTTGAAGGGCTGCGATGAGGATGTAACGTGAGAGCAGCGGAGAGATCCATCGACGACGCGCTGTAGGAGCAGCTTTTCCATTTGCCGCTGCCGTTGAAGATCCATTCTCTTGCTGCTGCTGCGATGGTGCGATCCCATTCGGAGTTAAAGTGTGCAAGCCGAGGATCTGACTGACGGGCTTGTCGGTTCCTCGATTTCGTGCCAGCAGATAAACGCACGCGACGATCGACGAGAACAACGCCTGAACAGTGTTGAGAAACAGTGGCGAGCGAAAGTACTCTGGCTGAGAATTAGGATGCAGCAGTGTCGCCGGTGCGATATACGGTGTCTTTGTGACTGCGAGGCGGCGAAGAAAAAACGGATATCAGTACATCAAGCTCTTTTGCAGACACAGGAAAGGGAAGGTGATGCTACTCACGTCGTTCTTGTAGCAAACCCCATATCAAAAAGGTGGTGTAGATGGAGCTGGCGCAGATGCCAAGTTGCAGCAACGTCATTGTGTGTGTGTATGGAGCAGATGGTGGAGGGAGAGAGCGAAACGACAGGAAGAAGAACGGGAGCGCGAAACGGAGACCAACACCCTGCATGAGCCAAACACAAGAACACGTTGCAAATTAACACCGGTGAGCTTTGGCTTTTCACGCCGGCCAATTTACGTGATTCGGGATGCCACGTCGCCTGCTCGACTGACGCAAATGGTTTCTGATCCACAATCGATCTGGCAACCTTCTCCTCATGTACTTGCTGGATGTGTTTGCTCATCCACAATTTTACAGCGTAGCGCATTCAGGAGAAAGCCCCTCGGCAGCACCGAGACACGCAAGCAGCGCAACGAGTGCATAAGGTATTAGAGAGAAAGTTTATACAAAAGCGCTGATGAGTGCTGGCAGAAAAGGAGGTAGATTGCAGGTAGATGGAATCCGAGACGATGCGGCATGCGAGCAGCTGCTGTCGTGTAGGCTTTGTCGTTTCGCACTGTCGTGTCTCCGAAAGTCGTAGTACGCTCTTCCCACCCGTGAGGCGGCACAGGTTCCGACGAGAGCAGCGTCTCATCGGCAGTCGGTCCGATCGTCAAGTGTTCATCCTTCGGCCTCTTCCCACAGCAACCGAGTGTATCCTTCCTCCCCCGCACTTGTCCCAACACATTGCGTCCTCATCCGACTCCTAACCAATCACTCGACTTTCACATCTGCCTTCTGTCGTGTTCTGGACAACGCTGCCTTGACCGGATCTGCTATCGCTCGGGGTACACCATTCTTGGCTAGATAGATGGCTAGCAAGATGAACACTGCATCGATGGCGAGCAGCAGCCACGGATTCCAACCGGCTTTCTGTGATGTGCTTGAGTTGGCCGCTGTTGTTGCGTCGCTCGGGGAAGAGTCGAGGCCTGGAACTTTGGGATGACCCGGTGGTGGCGTGCCTTTGAATCCTAGCGGACATGTACTCATCTCGTCGACGATTTGCTGCGCGATGCGTGATGAAAGAAGGATTAGTTTGAGGCGATGATCGAGGTAACGTGGAAGAAGTGTTGATCAACGGGTAACTCGAGGTGGTGGATTCCAGTCAGATGGCGGAGTTTCCCCAGGCCTTCAAAATTAACCGCGAAGCGGATGGACCCTGAACGCCTTTCGGCGCAGCACACCACACAGCTCACACCTGGCGTCATGGAACTACAAGCTCGCTCATTTTTTTGCACTGTCATTCCTGCGGCTACGTGTTAGCGAGCGAGAATCCGAGACCCTTATCCGCATAGGCTGCGTCCATTCGCAATAGATTGGCCCACACTGCAAGCGAGTTCAAATCAGAAGAAGGTGAATGGTCAGTCCACGAGGGAAATGTCGAGGCGGCGACCTTTGCGTACTTACTTGGCCTCAAGGTGTCTGGCAGCGACTCGCCAAATTCAGGGTCACGCATCCACTCTACACCATGCTGGAGTACATTCCTTGCCCTCTCGGCTGGACCGTTCCCACCCTGAGATGCATCCCCGAAGCAGCCGTGCAGCGTGGCCCGCTTCGCACTCGGCAGGTAGCTGGCGCGGTGCAAGATCCTTTGTGAGTAGAAGGCCGTCTGACCAGCTTTGAGTTTCACCCTCAGCGTATCGGGCGGATCCACGCCGATCCAAGACCCGTCCGCGCCAAACCCGTCCTCTCGGTCTCCGTGTCTCTGCGATGTATCCACCTGTGTCGCTGGGGGAGCCTGAGCATTGTTGGCTTTCACCTCTGCATCCGTTCGCAGCCTACGATGGGTTCCAGGTACGATGAAAAGACAGTCGTCGTCGTAAAGGGCCGTGTTGAACTGAACACCGTACGTCGGCGTGTTCAATCGCGTCTGTTCTTCCCTCTGCGACACATCAGGTCGAACGTCGTCCCGATGCCAGCCGAGCGCAAACCGATGCGATGCAGGATTGATGAGCAGGTTGAACAGCTCCATCTGCATGTCCTCGACCTGAGCGCCGATCAATAGTGAGGCGATATCCAGCAGAGGCGAGCTTGCGTAAAACTGCTGGAACTGAGTCGAAAGTTCCGAGGAGGACTCGCCGAGTTTGTCGAGTTTGGGGTTGAGTAGGTGCTGCACACCCCAACTATCGCCGTTGACTTTTGTGAACGGTGGGAAGGCGTTGTCGACGACTCGTCGATGAGGCCAAAGTCCATCGCGCGTGAGTTGAGTGGCAAGTTCGGCAGAGTGCCGAAGAGAATCGATGTGCAGTGGTGAACTGGGATCAGAGGGAATAACTCCATTGACAATCACGTAGCCCTGGTCGTGGAATTGCCGAAGCAGTGTGGCATCGTCGTAGCCCAGCGCACGAAGCCGAGGGGCTGCGTCGGATGTGCCGCCATCAATTGCTACAACCATTGTTGCAGTGCTTGTATCGTATGGCCAGGTTGTGGTTGTCAGAGAGCAGTGTGACCGTGTGATGCTGAAGGAACAGGCAACGCAACGCTCCCATGGTCGCAGTGCAGGGCAACGTCGAAGCGCACGCCGACACGGTTGAGTGGAAGGACCCTGTCGCCAACCATGCAGCCTCTGACCCCGCTCAAAACGCCGAAATTGCCGACGATCCGCGATGTGAGTGGGCTCTAACACCACAGATGCACCCCGAAAAAATGATTGAGTAAGGCTGCAACAATCTGCACAGTCCATCTCGTAAAGTGACGTCGAGAAGAACTGCCCTGCATTGACCGAGTCACGTTGCCTCAAAAGCGAGTCAAGTCCAACTCCACACGCCGATCCCTTCTCATCTTTGACCTGCGCTGCCATCATCTTTCCCGTTCAGATAGACCATCAACTACGAGATGTCCGGCTTCACCGACTCGATATGCGTCTTCTGCGGCTCTTCGCCCGGCGTCAAGCCCGAGTACATGGCGGCGGCGGCTAGCGTTGGACACGCCATCGCCAAGCACAACTACCGTCTCGTTTACGGAGGTGGCTCGCGTGGTTGTATGAGCGGTGTCTCTCAAGCCGTCTTCGAAGCGGGTGGACACGTTCTCGGCGTCATTCCCCAAGTCATGGCTACCACCGCTCCCTCTGGCCACCCTGGTCATGGAGGCAAGTCCACCGTCGTTTCCAAAGAGGGTACTGGTCCCACCGTCCTCAACCCGGAGGCAGGTTCCGGCCACGTCGAGACCGTCGTCGTCCAGTCCATGCACGAGAGGAAGCAGCGAATGGCTGAAGAGAGCAACCTTGGCTTCATCGGTCTGCCCGGTGGGTACGGAACTTTTGAAGAGGTCATGGAGATGGTCACTTGGACTCAGTTGGGCATCCACCGCAAGCCTATGGTGTTGCTCAACGTCAATGGCTTTTACACGCCCATCAAGCAGCAGATCGATTTGGCTGTAGAGGAGGGCTTCATCTCCAAAGCCGGTCAGCAGCTCGTCAGCCTCGTCGAATGCGATTCTTCCAACATTGATGCATGTGGTGAAGCCGTTCTGGCAGAGGCGGTCCGCCTGTCCAAGGAAGTCGCCTCCAACGGCTCGGGCTACTGGGACTGGAACAAGCCACAAGGACCCGTCAGCACCGCAGAGGGCGGCATCATCGACAATGCCGCCAACAAATCCCTCCAAGTCGGCGACGGTGAACAGCTCGCGGTCGAAGTGTCCAACCTCACTTTCACCTTCAACCCGGACATTCCTCCTTCGCTCGAACGCTGCAACCTCAGCCTGACGCGCGGCTCCCGATGCCTCCTCATCGGCGCAAACGGTGCCGGCAAGTCGACCCTCTTGCGTCTTCTCGCAGGCAAGAAGCTGTGCGATTCCAAGGTGCGCGTGTTCGGCAAAGACGTCTTCCGCGACTCGCCTTCCGGCGTCACATACCTCGGCACCGAGTGGGCCATGAACCCTGTCGTTCGCTCCGACATCGTCGTCTCCACCTTCCTCGACTCGGTCGGCGGCTACCGTCACAAGGCACGTCGCGACCGTCTCCTCGACATTCTGGACGTCGACCTCACCTGGCACATGCACGCCATCTCGGACGGAGAGAGACGACGTGTTCAGCTCTGCATGGGTCTCATGGAACCGTGGGACTTGCTCTTGCTCGACGAAGTCACCGTCGACCTCGACGTCCAGGTGCGCGCTGATCTGCTCGACTTCCTGCAGCAGGAGACCGAAGAGAGAGGTGCTACCATCATCTACGCCACCCACATCTTTGACGGTCTGCAGAGCTTCCCCACCCACTTGGCGCACATGAGGCTAGGAACCACCACCACCACCTTGCCCATCGACTGGCCAGCCACCAACCCAGCCGACATCGCCGCTCTGCCACCCACTGCCAGCGCCGACAAGGATCGCGATCTCTCGCCTTTGCTCAACGTCTCGTTGGCGTGGTTGCGCGAGGACAAGGTGGTGAGGGCGGAAGAGGAGGCCAAGAGGGGCAGGGTTCGTGGTGCAAACAGGAAAGCGGAGACCACCGACTCGGAGAGGTTCTTCAGCAAATACGATTACTCCCAGACCGTCACTCGCTAGGGCTTTGTCGTTGTACTCGTGCAGCTCAACGCTGTCTCTCTTCTCGCATACAGATGCTTGACATGACCACTGTCATCGCATTGCTCTTCTTCTCCTCATTCGAACCTTCATTCGCTCACGGCTCCCTGACTCATATGTACTTTTATCTCGACACTGAAAAATTTAGAACTGTTCAACCAGAACACAATTTCCAACCGGGAGTGTGGCGTGTGGGTTGTGAGAGCGAGCGCGAGTTGGATGGCTGCGAGAACAGGGGAGAGTGACAACGCGTATCTGGATTGTGGGTGGGGTAGGCGGGTTACCGCTGGTTCGATGAGCTCATCTCACATTCTACAGAGAGTTTTGCGAGAATGAGTCTATCTGGTCCCTGGCGAGACGGTCATCGGTGAAGCTGAAACCAGGCGACTGTGCTTTACGATATGAAGCAGTTTCCACACGGCAGAGTTGACCAGGAGGGTGACATGGAAAGGGGCCCCAGCCTAAGAAGTGCCTGTCGAAGATTTGGCTCTTGCCTCTGTTTCTCCTTTCTCCCACCACTCCTCCTCATCCTCGCACATCGCTACTGTTTTCCAACAAAACCATCAAGACCCGTTTGATGTGGGTTGGTGTCAAAATGCGTCGCAGCAACACCCTCTCTATCCTCTTGACCCTCCTCTCAATAATACACCGCACAACCAACGCTTCACCACTGTCGTTCCACCTCGAGCGATCCCAAGCGCGCAAATTCCTCGACAAAGGCAAATCCGTCATGCAGGACGCTCCTGACGAACGGTCATCCATCTCCCCAACAGAGTTTGTCAAGGAGATACCTTTTGACGCCATCCCCCACCATCGCTCTCGTTCCGAAAATTCCAGATCTGTCGATGGGACCTCGTCACCACGTGTAAGATATTTCTCCTGACCCGCACGGCTGAGTACCGGAATGCCACAGCTGACACTCATTACCGCTCATGCAGTACGATACAAGTGGGGACGACGAGGCAGTGTGGCAAGGAGCAATGCATCCCCTAGAACCACCCACATTGTTACCTCTCGAGTTGCCCATCGTCTCCCATCGCGATGAAGTCTATAGTTGGGCATCTGTCTCGCCACAAAGCGGACATCTTGATCAACAAGATGCACCACACGACAGCAATGTCTACGGGAAACAAGGCAGGAGCAACTTGTCAAAGCTTTCCAAGTTTATCCAGAGACTCGGGCTTGAGTCCTGGCTTTCCAGTTCCTTCAAGTCCTCGAGTAGGCTCGACTCGGAGGCGGCAGGTTCCAGCACTTCTGGCCCCAGAGGTAGTGCGAGTAGTGGTGGCAAAGGTGCTGGTAGCTAGGAACGCCGTGACATCAGCACGACAATGAAGCGTTGTAATGGTTTGGATGGGTTTACGCCTTCACGCCCAGTCACTCGTCGCTGTGGGTGGCAGAGTACCACCATGGCCACACCTTGCTGCATGCCGTCTTGATGTAAGAAATGCTTTTGACAGCGTAACTCGTGTGGGCTGCCAAATTTGCTGGTGGGGTAAATCGTGTGGCGAGGCCAAGTGAGATTTCAGATGTGATCTGCAGCGCGATCCTTCAACGTCGTCGTGATGACGAACTTCGTTTTCCAGAGGGTACATAAACTTCACATCTCGCATATCACCTTCACTTCCTCCAACACCTTCGACCGTCGTCTCTACCCTCAATCTACCACCATGCATTTACTGTTCTTCATCCTCACCGTGCTAGCGGCTCTGATCTCACCCTCCTCATCCGCACCGGTCGACGTCCCCTCGCTCTTCACCACGCTGCGCCACTCGACCAGCTCCGACCTGCCGTCGCTGCTCACCGCTCACCCCTCCTCCCCCTCCACCACCCTCCTCAACATGGGCTTCCCCTCCAGCACCACCCTCACCACCTCCTCCTCGCGCGTCATCCTCCCCGCACCGCGCTTCCACCACCTCACGTACATCATCCCGCACCCCTCCGCCCCCTACTCCGAACTGCTCGTCGCCAACTCCGCCACCGGCAAACTCGAGAACTACGGTTGGATCAGTGGGCATCGTTGGGACGCATCCGCGCCTCGCAGGGATTTGGCGATCAAGCTGGGAGAGGGGAGGTATTTGTTGGCGGACAACGTGCCGGTGGGTGGGTTTGGAGTGACAAAAGCACCCTGGAGCGAGGAGATTGGTGGGACGAAGGATGGGTATAGGTGGTTGGGTAGGAGATGGGATGCTGATGTAGTAGAAAAGTATCATGGAGTTGCAACCTCCCCACACCACGCTTAATCACACTCTTCTCTCATCGATCATGATGTTACAATACTTTAATTCAAACCCACATCCTCCTCCTCCTCAAATATCAACCTTTTCCGCATGAACCTGGCTCCACACCCCCCTAACACTCTCCACCCTACTCTCCACGGTCCTCCTCTTCAACGCCTTCACCCTCGCCCCGCTGCTCTCCACCACCTGCCTCAGCTTGCTTTCCACCTGACCTGCATCCAAATTCGCCAGATTGATAACCTTTCTCCTGCCCTCCTTCTCCCCCGCGCTGTAGAATCCACTGGCTAGCGGATGTTTGTTGACTTTCGCTTCATCGATGACGAATTCGACCGAGGGGTATTTGTGGGTGAGAGAGGCGAAGCGCGGGGAGAGCAGGAATGCGCGTGTTCCGTGAGAGGAAGGGTTGTGTTGCGAGTAGCGCAGGACGAGTTTTCGCAGCGGAAGGTGGAAGGACCCAACCGAGCCGGAGACGGACGGTGTGGTGGGATGTGTAGACAGCGATCCCCGGAGGAGCTTCGTGATTCGTTTCAGGTACGACATTGTGTTTTGATTGAAGAGATGGTTGATGCCGATGTTCTGGATCGATAGTGTGCTGCTTCCCAAACCCGAGACGAAGGGAACGTAAAGAAACCTTTCCAAAACCTTGCTTGTTCGTTTTCCCCGTTTGATTTCGAGCACCGTGGCCGTTCGAATTCCAATCTGTTTGCCGAGCGCGAGATGATCGTCGATCCGTAGGTGGCTGCGTGGCTGACCGCGTTGTCAAGAGTAAGCAAGGATTGCAAATGATGATGAACGACCAGAAGAAAGAATGGGAAATCTTCCCGAACCTCAAAATCCCCCCTCAAACTCTTCCGATTTCCGATTTTCCGCTTCAACTTTTTTTTCGGTCCCTCCCGCACGGCACACCCTTGTTTCCCCCCTTCGAGGCGCTCACCTCAACTCGAGTTGGCACATTCCATCGTCCTATCCACCCTGACATCCGCAAAGAAGAGTTGTGCACAACTGCGAAGAACACCCCCTACACAGCCTAAAAGACGCACACACATAATCCCTTCTAAAAGCAATCAAAATCGTAATCAATGAAAACAAAAGACCGTGAAAACTTCCGCACATGAGCCACAAGCCGTCGCAAGTGCGAACCGCTCGCAAACCCATTGAGGCTAGAAGAGGCAAATAATGGGTATCGACGCAAAGCAGCTTTTTTGTGTGATCTGAAACAGAAAAGATCGGCCTTTAAAGCAAGTGCATGTAGTTGCTGGGAACAATGCCCGTCTCGCCATTGCTCCTTCTCGCCTGCCACCACTTGCCCGAGTTGTCGACAATGTCGAGCACTTCACCCTTGCTGAAGCTGATCTCGGTGGGGTCGTCCGCATTCGCCTGGTAGGCGTACAGCGCACGTGCTTTGTAGCCGTAGTCGGGCAGATCTCCGCTCTTGCTGCCCGCCTGCGCTGGACTGGCAGGCGCGCCGTGCGAGGCGACGCTAGGCGCGTCTTGCGACAGTCCAGCTGCAGCCCCGCTCGCGACGGTGGTATCGTTAGCGCCGCGACTTCGGATCGAAGTGGTCGACATCTTGGGTGCGCCCAGTCCGGTTCCGTTGGAAGTGGTGATGTCCGCTGCGGAGGGACTGTTGCCGTAAGCAGGCTGGTAGCCCGATCCAGTCTGGAACCCACCATAGGCGCTTCCGTTACCGCCGCCGTATCCTCCTCCCCCGAGACCTGTGCCAACTCCACCGTTGCCGGCCGCCCTCATGGATTGACCACCGCTTCCTGCACCGCCGCCTCCACTGTACCTCGAACTAGTTCTCGCCGCAGGCGGCGTGATGCCAGCGTTGGCGATGTTGACGATCGGGTACAGCGCCGAGTCCTCCTCGGTCGTGAGGAAGAGCAACCAGACAATGTTGGCAATCGTAATGAGGAACCATCCTGCAGCCACCGCCTCCTCGGCAGAGTTGCCAGAGTAGATGCCAGAGTTGATACCGGTGACAGAGAACACGAGTGCGACGGCGGTAAAGGCGGTGAGCTGGAGTCGCGAGGAGCCGAGCGAGTCGGTCATGACGCCGAGGTATTTGCCAATGATGAGGAAGAGTTGGAGGAAGATGGCGAACCAAAGCACACCTTGGCGGCCACCCGAGCCGGCTTCAGCGGCAATCTGACCGATGAAGGCTACAATCCATCCTACTGTACTGAGGAGGAACAGGACGGTAAGGATCTTGTGGGCAAAGATGAGCCTGCCGCGAAAATACAGAGAAAGAGACCACCACGATGTCATACCGTCAGCGTGCTTTCTTCCAGAGTGTTGAGCTATGGCATCCAGACGACTTACCCAATGTCAAGGCCTCCACCACCACCGCGCTTGCCTGGCATTTTTGTTTCCGGTCGCCCTGCAACAGGATTCTGAGCCTGCGTTTCGACGTATAAAAGCAGGAAAAGGATGTGCCCTGCTTGAGGGTAGACACAACCTTGGTTATCCCCACGGAATTAGCTCGGTCCGCGCTCTAGGAAGGATTGGCGAGAGTGCGATCGATTGTCGATGATGTACAGATGACGGAAGGAGAGGAAGAAGCAAAGGAGATGGTAGCAGGAGAGAGGAAGGCAACTGAGTTGCAGAGGGTCCAAGCGGTGCCAAGCTGTACTGCACAGAGAGAGCGGATGGGCGTCTCGCAGTCTGCAGTTCGGCGTGTGGAGCGGAGGGGCGTAGCGCGTAGCTAAATTTGGGCACACAATTCTCAGAACGATCCTCATCGACCTCTTTTTTCCCCTTTTCTAGTTTTCCTTTTGCTTCTTAGCGTCATTTTGGTCTTTCTTTGCCGCCCGTCACGCGTTTGTATGCAGTATACACGTAGTCCACTCGAGCCACCCATCCTATGCCAACGGACCTGTTCTTGCTTTGTAACCAAGTGGCTGGGATCAAAGAGACACACGCAGCGGTCTCGGAAGAGCCGAATGCAACGCAACTCTCCCCCCTTGATGCGAGGGCAACATCCGATCGACGTGCTTGAATTAATAGCAAATCAGACCACACACGACCACACGCAAGCGCACTCGACCAGTCTGGACAGCTTCCGCGTCGGATCGGAGTGAAACGCAGCTTTTCTCGTCTAACCCACCACACGCAGGCGTGAAATGCATTTTCCCTTCAGAGTGCTCTCTGCCCTACTGCTCTGTGGAACCTTTTTTGAGGTCGAAAATTTACAACTCCGACGACTCGTGTTTGGGCAGCTAGCTGCTGGCTGCTATTTTTGCATGACAACTCGCGTCGCCAGCTGCCTCCTTAGAACAAAAGGCGCGTGTTCGGAAGCATACGTTGGCTGTGCCAGCACAGCCTGATTCTTGACGAGCGGCATCGGCAGCACATGATTCCTCTTTCAGGGGCCACTTCTTTATGTTCGGTTGATGTTTGCGTGCCATACAAACACAGCTCGCAGCAGTTTCATATCACTCCCATCTGAACACATGGCGAGCGACTCTTTTTGACATGGATATCACTGCATTTCACTTGACAGAGCAAAGAATGTACACAGTTGCGGCATGACGCAATAAAAAACCCTTGACACCTGCCGCTCCCCATACACTCACAAGCAGAACAGCTTGCTACCCTTCCTCTTGCTAACCTCCTCCAACCTCGCCTCCAACGCCTTCCTCGCCCTCTCCTTGGCCTGCCTCTCCTCCTCGATCTTGCTCTCATACCCCTGCTTCTCCAGCATCACGCTGTTCCGCACATTCTCCACCTCCGACTGTGCCGTGTTGAGCTGCGTGCGCATCGCATTCGCCTCCTCCGCATACCTCTCCCGCTCCCGCGTCACCTCGGCCAGCTGCACACGGCTCTTTCGAAGGTTGCGTTCGCTGTCGTTGAGAGCAGCTTCGAGCGTCGCTACCAGATCGATGTTGGCCTGAAGATCCGCTTCACAGTGGTTGAGCTGCTTGGCGAGGTTCTTGATCTCTTCAGCTTGTTCGGAAAGCAGGCGGGTCAGCTTGACGTCCGCGCTGATCCCGTTGCTCGAGACGTTGCCGGCGGGCGAGTGGGTGGACGTCATGGAGGACGAACGCGTCATCATGCCCGCACCCGCGTTCGAGGGCGAATCGGCCCGCGTCATCTGCGAAGACGTCGAAGTGCGGTGTCCCGCAGATGCACGCGCACCCGCCCCGTTGCTCGTCGGTGTCGGAGGAGGCGGCATGTTGGGCGGAGGCGTCGGCGGTGGAGGCTTGACCGATCCCATGCTTGGTCGATGGTGTCGCAGATCCACCGGACTGTGCCCGTCGTAATCCGAGGCTCGTCGCGCGCTGAGTGACAAGCGTGTTCCGTTCGCGAGCGCTGCTGCTCCTGCAGTCGCTGCTGCCGCAGAGACTGCGTCGTGCTCGCTCTGACTCTGCTGTCCGAAACTGTCACTTCCCAGAGAACGCACCGATCGAGTTTCAGACGTCGCGAGGCGTATCTGCAAATCTTTCACCGATTGTTCGTGGCGACTGCATTCGTCTCGCGCCGCCTGCAGCTCGGACTTGAGCTTCGACATGTCGCCTCGCGTCTTGGACAGCATCGACTTGTGCGATTCCAACTCGCGCTTCAGCGCCGCGTCCGCAGGAGTCTGCATTGCTGCGCTTCGGGAACCACTGGCGCTCGACACGGTCGAAGCATCCTGTTGCTGCGCCTCCGACTCTTGCCGGATCGACTCGATCTCGATCAGCAGCTGGTCGCGCTCCTCCTGCACCTCGGTCAGCGCAGCTTCGAGCGTGACAAGAGCATCGCTCGTGTCGTTGAGCTCGGCGCGCAGCGTTTCGACCTCGTGCGGGTCGATGTCAATCTTGGTGAGCAGGTCATTGTGCTTGGCGTACAGCTCTTCGTAGGCACGGCGTGTCTCGTCTCGGTCGCTGTTGACGATCTGCAGATCCAGCATGCTGCGGTCGAGCTTGGATGCGTGCTCTGCCTTGACCTTGTCCAGCGTACTTTGGTGCTCGGTTTTGAGTGCGATCAGCTGCCCTTGCATCTGAGACGCGGTGCCAGAGTGTTCCTTCTGCAGCGCCTCCAGAGTTGCAGTGTGCTTGGCAGTAGCGGCTTCCTCGGCCTCGCGTGCTGCTACAGACAACGCCGAAAGATGCTGCGCTTCCAGTTCCATCTTGAGCTCTTGCAGTGCCTTCGAGTGGTCTCCTTGCAAAGTTTGCAACTGGGCGTCATGAGCTTGCTGAGCAGCTTCCAGATTTCGCTTTGCTTCCGAATGGACGCTGGCCAACTTGACCTCGTGATCAGCCACGATGCTCTGATGCTGCGCGGTCTGTGCCTCCAATGCTTTGGAAAGCGTGTCGTCGTGCTGCTCCTTCAGCTTGGCAATCTTTTGAGCGTGGTCCTGCTGAAGATTTGCCAGGACCTCGTCGTGATCATCTTCAGCATCGTCGAAACCTCCAGGAATGGATCGAGTTGAAGTGGAAGCTGGTAGGCTGCGAAGAGCCTCTGCGTGCTTCTGGGCAAGCTGATCGAGGTTCGACTGGTGCACTTGCTTCAGGCTTTCGATCGCAGCTTCGTGCTCCTGCTTGAGTCGTTCCACGTCCACGGCTGGCATGGCCTCGGCGGCCCCTTTCTCGGCGGCAGACGCATCGTTCAGCTCATCAGCAAGGCTGCGGACGCTGCCCGAACTCACTGCGGTTGGCAGAGCGTTTGCAGACTTGGAGGCCAGCTGAGCACGCAGCTCCTCGATCTCACGTGACATGTTGGCCACCTGATCTCTCGACAACGCCTCGAGCGTCTCGTTCTGCTTTCGAAGCGCAGAGAGCTCGGCAGCCATTGACTCGACCGTTTCGCGGTGCTGGGTCTCCTTGCGTGCCATGGACCGCATCAGATCGTCGAGCATCTGAGCGCCGTTCGAGTCGTTGCTGGTACCATCCGCAGCAGTGCTGCGCGTCATTGCCTGTCGAACTGCTTCCAATTCCTTCTCCGTACCAGGAGTCAGAACGCCGGCACCAACGCCGTTGACCGTCGCGTGGGCGGGGGCGAGCAGCGTCTGTCCCTCCTCATCTGCATATTCCGCGTCTGCGGCTACAACTCCTCCCGCAGACTGTCTCTTGCCGCGCAACGACGTCTCGAGAGCCCTAATCTCATCATCGCGGTCCTTCAGCGCCTCTTGCAAACGCATCGTCTCCTTTTCGAGCGACGCCACCTTGCGTTCATAGTTCGCCGGCGAATCGGGCTCGAAGGCTTTGAGCGTAGGCGAGGGTGGCACTGACCCGGTCAACGAGAGCGGCCTTGGACCCCGCGTCGGTTGCGAAAGCTGCGAAGGCAAGGCCGATGCAAAGTCCAGCGACGAAGATTGCGAGATCGATCGAGTACGACCGTGAGCGAGCGGCGAGATCGCTGCGGATCTCGTTCCGTCGCTCTTGTTGTAGCCTAAAAAAGAGCCGGAAGAGCGGCGAGTGAGGCGGTTCGTAGGACTGGGCGTCTGGCGGTTGGTGGTGTCGATGAGCAAGCTGCCAGGGCGGCGACCGGACAGACCTCTTTGCTGGAGGTTGTTGCCGCGGTTGGGAGTGCCAGGTGGCTGATTTTCATCTCCGTTCGAGTCTAGCACCTCGAGCTGCTCTTCGTCGCCAGCATCCTTGTCCAGCTTGAACGAGTCGAGCTCCGTGTTGGAGGAGACGCCGTCGTTGAGCTTGAGGTCGGTGAGCTGGGAGTGAAGATCCTTGATCTCGGCGAGCGACTCCTTGTACTTTTGCTTGGTCAACTCGAGCTCGGTGCGAATGCTGGACTCAGAGTCGCGAGTCGCTCGCATCTCTTCCTGAAGGCTGGTAAGACGCTGCTCGAGCTCTTTGACTGATGCATCGTCCTGTGTCGGAGGAGGTGTCGCGACGCCCTTATCCTGATCGTCTCCATCTTCGTGAGCACCATTGGAGGCAGCGCCTAGAATGGCGCCTCCAACGCCGCCGGCTGCCAAGCCTGCTGCGGCAGCGAGCTGCAACTCTTTGATCTGGGCCGAGAGCGACTTCTTCTCCTGCTCGTGCCCGTCGCTAGCCTTGGAAAGCTGCTCGTGCTGTGCAGAGAGGCTGTCGAAACGCGAAGCCAGACTCTGGTGCTTTGCAGCAGCGTCTGCCAGACGAGACTCGAGCTGCTGAACCTCGCCAGCCTTGGCCTCCAATTCGGCAGCCATTGCACGAGTCTCTTGACCGTTGTCGAGCAATTCGAAGCGCGACAGCAGATTGCGGTAGTCTTCGTCGCGCTTCTCAACATTCGCCTCCATCTGTGCGATCTTGCGAGTCAAGCTCGCTGACGATTCCTCCGACGACGCCAATTTGGCCTCGAGGTCGCGGATGTACTTCTCGGACGAGATCTCGACCTCCTTGAGACGGGCAATCTCCTTGTTCAGCTCTGCAAGGACGGCAGAGTCGGTGTCGCCACGCGAGCCGATCGTTTCGAGTCTCGCTTCCAGCTCGCGCGCGTAGACCTCTGCAGACGATTCGCGTTCTTGCAGCTTGTTCAAGCGGGATTGCAGATCGGCGACGCTGGCTTCCTTCTCTTCGAGCTCTCCGCCGATGATCTCGAGCTGGCTCGACTGTTGCTCGATCTGAGCCTCGCGCTCGTTGGCTATGTCCTCGACGTAGGCGAGTGCCGCCTTTGTTAGGTTGAGCTGCCCCTCGAGTGCGTCGATAGACTTCTCGTACTCGACAATGATGGGCTCTGCGGCGCGGAAGAAGTCCTGCTCAGTGCCGTCCTGCTTGGATGGGTCGAGCTGGGTGCGCAGCTGCGTGACCTCGGCGGTGAGCTGGGTGTGCTTCTGGCTGAGGGTGGCGTACTTGTCTTGCCACGCAAGTATCTCGCGTTGCGTGGTGCGGGTGGCATCCTTGTTGCGAGGATCGTCCAGATCGACGATGCCCTTGTTGACACCCTTAATGATGCTAAGCTCTTTGCGGAGGCGTTGGACGAGCGTCTGGAGGTAGTCGACGTCGTCCCAGCCTACTTCGACCTCGTTGAGCTCGGCCTTGTTCTTGATGTTGCGGGCACGGTTGGCGTACTGGAGCGTGTTGACGGTCTCGCTGACGTTGTATTCGGTAGGCGAAACACAGGCGATCATGAGGGTGTGCGCGTTACCGCCGAGACTGTCCTGGAGCAGTCGAGTAAGCTTGCTGTCACGGTAGGGGATATGCGTTGTTCGTTTGGCCCTGGCAGGATCGCCGAGCGCCGAAATTACGTTGCCAAGCGCATGGAGACCCGAGTTGATTGAGATGCCTTCCTTGACGCGCTCTCCCATGGCAGCGGTACGCTTCAGGCGCTCCGAGCCGGCCAGGTCGACAAAGTGGAATTTGCTGCTGACGGTGACCCACTCACCGTCGGTCGACGAGCTGCTCATGGAGTCGTCGGCGGCATCGCCATAGACGCTGGCCGGACGAAGGCCGATGGACGAGTTGCGTCCGCTCAACGCGGGGATGCCGCTTGGTGTCCTTCGACCGAACGAAGGCGACGCGACACGACCTGCGATGGGAATACCGGAGGCGCGTGACAAATTCGAGACGGCTCTTCCGCCTGGCGTAGATCGACCGCCAAAGCTCGACGGGGGCGCGGCGTTGGGAGGAGGGCCTGAGCCGACCCACTTCTTCTGGGTCAAGGTGATGGAGAAGATGGCATGCGAACGGGAAGACTGGGCATTCATGTCGGTCTCGTTGGTCCTGCGCACCGAGCTACCTTGGAGCAGATGATTCATGACTTCTGCGACGTTGGACACCTTTACTTCGCGCAAACCACTCCAGATGATCTGGCCATTCTTGCCTTCTCGGATCTGGACGTGCGGTCTAGCCTCGCCATCGACGGCATCGCCAAGCAGGTCGATGAGGTCTTCGTTGTAGATCTCGATGAAGCTAACCTTGGCGCTGTATTGAGTACCGGAAGATTTGTTCTGACGCATGGCAGAAAAGATGCGGGCGACGGCACGTGGGATGATGCCCATCTGAGGATCGGCGGCGCGTCCGGCAACGAGCCCCTCGTAGTCTACTTCGTCTCCCGCAGCGGTGCCCATGGTGTACGATTTTCCACTCGAAGTCTGTCCGTAGGCTAGGATGGTGACGTTGTAGCCTTCGATGAAACGGTCGATCAAGGGTTCCGCTACGGTGAAGATTTCAGGTTGGCCGTCAGCCGGGGAGAAGACGCGATCAAAGCTGAACGCCTGGCGCCTTTCGCGTGTGATGGCAGACGAAGAGGCGCTTCCGGCACCTGGCCCTGGCGGAGGTGCCGAGCCTGGCTCGACGGTGACGCTGCTAGTGGAGTTGGCGGTGAGGATGGTCTTCTGCCATCTCGGAGGGATGTTGCTCTGATCTGCTGTGGTGAGCGGACGAATTCGAACGGCGACCTGTACGGATGTTGTGTTTGGGGTAGAAGAGCCACTCGGCTCTCGCGTCCTCGACATGGCTGTTGTCGTCCGCAGTGTGAGCGTGTATGAAGATAGGGAAGGAAGGACCTGGGAAGGAAGAGCCGATGCGATGTGTGCAGAAAGTCCGTTTCTACAGTCGTGCTGCCGTCGGTCTAGGTGGCTGCGGGCGGAAAACGCTCAGGACCGCCGGGCTTATCTTTATGCCAGCCCGTGCAGAGAGAAGGCAGAGCAGCCAGAAACGTCGCAAGCGATGAAACGCTGGGTTTTGAGGAAGAGGCCCGGTCGCGAGGCACGTGAGGTATCTCGGGCCACCCGCCGATGCGATGGTGTTCCTCGGATGCAGATCGAGCGTGAACAAGGCTTCGAAGCAGATGCAAGAGCCTCCCTGGTGGTTCTAACGACGTGCGCAGCGACGAGAAGCCGTCTCGCGGATGGATCCGAAATGAAAGCTCGGAAGGTGGACCGAAGACCGAAGCAGATGAAAATGAACTCTAGCCCCAACGTCGTCGACCGGGGGTTGTTCCCAGCGCAGAATTGAGGTAGCTCGGTCAAGGATCCTGGTGAGAGGGTCTTGTGGAAGCGTTGGAGTGATCTAGGGAGGTCGTGGTGGGTCGGAGAGAGGTGGTGTCGAAGGAGCATACGGCCATGGATACCGACTCTGCGCCTCTCCCGCAAGCGAGCAAGTGACAGTGACAGGGCCGAACGCGCTCTGCGCCGCAACGAGGCTTTGCGCAGGTCTCCTGCCAAAAAAGAAGGAAAGCGCAGGGTTCCGTTGGTCCCGTTTGGCGTGCGTGCGTGCGTGCGGTGCGTGTCTCGAAAAACGCAGCCACGCCGCAGGCAGGCAGGCAAGGGAGGGCACTTTGATCAATTCCAAAAACCAGAATCAACAAAAAAGAAAGTGTTGGTTCGGAATCCTGAGAAGAAACGCTCACAAGCGCTCAAAAGGAGGCAAGTCGAGAAGCGTGACAGAGCCTTCTTTCGCCTCTTCCGAAGCTCGAGTAGGGACCGAACAATAGCCACTGAGCGGAACTACCGCACGCAGTCGACACGTTCTCAAGATGGCATCTGCGCCCCTCTTTCTGAAGCAAAGATACGCATGAGCCGCTGTCACAGCTATGACTAGCCTCGCTGCTAGCGTGAGCACATAAGCAACGCACAATAGCTGGAGGGCCACTTGTATCTTCCATCTCAAGGAATTGCAGCGAAAGAGAATCCATGGCATTGGGTCCAACTCGTCTGTCGCGCTCCAGATTCGAACTCAGCTTTGACCAACGAACTCACTCACGCTGGACAGTTGCTCGAGCAGGTTCGGTCCGGTTTTGGTTTATTAAGAACGCGAGACACTCACAAGAGAAAGTTCAGCAGGCGAGCCTAGAGTAGTCGTGATTTATGCGAGAGGGAGACACCTTGCAGATCGCTTTTGGCGAGGTGGACCCAAACAGACGCTTCCCTCCAGCTGTAGACGAGCGTGTCAGGGGGAAGAGATTCTCTTTACGCGAGATCTGAATCGACACGGTTCGCAGCATGAGCCGGTCGCGCTCGAAATGCTGGTGGTGTTCGATCGTGGTCAAGCACAATTCAATGAGACAAAATTCAAGGTATCGGCTCGCAAAGCGAACCGGATAGCCGACGTACAGTACGCACGGCCTCGAGGCGCGCAGTCGAGCCGTATGTTGCACACGCTGTACCAGCACATCCGAATTAGCGTTTTGACAGGCGGCCTCCCTGCTTCCCCGCATTCCTATCTTCTTCGTCCATCTCGACCGCTATCGTCGTTCGCTCTCTTCTGCCTCTGCCTGCCTGTTATAAAGCAATTAATCGTACAGACCTCGACAGCAGCGTTTGCCAACAGCTCGCAACCATGTCAGGCTGGTCACCGATCAACCCTCACCCACGCATCAGCGACACCGACGTCGCCAACTTCGACTATGCCGCGTACCCCTGGCAAGACATCAAAGTCGAGCTTCGCCCCGATGGCATCGCCATCCTCTACCTCGATCGACCCACCCAGTATAACACCTTCACCGGTGCCATGTCGTTTTCGCTCGTATTTGCGTTCGAACTGTTCGACGCGGACGATCGGGTAAAAGTGGCCATCATCACGGGTGGTGGTGGCAAGGTGTTCTGCGCCGGAGCGTATCTCGCCCAGGGATTTGGAGCGATCGCTGACCACGCGCAGGGCCACAGGGATGGTGGTGGCCAGGTGGGGCTGTCCATCCTGCGATGCCGAAAACCATCGATCGCTGCGATGAACGGAAATGCCATCGGGATCGGTGTGACGATGACGCTGAGCTGCGACTTCAGGTTGATCGCAGAGAACGCCAAAGTGGCAATCCCCTTCGTGCAGAGAGGTATCGCCATGGAGGCGTGCTCTTCCTACCTCCTGCCGAGGCTGATCGGAGTCACAAAGGCGATGGACATCATCCTGACCGGAGACGTACGTTCTCCCAAGGACGAAAGCTATGCGGCGCTGTGGACGCGTGCACCGCTACCCCAGGATCAGGTGTTGCCGGAATCGATCAAGTTGGCGGAAAAGCTGGCCAAGAACAGCAGCGTCAGCATGGCTCTCTGCAAAGCGCAGATCTGGAGACAGGTGGACTCGCCCGAGGATGCGCATCTGTTGGAAAGTCAGGGTATCTGGGAGACGTCCAGGTTGGATGGGCTGGAAGGAGCAAAGAGCTTTTTGGAGAAGAGACCGCCCGCGTTTCCGGGTAAGATGAGCGATCTGGAGAGGTTTGCGTTCTGGCCGTGGTGGAGACAGGCCGAGGTAGCGTCGTATCCGAGAGGTCCCGAGTCGATGCGTGCTGCTGCTCTTCGGAGCAAGTTGTAGCGAGACGGACGACTCCGCTTTCATGTTGTGGATATAGCTGCAATCGTGTCGATCAGATCGGCACGACATGCACACTCACACTCGCGCACACACGATCACTCCTCCATATCAGATACTAATACAACTATTTCACATGCTACAACCCACTAGTCCTCGATCAATTCGATGCCTCGAACCTAGCCTTGCTAGCAGCGAACAAGAGCTCCTGCTGCCTCTGCAACTCCTCCTCGCTCAAGCCGCTCTGTTCCATCCTGCTCGTCTTTCTCTCTCGATCCTTCTGCGCCGCCTTGTGTTCCGAGAGAACGCTTTTCGCCTCCTCGATGAATGCGGGAAAGCCGAGGTCGTCGAGCGCCTTGAGTACGTGTTCGGGTGCGATGGTCTTTTTTGAGTCGTTTTCGCAGACTTCGTTGGATTCGGACGAGAGGAGGTGGATGAACTCGACGCAGCATTCGATGAGCAGGTCGCGCGTGTCTTTGGAGCAGCTGACGTCTTTGGGGAGGATCTCGGAGATGAGCTTTTGGACGGTGGCTTTGGGGAGCGAAAGTTCGTCGTCCGGTGGAGCTGCGCCAGAGGCAAAGTGCTCGTCGTCCGACATTGTGTCGTGGTGGCCGATGGCGGGTGCCAGAGAAGAAGGAGTGGATGACAGCCCAAGTCGGAAATTTTTGGGTAGTAGAAATGTTAGAGCGCCTAGTCCTGCTTGTGAAAATTGGTACGAAAAATCGAGCCTGTTTGGAGAGCGCAGAAGCGCAGCCGCGAGAATTTGAGCACCCGCGTGTCGAGGGATGTGTGCGCAGAGGGTGTGAGCGGGATGGAGAAATGGGGGAGACGGAGGGATGAAGGGACGAAAATCCAAGTTTGCTTTTATTGCGTCGAAATTGTGCTGGTCGCTCTGTAGCATGGCCTCGGTTAGAACATTACGCGTGTCGTGGCTGTCTAGCTCAGCCAACCGCATCCTCGTAGGTGATTTGCTGCTGCTTGGAGGGCGCGTCGGTGTGGGTTTTCATGCGAGAGGCCCGCAAACAAAAGAGAACGACATCCAGCCCCAGATCTTCCGGCAAGAAAAGCGACACGGTCACATACCGAGGGAAGAAAAGATGGTTGCCGAAATAACTGCACAGACTGTGTACGCTTTCAACGAAGCTGCACTCCAACGTGCCATTAACGTTACGTCTCTCAGCGGATTGATTCCTGTGACAGACTCCTGTCCTGACGTTTCCTCATCAAACGCCATCGTAAGCCTCTGCTCAAGCAGCTGGAAGTGCTGGCAACTGAGTTGGAAGAAGTCGGCTCGTTGCTGCGGATTTGTCGAGTCGGGGAACAAGAGATCGGGTCATCGGGATTGAGTTGAATCAGCGATAGATATTTCTAAAATCGAGACAGGCTGGTTGGCTGTGGCTCCTCTGCAGGGTGAGCAGCGATGCCATCAAATGACTCGAAGGCTGCGCTGCGCCCACACTCTATTGCAGCTGCAAGCATGCGGGTGAAGGCCGACAACGCTTTTTTTCTCTTAGATTCTCTCTAAGTCAAGAAGAAAGTCGGCATCTCAACGAGCACTGCGCATTGACCGTCTACAGTCACATCCACCACCACCATCCTTCTCCTCTCTCAAGAATGTCGACCCTCACCTACAAGGACGCGCTCAACGAGCTCGACGATCGACGCATCAAGTCCATCAAGCCTCTTATCCCACCTCAGATCCTCGTCGAGGAATACCCTCTCTCGCTCGCCGCCGCACAGACCGTAGCTTCCGGTCGCAAGGCCACCGAAGAGATTGTCAAGCAGGAGGATGATCGTCTGCTCGTCGTAGTCGGACCCTGTTCGATCCATGATGTTCGATCCGGGCTCGAGTACGCACGCAAGTTGGCCGCTTACGCCAAGAGTGCCAAGGAGGATCTGCACATCGTGATGCGCGTGTACTTTGAAAAGCCACGCACAACAGTTGGCTGGAAAGGTCTGATTAACGATCCCAACCTCAACGGCTCCTTCCAGATCAACAAGGGACTTCGTCTCGCGCGAGGCTTCCTGCTCGAAGTCAACAACCTCGGACTCCCCGCCGGAACCGAGTTCCTCGACACCATCTCGCCGCAGTACACCGCCGACCTCATCTCCTGGGGAGCCATCGGTGCACGCACCACCGAGTCCCAAGTTCACCGCGAACTCTCCTCCGGCCTCTCGATGCCCATCGGCTTCAAGAACGGCACCGACGGCTCCATCTCCATCGCCGTCGACGCCATCAAAGCCGCCTCGTCCGAACACGTCTTCCTCTCCGTCACCAAACAGGGCATCTCGGCCATCGTCGAGACCAACGGCAACGACGCCTGCCACGTCATCCTGCGCGGCGCCAACACCGGTCCCAACTACTCGCCCGAAGACGTCGCCTCGGTCTCATCCAAACTCACCTCCTCCTCCCTACCGGCGAGGATCATGATCGACTGCTCGCACGGCAACTCGGAAAAGAAGCACGAGAACCAACTCCGCGTTGTCCAGTCTATTTCCCAACAACTCTCCTCTGGCTCTCCGGACTCGTGCAACATCTTCGGCGTCATGATCGAGTCGAACCTCGTACAGGGCAAACAGTCCATCCCCGCCGCTGGGCCTACCGCGCTCAAGTACGGTCAGAGCATCACAGACGCCTGCATCGACTGGGACAGCACCGTCCACGCCCTCGACATCCTCCGCGAGGGCGTGAGGAATCGAAGGGACAGCACCGAAGCCAAAAAGTTCTTCAAGGCGAGGTTGAGTAGGAGCAGCAGCAGCGAGGGCGTCAACGACCACTTTTTGAGGCAGAACGGCAGCGGCGGGTTCAACGACGATGCCCTCGCGACGTTGGGTAAGAAGTGATATCATACTCACTTTGGCAATTACCACTTTGTTCTTCTTGTTTGCATCGACTCGGTCTGTGAACGGTCTGAGTTTTCTGCAAAGGCTTTGATGGCTCGAAAAGGTCGACTCCCAACCGAATGCTCCGTCCTCAATCTCCTTGACCCTCATCCACACCTCCCAGAACGCATGTTTTCAACTCCATCCTCACCTCCCAGACCACAAACCCCCCTTCTTGCTCCCCTCCTTTCCCCTCCTCAGACCTGCTCTACGCTCCCTCCTTCCCTCCCCGCCTCCCATCGCTCCACACCCCACCTCACCCTATCCCTACACGCATCAATTCTCATCCTCACCTCTCCACCCACACGACCATCTCCGCAGCAAAACCCCACTTACACCTTGACCCTACATCCCGGGCACTCACCCCTCTTCCCCAACCACCTCCTCCCGCACTCTTCATGAAAAATATGTCCACACCGCGGCAGCACCACACACCTCTCCCCGACCCTATACTGGCCCAGACACACCCCGCACCTCTCCACCCGCACCCCTACACAGCTGAGCTTCTGCTTCACCTTGCCGTCGCGCGTTACGCGGCGCGAGTCGCATTCGACCACGGCGACCGAGAGCGAGGCGAGCTGCTCGGCGGTGGCGTTGGCCGGTTGGGCGGGGCCCAGGAACTCGGTGATGGCGGAGAGGGATTCGTAGTTCGACGAAGAGGGTTGGGTTTCCAGCGAGGCGACGAGGAGGTCAAAGTCTGTTAGGCCGAGAGAGGGCGCCCGTCGTGGGGCGGTGGAGGGCCCGGCGGAGGCTGGTACGGCAGCGGTCGAGGTTGAGGGACTTGTGTCGGACTCCAGAGGGGTGTCGTCAGCTGTGGGCGAGGCACTTCGCAATGCTTGCTCGACATCTTCCTGGCCGGCGTTCCCGTTCACAGACTCCGCTCCACCTCGCACACTAGCCGTGCTCGACAGTACTCCCCTTGCCCCCTCCACTGCCTGCGATCCATTCAGACTAACCCAATCCCTCCCCCTCGGCCTCACCGGCAAAGGCGGTGGAACCGGCAGCTCCCTCCTCCCTCCCCCCTCACCTTCTTCACTAATCCCCAATCCATGGTGCATCCTCAACGATGCCGGAAGACTCGGAAGCGGTCTCGCACCCGCACGCACACCCTCCGACACCTCATATCCCCTCACCCCCCTTCCATCCCTCCTCGCCGCTGCCGCCGCTTGCGCCGCCCGAATCGACTCCGACAACCCGTTCCCGCTCGCCGACCTTACAATCCGCTCCGGCGTCATCAACGGTGATTTCGACGGCAACGAAGGCGGTGTGGACCCACCAGGAACAGGTACCCGCCCAGTCAGCGTATCCATCGCCTGCGTGCGTGGTGATCGAGTATGAGTGTTCGTTGGCAATGACGCGGGCACCATGAGCCGGCTCGACGCTGTCGATTCCGGTCTTTCCCGCTGCTGAGCACTACCGTCATGCAAGGAAGCTGCCGACCACTCGGAAGCCGCCTGGTCGATCTCCCGAGCAAGCGCTTCCATCGAGTCCGACTGCGTCACACCGCCCGCACTGCTGTTCGTCCGATCCCCTGTCTCCGAGAGCCGCCAAGTGCTGTTGTCGGACCTCCTCGTCGGCAGTGTCGACGGCGGTGGTGGCGGAGGCGGCCGTCTTCGCGCAGCACCACCCTGCCCAACCTCGTCCTCGGCTTCAGCATTCGAGAAGCGCCTGAACACAGCCGCATCGGCACGCTCTTCCACCGCTCTCCACCCATCCGCTTCGGCCGCGTTGTTCCCCAAGCTCCGGTTCGACTCGGTGCGCCTGACCCCTCCTACCTCAGATGTGAGCCCTGAGCTCTGCTGCTTCGTCGGCGAGCCTGTCGATCTAGCTCCGTGTTGGTCTCGACTCGTCGACGGTGCCGCTTCGAACCGTGATATCATAGCCGAAACCTTCCCAACCGGTGCTCTACCCGCAGCTCTCTGAGGCTCCAACGGCGCAGGCAGCCTCTCCCGCTCTTCCGAAGGGATGTACGACAGCCAAGACGGCGCGACCCCGGGTCCTGCACTCGATGCGGACGGTGGGAAATGACGCGTCGCATCCGTGATCGCCGGCAGACGTCCCCGAGGCAGAGGAGCGGCCGAAGAGCGGGGGTTGACAAACGAAACTGGTCGATTGGCGCTTGATGAGGCCCTCGACAAGCCAGATGGTGGTGATGGCAGCGGGCCGCGCCCTCGAACGATCGCTCCTTGACGAGACAGACGATTGTTTGACGCTGAGGAAGGAGCAAAAGCCGCCTGTTCGGTGCTGCTCCCTCCTGGCTCTGAGCTGCTCTGCGCATCTGCTCCATCAACGTCTGGAGTCAGCTGCAAGCGCCCACCGAGCTCGGCACGCGTGATCGTGCTGGGAGGCAACATGGATGTCGAACGGCCCGTCTTTGCAAGGAGCCGTTCAAGGGCGGCGAGGGAATCTTGCCTTGTTTTCGTGGATGCGCTGAGCTGTGCGATTTGCAGCAGCGCTTCATCGCGTGCCTTCTGCTCGGGCAGTCTGGATGCGGAACGCGTCGCTTTCGCCTCATCAACGTCGGGCAGTCTGCTCGCCGATGGAAGGCTGGTGACGCTCGGGTGCCCGCCTGAGGCTGGTGCGCGAGATGCATGAGTCGACGCGTCATCATCCCTGTCTGGCAGGGGAATCTTCGGGACTGTCGGCACCACACTCGTCGAGGCTGGACCCTCAGTGAGAGACGGCAAGCTCCTCTCCGACAGCCGGCGGAACCCGCTCGAAGCTTGTCGATCTTCCACTCGACTCGTCGTCGACGCGGAAGACTTTTGGGCATTCGCTTGCGGGTCATAAAGCTGGCTTGCAGCACCCGACATCAGAGGTTGGCCGAACAAGTCCTTGAGTCGATCCCTGAGATCGTTGCGTCCGATCTGCCCGTAGTGCAATGGCTGCAGGAGCGGATCGAACGAGGTGCGTCTCGTGCCGACTTGCACAGGGTCCACGAGACCGGGTACATTCGGCTCTGTTTTGCGTTGCAGCATCGTTCTATCTTGCGTTGTAGGTGAGGATGGCGGTAATGGCTTTGCGAACCCAATTGGTTCCTCAACATCCGAGACATCTCGACTGCTTGAAGTGTCTTCTTCGAATTCACCTGCCCGCTGTTCTGTTTCTCGATCAGCGACCGGCGCAACGACGCGTTCAGGCAGCTTGCCCTGCGCTTTGAGGCTCAGGCTGCGGGTTGGACCGTGAGAGGGCAGCTTTTGCTGATCGCTAGTCCGTGGCGTGGAGACGCTAGCCCCGGCCGGTCGCTCTGCGATGTTCTGAACAGGGTCCGCCGCTACGTCTGCGGTCTCTGAGACCCCTTCCTTCGATGCGTCATCAGCGATGGTCAAGTTGGGTGCCGATGAGGTAGTGCGGACATGTGCAGACTTGTGCGCGTTGGCGAAAGAATCCCTTGGCGCAGTTTCAGCCGCACTGGCGTCGTAGAAGGCACGATGCTGCTCATCGTCTTCGTCGCTGGAAGAATACTGATCGAGCGCATCGTCCGTGTCCGTGGATTCCGAAGAGGAATCCGAGTAGGCAGCACCGCCGCGCGACCGGCCAAGAACCAAGGGAGGGGGCGCCTTGGGCAAAGTTGAGTCCATCGATGCGAGATTGGCCGGATCAGGCACTTTGCGAGCGATTCCGGAGTGCCTTGGATGGGCAGAGGCTCGTTGACTGAATGCTCCAGGCATAGCTGCATCTTCTTCTTCGTCGCTATCGGAAACGGGTGGCTCCTGGAGAGCTTGCAATCTTGCCGCTGCCTCTTCCTCCCTCTTGCGCAACGCGTCGAAAGCAGCTGACTCTGCCAGCCACTGCTCTATCGACGAGTCAGATTCTGCGCCATCATCATCGCCAGACTCGTGCCCGCTCGACGCACCATCTTCTGTGTCGTCAGTCCGGTCCGCTGCTGGTCCTGCTGCAACCATAGCTGACTGTAAGACGCTTGCCTCATCCTCGCTCGAAGCCCTACCGTGGGAAGCAGGAGGAGGCGCAGAGATGACGTACAGCGTATCTTCGGGTCGTCGACTGAGAGGGAGACTCGAATCGCTGTCGTGGCCACGAACAGCCTGTCCCTGGATGAGACGCCGTCCGGCGAGGCTGCTCAGGGAGGCACGACCGTTGATGCCGGTACGGTTGTTGCCTTGGTTGCGCTGAAGAGTCTGACGAGCAGCAGATGTCGGAGTGTCGGAGTTGGTCTTTCGATGGCCGACAGGATTATTGCGAGCGATGGACGACGCAGAACGAGCAGCGACGTCTTGCGCGGCCCGACCAGATGTCACGCCTGATATGGGTCTCGAAGGAGCAGACATTGGCGGTAGGCCTAGACGGGTCTCGTTGGCAAGCACGAGCCTGCCGGTAGTGTCGGCTTGGGGAGCGCCTGCAGCTGGGACAGAAGGCTGTGCCTCCGGCCCCGGCAGACTCAATGCGGCTTGATCTGCAGAGGCCGCAACCGATGGAATCCCCTCGCTGGCCGCCGGAACTGGCTCGCTGCCGAGAGGTTCTACAACGTGGGCTGGACTAGCCTCTTGGTTTCGCGGCACTGCCAGGGCGGTATTGGGCGGCGGCTGTTGAGGGCTACTTTCGGCTTCTGCAACATGCGACGCAGAAAGTGTCTCGTCTTGGGCCACATTTGCCGGCTGTGCGAGCGAATCTCCGCTGGTGATCGCAAGGTAGGGTTCATGCTCTGCAGCAGAGTGCGTCGGGGTATGGACAGCCGCCAAGGCGTCCTCTTGCACCACCATTGGGCTGGATTGTAGCGCCCGTTCGACGCTTCCCACCGCTGGTAGTGTGGCTGTAGCTTGCGCAGAGCTCTCCGCCGCTTCAGCGCTCGCGACCATTTGTTCCTCCACCGGCGCTTCTCTCAGCGCCGCAGCGCGTTCTCTTGCAACACGACGCTGTTGCTCGCGCAGTACTCGGACGTCAAAGCTGAGACCGCTGCGAATGTCTGCCTCCCACGCCCGGCGCTCTTCGGTCAGCTCGATGCTTTCGTCGTCGCTCGCGGACGCCGAACTTGGCGTCGATGCTCGGCTCTCGGGCCTGCTGTCGGTCGCTGCGGTTTGTTGGACCTCGATTTCACCCTCGGAGGGATGCATCTGAGGCGGCAGATCTTCTGCAGCAGACACAGCGTCATCTTCGTCATCGCTGACGAAGGCGGGCGGTGGGCTGTCAGGGATGCGAGCATGCGGCTGTGGACCGATGAGTTGCGCATCGTTGGCTAGTTGATCGTGTGTCGGTGGACGTGGCGGTGATGGAGGCCGCGGCGCTCCCTCAGGAAACGGTGGCGGAAGATCGTCTGGATCTGCCTCGGTGATGTCGTTCCAGACATTCTGGCGATGTAGTGATGTTTGGGCTACTGGATTCGATCCTGGTATATGTGTCTGTGTAGAGTCGGCAGATGTTGTCGCGGTTGGAGCCGTGTCAAAGGCGTTGTGAGAGCGATGTTGGATGGAAGGCGCACTCTCAGTGCGAGGACGAGGCAGGCGGGTATCAATTGGTTGTTGGAGAGGTGCAGTCGAAATGACCACCTCGAGCTGAGAAGGATCTGCATCATTTTGTGAGAGTGCGCTTTCGGGACGACTTGGACCGCTAGCTCTAGAAGCAGGCCTGCTGCCCGGGTCATCTCTCGCAGCAGATGAGGGCCGGCGTCTACGAGTGCGTGCTACGACTGTCTGCGTGGTGGACGCCGGTGGTGGCTGGGATGTCGAGGCCAATGTCGGCGTCTGTCCACCGCTGTACGCCCTTCGCATACCCATATGCTGCCCCGAGGTCGGAACAAGCAAGCCTGTGCTGACATGAGCGTCATCTAGCGTAGTCTGATAGCGGCGATTCGAATCGAGGAGGTTGGAGGAAGACGCCATAGCATTGCGACCGGCGCTAGACGAAAGTGCGTGCTGAGATATGCCTGCCAATGCTGCGGCAGCCGCTTGTGCGTTTTGTGCTTTCCTCTGACGGATCTTTTGTTTCTTCTCCTTTGCCTGTTTCCTCAAGAGATTGTCGGGAGCGGTGAGTGTGACCCTGCCGAAATGCGACTCGAGATTTGTGAGATAGGGTGCATCTGCAGCATCGACTGTCCTCGTTGGCATAGCGGGAGCTGCTGAGGCGGAAGCAGCATGCACGTCGGTGGACCTAGGAAGGAGCGAGCCGGAAGAGTGGGCATGACCGGCAAGGTTGTACATGCGAGACCGGCTGCCAGATGCAGCGGCTGGTGTACGATCGGTCCTTCTTGATGTCGGCGGCATAGTGGCAGGGTATCATGCCGCGACAGGGGCGATGTTTGGCTCGGACCGGTTCACTGCCAGGGAAGTGCTACTGGTGGTGGTTCAGGGAGACATGGCAGAATGGCGTCGCGCTTTGGTCGGTGCGATGTGCTCAACGAAGTTGCTAGGAGAGAAAGATGAGATGAGATGATGGAGCGAACGATAGCCGGAATGTGACTTTAAACCGAACACAAGACGGCGTGCATATGTCACTTTGGGTGGAGGCCGAAGAGTGATTTTGGCTGGTTCGAGCGTTGACAGCCAAAATGAAACAAATATTTCCGATTTGGCTTGGCGCCCAAAACACAGGCTATTCTCGCTACATGCTGTGCCGCATGCCTCGTCATCCTTCACTCGAGCCGGCTCAGACTTCATCGTGCTCATTCGATTGGCCACAAAGACATCTCGATCATACGGCTCGAGGCTCTGCATCCTGGGTAATGACGCTTTGGTTCGAGTACAAGTACAAATACAAAACATGGATCTGGTGTAGCCTTACGATGTCGCCTTGACAGCAGCAGCAGCAGGTTTTGGTGCTGCAGCCTTTTCGTTCGACTCTGCTGCTTTCGTCGACGTGGTCCCAGCCGCTGACGCTTTCGCAGCGCGCTCTTTGGCCGACTCGAGCGACTCGACATAGGTGCTGGGGAACCAACCGATCCTTCCGTCTCTGGTCCTACCTCTCCACCACGCGCTCTCGGCGCCCGTCTGCGGGTCGTGCTTGCTGAGCACGGCTACGATGTCGTTCGGCTGCAGACTCAGCTCCAACGGGTCTGCCGCAGGGTAGGCGTACAGAGCGCGCACGAAGCTGAGCTTGCTCGGATCGATGGCTTCTCCGTTAGCCTCGCCGTTTGCCGAGATCATACCACCACCTTGCTGTCCTGGCAGCATGCCGAGCTGGCCTGGGTTTTGACCTTGCTGCTCGAGACGCTGTCGTTCTGCCTCCTGCTTTGCGGTGATGAAACGCACGAGCTTGCCCATGAGGTACGGAAGACCGATGACCGCCATGAAGAAGACGATGAGCGGACGCTTGCTGGGGCGAGCCGCCTTGTTGCCCGGTTGAGCGTTGGCACCGTGCGCGGCAAATTCTTTGAATTCGCGAGCATCCAGCTCGACCGCGGGTGCCTTGCCGACCAATCGCAGTCCCAAGTTCTTGAGGTAGCGAGCGAGCGCAAAGATGCTAAGCACCTGACCGAGGTAGTTGCGCAGACTCGCAAACTGATCCGCCACGCCGACCATGGCAAAGAAGCTGCTGTGCGTCGCCATGAAGGTACTCTCGAGCATCTGAGCAAATCCTCCGAATGCGCCGACGATGCTGCTGATGAGTTCAAACGTAGCTTGCGTGCCTGACTCCATGCGTTGGGTCAACGAGACATCGCCCGGCTGACCTGGCATCCCTGGCATACCACCCATGCCCATGCCCATTCCCATGCCCATTCCATACCCTCCGTAGCCTCCATATCCGCCGCCGTACCCTCCGTAGCTGCCGTAGCCACCGTATCCGCCATAACCCATACCACCCATGCTGCTCATCCCACCGTATCTAGAGTAAGGTGAGCCATACGATGTGCCATATGTCGAGCCCATACCGCCGTAGGTGGAGCCGAGACCGCCAACGGTGGAGCGATAGGGAGAGTTGTACGCAGAAGCGCCGTACGCGCCTGTACCCGCGGCTGTGGAGCTGAGCGTGGATGGACGGTCAGGCAGTGCCGGTGCGGCGGATGTGGTTGTGAGCGCTGACGAAGAGGCAGCAGACGGTGCTGTAGACATGCTGGATGACGAGAGATCGGCGCCTGCACCCGCTCCTGCACGCTCCCAAGGTTTCGGCGGCGATGGCATGAGGAGTGTGTGTTCGACGATTAGAGGGTCTCTAGATAGCGGTCAGGAGGGTATATGAAGGATGTATCGATGAGTGTGGATAGGCGGATGGAAGCGAGAGGCAAGACGCCGGGTATGTCAAAGGCAATTGAGTAGTATCCTCTGTCTGTTGGTGGCTTGTCCTGGATTGATCGATGGAGACAGGATGGAGACGTAGATGGAGATGGAGGTGGAGACGAAAAGACGAGTGTGGGGAATGCTGCAGTGTGTCACGGGCTCAGCAGCTCACTCACTCAACGTTTCACTGCTCTGTGTGGCAGCACAGCGCGATCTCTCGTTCCTCTCTGACTTTTTCAACCGGTTATGCCAAGCGAGCTCCAACCCGGAGCTGCCGATTTCTTGAAAGTGTTAGAGTCCTTAATTCACAACCGCAGCGCGAAATTTCGGGTGATCCGGCCGGAATGAAAGACACACGCCAACGCCCGCACAGGCACCGATTGAGGATTGCGGACCCTTTGCTGTCGACCACACCAACACCATCCTAAATCTATCCAACATCGAGGCCAGGCTCTTTCGGGGTGCGAGAATACGGAACGGCTCGTCGCGCCACCAAGATCCCCGCTCGCCTTCGCTCAGTCGTCCCTGTCGATCCTAAGGATGAGCCTGCGTGGCTGAAAGGGTTCCAAGCACGACGATCTCGCTACCACGCAGCATCGAGCTCGTAGCTTCTCAGACAAGTGTAGGCCTGCCAAGGCTTCATTGCCATCCTCCACATACAGCTCGCCCGTCATGAGCAGTCTCAACGGTGCCTCGTCCACCAGCACCAGCATTCTCTCCGAGCGCCAGAAGGACGAGCTGCACAAATCCATCCTCGACTACTTCAAAACCAACAACCTCCACGACTCCTACGCCACCCTCCTGCGCGAAGCCAACCAGGAAGGCTTTGTTCCCGATCCACGCGCCAAATATGCCGGTCTCCTCGAGAAGAAATGGACTTCCGTCATCCGACTCCAGAAAAAGATCATGGAGATGGAATCTCGGATCACGCAGCTCACCGAAGAACTCTCCGCTGCACCTTCCGCCAAACGATCAGCTTCCCTCTCCGATTGGTTGCCTTCCACATCATCCGCCCGACACAACATGCAGGGACATCGCCTTCCCGTGGTCAAAGTCACCTTCCACCCCGTATTCAGTCAGATCGCCAGTGCGTCCGAAGACACCACTGTGAAACTCTGGGACTGGGAAACCGGTGATTTCGAACGAACCCTCAAGGGACACACCAAAGCAGTGCAAGACGTCGACTTTGATTCCAAAGGCAACTACGTCGTTTCCTGCTCCAGCGACCTCTCCATCAAAGTGTGGGATGCCAACAACGACTACAAGAACACAAAGACGTTGCACGGTCACGATCACAGCGTCTCCAGCGTCAGATTCCTACCGGGCGATGATTACCTGGTATCCGCGAGTCGAGATAAGACGATCAAAGTGTGGGAGTTTGCCACTGGGTTCTGCACACGGACATTGCACGGACACGGAGAATGGGTGAGGTCGGCGATACCCAGCGATGACGGCAAGCTGTTGGTGAGTTGTTCCACGGACCAGACTGCCCGCGTATGGGACTTGGCGACGGGCGAGACGAAACAAGAGCTGCGAGGTCACGAACATGTCGTGGAAGCAGCCATCTTTGCTCCTGTCTCCAGCTACGTTGCCATCCGACAACTAGCAGGTCTCACCACTCCCGCAACAAAGGACACCACAGCGAACGCACCCGGTGCATTCGTAGCAACAGGATCTCGAGACAAATCCATCCGAATATGGGATTCCTCTTCAGGGCAGTGTCTCAAGACGCTTGTGGGGCACGATAATTGGGTGAGGGGGTTGGCGTTCTCACCGAACGGGAAACACCTCTTGTCGGTATCCGACGATAAGACGATGCGAATATGGGAGTTGACGTCGGGTCGGTGTACGAGGACGATCGAAGCGCATCAGCATTTTGCGACGAGCATCGCATGGGGTAAGGCTAAGATCGAAGCACCTATCCCGCCAGCTCAGGATGGAGAGGTGGAGAAGAAACAGCCAGAGGCGAGGACCGTCAACGTCGTGGCGACGAGTAGCGTTGATTTGAGCGTCAAGATCTGGACACCGTAGAGAGAGAGAGAACACCTTGATACCCCTCCTGTCATTCCTTTTATCGTGTGTGTGTGGACGGTCCGCTCCGGACGCAAACACCATGTCACTCTCTTAATAAAAAGCTTTATAAAGCATGTTTGATTCGTCTTGTGTCGACAAAAGCTTCGTGAGCCAATGATGAGGGAGTGGGAAGCGAACATTCGTCACGGTGTGTGTTTTTTGATGTCACTTTCTGATTTTCTTCGCGTCCGTGACAAGGACACCATGTCGCAATCGCACTCGTCCAAGTCGTCAATCTGAACTACCCTCGCAAGTCCTCACTCTTCCTCATGTCGACTTGCTAGCTTGTCGGCTCGCTTGCGTAACAACGCATTCGACATTCTCACACGCTTTGCACTACAAATTGTGCCGCACAGTCCATCTTCAGCGTTTGAATGGTATAAAAAGAGCATCGTATTTCAGGACCGCTTTGTACTGGCGTCAAGACATCTCCAAGGCGACAGCAGAGGCGGCGTCCGTCAAGCAATTCTAAGCGGACTTGCCCTTGACAAAAGTGTTGACGACATCAGCAAAGTGCTTGCCCTGGCTCTTGGAGATCGTGAGGTCAATGTCGATAGGCTGACGGCTACCGTCACCGGCGGCAATGGTACCGGCACCGTAAGCGCTCGCACCGTGGATCTGCTCCAGGTTGGTCTGGTTGGCGAACTCGCGGTAACCCAGAGGAACGTAGTTGACACCCTGGTGGACGAAGAAGGGGATGGTGGTGAGGTGGGTGGTCTCGTTACCACCGTGCTGAGAAGCGGTCGAAGTGAAGGTAGCACCGAACTTGCCGATCAGAGCGCCCGACGCCCAGAGACCACCGGTCTTGTCGAAGAAGGCCGAGACCTGAGCGGGTGCACGACCGTATCGCGTAGGGAAACCGAAGATGAATCCATCGTACTCGGCGAGCTTCTCAGGGGTGATCTCAGGGAGAGAAGAGATGGGTGCCTTGTTGGCGTGCATCTTGGCCAGGACTTCCTCGGACAGCGTCTCGGGGATCTGGTACAGGTCGACCTGGGCACCAGTGGACTTGGCACCCTCTACGACGTGGTCGGCCAGCTTGGCAACGTGACCGTAGAGCGAGAAGACGATGACGGCGATCTTGGACATTTTGACGGGAGCAGCAGGAGCGGCGGTGTTGGTGGTGTTCGACGACTTGGAAGAGGCTTTGGACTTGGTGGAAAGGTTGGAGAACTTTCGCAGCAACGAAGACATGGATGCGAGGCTGTCAAAGAGTGGTTTAGGGAGACAATCGGAGAGTAGAAGTGCACGGGGCAGGAGGGTTTATATATAGCTCAACCCTTCCTCCTACTCGGGGAGCAAGTCACACACGCTGCTATCGGGGCTATCCGAAGTGCAAATCTCCGTTCTTGTCTTCTTCTTTGTCTTTGCTCTGATGTGCTGGCCAAAGGGACGTTCGGGTTGAAGCACTGTCCAAACGCGACCGACCATACGGTTAGCGACTGAGACCAAGATCAACACCTTTCCTCCTGTGCTGCATGACAGGGCGCAAATTCCGAGTCCGTGCATCGACAACAATCAAAAATGTCAAAAGAATTCCTCCTGAAATGAAGTCGGTCTCAGGCAGCACACCAGTTACGGAGATACGCTACGGAGCTAAGGTACCCTAAATTCGGCCCTACCGAAAACAGAGAAAAGTGTGGAATTCGTGGAACGCCTTTGCTCGAATTTTCCAAGGTTACAGTGTATGTACGGACAGCGAGCCCGATGCGCTGGGTAAGCTCTGGTCTCGAGGGATCGGAAACCTTTAGCCTGATGTTTCACTGATGCATGAGCGTCGTTGGTGGTTGCGAGCTTCAGGCTCATCCTCAAGTCTCTATGGCGAGATCGTGCAGCGCACCGATATGCCCCGAGTGACAAGCCGCCGTCGTCTTGTTGCTGGCCATCGACAGTGACAGCACACAATAGACTCACACAACCAGACAAAGCGCATTGACGATCATGCATTCAAACACGTGACAATGTAACGCCGTACAGAACGCCAATGTGAGGACACAGAGCGACAGCAACCCGACCGTCGCTCGTTTTTGACAAGAACCCTTGCGTGTGCCAATCAAGCATCAACATCCTGCTGTCCAGAGTACTCGGGCAAGATCTTGCAAGCCTTCTCCCAATCCAAACTGCCGTCGCACAGCTGTCGGATCACGTCGATCACCTGATCGATCGCGCCGATCCTCTGAGCCGTCGAGTCGCGTTCTCGCAGCGTCATGGTACCCTTGCTCAGACTGGCAAAGTCGAGCGTGCAGGCGAAGGGGGTGCCCAGCTCGTCGTTCCGCGCGTAGCGTCGTCCGATGCTGGCGTTCGAGTCGTCGACACGCGATGCGACGCCGGCGGAACGGAGCTTGCGGCTCACCTGCTTGACCAGCGGCGCCAGCTTCTCGTTGGAGCTGATGGGCACGATCAATGCCTTGATGGGCGCGACCAGGGGTGGCAAGCTGAGAACGCCGCGATCCTGATCCTCGGCACGCGTCCAGAAGCTGTGCTCCAGCAGAGAGTAGAAGATTCGTCCGATACCGAACGACGGCTCGATGACGTTCGGCGTAAACTCGCGCACCGTCTCTCGAATCGTCTTCATCTCAACCGTCACCACGTCCGTCGTCAACTCGAACGTCTGCCCGGTGCAGACACTCAGTGGTGCCGATCCGTTCTTGAGCTTGCTTTGCAGCTCCTCGAGCTGCTTCTGGTTCATCTCGAGGATCGCCTCCTCGACCAACTTGGCGTCCTTCTTGAACTTGGGTCCGATGTTCTTCTTGACAATAGTCGGCACCCACGCATCGTACACCTTGGGCTCCTTGTGCGCCTTCTGCACCACCAGATCCTTCTTGGTGCGCTTGCTGTGCACCGTCAGATCGTACGCGCTGCGATCGGCACATCCGACACATTCAATCCAGCCGTACGACGTGTGGATCTCGGCATCCCAGCAGTCGCTGGCGTAGTGCGCCATCTCGTTGCTCATGTGCTGTCGGAATCGAAGGCGCGTAGCGTCGATGCCGATCTTGACGAGGAAGAGGTAGATGCGTCCGATGAAGTAGCCAAGCGTCTGGTTGTCGATGATGCCGGCGGATACGGCCTCGCCGATGGTCTTGATGGTGATGTCGGTTTTTCCGGACTCCTGGACGTCCTTGGCGAGCAGGGGGACCTTGATGTCCTTGACCTCGTCGAAGCGTTCGTGGTTCTTGTCTTCCGGGTCGACAAAGTGCTCGATCTCGGCCATGGTGAACTCGCGCACGCGCAACAGACCGGCACGCGGGCTGATCTCGTTACGGAACGACTTGCCGATCTGCGCACTGGCAAAGGGGACGCGACCGTTGTTGAACTCTAGGAGACGCTGGAAGTTGACAAAGTGGCCCTGAGCCGTTTCGGGACGCAGGTAGCCTTTGACCTGTCCCGTAGGGCCGATGGAAGACTCGAACATGAGGTTGAACTCGATAGGTTCCGACACCTCGTTGCCAGACTCGGGCGAGCGAATCTCGTACTTTCGAATGAGCTCGCCGAGCTGTTTCCCGTCAAAGTTGTCGATCTGAGCAAGCGTCGAAGTGTACTCTTCCACAAGTGCATCGTCGAGCTTGACCGCCGAAGACTTGACCTTCTTCTTCTTGCTCTTCTTTTCGTCGCCACCAGCTGCTTCGGCGGGAACGGCGACCGTCTCGCCGGCTTCCTTGGCGCGCGCCTGCTTGTCACCTTCGAGACGAGCTTCGAGCACACCCTCTACGAGGTGGTCAGCACGGAAGATCTCGCCGTTCTTGGTGTCCTTGCACATCCAGTCGGCAAACTTGTCCACGTGTCCGGAAGTTTTGAGCACGTCCGCCAGCGTCATGATGGTGGTGTCGAGCTCGAGCATCTCCTCCTCGATGATGAAATGGTTACGCCACTGGTTGATGATGTTGGCCTGGAGAGCGGCACCGGTAGGGCCGTAGTCGTACAGACCGCCGACACCACCGTAGATCTCGAAAGCCTGGATGTAGAAGAATCGTTTCGTCATGAGACCCTCGAGCTGGCCACGAGAGAAGGGGTGCGCATCGCGCTTGACCTCTGGACGATTCGAGACCGCGGAGGGGGCCGGAGCATCCGGTGTGACACCGGGCACGACGTTGGACATGGTGCGCAACGACAAGGTGAAGCTGGTCTGTGAGGGCTGCGGAAGCGGGGTGGAAGATCGAAGCGCTGCCGAAACGTGTCTTGACAGGGAAGGCAGTACGGACCGAGTCGCAAAGAGCATATACTGCACAGCGCTGTTTCTAAGCAGGATGTGCGTGTGCTTTGATGTAGGCCCTGAAAGTAAGCAGCAATGGTGTTGGTCGAAGCTGAACCGAAGCAGTGGTGTTGGAACGAGCGAGACCTGTCAGACGAGCGAGCGAGCGAGTGAGCTCCTTGCAGAAAAAAGAACGATGCGCTTCTCTTTCGCTCAGGAAGAAATGCAATGCCACGCAGCGGCTGCCCAAATGACTCGCTGCCATAAGTACCGATGTAACATTTGTCAAAAATTTTCTTTTTTTCTGTTTGTCATCCAAGTCTGACAAATATGTAGAATTCATTGCGAGGGTCCATCGAGTGGACAGTGCGCAATTGCATGCACAGCGTGCATCTTTTAGAGATTTCATGTGTCAAGGCAATGGTAAATTTTCGACACAGACAGCTCGAGCCAAAATTCGAGACACCGAGGCAGAGGAGTTCGAAAAATCGCGACCGAAAATTTGAAAATTGGACCCCTGTTCGATCCAATTGACTGGCACGAAGCTGCAGAGCTCTCTGCATGGTGGCTCAAGCGCGGCTCAGAAAAAGTCAAAGAAAAAAAATCGAAATTTCATTTTCGACTTTTTCAGATTGGCTAGGCCCGAGCGTCGAAAATTTCGAGGCAGCAGTCGGCGGCCAACAGCGTTCAACTCCAAAAAAGTGGCCCGTGACAAGAGAGCAGGGGCCAGATATTGAACCTTCGTGAAATTTTGCCAATTGTCTCACCTGCTGCCGGCTTTGATTATTTGCTCAGCCAAGAAAGGCCGACCAAAAAAAAAAAAAGAGGAGAAGCTAGGGTGAAGCTAGGGTCGAGTGCATACAGGGCAGGGTGCGCATTGTTTTTCTGGAGAGAAAAGAGGCTCGCACTGTTTGACTTGGACCAAAAAAAAATGTGGTTGCAGCTCCAGTCAACGGGCCCAGCCTTGGCCCATTCTGGCCCAATGGATGCGGTGGTGATACGGCTTAGCAGCTGGGCTGCCTCCCCTTGCCACTCCTCCTCGAGTCCACCTCGTCCTCACGACATCTTCCTACGTCTCTGAGCTACCATCATCTCACTTTCCTACGTTCCGACGGTCATCGAGTCGCTCTTCCTGACGCACAGGACGTGATTGCATCGCCTTCCGCCTCAGAACGGAGCATTTTGCGGCGATTAGAAATAGCGGAGGCAGTCTGCATTACCGCACCGGTGGAAGCGTCCTTTCGTCTTCATTACAGAGCAGTCCAGCCCGTCTTTGCCTCGACAGCATAGCATCCAACACCATGTTCAGCTGGTAAAGCCTGCCGCAGCACACCGTCCGTCACCTGTTCGCACTGGTTGCGACCCTTTCATAGCCGCTTTCCCGCAGCTCCACGCAGCATCGACTGGCATTCTGTGCAGCCCCTCTACCACTTCTCATATACTCCCCAACAGAGCCGAGTAGCCACCACCTCGAAGCACGATAGCCATCATGAGTAGGGCACCGCCACTCTCGCATTCCTACTCGTCGCCCAAGCTCGGCGCGGCAGCCATGTACAGCACCAGTTCTCCCTCTGGCTCGCCTCGGCCTTACTTTGCTCAGCACTTGCCCGGCACCATGTCCCCCTACCGTGACGCTTCCGCCCGCTACACGAATCTAGGAAGTCCCAGGATAAGCTCGCTCAGTCGGGATGCCACCGCCGCGCTCAAAGGCAGCAACTACCCCACCTCTTCTTCCCGCCCCACGTCGCCAGCACCCGGGTCCCGTTCGCCGTCTCCAAGCAGCGACAGCGGTGATTCCCGTTCCTCTTCCTCATCGCGTGGGAATCCCGGACACGGCGACGATGCACAGCATGCAGAGCGTCCTCTGCTCACTCGAGGCGACTCGTCATTTCGCAGAGACATCGGTCCATCGCATCGCGAGTCCTACAACGACGACCCTCCCGCACAAAACGCCGGTTCCCCCAGCGCTGCCAAACGTGCTAATCACTTGCAACCAATAGACACCAAAGGTGAGTTCCAAATCGCTTTTTTGACTCTTGCTTGAGTCCGCTCCTGCCCTTGTTCCGATCGACATCGATGCTGCCGTCCAACCTCGACACCACGCCCACTTTTTTTCGACACACATCGCCCGATTCAGTATGCTGCATTCGTCGTAGACACCATCTGGCCAGCCCGTGCTCCACGTTCCATTCTGTCGTGCCCTTTCCGAGCCTGTAGTCATGCCCTTCGCTTTCTACGGGTCGAAGAGGCCCCTGATCTCCGTCCCAGCTGGCTTTTGGCTGGAAATGTGCTCACTGTTTGCAAGCGCGCAGAACCTGGCCCGCCCATGACGCAGCACGCGGATCCAGGCTACGGTGTGCACATGCGCGGCCTGGTACCGCTTCCTGCGATGGACAGCTCGTGATCATTGCATCTGTATCATCACGTCCAGGCGATGCATACGCCAGATTATGCTCTTGGCGCGGCAAGTCTTTGGCGGACCTCTTCATTGATCGGCAGACCCAAGCTCGTATTGACTTTGGTTGCATCGAGCTCGGTAGCGGAAGCATTGCAAAATGCTGGATCGAGACTCGCAGCTAGAGCCATCGACAGCGTCGCTCCCGGCCCTGCACTAGCCCTCATAGGGCTTCAGTTGACGCAGGGCCTGCTCGGGATAAAGATGGATTCTTGTGTGCAGCATCGGTTCCAGCAATTCGTGCCGGGGCTCGTCTTTGCTTAGACGCCGATCGCCGTCATATTGGCCATCAGAGACGTTTGATCTGTTGCAGTCAAACTCAGCGACGGATAGCGGGTCACTGCGTCTATGTCTCTTTGGTTTCCGAGTCTTGGTTCGTCAAATGCATGACCAGTGAAAGCTGCCATCAGGGTCTCGCGCTCGGTTGTCAGTCTAGCGGCTGTCTGCATTCGGACACGCTCTGCTAACTTGCACGGTGGATAGCCGGACGAGGATACTCATTGTGTGGAGCCAGAGTGTCTCTCCGCCGATCCGTTGACACCATCGAGCCTCCTTCGCCAGGCTGGGCAGCATGGTCGAATGCTCCGCTCAGGTCAAAGCCAGGGATACACTGTGTTCCTGGACGTTTCTTGTGACGGAATTGAAAGCTCAACGTGACGTCCCGGGCAAGCGAGGCGAGGCGAGGCGGAGGAGAGAGGTGGGCGAGACAGTGTGGGTTTGCTCTGCGGTGTGCTGCCTTGTGCTGTGCAGTGCTGTGCTGTACAGTGCTGTGCATTTGCTGTTCTGTGCCCTGCCTTGCTGTTTGCGCGGCGCGGTGGCCTCCGCCAGATTAATTTCCCGCGCCTTTTTCCAGTTATTATAAGACTGGCCTCGCTCGCTAAGATCGCCAGAGCAGTTGCTGCTGCACAGTGACCGCGTTCGCCGCCTGTCTGTCCCTCTAAATTCGTCTCGCCCTCTTTTTCCGAGCCTCCGTGGCCTGCACGATTTTGAGCTCAGCGGGCTGGCTCGCGGCTCTGGCTCTCACGCCGTGTTGATACATTTCCGCGCTCGCGAGTCTGCAGCCCTTAAGCTGCCAGCTAGCGAGCCTGCTAGCCAGCCAGCCACAACTCAGTCGCCCCTGTCTGCTTCCTCAGCTGTCAGACCTGATTCCAGCTGCAGCAGCGAGCTTCTTTTCCGTCATCGAGCCCGCTTCACCAGAGCAGGCGGAGCGCAGTGACAAGCTGTGTCTGCTGCGGAGCTGCGTTTCTTCTTCCCAGCCGTCTGCCGCCCTTTCCCGCTCTCAAGCATTTCCTTCCACCCTGGCACATTGGCTTTCTTCGCGCTCTCTGCCCTCTCGCACCTCTGTCCGCCTGACGGGCTGGACTGCCCAGAGATTCTCTGTTTGGCCCGTTTGCTCCACTCGCGAAGGGCGGCCATCGGTTCGTTTTGGCCCCCCTCTCAGCCCTTTCCCCTCTCTCTGCATTTCGAGCCTCTCAGTTTCCCGCACCGACCACCCGCGACTGCACTTCTTTGCCTGCCGTCCTTCCTGTCGTTCGCAACGTCAACAACGTTCCAGCTCCACTCCGTCATCCGCCCACCTCATCATCGCGCTCCACCCTACATTTCGGTCATACTGCACCGATCTTGCTAGCAAACCGACCAACTTCTCTCAGCAATACACTAGCTGGAAAGGGGAAGGGCTGGAAACCACCGTGGAGCGCCGATCGAACTCCTCCAACTTGACTCGACCTGGTCTCTGCATCTCTGCGCTCTTGATAGCCTTCGACTCGCCCCATCCATCACACCCAGCCAGACGTGCACATTCCACAACCACACCACTGTCGCGTCCAGTCCCTCATCGACCCGTCGCACGGAACAAGGGCAAACATGGCGGCCTCACCCGAACTTATCAGCTTCACCAACAGCTTGCTCAATACTGACAACATGCTCTCACCTCTCCACAACACCTTTGCTGCCGCAGATGCCGCTGCACGCAGGGCGTCTGGTGGCGAACCTTTAAGCGCGAGTTCGCCACGCATCGGCGAAGCCTACGTCAACAGTCCCAAGCGCGATCCACTTCGAGACGGATACCGTGCCACACCTCCCTCATCAGCGTGGAGGCATTCCGGCTCTTACACCGGCCGCGATGGCTCGCCATGGTACAACGACGCGCGCTCGTCACCTTTTGCATCTTCAGCCGCCCGCGACTATGCTACGCTCGAACTCGAGTCGAGTCTTGGCGCACCGACGCATCCTACCGGCGATCCATCTCTCCACTACGGAGATACCAGCAACGCCGACAGCGTTGTGGCTCTGCTCCACGCCGCCGCCGCCGCCAACGAAGCCAGCAAGCAAACCGATCGCTCCAACGAGAACCGCTTCCCATCTCCCAGCGCGTTCTATCAGCAAGGCATCCCCACGTACGGCATTCCACCGTACTCGGCTGCCTATCGCTCCAACTCGTCTGGTCTTGGCGGGTTCACCAACTCGCCCAACCTCGGCTTTGCACGCCCCTATCGTGGCATCGACGGATCTCTGGATGGCGCCTCTCCCTACGCTCAGGCGACGGTGCAGCCATCGGCGACTGCCACCGCAGGCGCAGACGAAGACCACAAGATCCACGTCAAGACCGAGCCAGATACACACGATTCCGTCGCCCAGCAGCAGCAGCAGCAATCACAACAAACGCCACAGCTCCAAGACCAGCAAGCAGCAGCACCCAAGAAAGGGCGAGGTCGAGGACGCAAGAAGAGCAGCGTCAAGCAAGAGGATGTAGCACCCGCCGTTTCAGCAGCAAATGGCCCTTCCGCCCTCGACAGTGTCGTATCGGCCGCGCTCGCAGCGTCGGAAGCGCCGGCCAGCTACGCTGGGCCCGCCTTTTCGCAGTACGGCTACCCCGACTACAGTGCCACCGGCATGCCCGGTGCTGCCTTCTCCGCCAACCCGCTCGTCCCCTTGGCTGCCCAGGTAGCTGGCTCCATCGCTCCTGCTCCAACAGCCGTCCCTGTGACCGCACCACTCGATAATGCGTCTAGCTCGGCGGTGACCGCCACTGCGACACCGTTAGCGCCCGCTGCTGCTACTTCGGCCACCTCGCCTACCTCGCCGGGCGCAAGCAAGGGCAAGACTGAAAGCGATGCGGGAGGTCCCAAGCTGCACGAGTGCGAGACGTGCGGCAAGTCGTTCAGCCGCAGATCCGATCTGGCGCGTCACCGGCGCATCCACACGGGCGAGCGTCCCTACCCTTGCGACTACCCAGGATGCGGCAAGAGCTTCATCCAGCGATCGGCGCTGACGGTGCATTCGCGCGTCCACTCGGGCGAACGTCCACACAAGTGTGAATTCGAAGGATGCGACAAGAGCTTCTCGGACAGCAGTTCGCTTGCGCGACACCGCCGCACTCACACGGGTCGCCGTCCGTACGTCTGCGACTTCCCCAAGTGCGGCAAGATGTTCACGCGACGCACGACGCTCAACCGTCACTCGCGTTGCCATCAGCCTGGTTACGTCAAACCCAAGAGCCGCGGCAAGGGTCGCGGCAAGGGCAAAAAGTCGGCCAACAAGGATGGCAGTTCTGCCGCCAACGACGATGAGGATGACGACGATGAGGACGACGATGAGGATGACGACGATGACGACGATGATGACAGCGAGGACGAGGACGACGAGGAAGATTCTGAGGTCGAGTCTGGATCCGGTTCCGAGCCGGCCGAATCCGTCACGCCGCCCGAGACATCGGCTCAGGTGGCCAAGGGTGCCAAGCGCGCCGCGCCTGGACGCGGGCTTAAGAACTCGACGGCCAAGAAGGCCAACACAGGCAACGGCGCTGGCGTGGTGAACCGCATGAACCGCTCAGCCAGCGATGCCGAGGCTGCCATGACGTTGGCGCAGGCGGCACTGCAGGCGCAGTTCAACCCGTACTACGCCGACCAGATCAACGGCGGGGCTGCAGCAGGTGCGAACCAGGTGGGTGCTGCCGCCAGCATGCCTTGGGCCGGTTCGTCCAGCTTCGCCGCCTATCCGATGTCGGCGCAGGACGGCACCGCAGCACTTCTCGCTGCCAGCAACCATGCCGGCTTCTCACCTGGGATGGGCAGCAACGACTCGAATGAAGCGATGGAGGCGGCGGCCGCTGTGCTGGGTGGCTTTGCCAACTCACCTGCGCCGACCGCTGTCACCGCGCCAGCAAACGGGCAGGACTCTGCGCAGTCGCTCTCGGAAGCACAGCTGCTGCTGGATGCGGCGATGAGTCCCGTGTCGAGCCACGCGACGATCCCTGGTCTAGGAGGGGCCGCCGCCGCATCCAAAGATGCGAATGCGAGCCCAACGCGAGGACGGGGTCGTGGTCGTCCTCGTGGATCTCGCGGTGGCGCTCGAGGAGGTCGTGCCGTCAATGCTCCGAGCAACCTCGCCAACGAGACGAGCGCAGCAGACGTTTTGCAGACTTCGCCTGACGAGACGCCCTCCACCGAGGCATCCTCTTGAGGTGTCACTCGCTCTTTCACCTTTGTCCCTCTTTTTGTGCTCTGCCTTGCCTTTCCTTTCTGAGTCAAGCGCAGGAACACCGAATGTATTTGTACCCTCTTTCTCTCTTTTAATCTCTTTCAAGCCTTCCTCTGCTCGACGCAATGTTGCCCGTTGGTTCCGTTGTTGTCAGCGCCTTGTTCTGAGATGTCCGACTTATATGGCAAAGGGCTCATTGTCATTGAGATCCAATCCCGAGTCCTGTGACGTTTGTGTATCGATGAGGCCTGCAAGGAACCTTTGCGGTGGCATGACGCGGGGCCAGGTGGGAAATTTCAGTCGCACGGTTAAGACGCGAACGCGAGAAGGCAGCGGCGGCTGTTGGCGCTCTCAGAGCTGTCCCGAGCGCGACTTTGTCTCTAAAGAAATTCCCTTGAAGCTGGACGCCTTTCTCTCACTCTACAGTAGTCCTTCCGTCATTACCACCACACTCGGCGTGTAGCTTTCCCTCTTCCATCACCTTCCACAATGTCATCATCATCATCATCATCATCAACATCGCAATATGAACGTTTTCTCGCGGAAGACGTGCTCTACCACAAAGCATCTACGCCGATATCCGAGATGCCATCCTGCACAGACATGTTTGACAGGTGGGCGTCTTGCTTTGCCCTCGGACCGCAACTCAAAGCGGTGTACAGGTACGGCGGGGTCCAGGATTGCAAGGAAAAGATGGACGACTTCAAGCATTGTCTGACGATGAAGGGGATGACACAGGAGGAGAAGTACGAGGAGTGGATCACCAGGAAGGCCGAGAGGACGGCGGAGAAGAGGTTGGGGAAGGGGAGTGCGGAGAACGTCTGGGTGTTGAGGAGGGACCCGAATGAAGAGGTGAGATCGAAGGGGGACGTGAGCGGCACGATCGTCTGATACATCGAAATTACGGCCAACACAATACATGGATCCAACCGCCGAAGCTGCAAACATACGCACCTGTCGAGGCTTCTCCCAATGTGAGCACTCAAAACGGCTCCTTCGCAACGACCTGCGAAAGAGTCCTGCATCGGATGCGATACACCTACCATTGTGTCTTTATAGCTCACCGTTTCTTCCCCTCTCTTTTGTTCCTTCACGCCTTCACGGTGTGCAATTGGATGAACAGAGTCGGCAAGAAGAACGGGTCTCGATTTCTCCTCCGCCGCCAAAGGACGTGGGTATACTGATTTGCCTATGACAGATCCATCCCTTATCCTGCTCGACCTTCCCATCGCACAGTGCTGTTTGACAGCACTACCAACCTCTGGCAACAGAAGCACTTTTCTTCCCCGACACACACACACACCATATCACGACAACGCAGCATTCAACCCGTCTTCGATCTTGCGCCCGCCCCTCTTTCTACACCACTCTGTCACCCTCCCGCCGTTTCTCTTCTCTTCCCTCCTATTGTCCCTTCAACACCAGCTCGCATCATTCTACCTAGAGATACTTCCGTCTCCCTCTTGCAGCATACCTTGACTAAGCTTTTAGTGCTGTGTCGGTATCTCTGATTGGGATGTTGATAGAAGTGCTTTTTCTTGGGGAAGTGCGGGTGAAGGGGAAGTGAGGGAGAGAAAGGATAGTGGACTATGCGTGGAAAAGTGGTGGAAAGGAGGGGTAGCCAGCTACAAAGGCTCCAAAGTGGTGCAAGACGATCCTAACCCTAAGTTGATACCTTGCAGAGTTGGGATATCCACCACCCCCCAGGTCTTGGGGAGGGAGTTATTCCTTGTTCGAACGTTGCAGATTTTTTTCCCACGTACAATCGCCGCTGACTTTTATAGGCTTCAAGTCTCTCTCGGAAGTCTGGCGAGGATGAAGAGGAGAGACTTGCCGTCGACCTGGGAAAGCGGTGATGTTTGGATCGGAACTTGTCTGTAACGTTCTCTCTGCTCAAACTACGTTCGTTCAGCGTATTCTTTTCACCCCCTCATCCTTATCTCGATAACGATACCGGGGGTGGAAATGATACTCTTCGAAACCTCTCCATTCCGGACTCCATTCCCCTCTTTCTCTAAACCCTCTTTCAGGGTAACCGGATGAGGGGGAAATGGACAAGATGGTTTTTTGCGTTCCAGTTCTACACCTTTTTTGCCATCTTAAAAAAAAGGGGGAAGAACGAATGCCCGTTGGTACGGTCTTCGTGTGTTTGTTGCGTTGCGGGGTTTTGGAAACAAAGGCTTCGTTTGGCTGCGGTAGGGATGGTCAGCGGTACAAGGGATTTGGTTTTTCTCGAGGCACGATCAATTTCCCCCGTCCCAACGCACCTCTTGCTCCTTCCATCTCTCTCCGGGAAAAACCCTACCGTCATCATATCCCGGGGGAAGTGAACGACCGAAAACAAAGCACGTCTCTACGGAGATCTCCCTCCCCAAACCTGGGCGGTTGTGCTGGTAGAGCTTTGCGCTCGTCTTTTCGCCGTTTGATCTCTTCGGGATGGATGGCGAGACTTCTCGAGAAAGTGTGGGGGAAGAGGAAGAACCGGCGTGGACGGGGGGAAGTCAAATTTTTCTATCTCTCGGATTGTGGGTATTGACAGATCCCTTTTCACTACCACCGTCGACCCGGTCTCTTCCTTCGTAGGTGTGGGATCGACCTCGGTCGAGGTAGGGCGCAAAGGATCTGTTTTCTGCTCACACTCCTCTCACATCAAATACCAAGCTTTCGCAAAGACTACACCCGCTGAATGCATGTGATCCACACACTCTCTTCTGAAAATCAATCGGCAAGCATGGTGAATGACAACTCGATCAGCTCGATGGAAGTACAAGTACAGAAGTTTGCGTTAGATCTAGTGCTCCTCGTCATCACCAGGGATGCTCTCCACCACATCCAACTCCTGCAGTGCCTCCCTGATGATCCTCACACCCTTATCCAGGTCCTCCTCACTGATAACCAGCGGAGGAGCCAGCCTGATGATGTTCCTGTGCGTCGGCTTTGCCAACAAACCTTTGCTCTTCAGCAACAAGCACAGCTGCCATGCGGACCTACCCTTGCTGGACTTGCTCTCATCAATGACAATGGCATTGAGCAGACCTCTACCCCTAACGCTGGACAGCAGCGGGTGGTCGATGGCGCGCAGATCGCTGCGGAATTTCTCGCCGAGCACCTCGGCTCGATCGCAGAGGTTTTCATCCAGCAAAACGTCGATGGCTGCACTGGCGACGGCGCAACCAAGAGGGTTTCCGCCGTAGGTGGAACCGTGTTCGCCAGGTTTGATGCAGAGCATGACCTCCCTATCCGCGAGGACGGCGGATACGGGGTAGACTCCACCGCTCAGAGCTTTGCCGAGGGTGACGATATCGGGACGCACACCGTCGTGTTGGTGGCAGAGGAGCTTTCCGGTTCGTCCGAGACCGGTTTGGATCTCGTCGCAGATGAAGAGTACGTTGTGCTTGCGACAGAGCTGTTCGACGCGTTTGAGGTATCCATCGGAGGGTACGACGATTCCAGCCTCGCCTTGGATGGGTTCCACGAGGAAAGCGGCGACCTCGTGACCGTACTTGTCGAGGACCTTTTCAAGGTCATCGGCGTTGTCGTAGCGGATGACCATGTCGTCGACACCGGGACCTACACGGTCGAGGAAGGGACCGAACCCAGTTCGCGATTCGGGATCGGTAGACATGGAGATGACACCCAACGTTCGACCGTGGAAGTTGCCGCTGACAGAGAGCAACCTAGCCTTGCCCTCCGGAATACCCTTCTTCATGTACCCCCACTTGCGGGCCAGCTTGAGCGCCGTCTCGACCGCCTCGGCACCCGTGTTCATGGGCAACACCATCTCGTACCCGAACGTCTTGGTCACCTTCTCCGCGAACGGTGCGAAGGCCGAGTTGTAGAACGCGCGCGAGCTGAGCGTGAGCTTCTGAGCCTGAGCGACGAGCGCGCCGACGATGACCGGGTGGCAGTGTCCTTGATTGACGGCGCTGTAGGCGGAAAGGAAGTCGAGGTACTGTTTTCCCTCGGGGTCCCAGACGTGTGCGCCTTGGGCGCGGTCGAACACGACGGGCAAGGGGTGGTAGTTGTGCGCGCCGTATTCGGCTTCCTTGTGGATGACGTCTTGGGTGGAGAGCGTGGAGGAAGAGGTGGACGCGGTGGAGGAGACGGCGTGAGCGACGGTCTTGAGCGTGGTGGGGATTGAGGCGACGGCTGCGCCGACCGACGAAACGGTTGCTGTAGGAGCCATGGTTTCAAGGACGACGAAAATGATGATCCGAAGACAGTGTGTGATGGAGGGACAACAAAGTGCGGACGTTCCGACAAGTGGTAGGCTTATATGTGTTTGCACCAAACGGGTGAGAAGCAAAATCTGCTCAAGGACAAGGAGACGACAAGGACAAGGGAGGAGAGAGAGGAGAAGGAGCTCAGCCGGTTGCTAGTCCGGCAATCAAGTTGCTCCTGCTGTGACTCTGGTCGTCACCGTCAAGGAGTCGAGAGAGAGTGCATTTGGCTCGCTCGCCATGTGAACCATGTGCCGGGCATGCCACGTACAACGCCAAATGCGCTCAGTGTGAATGGCTGAAATCGCTCCCTCGCTATCTGACAAGGGAGGGTCAAGTGACGCGTGTCAAGCAAGAGACTCGTCCGCTGCCGTTGCTTAGTTACTGCTCGGATATCATCACGGCAAAACGCGAGCGGCAGGATAACCCCACACTTTATCGGGCCAAGCAAACTGCGAGCAAAACCAAACTTTACGCCAGACAGCCTAGCGGAACCTCTGGCGGAACATGGACGCGTCCCCCGGCTACTTGTTCGGCAAGGGAATACAGATAAACACTTTTCGGCGTAACAAATCACAGTGAAAGGAGAATGGCCATCGGGTGCACCGAACGAGTGGACGATCGATCCAGGGTCCATCCGAACTGGAATTTTTTGCGAAGAAACGGGCGAAAAAAGTGAACTTCGAGGCTTGTCTGCTCCACACTCCTTGTGCTCTTGCTTCTCTGTATCCACTGCTCGCTTGCTTTCCATCATACCCACACCGCTTCCGCTCAACAACGCCACCATGCCGGCGTCACAGAACAGCAAGCACAGCCTGGCAGCGTCAAAGCGCAAAGCAGCCTCCACCTCCTTCTCTACACCACCCCTCAAGAAGAAGAGTGCTGCCACAAAACGTCCCGCCAACGATGACGACTTCATCATGACGCTCGACTCGGACGACGACGTAGAGGACCTCGATGCAATCAATGCCGAGGCAGACGATGCAGATGCCGCCGCTAGCGAATCAGAATCAGAACCAGAACCAGAGCAGACCGCCCAAGCACCGGCAGATGAGAAGCTCACAAAGAACCAACGCAAGCGCAAGGAAAAGGCGCATCTCGCAGGAAAGGAAAAGATCGTCGAGTCCGTTGCTGCTCGCTCCAAGTCGAACGGTGTAGTCAATGGTAAAGATGGAATGGCTTTGGACAAGGACTTTGAGTTTGACATCTTTGGCGACGGTTCCGGCGCAGACTATGCTGGTGCAGAGTCCAGTGGCTGGGATATGAGCGTTACCGGCACGAGGATGCACAAGAAGTTGAACGTCGATGATATCATCGAAAAGAGGAGAAAGGATCTTCCTGCTTTGCCCTTGCCTGCTGATGACGACGACGAGCAAGAGTCCGAAGACAGCGCAGCGGATGACTCCGAAGACGACCTGGACGACGATATCAGATTCGCCGAGTACGAGGACAGCGACGACGATGAAGACCGATTCGGTGGTGGTGACGCCAACATTGCAGGTGACGACGAGGATGATCAAGACGCAGCAGAGGTGGATAGCCAAGAAGATCCACTCAGCAGCGACGCATCCGACGCTTCTGATGACGATGATGAGGCGCAAGACACTCAGATCGCAGAACAGGACCAGGACTCGGACTCGAGCCAAGACGATTCCGACTCGGAAACCGAACAGGAGAAAGCCAAGAAGGCCGCCTTCTTCGCCGAAGAACCCTCGTCCGCCTCGTCTTCCGCCAAATCGAAATCCACTGCCACGGAAACCTCCTTCTCCACCTTCGCCCTCTCGCGCCCCGTGCTGCGCGCCCTCTCCTCCCTCTCCTTCCACAAACCCACCCCTATCCAATCCCGCACTATCCCCCTCGCCCTCGCCGCCAAGGACATCGTCGCCGGCGCCGTCACCGGTTCCGGTAAAACCGCTGCCTTCATGATCCCCACCATCGAACGTCTCACCTGGCGTGCCAAATCCTCCAACATCCACGAAGCCAAGACGCGCGTCCTCATCCTCGCCCCCACCCGCGAACTCGCCATCCAGTGCTACTCGGTCGGCAAGTCTATCGCCAAGTTCACCGACATCCGCTTCTGCCTCTGCGTCGGTGGTCTCTCCGTCAAGAGCCAGGAGGCCGAGTTGAAGCTCCGACCCGAGGTCGTCATCGCCACTCCCGGTAGGCTCATCGATCACGTGCGCAACTCTGCCAGCTTCACGCTCGACGACATCGAGATCCTGGTCATGGACGAGGCGGATAGGATGTTGGAGGACGGGTTTGCGGATGAGCTAAACGAGATCGTCAAGAGCTGCCCCAAAGGTGCGAGGCAGACCATGTTGTTTTCGGCTACGATGACGGACGATGTGGAGCAGTTGGTGAGGTTGTCGTTGAAGAGACCGGTGAGGTTGTTCGTTGATCCCAAGAGGAGTACTGCCAAGAAGCTCATTCAGGAGTTCGTACGTGTCAGAGGGACAGGGAGTGGCGGGGTGGCGGGTGCGGATGGTTTGGCAGGCGTTGAAGACCTACCCACCACACCGGCAGCCACGGGTAGGAGCGAAGACGCCCAACGACCAGCACTGCTTCTCTCGCTCTGCACGAGAACCTTCACCACGCAGACGATCGTCTTCGTTCGTTCCAAGAAGCTCGCCCACCAGCTCAAGATTGTCTTTGGTCTACTCGGCCTATCCGCCGGTGAATTGCACGGAGATCTTTCGCAGGAGCAACGTATCGATGCGCTGACCGCGTTCCGCGACGGAAAGACGGATTTCCTGCTGGCGACGGACCTCGCCTCTCGCGGTCTCGACATCAAGGGAGTCTCGACCGTGATCAACTACGACATGCCCGGATCCTTCGAATCCTACCTCCACCGTGTCGGCCGTACCGCCCGAGCCGGTCGCAACGGTCGTTCCGTCACCCTCGTCGGAGAAGCCGACCGACGCATGCTCAAACTAGCCATCAAGCAATCCACCTCGGAACAGGTCAAACATCGGATCATCCCCGCCCCCGTCGTCGCGCAGATGCTCGAGACGCTCGAGACGCTCAAACCCGAAGTCGACACTGTCCTGCGCGAGGAGAAGGAAGAGAAAGCTTTGCGCATTGCAGAGATGGAGTTGAAGAAGGGAGAAAACATGGCCTCGCACGCGGACGAGATCTTCTCCCGTCCCAAACGAACCTGGTTCCAGAGCAAAGCCGACAAGGAAACAGCCGAAGCTATGAGCAGAGCCAAGTACGAAGCCACGCAAAAGAAAGACGGTAGGGATAAATATGCAGGGTTGAGCAGGAAGAAGAGGAGAAGCAAGATGATGCGAGAGGAGATCGAGAGGGAGAGGAAGGAGGCTAGCGCTTCCGGCGGTGCAAAGACGGCACAGGGTGGTAGCATGGATGCGGGTATCAGGGCGGCCAAGAAGGCTAGCAGACCGACCAAATTGGGTGTAGCTCCGGTGAAGGTGGTCAACAAGGGCAAAGCTAAAGGGAGCAAGGGGAAGAGTGCGGGGAGCAAGCCGGGGGGTGGGGGCAAGGTGAGGAGCTCGTTCAGCAGGGACTTTGGTGACAAAAAGCGTCGCTAAGCCAACTTGCTCAGGTGGTCGGCGGCCAACTCTCCTCGACCTGCGCTGTGTTTGTTTGTATCCAGCCACATCCTGCTTTCATTCGTGTTTTTCTACCTCTTGTCAATCCCTCGTCCCAGCATCGCAACCGTTTCGCTTCTGAATGTCCGACTCTTTCACACACAAACACACATTGCAGCTTCTTCGGCGCATCCTTTCGTTGTGCCGCTCAGCTCGTTCATTTGAAACCGGACGATCGTCGCTCGAACGGCGAAAGAAGATTTTTGACATTTCGGCGATACCTCGCCCGAAACCTTTCTTGTTCGGAATTCGCTGTTCAATCCGCACCGCCGTACACGGCGAGCAGCGCATCTCCCACACCGCTCGGTGTAAGCACTCCGACGTCGCTGAACAAAAACGTGACCAGATCCGGAGTTGTATAGTCGATCTGTGTTTCGTTTCCAGCAGCCAAAAAAGGGGGGATGTCAGTTGGGAACGCTACTTCCACGCAATCCATCGGGGGCTGGAATACTTACTGCAGGGTTCATCATCTCCTGAGTCCGCGACATAACTCTCCTCGCCCTGCCATCATCCTCCTCGCCGCTGCCCAGCTTTGGTGTTCCCTCCGCTACCTCCTTCTCCGCATCCGCCGCATCTAGATCCGGGAACTGTAATAGCCTGCCCTTGCCGTTCGTCGGTAGATCGTACTGATTTAGTGGGAACATTCGTAGGAACTTGAAGCTCTCTGCCAATGCGAAGAAGGGTTTTCCACAGCTCTTTGCGATGATCCCCATTCCGCTGGTGCCGACAGCGTTGAGGATGCCACCGCTTTCGACGACTCCCTCTGCGCCGGTGAGGACGAGGTCGACTTTCGGCATGGTGTAGGCAACCGCGCTGTCGAGGATGACTGTGCAGGGGATACCGACCTTCATCAGCTGTGCGTAGGTCTTCAACCCTAACCCCTGTGGGCGGGACTCCGTTACATACACCGAAATGCGTTTTCGTTGTTGCAGAGCAGCGGTTTTCAACACCTGCATAACCACGCGCGAGTAGGAATGCGTCAAAACGACCGAATCGTCCGCAATGAACGGCAATACCAATTCGCAGATCTTCTCTCTACAGGACGGAACCGTATGCGTAGCGAACTCGTGCGCTAAGCTGGAGAGGGACGCCTTGTGCGCTTCAAAGTCGTCCCCTGAATCCCACGATTTGGTCACTACAAACCGCGTAAACAGATCCAACCCCGCAGTCGCCGGTACAGGATTCTCCAACGACTGCTTCAGCCGTTGCGATGCAGACCGAATGTTCTCCATCAACTCCGACGTCGTCGCAGCCCTAGATCGGGATACCAGCTCCGAAAGCGCAAAGATCGCCGCGATGGGAAAAGGAAGCTCCGAATCCGAGGAGAGCAGAGAGTGGTAGTAGGAGATGATGTCGAATTCTTCGTCATTGTTGTTGTGGTTACTGCTGGTGGAGGCGGTAGGTGTGGGTGAGGAGTGCAGCGTGGGTACGCCGGCGACGGTGGAGGATGTTGCGCTCGATGTCATCATGTCCAAGCTAGACGGTCGTTGCGTTGGCAAAAGAGAGCGAGAGAGAGTGATGGTTTGAGGAGGTTCCTTTCTAAAGAAACCCTTGAAAAAGAAGCGCTGCACAAAACGCCGTTCCCGAGAGCCGACCCTTTTTTTTTCTTCTTTACTTGAAATCCAGATCTTACACTGCTCCTGATTTGGAAACCCCTTTGGACTGTCAGCAGCCGCTCTTCTCTTAAGACAGTTTGGATTGCACGTAAGAACTTGTCGGGCTCTGCATGCTCAACAAGGATGTTCACAGCCGGTCGTGATGGTTTCGATTCTCCCTGAGCACTTTCACCAACCCTCAGCTATGTACATCCATCAGATTGAAGTCGGTCGAAGAACAAAGCTGCGATTAAACGATTCCGTAATGCGCTAGAACGGACAAGAGGCAGAAAACCAGAAACAAAGCTAGAACCGGACAAGGCGGTGACGGGTGCGAGTGCGAGTGCAATATACAAGAGGAAGGAGGGCAAATGATGCAGGCGTGTTGGAGTTAAAGGTGATGAACCTTCTCTGTGCACAACGACGGTGGTGCTGGCATTCAAGACAGATGGCGAGAAAGGGAGACGGCAAACGAGGTCGAGGCAGCGTCGACTAGGCACCTTGCAGCTGCGAAACCGACCTCAGCATTCCCACGCATTCATTACTCGTGGCCGGCTGAGCCACCTCCGACAAAGCTGTCGACTGATAATGCTGTCCGAGTTGGTGCTGCTGATGCTGATGCTGGAACATCGCTTTGTACTGAGGCAAGCTTGTCTGTTCGTAAAATTGCGAGCCTGCACTCGACATTGGTGGCGCACCAGCCGAAGCACAGGTGTCCCACAGGCTGGGGTCGATCTGGCTAGCATCTTGACTGCTCATCAGACAGCCGTTCGTCATCATCGGATACGTTGACGCTCCCGACATCATACTTCCCTGCAGACCAGCCGACGACAGCTGCCCCTCGCATCCCGAGCAGCCCATGTTGGCCACCGACAGCTGGTTGAATTGAGGTCGACTTGAGCCGTGCACCTCAAACGACCGCGCATCGCGAAGGTCTGGCGTGCGTGGAAAGTGTGGCAGCTCTGAGGCCGAGGCGAGCGCGTGAGGCGTGGGACACATGCGGCTGCTGTTGCTCACCGGACTGTAAAAAGTCTGCGAGGTGCTCGACATATAGCACGAGGCCGCGCTCGATCTGCGCGAAAGGTCGAACCCCTCGTAGCTGGTGCCCGACGATGGACAGGACGACATGGCCGTCGCGCTGTATGGAGTGCTGGCGTAGTCGGCAGTGTTCTGCATCGGAAAGCCGTACGAAGCAGTCGAAGGATCGTGCTCGAGCTTCAAACTGGATAGATACTGACACTCGAGACCGTGTGGGAAAGTGGAACGGCTGTGAGGCGGCAGGGCACTGCGGTTCATCGAGATCGAGTTGCTCATAATGGTGGTTGGACCACCACCGACACCGGCGTAAGTGCCTTCGGCATCTGCATGATTGCGTCGTGTGTGCTTGGTGAGAGTGGTCTTGCGGCAGAACGACTTGCCGCAACCTGCAACAAGACATTTGTACGGTCGCCTTCCCGTGTGGATCCTCCTGTGACGCGCCAGCGAGCTCGAGTCAGAGCTGAAGCGAAAAGTGCAAAAGGAGAGGAGGTCGTCAGCGAGCTTCCTTGAGCAGCACCGACGGTTCTTCTCGGCGGCCAACTTACAATGCTTTGCTGCATGATTCGCAGACGTGAGGTCGTTCGCCAGTGTGGACGCGTATGTGAACGGTCAGAGCGGATCGCTGGATGAAAGTCTTGCCGCAGTCACGAAATTGGCAGGCGAAGGGACGTTCTTGGCTGTGGATACGAGCGTGTCTGTGGCATTGACAGTCGAGATGAGACCAAGGAGGGAATGTTATGGTGGGTCAGCTCCAGGTCCGCTGACACACTTTGTGGCCGAATCCAAGCACACATGAGGACAAAGGAACCGGTAATACCGAACATCGTCGGCGCCAAATTCCCACGTGGCAGTGTTGGACAGGCAGAGTTGCAATTTGTAAGAGCGATCTGCAGCGATCTGCAGGCGCAATATTGCACACAATAGCCTTAGCCCTGCCGATCCTTTGTCTCCGCATCGAGGTCTGATCAAGCCTGCCCTTTGTCGCAGTATCCGATCGCGTCTTCAACTCACCTTGCCAAGTCTGAGCGCCTGTGACGGGTGAGAAGTCAAAGGAGCGTTGGATGCAGTGGTCCGAAAGATGGTCATCAAGACAAGGTCAGAACGAGTGAAAAAAGCGAGGCAATATTCGTCGGTGAAAGACCTTCATACACACCTAGAGAATGCTTTGGGGCACCCGGGGTACTTGCAGTCGAAGGGTCGACACTCCTTGCGCTGATCTTCGTGTACGAGCTCTGCGACACCGTATGTAAGACCGCGAATGTTCGTCAGTGTTTGGCACGTGTACGAGAGGATGGTGAGGTCAACCTTCAGCGTCAAAAACTTACCCAAGATATCCATACTGGAAAGCGTGTTGATGGAAAGGTGATGGGAGATGATGGTGATGATCTTCTGAGTCGAAGAAATAAGCGCCACAAAGTACCGAGGGAGGTCAAGCCTGCCAAAATGTGGGCCGCGGACAATGCTGAGTCGGGCAGTGAGGCGAGCAGCGAAGCAAGGACCGTGAGTGTGGAATCGTCGAAATATAGGAAATGTGGAATGAACCCGGAGGCTTACACGGAAATTTGATGAGGAAGAAGACGGGGGCGACCAAAGTGGTGGAGAGAGGGTCTCGTTATAAGGATCAGGGATCGACTGGGCTTGACGCGGAGGGGAGCTCCACAGCAGAAGTCATCGAGGTGAGACTGCTGTGCGAAGCTCGGCCAGCATAGCAAAATCAGAGAGCAGCTGACCTACTGAAACGGAAACCAAGGAGGAAATACGAGAAACTGTGTTTCTGCAGCCGCCGATAGGGTGTGGCGGAATCTATAGTGCGGTGCCGTGAGCAAGATTGTGCAGGCTCGGGCACGAATTTTGGCCGAATGAAGGCTAGCGCCGCTAGACAGGAAATGCTGATAGCTCAGCACTTGAGCAGAGGCGGTAGGTAGACGAGTGGCTGAATGGGAGGACGGAGTCAAAGCTCAAGCAGCTGATGAGACTGCAGACGGAGAAAGTTAGCCAAGATGCGGACAGAAGACAGAAGCGAGACGGATGTTCAGCTGTCAGCATCTATTCGACAGCAAGCTTCCAAGCAGCAATCCCACGTCTTCTCTGTTTCCCCTTCTGCCCCTCTTTATTGCTTGACGTGCGTGCATGTGCAGCTCTGTTTAGCGCCATTTATTTGTGTGGCCCTTTTCTCCTTTGTCTCTTTCCAGTCCGAGCGCAGAAAAAAAGGAAAGCGACTCATACAATGCCGCTCGCATCCTACAAGCAGTCTGCATATGACAGCATAGCTGACCATCGGCATTGTGTAATCGCTCGTCTTTGAAAAACACAATGCCGGGCGACGTGATCTAGAGCAGATCAGATAGGCCAGCAGGATCCTATTGTGTGGCGAGAGAAATGCTGTGCGAGGCCGGATCGACAAGGGTAAGCGAGGTTTGCAGAGCGATACAAGGGCGCTTGTCGAGGACCCACGTCGAACCAGAGTAAGTGGACTATGATTCACAGTCGACTAGTCTGCGCGGTGGCGATGCCCGCCAACAATGTTGACCAGTTCGAATCGTTGTTGTTCTGTAGGTACATAGGACGAAGGGAGCGCGTCCGCCGTTGCAGCCGCTACAAACAAATGCCGACGTCACCCGAGCTTCGTGTTGCCACTTGCTGACTAGCCGGTGTCTAGCTCCCGACATGGCAACCGCCCACGAGGCGCAGCGCATTGGTCGACAACCAAGATGAAGGTCGGGTGGGCTCGAGAATCTTAGTATTCTTGCCCTCTCGCACAGCATCGCCCCAAGTTGTCGGTGCAGCGAGTGGGCACTGGACCTGGAAAGCTCGGGAAATGAGCGAAGAGCAAAGGGGAGATGCGCATGCAGTACGATTCTGAAAAAAAATCCCCCATGCGATCGGAGACGGCGTGGCGAAGCGGGAAATTCCAAGCCGAGCCAGGTGTCACATCCCTGATCATCAATCCTGAAATGTGTCTTGTCTTTGTATGCTCTCCTGTGGCATCGCTCCCGTCATTCAATTGTTCCTTTACTTGCATTTGCATCGAACCGAAGCAGCGTTCATGCGCGTCCAGATCCTGGTCGCATTCCTCCGAACTCGAAAGACCAGGTCCATGACTCGGATTTGAGGCCAATAAGGAGGTTGATGCGCGCGTCGAACGCTGACATCAAGAGAAAGAAATACATTGGGGCAACATTACGTTGCAGTGGACAGTCCGTGACTGCCACCTCGAATGAGAAACTCTCAACCTTCAAGCGATGGGCGCCAAACGCGCAAGTATGACAGCAAAGCTTACTTCCTCGAGCGCTGGTCGGAAGCGTGTCAACATACGTCGGCGTTGCAGCTAGAGCCCGGACCCATCCGAGTGGGATGAAAACGTCAAAGCGTGGGTATCTCGGTGCCTCTCCTGGAAGTTCGGCAAACTGCTCCGCAAGCTTGGGATTGGCCTGGACTCACGGACCTCGTGTCTCATTGCCAAGGGCACCAGATCAGCACCAGCTGGACTGCATCTGAAAGCCGCAGAAGCCGAGCTGGTGTGAGCAGTGAAGAGGAGTTCGCCACCTTGTCGTTCAAGGCATCATGGTAGCGCTCCGCAGACGGACCAACTGAAGCTGCCGAGCTGCGCTAGCTTGCAAGCTGCGCCATAGCGTGGGAGCATTCCCGTCCATCCAGATGTGATAGGAGTAGGTGAGGTGAGCCTTTCCCGGGCATTTGGCAGGGGCAGTGATGCGTTTCTGCCCTTGCGACATAGCCGAAGCTTTCCAGATTTCGGACCAGGTTTCTGCTCAAGCGAGGCGGTCATATTCCTGGCTTGCTTATCTTGCCCGACGAAGTACACTCGATAGATGTCGAGGGTTTCGTATTCAACAGAGCAAGGATCCCTGACTTTTCATGACGGCATGGCCTCCGCCGAAATGAAGTCTTGTCAGTCCGGACCGGTCGTGTCGAGCGGCCTTGCGATGTCTGTGAGCCCGCGAAGATGTCACTGATCGCCTTCGTGGTGCCTGCAAGGGCAAACAGACCGAATGCCGTTCAACGTCGTTGCGTCGATCTCGATGCGAAACTCAGTAGGGATGTAAGGCCAATCCGTCGGAAGGCTCCCTACGGCACGGACCTTTCTGGTCTAGGAAAAGCAGGGATCCTCGAAGACGCACAATCTCAAGTGTGACGGCTTGATCTGCAATTTTCGCATGTGTCCGTTGCGATGACGGTGTTCGTTCGAGGGCAGAGGCTTTCGAGCTTGAACTTTCGAGGCCGTATGTAACGCAAGCAAGCAAGAATAATTATGCGATAAATGTTTGGAGTTTGTCCGCGAACGTCCCGTCATTGACCGCAGGCTCCATTGTTCAAGTAAGTTAGCGTTGATGAGGGGTTTGACAGATTCGCTTAATCCCTGCATCCGCGACGCGGGTCGCGACAGAGCCGAGTGCCACATCCGCATGATCCACTGCCTCGTCAAGTTGTGCGATACATCGTACATCGATTGTGCTGCAGAGATAGATCCGGAACAGTATTGAACAGCGTTCTGAACAGCGTTCTGCGCCCTCCAGAGATAGGAGGTGTGTTTCTGGCTCATGTGAACCGATTGATCGTCCTGACTGCTTGTACGTCACGCATGACGCTCTCTCGGGCCGACAAGATAGGCCCCGCCTTTCGGGCCTGATTTCCTCAACCTGAAAAGGATCTGCGTCAGTCAATCGATTCGGATAGGTGTAGGGACGCATTGACGTCGCGCTGTTTCGGTCTGTGCCACGGTATACGACTGGTCGGTGAAGCATGTGTGTCCAGGACACGGCCTGCGTGAAGGATCTTGGCGGTCGTGCCGAAGGACTCTTTTGCTTGACTTTTGTTCGGTTCTGAAGCAGTTCATGCCCAAAGATAAGTTGCCGATAGTTCTAAGAGACGCGCACTGGCCAATTTTGGTCGGCAAGCCTCTGAACGTCCGAGAGATCCGAGCCTGGGCTTTCATTTCGTCCATCACTGCAGAAAGCATGTGCCAGTGCAGCGGTGCAAGAGACCGGATTCAGCACAGAATAAAGGCGGCAGAATTTCAGATGCACACGCTCGAAGCTCCGGAGCGACGAGACCGTGCGAGTCGGATGCGGGTGCCGCATGCCTGGCTGTGAAAGTGGCTCGGGCGTCATGGTCATGCAATCGCTGCTGCTTTGTCGTGCTGGTCACTAACAACTGTTGAACACGATTACGTGGTTGCAGGGACGCGTCGCTCGAGCCGCTGCTAGAAGTCATTTTGAGCGGCCGGCGATTCGTTGCGAGACTGTTTGAGAAGTTGCGACAACCTTTTGAACCCGGAGAGACTCGCTCGAGAGCTACCAAGTGCAGGGAAAGTGTGATTTGATCGTCAGCTGATCAAGCGCACGGAATGTGTGGCCAGATTTTGGAGAAGGCGAGCAGTAAGCGAGGCAAGTGTTAGAACGCAGCACATCCGCAAAAGACTGTGAAAAGGGGTCCATTTCGTGACACATGAGCCGTGTGGCTACCGTTGCTGTTGATCGTTTGGAAAATGCGAATAGTCTGTTGGGCTATGCCAGCTGCAAGCCGGGATGATCAATGATAACATTGACAAGAGGCTGAAAGAGAGGAGCGCCACGTGCGAAGTCGTCGGCCTCGGCCCATGCGAGGATCTCTTGGGCGCTTTGGACATCTTGATGCCCGTTGGCGTGGGGCGGGGAGGCGACGGATGGCCTTCTTATGCTGCTTCCCATCGGACCAGTTGTCGTTGGTGAGCCAAAGCTTGAGACGGGATCGGTCTCGTCGGCTTCTTGCAGGGCTTGAGCAAGGCTCTCGGCCTCGAGGAGCTTGTCGATGGACACCGGTAGCGATCGACCCTCGGATGCGGCAGCGAGCTGCAAGAGTTGGAGCTCCTGCTGTCGATGCGCAGCACGGAAGAGGTACGATACGGGAATCCAGCACCAGCCGAGACATTTGCTGGGCTCCATGATCTGAGCCTGTGCCACCGGATTTTCAGGATCGTATCGGACGCTTGCTTTCATAAAGATGGTGACGTAGTGCTTTCCGTTTCCCTTCTCGCCGTAGTCCTTCATGCGAACCGAATTCTGGGCTGTGAGAAACTGCAGAGGCGTGGGAGGTATACGTGGCACGAGGTCGTCGAGTGGCTTCGATGCTGCCGCGGCCGAAGGTGACGCCGAGTCAAAGGGGGACGGCGACAGCGCGGTGGACGCCAGGATAGGCTGTGAGGGAGACTGCGGCCCAAGGTGCGCATGTAGAGATGGTGGCGATGGGACGAGCAGCTCGGATTGAGCCTGAGACTGCGGCGGCTCGAGAACGAGACCAGTCTCCTCGAACGTCTCACGGGCGGCACAGTCGTAGAATGACTCGTGCAGCTCGAGGTGTCCGCCTGGAAGAGCGAGTGTGCCCGCGCCATGACTGCCTGTGCGTCTGCCGATGAGCACATGACCCTTCTCGTTGAGCACAAAGACGGCAACGCCGACACGAGGCACGACGGTGGCATCCGATACGGGCTGGCTCGAGATGCTCGGTGACATTGTATGCGCTTGCATGCTTGCCTACCGTCGGAGCGGTCGGGCTCGAGAAGCTGAGCGGCCCTGTTGGTCGGAAGTGCAGCGTGGCACTGACGTCGACTGTCGGTTGTGATCCGATACCGCGGCAAGAGCGTTGGCTGCGAAAAGTGCTGTAGCTGAAGGAGGCGGCCGTGTCTGTGACGAAGATGGTGTCGGGATGGAAGTAGAAGCCTGAGCCACGGGTCGTCGTCCATACGACAGGGTTCCACCGACTTCAGGCACTTTTGACGTCAGAAGGTCAGCGCCGGCGACAGCAAACTTCGGCCTCGGATGTGGACGGAATGCGCACGGCCAGCAGTCGGAGCGGTCGAGGAGGATGAGTGTGCGAAAAGGGGCGCCAGCAGTTGCGAAATCGGTGGCGGATCGATCCACAGTGTGTTGCCAGTGTCACAAGTTCAAGCCACCAATCTTGGATGCAAGCTGGTCGGTTGGGCTGAATATGGGAAACGCGGGCTTGTGCAGACGTCTCGTTTTGGTGGCAACGTGAGTCAGAGATTTCTCGTTGTTCGGCGATACGAGATTCCAGCACCGGCGACGCTGCAGACGTGACTGCCGATTCAAGGGTGCAGTGTGGCTTGATCGACAAAACCAAGCCAACCAAGCAAGCGCTTTTGCCTCGATTGCAATGGCGTGGCTGGAGCAAGGCGTAGCGAGACGTGTTCGGTGGGTCGCAAAGCGAGCTTGCTCGACGGAAGTCACAGCGCGGCATGCATGGGGGATTGAAACCTTAAAGACCCTTCATAGTGTAACTAAGTTAGCTGAGGTAGCAATCAAGGGTTTCGCCGGAATTTCCGTTCGGCAGCGCGTACTGTAGCCGTTTCGCGATTGGTGTGACGAGTTCGGATCTCATTCGGCTCGCGTCGCTCGCCTCATGGGAAGGGCCGCCTGCATCCGAGCTTTTCGCAAAAAGCACATTTTGACATCTCCTTTGCCACTCGGACCTTTGCTATCAGAAGGAGAAAAGCACGATTCGCGACGGATACGTCTCAAACTCGAGGTGCGTCTCTCCCTTGACGCGTCGCCGTCAACTCGGCGCCGGAGCATACTGGATCCAACTTGCAGCACCAGTGTGATTAGTGAGTCTGTAGAAGGATCTCACCGGGATCACAGCAGCGCATCAAGGACATGCGGTGAACCGCTCTTCCCGAATGCCACCTTTAGGACCTTGGAGCAGCTCTGGTCATTCTCATTGTTTCGCCAGGGATTTTTGGATCCGCATTTCTGAGGCTTCTTTTCCTCTGGCGAAAGGGACGCGGCATTTCGTTCTCGTGAAATTGCTCGTCTGCACAACTCTCGTCGATGCTGTGTACGCTATTTCCATGATGTAAGATCCGTACTTTGCACCTCTTTTGTGATTTTCACGAATCCAGTGCAGAGATCAACACAGGCAGGCAGGCGAGGCTGCTGTCGTTGACGCTCGGCGGTGTTGATCTGCAGTTGGCCTGCAGCAAGAAGGCCTGTTTGACGTGTTGGATGCGCTAACAGCGCTTCGGCTGTGTACATTGTTACGCGGTGCCTACACTGCATCTCATCTTGGCAAGAGTGACAGACACCTCGAGCTTGTCAATCCTCCTCCATCACCTTCCAGACATTCTGTGATTGTCGACGTTCTTTTCTTTTCCAACAGCTTCGAGGAGCTTCTTCAGGCGCAGTCAAAGCACCGCGCATTGCCGCACTCTAAGCCGCAACAGGGCAGCGACGGTGCTTCCGACTGCCTCCACTCGCTTGGTCGGGACAAAGCCCTCTCTGCTGACCATCCAGAAACATGTCGGGACAAGCACCTTCCCTTCCCAGCCTGCCTTCTGGCTTCGGCACCGACTCTTCCTACCCGCCCATGCCAGGCAGCACTCGTATCACAGCGTCGCAACCAAAGCCGGCATCGGCAGTGCCTGCAACTGTACCTGCTCACCAATCGCATCGGTCGGGTGCGCCGCCTCTGCCTCCTCTGCCGCCTGGAGCGCTTGAAAGGGAGCAGCAGCGTCTGAGACATCATTCCGCTGCTTACTCTTCCTCACCATCCACCATCTCCGCAAATCTGAAGCCAGGACAGCTTGTACACGCTCCCGCACCTCCACCACCTTCTCAACACGTTACGCACGCCTCGTCCTCCCAACAACGTCACTTTGTCGGCGGCTTTGCATCACCGCATCAGCAGCAGCGTGCATCGACGCCCGTAGGCGCTGCTCCAACTGGCCCTCCCCCACCCACAATACCCAAACCTTACCATGGGCTGGTCAACAATATGCAAGCCATGTCGCTCAACCCTGGTTCACAAGCACAAGCCTCCTCGGCGAGGAGGGCGAGTGCAAACGACCTCTACGGCAGTCACCAAAGGACAACTCACCAAACACATGATTCTCACCAACCTCCTCCCTCCTCGGGACCTCCCAGCTTAGCAGCTCCACTTCCGGACATGGCTTCGCTGGCAGCGCAGTACGAAAGAGCTAGGAACGACGGCCAACGTCTCACTTGGGCCAAACAGGTGCTCAAGTATGTCGAACGCAACTTCGCCGACGGCACAAAGATCAGCGAACCCAATCTGGTCAAGTGGACCGACGAAGCCATCTCCATCATCACCGCCAACGCCTCGTCTCCGCGTCCCGAACCTGAAGCGCTCTTCTTACGAGGCGACCTGCAGGCGTCCGGCGCTTTCCCCACCTATCTCGCCAAGAATCTCAAGGAAGCGTTCAACGATTTCGAACTTTCCGCTCGCATGGGCTGGGCTCCCAGCTGGTTCCGAATCGGCCGTGATTACGAGGTGCTTGGCGATCTCGCCCGCGCCAGAGATGCGTACGAGCGAGGAGTACACGTAGCGGATGTCGGCTGCATCTACAGGATGGGGATGGCCAATCTGCTCGCTCAGCTTGAGCTACCTACCAGCTACCCTAGAGCTATCGCAATACTACGCGATGCCGCCGACAAGGCCGACCTCGACACACCCCAACCAGCATACATCTACGGCATGCTGCTCGCCGGCGAATTCTCCCACGTCGACATTCCGTCCCACTTGCTCAGACCTGCCAACGAACCGGTGTCTGCCACCGAAGACGAGGCGCGGCGCCGTATTCAACGCGCTGCATATCTCAACTTTGCGCCGGCGCAGTTCAAATGCGGCTGGCTGTTCGAGTATGCGCAGCTCGGGTGCGCATTCGATCCTCTGCTCAGTGTGCAGTATTACAGCTTGGCATCGCAGGGAGGCGAGGTGGAGGCCGACATGGCTCTGTCCAAGTGGTTCCTCTGTGGAGCCGAATCTTTCTTTGAAAAGAATGAACAGCTCGCCTACACATTTGCAGACAAGGCAGCACGCAAAGGGCTTGCTTCGGCCGAGTTCGCACTCGGCTACTATCACGAGGTCGGTGTCGGGACGGAGAGAAACGTCGAACTTGCCAGAAAGTGGTACAGGAAGGCGGCTGCGAAGGATAATACAGATGCTCGTGAGAGGCTGCAAGCATTGCAGGCTCCACAAGCACTCGGCATCTCGCGTCAGCAACACGAAGCAGTCATGGACGACAAGCTGGTGCGCAAGCGCACTCAAGCCAAGATGCTCTCGGATCGCGAGGGTCGCAGTCCCGTCTTTGAGCGTGATCAATACCTTGGAGCCGGCGCCAGCACGGGCAGCGGCCAGGGTGGCAGTGCTGGGCAACGAAGGCCGAGCGGTCCCGTCAATGGCCCCACCAACACCAACAATGGCCGACTCGCACCGAATGCTGCTGGTGCCAGTGACTTTAAGAGCAATAACAACAACCTCGAGCTGTCGAGAAAGAAGACGATGAAGATGGTTGAAGAGACGGCCGCCGGACGCAAAAGGCCAAATTACGGGTTCGAAGGAAGACCGAGACGAGACGCAAGCACCGCGCCTTCAATGCCAACCACATCTGCTGCTCCAAAGCAGCAGACGCGGCCCGATGGTCCCCCTGCCGCTTCCGCCGCTCCTGCGCCCACGCATGCTGGTCGCATTCCCTCAGGCACGCAAGGGGCGTCAACAGCGGGCCGCCACGGAACTGGCTATACCCTGAACGACGGCAGATCCTCGCACTCCAAGCCGCAATCAGGCACCCTTCCGCCGTCGTCCAACACCTCGGCTGCAAATTCCAAACAGTCGTCTGGGTCCGACGATGCGTCCAAAAAACCGTACAACACATTCGCAGAGATGGGATTTGCGCCCCAGAAGCAGTCCAAAAAGGACGAATGCGTCATTTGTTAGCCCTTCAGACAAGCAAACCCTGTTTCGCGCAATGGCAAGCCCCTCTTCATCCGCGATCGAAAATGTCTGCGTCCATTGCATTGCATGTGCTGATTCCCTTCCCTCGGGCCATTTCACTTCTTCTTCCCCTTCTCCCCGACCCCGAACCTCTCCAACAACACTCCCGTACACGCCAACAGAGCCTCTCTTTCTTTGTCCTCTGCAAACCCGCCTCCCGCCCACCTAACTTTTCCCACTTCATCCACCAGATACGTATACCCAACGTGTTTATTATGATACCCCAAGGCATCCTTTAATAGCTCGATGTTATCGCTACTCAGGAGATACGTTGGATGAAGTTCGGGGGGGATTTGAGAACGGAGGGAGGAGATGAAGAGGCTTACAAGGTAGCTCTTCAGCGGGTTTTGTTGGAGGTTGATTTGTACCAACTGGAAGTTTGGATGACCTGAGAATTTGGCGATTGTGGGAGAGTAGAAGGATTTGGTGTGTTCTTCGGAGATCTTGCTGCCTAGGAGGGAGATGATGGAGATCTTGTTGCGCAGTATGGTGGGGGTGGAAGTTTTCGATTTGTCCGAGAGACGGGTACCGGTGAACTTGGGAAAGTACAGAGAGCGATCGGCCTTGATGAGTGTAGGTGGAGCTCTCCACGTTTTCCCACCGTGCGACTTGATTGCGTGAAAATCGTGGAAATATCCCCGAGTCGCTTCCTTAACGATCGCCTGTCTCGATGCCATACGATGTTCCGTAGATACTAGGCGATCACGTGTCTCTGCCCACGTCGAAGCCGACGACGATGGCGGAGTAGGCACTCCGATCGCGAAGGAGAGATACGGTAGTGGAAGCGTGTTGAGTTGTTCCGGTGACGACGATGATTCCCGAACCAGAGGTTTCCCTGTCGAAGTTGGCGTTTGTGAGGTCGATGCTGATGCTGATGATGGAGGTGTTGCTTCGTTCGGTGAAGACTTGTTCAACGCAACAGCGCTAGATGTGAGCATACGAGTTGGAGCACCCTCCTGCCGCAGAGCAGATCCGACCGCTGACCGCGACGAACTAGACGCAAGCGAGCGCAACATGTTCCCCTTAAGTTGTAAGCCGAACAGTATGGATGAAAGAACGGCGGTGAAATGACAAGCTGATTGATGGAAAGGAAAGCATACAAAACAAGAAAACCGGTTGCGTGGTTTACCCACAAAGTTGCCTTTTCTTCCCGACCAGCGCTCACGTTCCTCTCCGATTTCCGAATATTCCCTCACCCACTCCTGGACCAGCGCACATTCCACATTGCCTTCAACACAACACTCGCCGTGGAGGAAAGTGTACACGATCGCGCTCTCCAAACGTCACATTCATAGGTATACATTGCAGTTACTGCTACATCTGTCTGTGAAAGCTACAACGATCCAGTCGGCTACGCGCTCGACAGTGCAGTCATGCTGAAAGGATCCGACCTCCTCTCACCTTCGCTACCCGGCGTGCCCGGGTTGCTGCTCGTCATGCTCAATCCAAACCGACCCGCCGATCCTCCTCCATCTCTGAAGCTGTTGCTCCTGCTCGCCGTCCTGCTGCTATTCGCCGAGGCCAGGCTCGACGCGTTGCTGCTGAGACTCGCACTCCTCGCCCTCTGCGCCATCCCGCGGGGAGCCGGCTCGGGTTGCATGAGCGGGTCAGGTGCGCCTGCAGAGCTGTCTCTGCGTGATCGTACTGGAGATGACCCGTGACGAAGCGATCCGTTGCGCGAGCCAGTGCCGCTGTTTGTCATGGATGAGGAGCCGATTGAAGATGTGTCCGAGGCCAGCGAGCTACCGTGACGAATCGAAGAGCGTCGCTTGGCCGTACGGTTGAGATCGCTACTCGCGCCCGAAGCGCTGCGCATGATACTCGACCGCGATCCGTTCCTCGCCCTCGACTTGACCGCCGGTGGCGAAGAGGTCGGCATGCCAGCTGTCAGTGCGGCAAGTCCATCTTGACGAGCAGTGATCGAGCTGTTGCGCGTCATCAACACGGAACTCGCATCGATCGTTGCCGACTCGGTCTGGGAACGTGCCCGCATCCTTCGCCTCAGCGAATCAGAATCGTTCGATCCGCGCGAGATGGAATCCCTCTCTGAATCCTGCCGTAACTCCTCGATGTGGTCATGGTGGTAAGTAGAAGCAACAGGCGCTGAAGCTTGTCGTGCGAACGACGAACCTCCGCGGAACGATGGTGGCTGCGATTTGCGACCTAGCTCTGCTTTCGCAACGTGCTTTGCACTGCTCCGTGGATCGTCGTTGCGTGATGCCGAAGCTGCTCGCCGCATCGACGGCTCAATCTGAACCTCACCAGAAGGAACGCTGTGGCTGTATGCATCGGCACTGCTTCTGGGACCTTCTTGCGACGGGCCAGGATCCGGGTAGGTAGCAGAGCCACCGACTGATCCGTCTGCATCCAGGTCTGGTGAATCTGGCACAAGCTCGATTCCGCTCGAAGTCGACGTAAAGTTCTTGCCGCTAGCACCAAAGTCGGAACTTCTTCGTAAGCCGGAGCGCAGATTCTTGCCCACAGTTCCACTCAGGCTGCTGAGTCTGCCAGGAACGCTGTGACTCGGAGACGCCGTATTCGATTCGGATTCGGACTCGTAAGACCCGTTCAGGTCAAGATCGCCGGTGCTGCGGAGTGGCGAAATCGATTGGTCACGCAATGCAGAGCTGGCGAAACTTTCCCCGCCGGGTGTGGTGACTGGACTCGCGTCGCGAGACGACGGACCGGGCGAGCTGGGGAGAGCGTCGGATGCGGAAGCGGACAACTTTCTGCGAGTGAGTTTGCTAACGATGCCCCTTCTTGCATCTTGATATGAGCCGGCATCTTCGCTGGCGCGCCTGCGCTGCGCAACACGCGCAGCCATGACCACGTTGATGCTATCTGCGGACGGCGTCGCCGCCCCGAATATTCCACCCATGGGCGTGCCAGCACCGCTCGGCGTTGGACTCGATGGTGTCCCATCAGCTTGGTTTGCTGATGGACGCAAAGGCGACTGACCGCCGGGTCGCAACATCGGACGTCGTCCGCTCTCGGTATCGACTTTCAAGACGGGCGCCGTTTTGAGCTCCTGCTCTGTGAAGGTGATAAGCGGCGCAGCGGGCATCTGCTTGCGCACGGAAGAAGCGGCTTGGACAGCTGGTAACGGCGCGCCGCCTGATTGCGCTTGCTGTTGCAGCTGCACATCCGTCATGCCAACGTTGCCCGGCGGGTTGGCACCAAGGGGAGAGCCGAGGTTGCTCTGGCCAAGGGCCATGCCGAGGGCAGCAGCACGTTGCAATCTGGCTCTCCTCTTCCTCCAGTCCCAGTCCCTCCCTGCAGCAGCCGTGCTCTGAGTGAAGCGCTCGAAGCGGAATCCGGCTAGATCTTCTTGTTGCTGGTCATACTTGGCATCCGGGGAGACGAGCGTCGGAGTAAGGGCCTGAGCGTTGGCTTTGAAAGCTGCAAAGCGCGTCGCCGCCTCGAGACGCTCGCGAGCACGAACGTGAGTGTCGGTATGAGGAAGCCAATCGGGTTCAACAAGCTTGATGCTTCGCACTTTGGTGTGGGGCGACCACGGGGTTTCAGGGTCTGCCCGGCTTGAGCGGATCTGCATGTCCGAAGGCTGATAGGACGGGGGAGCAAGGACGCCGTAGGCCTGCAAGAACTCTTGTTGCTGCTGTTGCAGAAGAGCCGGATCTGCTCCAGGCCCTGGGCTGACGAGGATGGGCAAAGACTCCCTGCGCTCCACAAGGCTGTGAGATATGTCAATCTCTCGCAGCGAAGCTGTGCGAAAGGTCTGTGGTTGGCGCTTGAGGATGGACGGGGCTCTGCCGAGAGAAAAGGTGCTGGAAGTGGGTGAGGGGCTTGGAGACATATCATCACCGAACGCCGAGGCGTGACCCAGCGCCGCCGAGATAGAAGATGATTCGGACGCGATGCTTGGAGTGTCAGGAAGCTGGTCGCGATCGCTGGCTGCATGCGGGCTCAGCGTGGAGGAGCTGAATGAATCTTGAGTGGCGGCTAACCTAGGAGAGCCGGTGCTGGCATGAGTCGCTTCGGAGCTGGTGACACTCGAAGCACTGTTCCTCTTGTTCCTCGCAGCTGCTCGGGCCAACGGCGACCGCACATCCACGGGACGAACGCGCGCTGGTCGGGTTGGAAGAGCTGCTCCAGGACCGAGCGGCGATCTGCTTGGACTAGCTGTGTGAAGTCTACCGCTCTCCTTGCGGCGGCGTGAGCCAGAAGGACCAGGTGAGCTGGAAGAGTTCCGTTGTACAGCAACGGTCAGAGCGGGTGTGGTGCCAACAGGACTGTCGGGCGTGCTCGACTCGGAAGGTGAGGTGTGAGAGACAGGAGCTGGCCAGAAGGAGCGGCGGGTGGGGGGCTCAAGATCGACCTGCATAGGATGCTCGCAAAGGCTACTTGTAGGGTCAGAGGAGGTGATGCGGACGATGCTCGAGCGTTTGGAAAGGGTATGATCGTTTCTGCCGAGCATCTTGCGAAGCGCCAGCCTCTCTTTGGAACTGACAAGAAAGCCAGACGAGCGAGTAGAGTCGTCTTCGTCTTCGTACTCGTCGCTATCCAGGTCTTTGTCGAGACTCTCAGAGTGGGCACGGTCGGATATGTTGCGGAGTCGCGAGATCGTATTGCTCTGACCAGCGCCTGTTGTGAAGAAGACGAGATAAATGAAGCAGAAGACAGCTGCGATCAGGACAGCAGAGGCAAAGGAAGATGTCCATGTTGCAGTACCTCTAGACCATATGTCCCCTGTGCCTAGGATGTTTTTGGAGAAGAGACGATGCTTCATACCGAGCTGAGATTTCAGCGGCAACCATCCGCGCTGCCCTGATATAGAAGTCGGTGCAGCAGCGGCTAGCGACGCAGTGGCCGTCGCCAGGTGCACGGCCTCCATGATGCCAGCCCGAGATTCTTATTTGAAAGATGTCCGATGGTGGGTGGGCGAGCGCGTTGCCGAAAAGAGGCTTGGTGCGCTCGATCAACGTCTAGACTTGCATGATGAGTGCGAACAGCAATGATGAGCGGCCCTCGATGAAGAGATCGGGTTGACGCTAGCACGCGAAATGTGGATGGACCCTGCGCCCCGGAACAGGCGTGATTGAGGAGAAACCGTCGAGCTCGCCGCAGAGACGTGCTACAGTATTCCGAGATTGCGGATGGTTCCGTGATGATGGTGGTGGCTCACCGAGCAACGGATGGAGGAGCGTTATTCGAGAAGAGCAAAAGCAAGAGCAAAAGTCAAGAGCAGGAGCGAGACCAGCAGGGTGTCGTCGGTTGCGGATCCTTCGGCTAAACAGACGGCTGCAGCACCAGACGCCGCCGCCGATTGTGTGTGATGCCAAGTTCGCGGTTAAAGAGCCGTGTCGGGAACAGCCGATTTCACGCCGTGGCCCACTGTATGAAATTCCATCGATTCTCGGCTGCCACTGTAAAGTGACCCTTCCCGCCTTTTTCGGCTGCTTCTTTGGAGCACACAGGGTCTCTTTGAATCTCTGCTAGTCGGCCAACCCCGCGTTCATTTCACCGTGCAACGCTGCCTCAGTGTAAATCTTCTTCGTTGACACAACGGGATCAGATCCGGTCTTCGCTTGACAGTCTGAATCGAATTGAATCGTGAGGCCGTTTTGCAGATTCCCGAGAGCGATGACGACCAGGCTACGGCACCATGCAACATGCAGTTGTGACCAGCCAGGCTGTCGGAAAAGTATGAGTTGACTCAGAAGAAGAAAAGAAGAAACTGGAGCGTGAAATGTACGAATTGCAGATCGAGAAACATTTCGAAATCTTCGGATTCATCCGAACCCCGCAACAGCGGGCATCAATCTACCTATCCAGGCTCTGCGGCATCGACTTCGTCGTCAACAAGATGGTCAGCTAAGATGCGCCATGATCATTTCAAATACATGTAGATCCTCCATGGCATCCTGTGGCGTCGTTTTCAGGTCGTTGCCCGAGGTCAACGCTTGGTGAAGCTCCAAGAATTCGGTGGTGTATGCATCCTGGTAGGTGCTTCGAATAATGCGTTCCGAGTAGTGGCCGTTCTCGTCGTTCTCCTTGACGGTCACATTGATGGGCAACCCTTTGACGTAAGGCGTGTCGATGTCGATGCGCAAGACACGGTCGTCGGTGAAAACCTCCAAGAAAGACTCAAACACGCCCACATTGTGGATGCCCGTGGTGTAGAGCACGTTGAACTTGTCGTCGCCCTTGTTGGCGCCGCGATTGGAGTACTCGAACGAAACCGAGATGAACATGCCATCGCTGCTCGCGAATGCAGAGAGGCACTTGTCCGGCTTGCCGCCGAGTGCCTCGCGCATGAAGCTGAGGTCGTGGCTTCCGAGTGATCCCAACAGCCGATACACGAATGCGAGTCGTGCGTCAGACGCCTTTTTCGATCCTATTGCCTCTGCCAAGATGGCTTTTGCGCGGGCAGCCTTGTCCTTGCCATCGCTGTCGGAAATGTCGGCGCCAAACTTCCTCGGATTGGTGCCTGACTGGGAGACAAAGAACGAGTTGGGTCCGATAATGTCCTTGACGATGGCGTGTCGGATGGGCCCGGACTCGGCGAGAAGCTTTTGGAAGAGCGCAAAGGCCGGAGCATAGCGACGCATGTAGCCAACAAAGATCTTTCGTTGGTTGCGTTTGGCTGCCTCTTGAATCGCTGTAGCATCGGGGCGTGTCAGTGCCATAGGCTTCTCGATAAAGACATGCTTGGCCGCGTTGGCCGCCTCGATGGCACAGGAGGCATGGTATTCGTCGCTATTGGCCACTAGCACGAGATCGATGTCGTCCCTCTGCACCATCTCGGAGCTCGATACGTAGACGTTGGAGATGCCCCACTTTGCGGCAACATGTTGTGCCGCCTCGCGCGAGACGTCGCAGATGGCGACCACCGTGTACTGATCCGACAAGAACTTGAGCGTTGGCAGATGCACCACCTGTGTCACTTCGCCCGCACCGACCACGCCTACTCTGAGTCTCTGCGGCATCGACATAGCGGTGCTGACAGTAGCGTTGAGAGATTTTGTCTTGCAATCTGGATGAGCCGTCGAGCTAGTTGTGACTTCAGAGTTGAGAAGATCGGTGGAATTCTTCATGTCGCTCGTTCGGGAGGGATTAACACCTGGTCCGAGCGTGCTCGTTGCTCAATATCTGTCTTGCACATCCGAGTGGTGTGCATCAATCATCATTCGGTCACATACAGCTACACGTGCTCCTTTGCCTTAGTGGCGTTCGTCTTTATCCTGGCAGCCGATGACGATCAACAAGAAGATTCGCGGATTGCAAACTGACTCACGGCTATCGGTGAGCAAAGCGGAGAGCCCGAAAGAATCGCGGTGATGTGCCCGATGGCGGCGTGGGATGTGACTTATTTACGCTCTTGTGACGAAACAGCTGCACGAAGGAAAAAAAACAGGTTCGGCCTCCACTTTGCAGGCGGAGCGAGAAGAGGTCATGCGGCCTCGCACTTGCTCTCGCTGCAGCGCCAATGTCCCGCACGCGGCGATCTCAACACACCCGACGCAGGCACTGAAATGGAAGCCACGGCGAATGGTGTCATTCCGCTTCGCGAAGGTGGCAGAAGCTGCAGGCAAGGCTTCCATACTGCCGCTCATCTGCGGGTGGCGAAACGAGTCCGTGCGGCCCTGCCGCTGCCGTTTGACACAACGGCCCAGCTCAATGATGCAAAACCAGCTGCGAGCGCGTTGACTTGCCCCGTTCGCCGAGACGTCTACGAAGCCACTCTCGATGTGGAACATATATACCTGAGCTGTTCGATAGAATTCTGATACTTGATCTAACTACACCTTCCACCCATCTATCGAATCTATCTTTTCCACCTCAACCCTCACCAATTATTACCAAAATGTCTTTCACCGACAAGATCAAGGCTGCCATCAAGGGCGACGTCAAGGAGGGCGCCAAGCTCGAGACCGGCATCAGACTCAAGGAGAACAACCCTGAACAGGCCGACGTTTCGCTCGATGGCCTCACGGGCAAGGCGATCATTGTGGGTGTTCCCGGTGCCTTCACACCTCCCTGCTCGTCGCAGGTGCCCGGCTACATCCAGCACGCCTCGGAGTTCCAGTCCAAGGGTGTCAACGACATCTACATTGTTGCCGTCAACGACCAGTTCACCGTCAAGGCGTGGAAGGAGAAGCTCGGCGGCGACAGCGCTCCCAACGTCCACTTCCTTGCCGACGACACCGGTGCCTTCACCAAGGCTGTGGGTCAGGACTTTGACGCCAGCGGTTTGCTCGGCAATCACCGATCCAAGCGATACGCGTTTGTCGTCGAGGGTGGCGTCGTTCGCAAGGCCTTTGTCGAAGATAACGCTCCCGATGTCACCGTCACTTCGGCTGACAACGTCCTCAAGGCTATCTGATTCGCATCTGTTTGTACAAGTTTTGTATCCGATGCAATGATACCTCTGTTTCCTTTCAATCTTTCCTGACTGCGATGATCGGGGCTGCCAGTGGTCTTTGGTTGAGAAACGAAATTCGCCGTCGTTAAGAAGTGGCGTGCAAGTCATTTTGAGTCGAGCAGTGCAGATGCAACTTGCAACTTTTGTGTTGAATTCAAGAAATTCATTGGGCACGGATCACCAGCTTCATGGCCTGCGCTTCCTATCGTTCTTCTCACCAACATCGTCAATACTTGCGCAGAAGAAGGATCAAGCTCTCTCGAGACAGTCAGAGTGGACTGCCATGTACGGCCGAGCTGGCTCGAGTCGTGATGGCGCAAGCACCGATTCGGCCCCTACCGATGGTCGACTTGATCCATGTTCGGCATCTCCTCATGCTCGGATGAGCCGAAGAAAGTCGCGCTCACATCATTCAGCATCACGATCACGTTCACTGTCAGACGCCTCCATGTCGTCTCGCTCGTCGCATTCTCCATCGCATCCCCACAGCTCACGGTCTCGATCGCCATCGCCTCGCCAAAACTCTGTGGGCGTTAGTGCCGACCGTCTGGACTCCAAACGTCGCACAAACAAGACAGCATTACGTATCGACTTCTTGACCCACAACGTGCGTGAGTCGCATCTACATCACATCTTTGGCTGGTACGGTCAAGTGGAACGTGTTCACCTCACACCGAGTAGAGGCACAGGCAAGGAGCGCGATGGGTCCGCCTATATCTTCATGTCTTGCGTCGAGGAGGCGGCAAAGGCGGCACTGTACATGAACGGTGGCCAGATCGATGGCGCCAGCCTGACCATCAAGACTTGTGAGCCGCCAACGGATCTCCCCAGTCAACGGCCGGAAATGCGCAGCAGGGATAGACCGCCAATCGGCATCGCCAGCAGAGATCGACGTGCTGTTCGCCACGAGCCATACAGAGCGGGCACGGAATGGCATTCGCATCGAGAAAGGGAAGATTCATCGCGCGCCATGCATCCAGACCGTCATCGAATGATTTCCACTGGTAGGCAGGATTCGCTTCGAAGTAGCAACGGTTACGACCAGCCGGCACCGATGCGAAGGTGGGGTCACCCCAGTGATTCACGACACGACTCGGCACGAGGCAGAGATCGCTCGGCATCACCTCCTTTGTCGCCGCGAAGAGGCTCCCAACGACGATCTTCCGAGGCCATGCGTGCTTCACCCTCCTACTGACCTGGCTTCTTGCGCCTCCAGCTCCTGTATTCTAGCTCTTTCATTCTTTCTCACAATCGGACACGATTTCACACCAAGCTCTCTCTGCGTTTGTCAGGCGCTGATGTGTGATTTCGACGCATTTTGAATCGCTAGCTTCAACGCTTTTTGCGCGAACCGCCTTTTCTGCTGCTCGAGCTGCTCTTGGATGCGGGACCGTCGCGATGCTCGTCGGCATCTCGATCTTCGGGTGCGGATCGTTTGCGACTGGATTTGCTGCTGCTGCTGCCGCTCACGCCTGCCGCGGGTCCCGTGGGGATGGCTGGTTCGTCCATATCTCTGCCTGCTCTACGTTCCGATCTGGCTTGACTCCTCGCCTCTCTTTCGCGCTCCTTGTCCTTTTCCCGTTCGCGATCACGATCGCTGCGGTCTCGATCGCGGTGGGACGAGGAGGACTCGCGTTCTCGTTGCGAATCGGATCGATGGGACGAAGATCCTCCGCCGGTGGCGCGACGACGTCGACCGCTCGCCGACGATTGAGAGGCGGCATCGTCGTCCCATTCGTCGGCTGCGGTACGTTTGGATGAACGGCTCGACGAGTTGGCGCCGCGACGCGAGCTGTGGCCGCCGTCGTCGTTGTTGTCGCGACCGTTGGCGCTCGCTGTGTCGTGATCGTAGGTTCCTTCGCGTCGACTCCGGCCTGAAGAGCCAGCACCACCGCTGCGTCGAGTGTTGCGATCTGGGCTACGCTCCTTGGAGTCCCATCCATCGGTGTAGCCTCGGTCATCATCGCCGCCTCCGCCTCCGCCTGCAGTGGCGCCGTAGTCGAGAAGATCGGCAGCGCCAGCGCCAGTATCGCGATCGTTGTAGCGTTTGCCCGGATTCTTAGGCCCGGACGGGACGTTCGGCGGAAGGGTTGGCGAGACTGCTCGTGGAGCGCGCGAGCTGCTTGGCGCGCTGCCCGCAGCCGCAGCCGCGCGTCCCCGAATCGAGGTCCCTTTCGCCGCCGCCGGTCCCGACGGCGCCGTTTTGGGCGGGCCGGGCTTGGTGGGTGGAGCTGAAGGGGTCCTTCTGGCGTCGGAAGCGTCGTTGATGCCGCTCGGTACAGGGAAGCCAGCGGCAGCTGCTTGCGACGGATCGACACCGGCAGCGCCCAAGAAGAGCGACATGTCGGCTTCTGACATCGGCTTAATCGCTGGTCCACCTGCGTTGGAAGGTGCAAGGCCAAGTTGAGCATCGTCTTTGGACTCCTGCTTGATGCTGTCATCTGCAGGCGTGTCCCAACCTCTTGTGTGATCGCGGTGTTCAGCTTGCTGATCGTTGGACCTTGCGTCTCGATCTTGAGACTGCGGGTAAGGAGAATTGTGCTGCGCGTCAAATTGCTTGGGAGCTTGTGGGAATGGCGAATGGCTGAAGCGCTGCTGCTGCTGCTGCTGCTGCTGCTGTTGCTGGTTGTGTTGATCGTTGTGGTGTGCAGGTGGGCCACCGTTGGACTGGTGAGCACCAAACATGCCGGGCATCATGGATTGATTCATGCCCCTAGCACCGCCGCCACCGCCCATTGGTGGCATGTTACCCGGCATATTGGGCATGCCTGGCATAGGGGGCATCCCGGGCATACCGGACATGCTTGCCATCATGGCCATCATCTGGTCAGGCGGCATGGGCGGCATTCCCATGGGACCAGCGCCGCCCGGACCGCCGCCATTGTGGGACATCATGGCCTGCATAGCCTGGGGTGGGGGCATCATGGACATCATCTGCTGCATGTTGGACATCATGTCGCCATTGTGGCCACCAAAGGCGTTGTTCTCGGCGTTTTTCCTGGCGTCGGTGATGCGCTGCTTCTTGCCGCGCCAAAGACTCCATGATTCCTCGTTGAAGCCGTAGTTGAAGTAGTCGGTTAGGTCGGCTCCGTAGCGCCTCCAGGGCTTGTCTGCGAGCTTTTCGAGATCCATGTCAAAGATGTCTTGGGTGGAGCTCTCTTCTTGGTCGACGATATCCTCGGGCTTGGGGTAAGCGCGATCTTGAGGACCGGGCGAGAGATTGAGAGCTGGCGCATTGGACGGAACAGAGGGAGGGCCGCCCTCGGGTGCTGCGCCGTCAAGCGCGGTCGAAGGCTGAGGCGTCGTTTGGGCGGGGAGAAGTGAGGCGAGCGATGTGGACGCAGTAGCTTGGGCAAGAGCGGTGCTGGCAGCGGCGGCTGAGGCTGGACTTGCATTGGCTAGGAGTTGAGAGCGGGAGAGAGGAGTGTATTCGGATGTGAGCGTAGATTGAGGACGCTGAGGGGTGCTTTGAGTGGGCAAGGGTCGTGCGCCGGGGGCGGCGGGCCTCTGGAAACCAGACCGAGCAGGTGGTTGAGCCTCTTGGGTTGCGTCGATGATGAACTCGATGTCGGAATCGCTATCCTCGTCATCATCGTCGTCGTCATCATCCCCTTCTTCCTCCTCTTCTTCGTCCTTGTCGTCACCTTGTCCGTCTTGATCCTGAAGGTCGCCCTGGGCCGCTGCACTGACATCGTTCAGTTCGGGCTTGGATGACACAGCAGCTGTGGAAGCACCGTTGGGTGTGTCGCGTGCGTTGACAGCGGCGGCAGGCTGAGCTGGCTCGTCGCCGTACAAGAAAGCGTCGTCATCGTCGTCCATGATTGCAGCAGCACTTAAGCGGGCCGAGGTGGAAAGGAAGCAGCGATGCGAGGTGTACCGGTCTGAGGCGTGGAGAAGGAGAAGTAAGTGGAAGGATGATAGAGGTGGTCTCTGTAGGGACGAGAGGATCTTCTCAAAAGCTGGACTTGGATTTGGCATGCGTCGTTCGTGTGCCATAGCAACGTTGGATTCACCAACAATCACAAAAATTGGACCTTGCACGCAGCATCGGGTCATCCCGATCAGAATTGTACATCGGCGATTTTACCAGTGATCTGACACGTACGACTGGTCAGGCAACGGAAAAAAAAAGAAAGGAAGAACTCCAAGACCGCAGCCGACCTGTCCTGGACAGAATCTGCAACGCCTACCAAGCGGTGTGCGAGCGATTTAACCAGTGGGTCATTCAGAGTATCTACAGATGAAGGTAACAGGAGGAGGCAAGGGAGCGAGAAAGAATGAGGAGGAGAGTTTGGCTCGACATTCTGACAGACGCGTGCATCCGCGCCAAAACGGATGTAAGCGTTTCGTGTTGATCGAGACACGGCACATGCGAGGCAAGGAGGGGGGGGGGAAACGCCATCCATCCACTGTCAGGGAAAGGGATGAGGGAGGCTGCCGGGTGGGGGTGGACCCCCGAGACCCTGGGGTCTTGCGTGGCGTTAAGTTTTCTTGTCGAAAGCAAAGAAGTCCAAATGCCGACAGCCAGGGTGGCAGGTGGCGGCTTCGACGTCCGCTGCAAGCCGAGGATCGAGACGTGATGCAGCAAAAAGACGCAACACTGACGCTCGCAAAGTTTGACACCTACCTCTGCCTAAGGCGTTTCACCAGTGTAGGGCTTGCTTTCTTCCACGGCCATCGGTGGCCGCTTGCCACCGTCCAGTCCCTTGCCGACGTGAAGGCCCGACACCTTTCCGACAAAATTGACACCTGTGCGACAAACTTGTGCCGCTCGCTGTCGCCTCCCCTGTGCAGCATTAAAATATGCTATCCACCGAATTTGATGATCCAATACGAACGGATGAGTACAATCAGAACCTGTCACGCTGCTACCACAGCTGTTTACTAGAAGCAAAGCACAAGTTTGCAGATGGGAGATGCCGACAAGTGCCGCAAGGAAAAGACGGCGCGAGAAGCATGGCTGCGTCGACATAAGTCCATTCTATTTAGAAAGGTTTCTCACTGCAATGTGAAATGAAAATTTGGTTCCAAGGCTTGAGACCAGAGGAGACGACCAAATCAACCAGAACAAACAGTGCCGAAAATCCGGGCGCAGGGTCAGAGGCTTGCGTCGAAATCGACTGAACCGCATTTTTGGAACAGCCCTCGTCGTCTCACACTGGCCAACTGCCCGTCCAGCTGAGCAGCGCGCGTTCACCATTCCGGCATCACACCAGAGTCGACGACTCGACGAGACGAGCGAGCAAAACTTGCACTGTGCTGCGGCGTGCTGCCCTTGCGCTGCTGTTGCGTGAGTGTACAGGCGCGCTCAGCATCCACACCAAACCTTGACGTTAGACTACCATTCCATTGCCATCGTCGCAAATCATTGGGTCATCTCTTACCTTTTCCATGGTCCAGTAACACCACATCTCGACGTCTATCCACTTGACCAACTTCGCCTCCTTTAGGCATCTCACCATCTACAGCCTCCGATATCGCTAGGCTTCTCTACGTCTGTTCAACCCTGCCAAGGCCTTGTTCAGCTACCCTTCGACCACACAACCAACCAACCGGACCGACCCCTTTCGTTGATCACAATCACTGGTCGTCCACATCACCGCACAATTCTGCGTTCCTACACAGTCCATCGTCTCCCTTCTTCAGCATCAGCTAGTACTACCTCCTCTGTTCGCTGTTTATTATCAGCTGGCTTGATGCTGCATTTCGCTGAAACGCCACCATCCGAAGCCAACAACCACATTCAGCCTTTACAATAGGCGCATCGTCTACTGCCTATATCCTCACCTTCTCGAATCGCCTTGAATTTTATTCGGCGATTCGCAAGAGGCTCTGAGCGTCGTAGTCTACCCTTCACCTCGAACCTCACATCGTCGCTGCTTCCTCAACTCGAGTTTGCAGCCAAGTGAAAGGTTAGGCTCTTGACGCTTCAGCGCCTGTCGCGCTCGCGACTCACTCCGGTCATCATCATCCATCCTTGATTGCCCTGGCATCAGAGGCAGCCGACATCGCTCTGCCAACACTTCACTGCAACTCTGCGACCTTTTCGCATCCCAATATTGCACAAGTACTTCTCCTCCATCTCGACCGATCTGATTCGTACACGTCGACATTCTTTCAACTCGATCCTCAGAAGCTAGGGTCAACAGGTGTACATCACTCAGTTTTCCCATTTGTCGTCCGCGAGAAGTTGTCCTGACAGCACTGTATCTCACAGTCCACAGTTTCGACCAACCTCTCGTCTGCACGTCCTCTTTACAGCGTCCGATTCGTTACGCTAGCGCTATTCTGATCGCATCCAAAGTTTCTTTCCTTGCGCTCCCTCAGCAAACTTTTCTCAGCCTCTACTTCTATACCCCAAGCCCGTATTCCGCCCAGGCTTTTGTCTTGTTCAGCCTTTCTCGTCTCGTCTCTGTCTCCAGCTCGAGGATAAACGCTCCCCTGTCTCCATCATGGCAGATACTTTCGACTTTGACGCCTTCATCTCCTCGCCTTCTCAGGCAGAGGTCACCTCATCCATTTCAACCATCAACGATACTATTCAGCCAGATGCCTCTTCGCTTCTCGCCCCTGCCAACCACATGGTTTCGTCCTGTTCGGACCAGGGCAGCCATGCCGCAATCGACATGATGCCCGGTCCCTCTCTCATGAGTCAGTCCAGTTCGTCCCTCGTGTACGGCAGCAACTATGGCGAGTCGTTCGGCAGAGACATCATGGATGCGTGGGACATGGGTGCTGCCACCAACGCAGCCCCGGCGCTCGACTTTGGTTCCGCGCCGCCTCCGGTTGACGCCGCAATCGCAAATGGTTTCGCGACTGGCGCTGTCCGCGCCGCCCGTGGCGTCAACGGTCAGACGCCCCTCTCGGCGTCATCTGCGCCTACGCCCGTCACGGCTCCGCATGCCAAGCGTGGCCCCGCTGCATCCTACCGCGATCAAATTGCTGCTCACCACTCGCATCTCATGAACACAAGCACGCTTGCCGGCTCCAATGGCGGAAGCAACCGTAGCACCTCGTCGATCCCGCGTGTCTCCACCTTCAAGCGCGTCCCGCCTCCCATGCATCGCGACATCACCGCTCCGAACGCTGCTTGCGCCAACCTCAGCCTCCAAGAGCGTCGACGCCTCTCGCGTCAAGCGGCTAGACAAGGCGCCGGCATGGTTCCACCTCCTCAGCCAGCCTTCGCACAAGCCTCTGCGCCAGCCATCGGATCCGGTATTCCCGCTGTGGCTGGCAGAGGCGCTAAGCGTGGCATGAATGTCGACAACGGTCACATCAGCACCACTCCGCAGCAGAGTCTGCCCTTGCCCTCCCGCAGTGTCTCGTTCATGAACGATTCTTCTGGCTCATCCGTGTCGTCGTCCAGCATGTCGCCTCAGAAGATGCCCGACAGTCGCTCAAACTCCTTCGCGCCCCAGCCAGCTGGCGTGAGCGGCGACGGCGGCGCCGTTGGCGGTGTCGATGTCCCCTCGCATGTTTACCAAGGCACTTTCAACACTACGTCGGGCGAGGCCATCCCAACCTCAAACAAATATTCCAGCTCGGGTGTAGATGTGCTCGGTATTCTTTCGCGTGCCATCACCCGCCCCAATCCCAGCATCGCGCTGGGTCCGGTCGACCTCTCTTGCTCCTTTGCCATCTCTGATGCGCGCCATCCCGAGCAGCCGCTCATCTACGCCAGCGAGACTTTCTGCCACCTCACTGGGTACACGCTCCACGAGATCCTCGGCAAGAATTGCCGGTTCCTCCAGACACCTGGCGTGGCCTTGGAGGCCGGTGCTGAGCGTCAGCACACCGACAACCGCGCCGTCGAGCATCTCAAGCGACACCTCGGCGGCTTCCGAGAGTGCCAGGCGAGTCTCATCAACTACCGCAAGGACGGCAGCCCGTTCATCAACCTCGTCACCGTCGTGCCCGTCTCGTGGTCCGATCCTTCGCAGGTCGACTTCCTCGTCGGTTTCCAGGTCGACCTGGTCGAACAGCCTGGCGCCATTTTGGAACGTAAAGAGGACGGCTCTTACCTCGTCAATTACCGCTCCATCAATGACCCTCCGCCCTCGGCCATCCTCGCTTCCGACGAGATGACCAAGGACGCTGACGCTGAAGCGAGCAAACAAGCTGCCATCGCCGCCGATATTCTCGATCTCATCCACGGTGTCGGTCCTTGCGACTCGAAACAGTGGTCCCGCGTGCTTCTCGAAAATTCGCATGACCTCATTTACGTGCTGTCGCTGAAGGGTACGTTTTTGTACGTCTCGCCTTCCATAGAGCGCATCCTTGGCTTCACTGCCGATGAGGTCATCGGCAAATCCATCTCGGAGTTCTGCCATCCGAGCGACGTCGTGCCCGTCTTCCGCGAGCTCAAGGATTCAACTAGCAATGCCAGCATTGCTGCGGCCGCTTCGAGAAACATTCGAACCGAGGGCGTCGCAAATCCATTGACCAAGGGTGGTGGCGGCCAAGCAGGTCCGCGTGTCAACTTGATTCTGCGCATGAGGCACAAGCACGACGGTCACCGATGGATTGAGAGCACCGGTAAGCTTCACCTCGAACAAGGCAAGGGTCGAAAGGTGGTCATCTCGAGCGGTCGCCCTCGTCCTGTCTACAATTTGGCCTGGGAGCACGTTCGTCGTGGTGCCCAAGCGGCACAACCCTCGTTCTGGTCCAAGCTTTCGATCGATGGCATCTTCCTCAGTACTACCGGACCGGTCGCAGAGGTGCTCAACTGCGAGGACAAGGACATCTTTGGTCGTCATCTGCTCGAAGTGACCAACTACGAAGCCGCACCTTCGTTGTTGCAGGCCCTGCGCAGCAGCCAGGCGATGAGCGTGGCGCACACGATGGGCGACGGAACCGGCAACACCACGCCTGTATTCTCGTCCTTCTACCCTTCCTCTGCCGCCGCAGGACCCGCACTTTCCACCGTGTTTGTGCATGTCCAGCGCGCGTCTCCTGAGAACTCGTGGATGGTCCCCAACGTGGCGTATCCCAAGGGCGGTCCTCAACCCGCCTTTGATTCCACGGGAACCAGCGTCGACTCGTTGACATCGGTGTTTGCCGAATTGTCGACCTATCGCAGCTCGTCGTGGGTGTTCGAGATGCATCAGCTCAAGAATGTCAACCGACGCCTCAAGGACGAGATTCGCGCGCTGCGTCGCCAATCGAGGGACCATCTTGCCGGAGGGCAGCTTTCGTCGACCAACGGTGGCCGGCTGTCGATGCCGCAAAGTCCGACGCTCGCGGGCATCGCTGGCGGTCGCCGACCCAGCGGACCCAAGGATCCACAGGCATACAGCGTTGGAAGTCAAGGTGCTGCTGTGCCTCACCTACAGATGCCAAGCCCCATCAAGCGTCGGCCTGACCACGGCTACGGCCACCGACAGCACCTGCGACCGACGGAAACGTTGGCGTACCTGCATGCGGGGCACAGTACCGATTTCGGCAGCAGCAGCAGCTCGGGGTCCGAAACGCCATTTGGCGACAGGGCGCTCATCGGTCGGCGCTCAGGCTCGGGCGATGCGTCGGACGAGACGGCAGCCACCACCACAACATCGGGCGACACGTCCGAGAAGGATGGTTCCAACAGCGGTAGCGGAACGGGCAGCGGCAGCGCAAGCCGTCGCGGCTCCGGATCGGCTGAAGCTTAAAGAGGAGTCTCTCTCCAGGGCTCCTTACCAAAATTCACACAGTAGTTTCATTTTTTCGGTCATGTTTGATAGGTTTTCTTTGGTTCTCGTTTGGGTAACATGTTTCATTATACTCGTCTCCTTTTGCCGCCTGGTCGGGATCTGTGGAACTGCGTTGTGAGAGTTGATGAGCATCGTTGGACAGCGGAGTGTCGCAGCTTGGATGGATGGCCCTTCTGTACACTGTCGTGCTGGGACCTGGATTGAGCCGAGGAGCTACGGTGAAGATGAAGCGGCTCCTTTGCTTCGATTCGATCTGTGCTGACGCGAGGTGCTGCTACTCGGCGTTGCGCAATGCGCCGAAATGTGCTTGTGCTTGCGGTCAAGGGACAGTTGATGTGAGTTGCTTCTTAGACTTTTGCTGAGCTTCAGGCGAACAAGTTCCAGTCGCGGATCTGCAGGGAAGAAGCGGCGAGTTGGAACGCGACCTGTGCTTGAGAAGGCGAGGGTGAGTCGTGCTTTGAGGGATCGTTGAGGCTGAGGACGAGGTCGATGTGCTTGGAGGGGAGTCGCCAGAGCGCGACGCGGATGGTGACTTGCTCTTCGGGTTCGGAAGCTTTGCCAAACTTCCTGACCAGCTGCGTCCCGGTGAGCAGCGCCGGTGGTGGTGTGGCTGGGGGTTGCGTGTGTGATGATGGGATTTCTGAATCGTCGACGGTTGAGCTGGTTGCGGAGTTGTCGTGAGCTAGCGAGGAAAAATGGAATCTGCCGCAGTCGAGAAGATGAGATGCTGATGCGGTCAGCGTGACATGGCTGTTGAGGAGATGATGGATGCGGCCGCTCCGGACTCACCTGACAGCCTTGTCCAAATTCTCGTCTGCACCTTCATCGGTTGCAAGCTGCAAGACTTCGACGATGAGGCTGATGTCGGAATCGTCGCGCACGAAAACTTCTTGGTTATCGGGTACCTGTCGAAAGTCGCTGCACAGTATATTGAAAGCACGGACAGCATGCTGCCAACGTCAGCCAGTGTACTGTATCGCTGTTTCAAGTCTGGAATCTAGGATCGGATGAACCTACCTTGCATCGATGAAGCCGGACGGCAGATCGATGGATATGGCACCGCCGAAGAGGGCTCTTGTCTCAGTTGTAGGTGCCATTGAAGCGGTTTGATCAACGGAGCTGCGGCCACAAGATGTCAAGCTCAGCTGGAAATCATAGTTGTGCTGGGACGTCATGTATGTATCATTGATGGAGGAGGTTGGGTGGAGGCATCCTTGACTTTTCTCGCTTTGTCATTCGAAGTCAGCAAAGCTTGGAAAGTTGAACGTTTTTGGAACAGGGAAATCAGCTCATTTCTGCTTTCGACCATGCATCTCAGACCTGCACTGCACTGCACTGCACTGCCATGGATCTTGATTGGTTTTTGTCGTTTGGTTGCCTTTTCCAAGAATTTCACGTTCATGAGGAATCGATTTTGTCCACACGGCTCGAGTCTTGGTGTGGCGGGCGGTTTGGCTGTGCTGCTCGCCGTGTTGGTTCTGGCTTTCTTCGCGTTTCCCTCACACGCGCTCGCCTTGCAAAATCTCATGATTAATGTGCGTCCGACCAAGAAGATCTGCCGCCCGCACGCTCTCGCAACTCGCGGAACCCTGTCAACCCAAGTCCGTGGGCGTGGGCGTGTGCGTGTGAGTGTGTGTGTGTTGAGTGTCGATCCCCCAGAACGTGATTGGAACGCTTCTCACCATCCGACATCATCAACTCCCCTATTCCTCTACACCTGTACATACTAAAATTCTTTTTCAGTGAGTACTCTCTGGCTCAAGTCACCTCGTTAAGCTTCGTTCGTTGCTGACTCAACTCGCATTCTGCTGCTACAGACATGGCACCTACCGCTACCAACGTCCGCAACAACGAGGGCATTGCCAACTACACAAAGTTCTGGCAGAAGGACTCCAAGGATGACTCGGCTACCGACATGGCAAACCGTCTCTCCGAATACACATCGGTCGTAAACGGCTACTACGATGGGGCTACCGACCTGTACGAGTACGGCTGGGGTCAGAACTTCCACTTTGCCCGCTACTACCCTGGTGAGGCTTTCATGCAGGCCATCGCTCGCCACGAGCACTACCTCGCCCACCAGATGGCCCTCAAGCCCAAGATGCGCGTCCTCGATGTCGGCTGCGGTGTCGGCGGTCCAGCGCGTGAGATCGCCCGTTTCGCCGACGTAAACATTGTCGGTCTCAACAACAACGACTATCAGATCCAGCGTGCTCGCAAGTACACCGAAAAAGCCGGTCTCTCGGCTCAAGTCGAATGTAAGTCTGCTTTTCAACTCGTTCTTCGCATCCAGTCCGCCATGCTGAACCATCTTTCCACCTTTCCCGATGCTTTCCGCTTCCACAGTTGTCAAGGGCGACTTTATGAAGCTCTCTGAGCACTTTGGCGAGAACAGCTTCGACGCCGTCTACGCCATCGAGGCTACCTGCCACGCTCCCAACTTCGAAGGCATCTACGGCGAGATCCACAAGGTGCTCAAGCCCGGTGGAACCTTTGGCGTCTACGAGTGGTGCATGACCGACGCTTGGGACCCCAAGAACCCTGAGCACAAGCGAATCGCCCACGGTATCGAGGTCGGCGACGGCATTCCCGAGATGCGCTCCATCCAGAACGCTCGAAACGCACTCAAGTCGGTTGGCTTCCAGATCCAGCACGAGGAGGACCTCGCTGACCGCGGCGACAAAATTCCCTGGTACTACCCCATCGCCGGTAGCTTGAGAGATTGCCAGACCGTCTGGGACTACTTCACCGTTGCTCGCATGACCAAGATTGGACGCGCCACCACCCAGACCGCGGTCAAGGTGCTCGAGACTCTTCGCCTCGTGCCTCAGGGCACACATTCGGTCGGCGCTTCGCTCGTCACCGCCGCCGACGCTCTCGTGGACGGCGGCCGCACCAAGCTCTTCACGCCCATGATGCTTTTCGTCTGCCGCAAGTCATCTTCGAACTGAGTCAAGCTCAGCGCTCTCATAGCTTGCTTCGTCTGCTTCATTAACATCTCCATCGACACTTTGCACATCGTTCACTTCGTCTGGTTTCCATTCTGCCTCTGTTGCACACTGTCGCTTCGCGGTTCCGTCTTGTAGAAAATGAATCGCAGAAAGCGAAATAGGATTGATTCAAGTACACCCCTCGTTGCTCAGCCTGTCTTCTCCCAGAGCTGGTATTGATACCACGTCTCGCCTTCGTTCGTCACCATGTCCTTGGAATCGGCAAGCGCAGCGGGGCATGCGCTGCCCAGGTATTCTCGCAGCGATTCTGGTGATGCTTGCGTCCATTCTTGCCGCGTGAGCGTAGATGCTGGTTGTTCCGATCCAACCTGCCCGGCCCCCGCAATCGCATTGGCGTGATCGAGCTCGCTTTTGTACTGTTGCGCCGTCCTGAATTCCGGGAAGAACGCATCGCACTCGTACTGCGGAGCCAGGATCCGCGTCACCAGCAACTGGTCCACCGTCGCCACGTTCGAGTCCAGACTCATCATATTCCTGTACAGCTGGGCACCTCCGAGAACAAACACCCTGTGGATGCCTGATTGAGGCGCCGCCAGGTGTGCTAGAGCTTGCTCTACCGAGGCAAACAAGTGCACATCCTTCGATTCTGGATCGCTGTAGGCGTGAAAGCGGCAAAAGTGATCGTGTGTATGAGTCAGCAGTGATCACGGGTAGCGCAGCACAGTACGACACTCACATCCCTAGATCTTTGGCACTTGATGTCCGGCTGATCACGATGTTGACCCTGCCTGCAAGAGGTCGAAACCTGGGCGGGATGCTCGCCCATGTCTTTCTCCCCATGATGACCGCGTTCCGAGCTCCTTCACGCTTCTCGTCCTCTGCGACGTGGCTCGTGACGCTGCGGAAGTATGCCATCTCGCCCTTGAGCCGCCAAGGCAGTCCTCCGTCCTTGCCGATACCGTTCGTCAGCGACATGGCTGCCACCATCGCTAGCTTGAGTTTGCCCATCTTTCCGGACTGTCAACGAGATTCTGTGCAGCGCTGCAGGTCGGTCTTGGAAACGGCGTGCGATAGCGAGTGATCGATATGGGAGCGTAGTGTGGTGGTACAGACGAATCAAAGAAGCTAGCGAAATCGAGCAGAGGCTTTCGTGCTGAGTTCAGACGAGTTCAACACCTTGAGTCATCACCACCTCTCGTCAAATTCCGATGTTCCGAGACGCAACGCGGGACGCAACCAACACTGTACGCGTCGCGCGTGAGATTGCGCTCTCCATTCATCTCACAACAATCTGTGCATGAGCACACAGTACTCTGGATCTCGTCGTCGCACATGAAGTGGATGGGCTTCTGGCATAACGTACAGCTGCCCAATTGGGACGTCCAGCACGTCTGTGATTCTACATCTCACCGATCGCTATCGACGAAGACAACAGTTCTTCAGATGCATCAACGCGAACAGAGCTGTCTGTTCCATATGACGAACTTCTATGAGAAATTGTGATGCGTTGCTTTCGACACTCTAGAGGCTTCGATAATGCCTAAGGCCCAAACGTCAGCAAAGAGATCCAAGGCTGTCTTCTCATTTTAAAACGATGGCCACCTCATGGCAACTATACATATACCAAAATCTCGCCGCTCTTTTGTCACCAAGCTGGCAGGTTTCATCTCTTGACAAAAACATTTTGTGGCAATATTGTCATTGAAGAAGATGGAACCCCCTCGAATCTATGACTGCCAATTTTGTCGTCCGAATATTTTAAAATTTGTGATCAGAATGTAGCATTATCTTTATTTGCGCTTACCTATTCGCCACGCCCATTTCACGTTGGATTGGACATAGTACTGAGCTTTATACGAACAGCAAAAAAAAAACAAGAGATTATCTGTCTGACTATATTTGTAAAATCTGAATATTAGCCAGCATCATCGGAGGAATCGAAACTCAAAAATATGCATCCGTTCCTACAATCTCTGTCGGAATCCAGAGCCTCTTCTTCAGGCGAAGCCATTTGTGGTTTCTCTAGGACGATGTATTGGATTCTACCCACAGAAATCGATTTCGTGCGACACTGAAGAGTGTTTGTAACCGCCTGCCACTTTCTCAGCTGTTGGTATTGCCGTCAGTCAGCCCAGAAAAAAGGATTGTCACATGACATGAGTTTTTGAGGTTGAACGAGAAACTTTTATGACCTTTCCTTCGTCCCATATGCGGAAAAACAGAGCTAATCATGACGACTGACTGTTTACGGTTTTAGCTCTGCTCAGATAGATCGCAAATATCTTTTCCGGATGATGGCTGACAATGAGGACGATCTCTGATTGACTCTGCAGAAAATTCATTTATTTGAGGGCTTTGCACGGTAGCATCAGCCGATTTGGCCGGCTAGCAAACATGCTCGTGAAGAAAAATAATTATGCTCCATTTTGTCGTGTTCAAGGACTTTTACAACTTTTTCGTATTTAGGCGAAGCAAAATCTCGTTGGCGCAACCTCGACGGCCACGTCGTTGCTTATATGGTGCGGGCATGGTCATTGATCATTCATCCGCGCGGCGACGCCGACACCTCAGCATCTCGCCGGTATGCTCGCCGGCCGACATCGTTCCTGCTTCGAGTCTCCATACGAGCTCAAGCAGCCGTTCATGATCCAGAGTCTGTCACATTTCCGGGTCCCGAATCGCGTCGAGACCCTGAACCTCCACACCCGGGCCAACACCAAATGCTGAGTCGGCACACTTCTCTCCTGAAACCACTACGACTCCGATCACAACGCAGGCGCTCTCTGCACCGGAGGATCGACCCGGCGCAAGAAGGGTCCAGCGCCTCTATCCACAATGTCGTCGCACAACGGCATCCTGCAGAGGGCTGGCCTGCTTCCGTTCCACTGCCAGATCGTCAATTCGTTGGTTCCAGGACCAGACGATAGTCCCGACGAGGGCGATGCGCTGGTCATCGTAGCGAGGGGACTAGGGCTTCGTAGGATCGTCAGTACAATCCTGCGCATATATGATTCGCCAAATAGCCTCGTGCTATTGGTAAATGCCACGTCCGAGGAAGAGAGTGGCATTGGAGAAGAGCTCACCACACTGGGTGTTCGCAAGCCGGGCCTTCGGGCTATACACCACGAGATGCCTGCCAAGCAGAGATCCGAGATGTATCTCTCCGGAGGTATCATGAGCGTTACATCGAGGATTCTCGTCGTCGACATGCTCAGCAAGAGAATCCCCACGGGGCTCATCACAGGACTTGTAGTTCTGCATGCGGAGAAAGTCACCCCGACATCGGTCGAAGCATTCATTGCGAGGATCTATCGTCAAGAGAACAAGGAAGGCTTTCTCAAGGCGTTCTCGGACAATCCGGAACATTTCACGATGGGTATCAGTCCACTACAGACCGTGCTCAGCCAGCTGCGGATCAGAAAGGTGGAACTTTGGCCACGCTTCCATCAACAGACGAGCAAGGACCTCGGGCAACGAAAGGCAGATGTCATCGAGCTCCACCAGCCTTTGACACGATCGATGCGCAACATCCAGACAGCAATCATCGAGTGTCTTGATGCGTCGCTGTCGGAGCTCAAGCGAGGAAACGCAAACGTGAGTCGGATCCCCCCGAACGAGGGAGGTACATTTGATCAATTGCGAACTTGCTGTGCTGACCAAACTTCCGGAATGCCTCCTGGACCACGATAGGTTGAGACGGACGACTTTTCGATCGAGCATGCCATCTTTCGGGCTTTCGACGTCGTTGTGCGAAGGCAGCTTGATCCAATTTGGCATCGAGTCAGCGCCAAAACCAAGCAGCTGGTGGGCGATCTCACCACCCTTCGCAACCTGCTCAAGTATGTTTGTCCAGACGACGTGCATCTCGCAGGCATTGCATCCTGATCCTTATCGCTTCTGCTCTTGCTTCTCCCTTCGACAGCTATCTTCTGACTTACGATTCAGTGACATTCAATTCATATCTCGAGACAATCCTGGCATCGAGCACAACGACTGCCAAGGGCACCACACGCCAAAACCAGTCCGCCTGGCTCTTCATGGACGCGGCGAATGTCATCTTCCACGAGGCGAAACGGAGAGTGTACGTGTGGGACGAGTCTCGTCCCCAGCAGCCGCTGACAGAAGACCAGAGCTATGCAGATGACGAGGAAGCGCTTCGACAAGCGGAAGGAAGTCGGGAAACGCTCAGGACAGCCCACGAAGGGCCGATCCCGCCCGAAGTCGAGCCCGTACTCGAAGAGAATCCGAAGTGGCATCTGCTTCAGGAAGTTCTCGACGAAGTAGAGCAAGAGATACACTTCAATGTCGCTGCATCTGGTAAGTTCACCTGCATGAGGACATTTCGAGGCAATGTGCTGACCTCTCGCTCGCCTTCCCCATCACAGACTCGGAAGCCGGCAACACAATTCTGATCATGTGCGGTTCGGAAAGAACGAGCATGCAGCTACGTCAGATCATTTCCTCGATGGACGAATGTCCTCCGGGACAGCCCGGCAAAAAACTCATGCAACAGCTGCTAAAGTCATACTTCTTGTGGAAGGGCGGTCTGGGGAAAATAAACGCCGAGCAAAAGGAGGGACAGGAAAGCGGAGACACTCGAACAACGTCAAACGCGGCACAGGGCTCCTTGCCACAGGCAGGCCCCATCAACGAAGCGCTCAAGCGGAAGCTTGCTTATCAAAAGGGGCAGCAGGCCTACGCCAACAAAAGACGTCGCCAACGTGGCGGGTCGTCTGTGCAAAGCTCGAGCGGAAGGTTTACCAGCGCGACGGATGCAGCCGGACAAGCCAGCTTTCAGGCTGAGGCGGCACAGGTCTCTGACTAGTGAGTGCGGGACTTGGATTCTATTTTTACGTTATGAGGAGGTACTGACGCTAGTGTCCTTATCAATCGACCAACTTCAGCATTGCATCTACGGCAAACGGCAACGAGAACGAGGATTCCGCCCCTGAAGCTCTTGATGCCGAGCAAATCTCCGACGAGATTGACGAGGTCGAATTCGACGCATTTTTCGGGCTGCTCAGCATGGAAAACCTGGTGGTCGTGCGTTCATATCGCGGCGATCAAGATGACAAGGTCCTTCAAGAGCTCCGACCCCGCTTCGTCATCATGTATGATCCTGACCCGGCCTTTGTGCGGAGGGTCGAAGTGTACCGAAGCACAAATCCTGGCGTTGGCGTGCGGGTCTACTTTCTCATTTACGCCGATTCTGTCGAAGAGCAAAGGTATCTCAGCGCACTCCGTAGGGAGAAAGAGTCGTTCGAGCGCCTGATTCGAGAAAAGTCCATGATGGCCCTGCCGCTATCTGCGGATGGCCGACCAATAGCGGAAGACGCGGATCAACGATTCCTACGCACGATCAGCAGCCGAGTAGCAGGAGGACAGAGGTCTGCCACTGCGGAGCCGCCTCGGATCATCGTCGACATGCGTGAATTCAGATCCAGTCTGCCTTCCATGCTACATGCCGCCGACATCCAAGTCATCCCGTGCACTCTTCAAGTTGGCGACTACGTCTTGACACCGACGATGTGTGTCGAGCGTAAAAGTCTCTCGGATTTGATACAAAGTTTCAATTCGGGTCGACTTTACACGCAGTGCGAGCTCATGTGCGTCCATTATCAGCATCCGATCTTGCTCATCGAGTTTGACCAAGACAAGTCTTTCTCGCTCAAGTCTACCGCCGACGGAAAAATGACCGGACGCGCCGCCGGTACCGAGCTCGACGTACAAGCCAAGCTTGTATTGCTCACCTCAGCGTTCCCCAGGTTGCGAATCATCTGGTCAAGTTCTCCCTTTGCGACGTCCGACATTTTCGCCGATCTAAAGCAGAATTTCGACGAGCCGGATGCTGCCAAAGTAGCGTTGGTAGGTCTGGACGACGTGCTCGAAGCGGAAGGCGGTACATCAAGCGAGATTGTGAGACGCGCTGATTGGCAGTCGTCGAGCGAGCACTCCTTCAATCTCGGCCCTCAGGACCTGCTTCGGGCACTGCCTGGTGTCAACACGAAAAACTTCCGCTACATCATGAGCCAGGTGCGGGACATTTCCGACCTGTGCAGCATGTCGCAGGAGGATCTCAGCGAGCTCATTGGCGTTGAACCGGCCAGACAGCTGACGCGTTTCCTCGAACGAGGCTTGTGATGTCGATTACGGTCCAGCAGATGCAATTTCACTTTCTCATCCATCACCTTGGGAAGGTCGTCGCGCCATCCAGAAGGCTTGATCCGCACTGTGTCACACGAAACCGAAGCTTTGCTAGCTTTTTCGACTGTTGTTTGCAGAGTGTGACGAGATTCGGTCGTGTGTAATGACTCGTTGAATTCTTTGAGCGGACACAAAGAGGACGGCGGCCTCGGGGCATTGGAAGCATTCATTTATATTTGTGGAGGTGGAGGCTTTTTACAAGACACCGGATCAGCAATGGGAGTTGGATTCCGGGTCAAGACTCAGATGACGATGTTGGCTAGGCGAAGGTCGAAGATGATCGTGCCTACGCTTAGGAGCTGCGGGCGATCTCCTCGGCCTTCTTCTTGACATCGTCGATACCACCGCACATGTAGAAAGCGGACTCGGGGAGAGCATCGTGGTCACCACGGAGGATCTCCTTGCAGGCCGAGATGGTGTCCTTGAGCGAGACGAGCTTGCCCTCGATACCAGTGAAGACCTGGGCGACAGCGAAAGGCTGGCTCATGAAACGCTGGATCTTACGGGCACGCTCGACGGTGAGCTTGTCCTCTTCGGAAAGCTCGTCCATACCAAGAATGGCAATGATATCCTGGAGCGACTTGTAGTCCTGGAGAAGCTTCTGGACACCGGTGGCGATGTCGTAGTGCTCGCGACCGACAACGGCAGGGTCAAGCATACGCGACTTGGAGTCGAGAGGGTCGACAGCGGGGTAGATACCAAGCTCGGCAATACCACGGGACAACACAGTGGTGGCGTCCAAGTGGGCGAAGGTGGTGGCGGGGGCAGGGTCAGTCAAGTCATCGGCGGGCACGTATACGGCCTGTACCGAGGTAATGGAACCCTTCTTGGTGGTGGTAATTCGCTCCTGCATGACACCCATGTCGGTGGCGAGGGTGGGCTGGTAACCTACGGCGGAGGGGATACGACCGAGAAGAGCCGAAGTCTCGGAACCGGCCTGGGTGAAACGGAAAATGTTGTCGATGAAGAGAAGCACGTCCTGGCCCTCCTCGTCACGGAAGTACTCGGCGATGGTGAGACCGGTAAGGGCGACACGGGCACGGGCACCAGGGGGCTCGTTCATCTGACCGAAGACGAGAGCGACCTTGGAGTCACCCTGGAGGTTGATGACACCGGTCTCGATCATCTCGTGGTAGAGATCGTTACCCTCACGGGTACGCTCACCGACACCGGTGAAGACGGAGTAACCACCGTGGGCCTTGGCAACGTTGTTGATGAGCTCCTGGATAAGCACGGTCTTTCCGACACCGGCACCACCGAAGAGGCCAATCTTACCACCACGGGCGTAGGGGGCGAGGAGGTCGACGACCTTGATACCGGTCTCAAGGACCTCGGCCTTGGTGGACTGGTCGACGAACGCAGGGGGCTCGACGTGAATGGGAGCGAGCTTGTTGCCCTTGATGGGTCCACGCTCGTCCATGGGCTCACCAATGACGTTCATGATACGGCCAAGGGTGCCGGGACCGACGGGGATCTGAATGGGAAGACCAGTGTCGACGACCTTCTGGCCACGAACGAGACCCTCGGTACCCTCCATGGCAATAGCTCGGACAGTGTTCTCACCCAGGTGCTGGGCGACTTCGAGAACGAGACGACCACCGCCGACGACATTCTGGACCTCGAGGGCGTTGAAGATAGAGGGGAGGTCCTCGGTGTCGAACTGAACGTCGACGACAGGACCAATGACGGTCTTGACGGCACCGGTCTGACCCTTGGGCGAGGCCTCGGTGGCGAGACCACGGGCTGTATGCAAAATAAGAAGTAGGACATCCGAGATGATGCAGGTCAGTAAATCACTTCTTCCTCTGAGATCATGTTTTGTCTGCCACAAAGTCGAACATCTCCAGCTACTGCAGCCACATCGTCAACAACCATGGTTCGGACAAAATCGTGTCGCACACAGCTCTGCCTTCATCAATGCTGAGAGCGGTGCATGTTGCGTCCAATCTGAAAAAGTATGTATGGCTGATGTCGAGCGCTTGAGCCCGATTTTTCTCGCCGTCTGCGTTTCCAATGACCAAATGTGTCGCACTGATGGGCTCTAAAATGCTGGATGTGGGATGACGATGGGCGAATGCTGTTGCGTGGAGATGTAGGCTGCGGTAGATGAATTGAACAAACTTACCCTGGACGGCGGGCTTGACGGCAGCGACGGCGATCTTGGGGGCGGCAGCACGGACGCTGGAAGAAGCGTTCACAGCGGCGCGGGCGACAGTGGAAAGAGCGGCGGCATTCTGTCGGGCTCGGAGAGCGGAGCGGCTGGCAGCGCGCACGGCGGTGCGCTGGATGACAGGCATGATGATGAGGAAAGGGTTGAGTAGGATGGTAAAGGGTGACGACAAGAAGGTGTGAAGGAAAGGAAGAAGAGAAATCGAGGCAGCGGACACGCACACGGCCAGCCCGACAGCGAGAAGGAAGAAATCCTGGGATTGCGATCGCACTGTGCAACTCGACCTGACTGTTGATGCCTTCTGCGCCCACACGAGAAGAAGCAAGCACAACCCAGCCAGTCCAGCGCGGCCAAGCCAAGCCAGCCAGAACCCGACTGTGGCCCAACAAGGATTTCTCTAGCTCGACAGCGCGCTGCAACCGGGGCAAGAGAGACGAGAGGACAGAAAGACGGGAGAGTGGCCCCGTGCCCCGTTCAAAAAAACTGATCGCACCTCGACTTGCCTGTCACCGATCAGTCCAGCGAATAGGAAGATCCGCCTCTCTTGAAATCAACCAGCGCGCAGACGATCCGAAATCAAGTCGCCAAAAGAATAGAAATTGTATTCGTGTGATTTATCAAAATACAAAATCGCTTGGTCATAAGGGGACGAAATGTGGAATTGAATTTGGTTCCAAATCGCAGAGTCCTCGAGCGCACACGAAAGAGCCATTCATTCCATCGCTCGCTCGCTGTTGGAGCTCGACTCTACGCACGTTCCTTGCGAATCCGTCCATGGATCTGTGTGGACAGGTTGCCAACCATTTTCTTCCGTTGATCTACATGGCGCGCGGATCCGGTCAATAGCCCTTTGGCCGAACCAAGGTCAAGCTCTCGGTCAAATCTTCAATCGGAATCCATTGTCGGCTTGCTACCTTGCTTGGCAATACGACATTTGTCTATCACCATCTCCATTCGCTATCTCAAGCGGCTCTTGCGAGGCTAATGCAGCTGACTTGTTCTACGAAGCTCAAGGATAGAAGCGATCGGGAGAAGCAGAGGTCGATTCGGTGTGCAATGTGGCTATCGTGAGAAGGACTCGCAAAGGCAATCTGCCGTTTCCTTCCGGCGAACGTGGGTTTACGTGCGAGAAGTCAGCACGAGACAATGGAGCGGACTAACTCTAACAAGTCGACGAAATTAGTCAATTTTTCTGACGCATACTTCCGCTTTGAGACGTTTCGTCACAACGCAGATGCGATGATGTGAGGCATCGGGACACGGTCCACTGCTTCGTGATCGAGCTTCTTGATTTCGTTTGAAGTGTACGTCCTTTTTCGTCCTTTCGTTTCGCAAACCATCCCACTCTTTTGATCCAATCAGCTATACAACCTCCTCATCATGATCGCTAGGTCCCTCTCCCGGTCTGCCAGGCCATTGGCTCGCTCCGTAGCCGGTCCTTCCGTTGGACGCCTTTCGGTTCGAAGATACGCTGCCAACCCTCCGGGACCGGTCACCTCCAAGTCGGACGCACCTTGGGCGATCGCCTCGGTCATCACTTTCGGCGGCCTGTTTGTCTACCTTACCGCTCCCGGCGCAAAGAAGGACGATCACGCTCACGGCGCCAAGCACGATGATGCCGAGCAGGATGCTGACGACGATGAACCTGAAGCTCCCAAGGAGCCTATCGAGCTGCCTGATGGCAGCATCGAGCACCCCGAAGGCTTCGTCGAGGTCAAGCGACCCGACATGCGCGAAGATGCTCCCGAAGGCGACAAGCATCTCGATTCCCAGAGAATCTCGGACGAGCACGCGCACGAGAAGCAGTCCAAGGTGAAGCGTGAGCCTTCCCTGCCCCACGACGACACCACTTTCAAGCACGGCGTGGCTGCTGCCAAGGACGGCAACCCCATCTCGGACCCTAAGAAGGTGGTCGCTGCCGCTCACACCGCCAAGCAAGAGAAGGCCCAGGCAAAGGCAGCATCTGATGACCAGTAGCTCGCTGAGCACACAAGCTCATCGGTTCACGCCACACCATCACACCAGATCACGGGAAATACAGCAGTGGAGCGCCTCAGGACGACGCTTGTCTCTACCCAGTCACAAAAGTATATCCAGCATCGCCCCAATTGCAGCATTCAATTCAATTGACAGTCATGTTACCTAGCAATTCGCGCCACGCTACCGGCTTCGGTGGATGTGCACATCGTGCTGGCGTACGTCCGAGTCAGCCGATCGGCCTGCAATGTAGCGTTGAAGTTCACGTCGATCCAACAGCTCGGCCAAATCCGTGCACGAAGAGCTATGGTGGTAACGCCATAGAAGGTGAGAAGCGGCAATCTTGATCTCGGCTTCGGATGCGTCGAACAGCAGCCACCATGGTGCAGGATGCAGAGGCAAGCGCACGAGCGGTGTACACATCTCGGCCGCCAGTGCGATGGCTGTACAGGCGACGACATGTGGGCCAAAAATGCAAAGCAGCGGCGTCTGAAGGCTGAGCGTATCGAAGCGAAGAAGCGGAAAGATGGAGGGGTATGATTAGTAGCCAAGACTGATCCTCAGGACGGGCAGTGACAGCGGCAGGACGAAGAACTCACGCATCGTTGAGAAGGGACCATGCACACTGAGCTAGTGGCATGCTTTCGTGTCGCCCATCGGCGACTGGCTCAGCTGGATCGTCGTAGGATTGAACAGTCACCTTGAGCTTGCGGTCGGTAAGGCCGAGAACCTGCATGTAGTTGACAAGAAGCGCATACGGCAACGTCACGTGGACTTGGAAACCAAGCCGTTTGAGGACCTGCATCTCGGATACGACCATGGTATCGCGAAGGTCTACGAGCTCGGAAGAGTCGCGGCAAGGCGGCTCGTACTTGGAAGACCGCTGAGTCTGGTTGAGATGAACAGTGACGTAGTGGAAGGAGCCAATCAAGTGACGAAGGCTGCACTGAGTCTCTTCGAGCTTGGTGGACAGTAGAAGGCATCCCATGGCGATGGCGTGGGCAGAGAAGTGGCACATAGACGAGGTGTACCAGAACCGGTGGAAGAACACCTGTGCGGTAGCGAGAGTGCGTTGGGGCAGCTGAAGCAGTATGCCCACCTGTTGAATGATCTGGCACCCCAGCGCGCGTAGCTCCAGTTCGAGATGGTACGAGAGACCGTCTGCCATAGACGGAGTGAGCGTCAGCTGCTGCCGCGTAGCCAGCGGGTTGAGCTGCATGTCGGGCTGCACGAACAAGATGACAAGCGGCACCCGGGATGCAGAAAGCGACTGCGCCAGTATGTTCACACCATCATGGTCTGCGCCGCAACCGATTCGGATGCTTCCGATGCTATCGACGCTATGGATTGTTGCAGGGTCGGAGAGTGAGTGTTGAGAACCAAAGCCGAGAAGCCAATTCAAGTGGAGTACAACACGCTGCTTCTTCAGACGATGTCTTGTGTGAGATCAAAGAAATTCGACATCTTACTATTTTGGACCTCGAGAACAGGACGTAAGAGAGTGTTTGTAGCTCAGGGTCAAAGCTCCGTGAAAGAGGCGACTGATCTGCAATCACGCGGCAGTGGGGTACACGGTGTACCGTGAGTTACACGCTTCACGGGCTCCAGAGCAGAGAGGAGGAGGTTCGCATTTGATTTGTGAAATTCAAACGAAATTTTGGATGATGATTTGGTCCTCGGATGGCCAAGCGCTTTTCCGAGCGAGGCCAAAGTAGTGTGAGTGTGTTGTGTGTTTCTTTCGAATGCAGCTCGCACCCGCCTCGAAACAAGGGTCTCTTGGCTGTTTTGCAACAAGAGGCTCGGTATCCTGCTGCCATCGCTCGTGTCTTCCCGTTTCTCCCTTCGATAGCAGACATCAACTTAGCTTCACCATCGCCGCTCCATCGCACCTCTGCTACGAGACCAATCTACCCCGAAGCGCCGCCGTCAAGCTTGACTCTTGCTCGCTCGTGTCATCAATCACTGTACGGGATCCATCTGCCAAAATCGGTCACCCATAAACACGAGCTCATCGGAAGCTTTGTCACCACGTTGACGACTCGGTCGGACTGTCCATCGATCGCTCTCTGTCACTGCTCCTTTTCAAGTCCTTCTTGCACACTCAAAGCGCATACGCGCCGTCGCACAAGGCTGTCGTATACATCTGCTCCCGCTCTCTTCGATCATGCCGTTGCGGACCTAGACACAGTGGCTGGTTCCATCTCTTCCCTTTCGAGGTCGAAAGCCTCAGCTCTTTCGAGCCGATATACGCATCCCTTCCGCATTATAGCGAGCCAACTTCCGTGGGAAGCCGCCCAGCATGTCTTTCATCTCGTCTATCTTCTACCGCGCCGCCGTCAGTGAAGAATCCCGACGAGCTCCAATAGGCAAGGTCAACCGCACACGCCGATCAGCAGGTCGTTCAGCCAGGTCCACGTTGGCTCACTCAAAGGATGGCGGCGACACGGATCAAGAGATCGACTTGTTCGATTCCACCGACGCAGCCCCCACCGATGCCGACTCTTTCCAAGCAAAAGTCCAAGTAATCGAAGACATAATTGCAGAAGACAACCTTTACAAGGTGCTCGGTATCAAGAGAAATGCAAAGAACGAAGAAATCCGCCGTGCTTTTCTCACAAGAAGTCGATCCTGTCATCCTGACAAGTTTCCAGACTATGCCAACTCCACCATCGCCTTTCAGAAACTCGCCTTTGCCTACGAGACGCTTTCCAAGCCTGCTTCCCGCCAAGCATACGACTTCTCGCCGCACACACATTCCATGTTCAATGGCAAATCTCCACACGACGCCTTTGATGACGAGTTTGGCGAGGCTTTCGCAGACGCTACCCTCCAGGACGTCCTCTTCACCGTCTACGTCGAGTTTTTCGAGGGTGACTTTACCTCCGTCAAGGCTCTGCTCAAGGTGCTTGCCGACAGCGGCCTAGGCACCTACAACGACGCCAACATCAGCAGCATCGAAGCCAAATTCCGCGCTCTTTCGCGCCTCATGCGAGCCACACGCAGATACTCGCGCGTCTTGCTCAACGAAATGTCCCGCCTCTACGAGATTCAGCAGGACCTTCGAGGTCTCTCGTACTTTGACATTCCCGGTCGCCTTCGACTCACTCTGCAACTTGCACGCGTCACGCTCAGCATCCCTCTGGCCATCGATCAGGCCATGCAAAATCCCGAAGACTACGACCGCAAAGAGTTTGGTCAGTGGTTCGAGGATATGCGCGCGCAGTCGTCCGACTGTAGCTCGAGCGAAGACGACGAGAGTCGGCAGGACCGTAACTTTGGCCTGCGGAACGAGGCCGACACTGACGCTCTAGGCTCCGACGAGCATGCACGCCTGCGCTACGTGCGAGCTCGGGATGCGCGCATTGCGCGGCGAGCTGCCGAGCGACGCGATCCTGGTTCCCACAGTGGCCCCGCCGGTGAGCAGGAGGCGGCAGCCTTGCCTGATCAAGAGACAGAAGAGCTCAAGGCGGGATTCCTGGGGCCAACCACGACTGCTCTCTTCACGGGCATGGTGAATCTGCTCGAAGCAGGCGAAGGATGGATGGGCGGCAAGCCCACAGAAACGCTTGCGCACTGATCCCGATGCACCACCTCTTCCTTCTCATCGTTATATCGCACTCTGCTCAGTTTCCATTTGTCATGCCGCATTTTACGTTTCAATTTCGCACTCCCTGCACCGCTACGCTAGAGACCTCGTACGCATCTTTTCACGATTATACCCACGGTCCTCCTTTACATTCGCAATCGTATTCGTAGAAATAGATCCTCTCGACCCATCGACTCCCGATGTGTGACAACGTGTTTGTGCTGCTCTGACGGACAGTGCTCGTTCGGGACGTTGAGACCATTTGACGCTCCGGCTGAGCGGATTTTTGATGCCAACATTTCCCTCCTGCATTTCGTGACAGAAGGTCAAGCCGAAATTCTCACCTTTTTTCTTTGGTGTTGGTCTGGCCTCAAAAATTGCGGGGCGTTGTTCTTGCGGATTCCGAATCGGCTGGAATTATTTTGATTGAGAAGAACTGCTGACGAACGCTTCTTACCTTGCGACCCGCATCTCACACCTGAAGGACAAGAATGAGCGCAACATGACGGCTGGCGATGGCACACGCCCTTCTACGGGCCAAGTCCCGGACGATCAATGGCTCTTTGCCAGGTCTGACCTCGAGTTGACACCCTCCGTCCTTCAGGGTGGCATGAGCCCGATCGAAGAGAAGCAGCGACGCTTCAAGGGTGTCAACGCGATCTACAGGATGGCAGAGTACATGCGGCTGCCACAGCACGTCATGAATACGGCCGCCATTTATCTGCACCGCTTCTATATGCGCAAGCCGCTCGAGTACGGACCCGCCAAGATCGGACACTCGCACTACGAGATTGCAGCCACGTGCGTCTTTCTCGCATGCAAAGTGGAAGAGTCGCATAGAAAGCTACTCAGTGTCATTGACGCAGCAATGGCATCCTTCGACAAGACTCCAGCAGGATCCCAGCGATGGGCCGAACGAACCTTTCGCGCGGATCCTTCTAGCAAGGTAAGAGACTGGCCGAGCACTCAAAACTCAGCGCATCGAGACCACGGTCACTGACTGTGTCCTCCCCTTTCAACTTGTGCAACGGCATCGGCAGGAGTTTGCTCGCTGGCGAGACATCATATTACTGTCGGAAGAGACCGTGCTTGAAACCCTCTGTTTCGATCTGATCGTCGAGCACCCGCACGAGATTCTGGTCAAAGCGTGCAGTCGATTGAATGTCGACGCCGATCTCGTGCGTGTTGCATGGACCATCCTCAACGACAGGTAAGCAGCAGTGGCGACTAGAAGGAGCAGCACACGGCTTGAAACACAAGCGATGTAGTATACTGACAAAATCTGTTCGGCCTCACGTTTCCTGCATTGCAGCTTGAGAGATGCAACTTGTGTCATGTTTGAGGCGCCCGTGCTCGCTGCAGGTGCATTCTATCGAGCTTGTCAACAGCAGCAGGTGGATCCGTCCCACTTCAAAGGAAGATGGCCCAAGGACGCTGAAGAGTGCCAATGGACCTGGGTCGATATCTTCGATGTGGACGAGGCGGAAGCGGCGGAGGCGGCAGCGGCGATCGAAAAGGATGTATACCAGTTTCACGAGCAGCAGGCGCCATGAAGCACGAGCTTTAGCAGTCCATCAATCATCGATCGAGCCGATGTCGAGCGCTCTCGGGCTGATCGACACTGAGAGGCCAATAAGGCAAGGTCACAAAGCGAGTCTCGAGGGACCAAGAAGACAAGCTCAGATAGAGGCGAAAGGGTCACTTGATTGCGGCCAAGCTCGAACGGCAAGGCTTCCAGAAGCCGCATGGTGGACCCTGCAGCCTCTTGAGAAGTTTGATGTGACACCTGGAGTATCAATACTGTGCGGATCAGCGAGTTTGCAGTGCAGCCTCTGCCACTGTTTGAGAGCCCTCATCGAGATCCAAGCTTGGTAGCTGGGGCACGTGTCACAGAGCGGCGGGTCTATCACGAGTTGCTGACATGCGAGTCGTTTCGTTCTGACTGCTCAGAACGTAGGATGTGCGCAGACGCAGGCATGTCGGAGCGTACAAGCACGCCGAAGCAAACGGAAGTGCGGCGACAAGCATCGAGCTGGAATCAGCTCGTCGGCTCGAAGCAGGAGGACTGCAGAGGAAAGGGTCGCTTCGAGCCGTCGGATAAGCAGATGCACAACGTCGATCCCGCCCTGACGTGCCGACAGAACAGGACGGGCAAGTCGCCGGAGACGCGTTGACTTGCGCGTCCTGCACTTTTCGGGTACGCCGAGCGAGTGCAAGTGGCCACCCTTAGCACTACGCCGAGCGACTTGCTTGTCCAGGCTGCGTATTGAGACGAATCCAAGTGTGTTATGCGACCTGCAGCGACCTCGTTCAGTGTCTGTCGAACAGGTCAAGGAAAGACTGAAGGAGAGGGAAGCCTCTGACATGACTTTCATATATGCCGACACCGGGGAACCCCCAGAGCGGCAGAACGGCGAATCGCGGGCCGATAGGTAGACGTTCCTGCCTCACAATCAATTGTATTCTGGCGAGCTCTCGACGTAGCTCGGAGAGTGTCAGCTTCGAGCCAGGACGCTCATGACTGTGGCTCGAGGCGCGGCGAATTCTCGAATCGCTGGCTACTTCACGTCTAGCACGTTGTCCGTTCCAACGGACGGTGAGTTTCGCTGGCAAATCTCAATCAGCCCGACAACGGCAAGAGCCGCAGCGAGCCAGCTGTCAGTGCAGCCGAGATCCGTTCGCAGCTTCAGCCACAGCTCCAAAACAATTGCACATCAGGGAACTCTCACAGACGAACCCGCAACTTTGCTGTCCAAGGCAAAGGCAATCGCAGTGCAATCAGCGTGGGCGGCCTGTCCCGATTTCTGAACAAGCGAGACACGAAAGATTTACAAACACACAGCCTCGAGAGCGTAACAGCCAACCAAGGTTTCCTAATCATCACCATCATCATCATTTTCATGATCGATCTTCGAATTCAAGCAGGCAGCAGCCGAGTCCATTCGCACACGCGTGCAGTGCATTCCTGTCGATCTATTTCATCAACAGTCTCGGAGCCCTTTGCCCTTGTGGCTCGGTGACAATTATTAATATTATTCAAAATTCGTTTTGGGAATTGTACAGTGGGCCCCGCGCTTGCATCTTTTCAGCGTTGTACAGCAACAGGATGTTTGGAGAGCTCACCGTGGAGAGAAATTTGGAATCACATTTTTCTTGTGTCTATTTATGAATATCATTCTTTTTTAAAAAAATTCCGTGACGCGGATAGACGGAAACTGTGGCTCCGATTCGCGCCTTTTTGAAGGGTACAGCATCTTTCGCTGAGGGATTTTTCTTCGGAGCATCCGTGTCTCTCGGTGACGCCGATACGTTCGTGGTTCGCAGCACGCTTTTCGCTGCTTGCTGCACATACCCACGGTTTTGGCACAGACGTGTCACAGCCTCCTGATCGTCAATCAGCTTCTTGTTATCTTCATCGCCACCATCAACACTCCCGCCGCGTCTTCGCTTCTCGATCAGAGCTGTGCCTTTCCACCGCTCAGACCTCTTCAAGAACACACGTTCCGCTCCCGTCGAGCAGATCAATCAAAATGTCTAAGGATCACACCTCGCTTCCGATGCAGAGCCTCTCGATCGACGAGAAGGCCGGTCACGATCCCATCACAGGCCACCGTACGCCCTCTGTAGGCACTCCAGGTCACAGCGGCATGGGTGCGCAGCCCACCAACGGTATCCTTCCCGGCGGTGGCGCCAAGGCCGAAAAGAAAAAGATCCACCCCGCTGTCATCATCGTGCTTTGGATCGCGCTCTCGAGTAGCGTCATTGTGTACAACAAGTGAGTAGCCAGCGTCGTCGAGAGGCCCAGCTGCCAGCACGCGCCCCCTTTCACGAGGTGACTTACTGACTGATATGTTCTTCTCCACCTTGTCGTGCCCACAGATTCGTCCTCGACCCTAATCAGCTCAACTTCCCCTATCCTGTCTTTCTTACAACCTTCCACATGGCGTTTGCTACTGTCGGTACGCGTCTCTTGGCGAGGTACACGCACCTTCTTGACGGTCTCGCCAACGTAGAGATGACTAACGAGCGATGGATCAAGAACATTTTGCCCATCGGCGCCCTCTTCTCGTGCTCGCTCATCTTCAGCAACATGGCCTACCTCACGCTGGGCGTGAGCTTCATCCAGATGCTCAAGGCTTTCACTCCTGTTGCTGTGCTGCTCATCTCGTTCGCATTCGGTCTCAAGCAGCTTTCGGGCACGCTCACCATGATTGTCGGCTGCATCTCGTTCGGTGTCGCGCTTGCTTCCTACGGTCAGGGTGACTTTGCCATGTCCGGTTTCATCTGCCAGGTGCTCGCCATTGGTTTCGAGTCTTCGCGTCTCGTCATGATCCAGGTGCTCCTCCAGGGTCTCAAGATGGACCCGCTCGTCTCGCTCTACTACTTCGCGCCTGTTTGCGCTGCCATCAACGCTCTCGTGCTCCCCTTCACCGAGGGTCTGGTTCCCTTCTTCCAGATCTCCAACCTCGGCCCATTCGTGCTCTTCACCAACGCCGGTGTAGCATTCTGTCTCAACATCGCGGCCGTCTTCCTCATCGGCGCTGCTAGCTCCTTGACCTTGACCCTTGCTGGTGTCATTAAGGATATTCTGCTCATTCTTGGCTCGATGCTGCTCCTTGGTGACACGGTCTCTGGCCTCCAGTTCTTCGGCTACGGTATTGCTCTCGCCGGTCTGGTCGCCTTCAAGACCCACAAGGGCTGATCGCTTCGCTCAAGCATGCTCGCAAACAACTCGTGGAGATTCTCTGCGGCTCTCACACCCTCTCACAATGGACACTACGCTCTCCAACCTTCTCCTCTAGACGTCAGATCACGCTACCACGCTCTTTCATTCCCTCAAGCCTGCTCTTGAACAGAGTCGTTTGCTTTTTTTCACCTGGCTCGCATCTCTGCTTCCAGCACCGGTCCATCGAACGGTACACGCTGGCTGCCAGGAACGAAAGGTCCAGGCTCTGTATTCCTGTCGTAGGATAGATTCTCATGTTTTCCCCTTTGTACTCTGCTGAATTCAATGCTTCTATGGTCACGATTCATAAAGATGCGCGAATCTCTCCACTGAGCTTGGTTTATTGGAACGCTATCAGGATCCTGGACAATTGAGCCAGATGTGCCGAGGGACATGAGATCGTTTGCTGAGACCGCCGTCAACTTGGCGTTCAACCATCGTCAACCAAAGCCGGCGGAACTTCTCTTTACGCGTCGAGCCGAGAAGAAAACGCGAACCCTGGACTTTGTGTGCACTGATTTCAGCTTTTTTCGTTCTTGCAGAGACCAACACTTTTCCAGAACCTGGCATGCAGGCCTGCTTCGTTCTCTCCCTCTCTGTGGACGATGCTGGTCACGGCTACTGCACGGTCGCCGCCAAGTATGCCGTCACAATGGATCGTCAGAACGCTCTCAGGCTCGATCCTCCCGGCGACATCGTCGATGCTGAGCTCGCCTCCCGCGAGTTCCAGTTTCCTTACCCGGAGGCTTATTCCATCCAGCTCGATCTGATGCGCCAGGTCTTTTCAACCATCGAGGACGGCAAAGTAGGGCTGTTCGAAAGTCCAACAGGTACAGGCAAATCGCTCTCACTCATCTGTGCAGCGTTCACGTGGCTCAGGCGGAATGCACAAAGGCACACTATCGCCACCGGCGAGATCAATGGCGCTTCGAGCTCGACAGAGAAGGGCAGTGCAGGGTATCAAGAGCCCGACTGGGTGGTCAAGTATGAAAACGAGCGTCGCAGAAAGGAGGCAGAAGCGTACGAACTCGACCTCAAGGATCGTATCGCTGCTGCACGTGCGAAGCAAACTGCTCTCAAGAAAAGTCGTCGAGATGGCCTTCTGGATGCGGAAGCGAGGGCGGCCAAACGGCAACGTCGCGCAGCTGACGACGACGGCGACCAGGACTCGGACTCGGACCTGCTGATCGACGAGGAGGAAGGCAGTAAAGGAGCGAGGGCGCTCCAACTGGCTACCTACTCCAAGGCATCCTTGTCCGAAAAGTCAGCCGAGATCGACTCGAATCTCTCTCCTGCTGTTCGCGCACTCATGCAGCAATACGAGCTATCACGCAATGGCGGACGTCAGGAGGAAGACGAGCCTGAAACGCTACCTCGCATCATCTACGCCAGTCGGACGCATTCGCAGCTCTCACAGTTCGTTGCCGAGCTCAGAAAGACATCTTACGGGCAGGCGGACGTACTCGACGCAACAACGCTACCTGTCCGCACAATCAGTCTAGGAAGTCGCAAACAGATGTGCATCAACGACGAAGTACAGCGTATAGGTCGCAAAAAAGGGTCCGAAGCGATGAACGAGCGATGTCTCGAGCTGATGAAGGGTAAGAAGGGTAAAGGCAAATGTCCTTCTTTGCCTTCGTTTGACCAGGCTGGCCGTGCACAGATTCTCGAATTCCGAGACGCCGCTTTGGCCGAGGTGGGCGATATCGAGGACCTGGTCCAGTTGGGCAAGCAAACTCAAACGTGCCCCTACTTTGCCGCACGCAGCAGCGCCAAACAAGCCGAGCTGGTCACGCTCCCGTACAATCTGCTGCTTCAGAAAGACGCCCGCATCGCGCTTGGTATCAGTCTCGAAGGATGCGTCGTTCTGATTGATGAAGCGCACAATCTGATCGACACCATCCTCTCGACGCACTCGGTGAGCGTCGACTCGCGACAAATCGCACAAGCGTCCAAGCAGATTGACACCTACCTCGAAAAGTTCGCCTTGAGACTGAAAGGTTCGAACGAACAGAACCTTCGCAAGGTGCGAAAAGTGCTATCGAGTATGTCGACCTTCTTCACAGAGCAAGCAACCACAAGCAGAAGAAACAACGAGATGGTCATGACAGCGGTCGAATTAGTAAGTCGTCTAACGGGCAATTTGGATCAGATCAATCTTGTCACGCTCGAGAAGTGGCTCAAGGAAACGCAAATCGCAAGAAAGATCAGCGGATACGCAGACAAGCGCAACAGAAGGGCAGCAGACCAGGCGACAGCGATAGCACACCAGAGCAACAGGAAACGTCACGTTGCCAACAAGAGCAGACACTCGTCAACGGTCCCTGTTCCACACGCTGCTGAGGAGACGGAACCATCTGCTGCCGGTCAGAGTGCCATATCCAGCATGCATGCGATCGAAGCATTCATTCTTTCCCTTGCCAACCGTACCGAGGACGGCCGAGTCGTGCTCAGTTCTGCGACCGACACCGCGACAGGCGAGACAATAGTACGAGCCAAATATCAGCTGCTCAATCCCTCGCACGCCTTCAAATCGCTGGTCGACGAAGCGCGCTCCGTGATCCTAGCTGGAGGAACGATGGAGCCCATGTCGGACTTTCGTCAACAGTTGCTCCCCTTCGTTCCACCTGAACGTCTGCTGACTTTTTCGTGCGGTCACATCATACCGCCGAGCAACTTGATGGTCTCTGTACTATCAACCAGTCCCAAAGGACTTCCTTTCGAATTCAAATTCGACTCGCGTGACAACCTAGATCTCGTTGACGAACTCGGTCGAACGCTCGCCAACCTTTGCAACGTTATACCCGCAGGCCTAGTCATCTTTGTGCCTTCGTATGCATTTCTAGACAAGGTGATGGGAAGGTGGAAAGACGCTGCTTCAGGAGGGGTACTGCAGAGGTTGAGCAGCAAGAAGAAGATTTTTACGGAACCGAAAACCACGATGGAAGTGGACAAGGTGCTCGGAGAGTACACTGCTGCCATTCGAGCAAAAGACGAGAAGACGGGAGCATCGAGCGGCGGCGCTATCATGTTTGCCGTGGTCGGTGCAAAGCTGTCGGAGGGTATCAACTTTTCGGACGATCTGGCTAGAGGTGTAGTCATGGTCGGGATGCCGTTCGCCAATATGCAAAGTCCCGAGCTAGCTGAACGGATGAAGTACATTCGCGAGCTTGCGGCCAAGCACGAAGCAACTGGAAGTGACTCGAAGACCAGTAAGACAGCTGATCCTGTGAGTGATGTCGTCTTCTTTTTGCTCGCACATAGAAGCACTCGCACTGACAACGCACTTGTGTCAATTTCCTTCATTGCAGGGTCATGAGCTATACACCAATCTATGTATGAAAGCGGTCAACCAGTCGATCGGTCGAGCTGTTCGCCACCGAAATGACTATGCGGCGCTCATCCTTCTCGATCGTAGATATGCACGTCCCGAGATCAAGCAGCGTCTACCTGGATGGATCCGCGACCAGGTGACTGTCGCCGACCGCTTCGGTACGATGATCCAACAGACGGCCGGATTCTTCAAAAGCCGCAAGCAATGATGATGCCATCATCAGGATGCAATGAAGAGCGACCGCACAACTTATGTTTGGCGATAAGTTACCTTAACACAGCATCGATGCCGCTTGTGATGGGAAGAGAATTCAGCAAGGTTGTTTTGACTCTGAAGAACATCGCCGCGAAATTCGTTTGCGAGCCTTCGAGAGGTTGTCGGGTTTGACGTGACTTGTGCTTCAGCCGCCCTGCAATCACAAAGCCGATGAGCAAAGGGCCGAAGTGAGACGCGGAGAGCAGCGAAGACCTTTGTGTGGAGATACAGCTGCGTTTTTTCGGAGGCCCGACTCCGAACGCGTCTGACTCTGGCTCGTTGCGTCGCCTGCATGTGTGCGCGAGTGCGGGTATTGACCGTCAAAACCGACGCCCAACACCTTTTTTGTTTCGGCTGATCCGACTGCTTGTATGACGCTTTTGGTAGTGGGGTCCCCACACTCTCCAGAGGAGATACTACTGTAGCCTCTGCCCACTTTCGCATCGACGTCCGCTCCTCCACCATCATACTTGTCGGCATCGTCGCGCACACAATGCTAGCCAGATCAGCCCTGCGTCGCAGCCTCAGGCTGACAGGAGCTCCAGCGTCCACAGCCACACTCAAAGCAGGCTGTTCTTCACCGCGACTGGTCAAGCGAAACTACGTCCAGCAGTCGGCATCCATCCCTATCGTCGTAGGGAGCTCATCGACATCGCTTCGAAGCTTCGCGACCACTCCTCGAAGGCAGGCTACCGAGATCAAGCCTTACCTGCTTGCCGATGTGGGAGAGGGCATCACAGAGTGCGAGATCATCAAGTGGTTCGTTCAACCGGGCGCCACCGTCCAGGAGTTTGATCCCATCTGCGAGGTCCAGTCCGACAAGGCGAGTGTAGAGATCACATCGAGGTATGCCGGAAGGATCAGGCGGCTGATGCACAAGGAAGGCGATGTGGCTAGAGTTGGACATCCGTTGTGTGAGATCGAGATGGAATCCGAGGGGGCTGCTGAAGCGGAGCAGGCGGAAGAAGAGGTTCAGATCACGGGCGTCTCCAGCGATTCTGAGTTCAAAGCTGTCGACATGGAAGGTTTCGTATCGGCTGAACACAAGCACTCCAACGGTGGTGGTCATGCAGCGAACAATGGAAAGGACGTTTTGGCCACACCTGCGGTAAGAAGAGTGTCGAGGGAGCACAATGTCGACTTATCCCAGGTGAATGGCACAGGTCGCGATGGAAGGATCACCAAGGAGGACGTACTCAATCACGTCTCCAACGGTGCCTCCTCTTCCTCCGCATCAAGCTCTTCCACCTCTGCTCCGTCTCCTGCTGCACCCGGAATCACCGAAACCATCGACCTTACACCAGTCCAGAGAGCCATGTTCAAAGCCATGACCGCCACACTCTCCACCCCCCACTTCGCCTACTCTGACGAGATCGACGTGACCGACCTGGACAAGGTTCGCGTCCTACTCTCTCAATCTATCCCGGACCGCTTCGCTCAAGCCGGCGATGCATCCTTCACCAAGCTCACTCTGCTGCCTCTGCTGGTCAAGGCGATGAGTCTTGCCCTTCACGATCATCCCATGTTCCGCTCCACGCTCAACAGCGATCAGAAGCTCGTCCGTCGTTCATCGCACGACATTTCCATCGCCCTCACCAGCAAGGTCGGATTGCTGACTCCTTGCATCACCGACGTCCAAGCCAAATCGATCTACGACCTTTCCGCATCCATCACTCGGCTACAGACCGTTGCATCGTCGTCGAAAGGCCTTTCCCCCGCCGATCTCAAGACGACGGGCACCATTACATTAAGCAACGTAGGTGCCGTCGGCGGTGGAACATACACCCATCCTCTCCTGCCTCCTACCGGACAACTGGCAATCGGTGCTTTGGGCAGAAGCAGAGTCCTCCCCAGATTCGCGTCCGAAATCCCCTCCCTCGCCACCTCGGATCCAGACAAGATCGTCCGAAGACTCATTATGTCCGTCTCCTTCGCCGGCGATCACAGAGTCGTAGAGGGCGCAGACCTCGCACGACTCGTAAACAGGTGGAAGCTGCTCGTCGAAAACCCTTCCCTCTGGTTGGGCCTCTTGGCCTGAACACAAGCTGCGTGTCGTGTCCATTTCTCACACACTTCACAGTCAATGAAAATCGCATCCAGTCTCATGTCAGTCGAAATCTTTCCGTTGAGGCACAATGTGAGAGAACGTGTTGTGTCCAAAGTCTTCTCAGAACGCACAACTGGATCAGCTTCAGCTACGGGAAGCCGCTTGTGCTTGTGATGCGATCGCACGGGCTCGAGAGATGTTCAAAATTTGGCTTGCATCAAACGTGACTGGCTCAGTGTTCGTGATTTACAAAAGAGAGAGAGGGTGTCATGACCAGCGACGGACGTATTCTTACTCGACAGTGACCGACTTTGCGAGGTTGCGTGGGAAGTCGACATCGACGCCCGCCGCTGTGGCAAGGTGGTAGGACAAGAGTTGCAGAGGGATGACGGTCAAGAGACCCTGGAGGCAGTCGACGGTGCGCGGCACACGGATGGTCTTCGTGCCTTCCTTGATGTCCTGGTCGTCTTCGTTGCAGATGACGATCGGTTGACCCTTTCGTGCTGTGACCTGCATGAGGGCGGTCTGAACCTTGGGGTAGAGCGAATCCTTGGTCATGATGAGGATGACGGGCATCGACTCGTCGATGAGGGCAAGAGGACCGTGCTTGAGCTCACCGGCAAGGATACCTTCCGAGTGCATGTAGCAGACTTCCTTGATCTTGAGAGCACCCTCGAGACAGGTGGCGTGCTGGTAACCACGACCCATGATGAGCAAGGAACGCTCCTTGGCAAGCGTGTTGTGGGCGAGCGACTGAAGCGCCTTGTCCTGGGCAAGGATCCTCTTGATCTGATCCGGAAGGGCGTGGAGGCCGTCAATGATGGCGTTTCTTCGCTCGGTCATCGAGATGCGGTCCTCGCAAAGCTGGACAGCCATCATGATGAGGGCAATGTACTGCGAGGTGTACGCCTTGGTGGAGGCGACACCGATCTCAGGACCGGCGTTAATGTGGATACCGCAGTGGGTCTCGCGCGACATGGTGGAGCCGACCGTGTTGACAACACCGAGGCAGAGGGCGCCGCGCTCCAAGCAGTAGCGGAGGGCAAGGATGGTGTCAGCTGTCTCTCCCGACTGTGATACAAAGACGCAGACGTCGTCACGGAAGATGGGCGTCTTGCGGTCCAAGAAGTCAGAGGCGAGCTCGACAGAGACGGGAATCTCGGTCAATTCCTCGAAGATGGCACGGGTGGCCAAGCACGAGTGGTAAGAGGTACCACAGGCAGTCATGACGATTCTGCGGCATCGGCGAATGGTGTTGAGGAATGCGGTGAGACCGCCGAGCGTGACTCGTCGCTTGTCAAAGTCGACACGACCTCGCATCGTGTTGACGACCGAGTCGGGCTGCTCGTAAATTTCCTTCTGCATGAAGTGGTCGAAGGAGCCCTTCATGATCTCGGCGAGTTCCATCTCGAGGGTCTCGATGGAGCGCATGGAGCTGAGGCCGTCGTTCCTTCGCAGGCGGTGGATGTGGAGCTCTCCCTCGGAGATGTGGGCCACATCGTCGTCCTCGAGGTAAAGCACGCGCTTGGTGTGCTCGACCACGGCGGAAGCGTCAGAAGCGATAAAGTATTCGATGGGCTGGGGAAGGCCGTCCTCGGACAGGAACGCGCGAGACTGGGAGCGGAGGAGCTTGTTGTTGGCGTTGGGCACCGAGAGCGAGCCTGGGCCTGACGGGTCGCCTCCAGGAGGGGCGAGGAGGCCGGCATCGCCGAAACTAGTCTCGTCGACAGCACCACCGAGCTCGACATCGACAAAGTCGACCTTGAGCTTCTTTTCGGTCTTGACACCGATCAGAAGCGGCGAGCCACGTCGGGCAACAACAACCTCGCCGGGGTAGTGGACCGACTTGAAGACGAACGAGAAGGCACCCTCGAGCTCCTTGACGACACTCTTGATAAGGGAGGTGAAATCGGGCTTGCGACCCTGCGCCGAGTCGTAGAGGTACTTGCAGAGGATGGCGACCGACTCGGTGTCAGTGTCGCTCTCGAACTTGAAGCCTCGCTTCTCGAGAACCATCCTCAATTCTCTAAAGTTGGTGATGATACCGTTGTGGACGACGGTAAACTCGTTGGTGGGGTCGGATCGGTGAGGGTGGCAGTTCAAGGGGCTTGGCTGACCGTGAGTTGCCCATCGAGTGTGAGCCATACCCATCTGAGAGATGGAAACCTTGTGGAGGTCGATGGGCGACTCATCGATGTGCTTGCGCAGAGCAGCGACCTTGCCGACCTGCTTGAAGATCAAGGTGTCCTTCTCAGTGTCACCGTCGATTGCGATACCAGCAGAGTCGTAACCTCTGTATTCGAGACGAGCGAGACCATTGACCAGGACATCAATGACCTGCTTGCGGTCCTTCTCCACCAAGTGGTTGATGTACGCGAAAATGCCGCACTGAAGAGAAATTCAAAGGTATTGACGCCGCATACAGAAGATGAAGCAAGAATGGGAAGGTCAATGCGTTGGTCTGTGTTTCGTAGATTCCGTCTCGGCACCGAGACTGGTGTTGCTACTTACCATGATGTCAGCAAAGGTATATGAGCAAGCCGGTGGTCAACAGCGGTTTGTATGTGTAAAGGAAAAAGGAGAGAAGTGAAGCCGAGCGAGTCGCGTCTCTAGGTTGCGACAGCGATGGAACTGCGAACAGGGTACGGAAAGAAAAAGGCAGTGGACGATGGTGGAAGGAGGAGAAGGGATCGACGACGACGACGACGACGGCGACGACGAGCTTGATCGAGACGCCTGCGAGAGTTTAAAGGAGATCCGATGCTGTGACTACACACGCCGACCGTCACTTGCACGCCTGACCAAAGCTCTGAGCAGACAGCGAGATCGACGCACCGAAATTTAGAGAGAGAGCAGTTCCGTGTTGGTTTGGCTCCTTGGCGACCAGAGCAGACATTGGGCTGTGCTGCTGCTGCCGCTGCTCTGTGTTGATCTTTCTGCTGCGCGAATTGTGACAGCCAACGGGGCTTGAGGAGCGCATGTGCGCATTGGCAGTCCGCCAGCACCCAAACAGGGGCTTGAGCCAGCAGACCGACCGACAAAGCGAATTCGCGCAACCGCAGGAACCTCCTTCGCCGTTGAACGAACCAACGCAACACGTCACATTTTCCCTCAAAAAACACCAAATTATTTGAAAAATAATTCTTCCGCACAAGGCAATTTCGAGACAGGAAAAAGGGGTTCAAAAGGCGCAGCACATCGCCACTCTATTGAGGTGTAACTTCGTTTAAGATGGGAAAGTGTTGGTCGATCCACTGCTGTCAAAATTTCAAGCCTAGAACTGCACCGACAACGAAGCGCGTCTCGGTCGAGTCCGCATACGGTCCCTTTTTGGCTGCGAGATCAACACCTGCAGCCGTAGCGGCGGGAGAGCAGCAAACCAGATGTGCGATTCCATCATCGTATCGATTATTCGCCGCTCCTCTACGGATGCGATAGAACATCGAAATCTGTCCGGCATAGACCCAAGACCTCGTGTCTCCGACGTCGAGAAGAGACGTGGCTTGTTGCTCTCTGGCTCATCCTGCCTTCAGCCCCGGAAGGACAGCGACCAAGCCGATCAGTTACGACACCAGACGCCTGCGGAAAGTCCAGGGATCCTTTCGTGCCAAGAGCCATGTAGAAGCTTATTGTGAAAAATGCCTCGAGGCTGCAACTCGCCGATCAGCCCCTTGTCCTTGGAATTCCGACTTCCAGGCTGTGTCCCGTTCCCTCCAGCATCAAGCTGTGTCACACATCCTCGACGGCATCACGTTGCTTTCTGCATTGGACATGCGTGCTGGTCCTGAACACGAACAGGTCCGCTCCAAGGCTCTGTCAAAACCTGTCGTTCATCGCCGCATGTGCCGATGCAGATCAAAGACGCTTTCGCGTGACTAGGTGAGACAAGTAGCAGCTGAGGCGAAACTGTACGCGGCGTTGAGGTCCTACTATAGTACGAAAAGCCCTGCCTTTCTCAAATAGGGGCAGAAGACACGGCAGATCTGTCCAAAGGCGGCATTGCCGCGGCTTATTGGTCGCTGTGGGCTCCTTCACGATCTGCAGCGTGCGTGCGTCCACCGGTCAGACCCTGCTGGTATCTTACCTCTCCGATCCAATTCCCGATGATGAAATGCGTGTTTCTTCCGATCGGGCAGATCAACAGTCGCGACCACATTCAGTGTGGAGGCTGCAGGGTCTCAGGCGAGCGTGTCGCGAGCGTGTGAGAATTTCCCAAGTCCTTCGCAAAGCGAGGCAGAGGAGTGGAAAGTGTTGGTCTGCTTCGTGAGCTGCACGACTGAGCGTGGATATACAGAAATTCTGGAAGTGATACGACACGGAGATGCCGACTGCGTTTTCAGTAGGTGGCAACCACATACTTCCGACACCGACATTCGGAACGATCCATCGTCGGCGACTTCCGATGGATTCTGGTCGGTTTCCCAGAGAGCTGTGAGGCTCGCTGACGTGGCAAGGATTCTCTGCTGGAAGGCCCCGCCACTTAACAAGGGACCCACCTGGAGGCAATCGTCTGGCAGATTTGATCTCTCGACAGCTCAAGGCCGCGGCCGGTCTCGTGTCTCGAATCGATCAAAGACACCCACTTGATCGCGAGTATGTCCGATTCCCACGCTTCCGCGTCTTCCTTGGCGGCCCATGCGCTTGGAGCGGGCCGCGCCGACTCGCAGATTGACGACGATATTGCCGCCACGCAGCGATCTATACTCGAGGAGCTGCATACAATTAGCGAGGAAGCGCTCTCGGGCAACTCGGATCACTTCCATCACCTCCTCGACAACCTTGGCGAGCTTCATTCACAAAGCTCAGTGATCAAGATGCAACATGAACAAGCACATTCGACCTCCAACCTTGCCGAAATATCCCAGATCTTGAAGGGTCAAGTCATGTCTCAAGACGGTGAAGGGCTGACGACGGTAGCATCCCCTTCTGGATCAAACGTAGCAACACTGCTCTCGACCAAACCGGTAGTCGATGAAGTCATCGCTTCACAGCAGGCAATCACAGAAGTACCGATAGCGACGTCGGTCAGATCGAAGATCGCATCGGTGGCGGCGAACCAGACGACGTGGAAGCAGGGTGACGATGATGCAGAGACCAATTCGAACGTCGAGGCTGCTGCGATCGCTTCAGAGTTGCTGTCTCTACAGTCAAATTTGCCAGTGGTGACACCGCACTCTGAGAGCCTTTCCGCTTCCCGACACCCTCTTGCCACTTCTTCAGAGCTGGTCGAGATGGTCCCTAATCAAGCGGACGGTTCCTTCGAGTTGGACCACGCCGATCTCTTCGATGGTATCGAAGCAGATGCATTTGATGACATCGAACTCAGTCCACCCGTCCGCAGACACATTCCACTGCCCTCTCTGGACCGAAGTGTCAGCGTTATGCAATCTCAGCCACCGGCGTCACCCACCAGATTGCGCGACCACAATCACCCCGACTCATTGGAAGGGACAACGTCCGACCCGTATGCAGAGGACGCCGCAGAGTACGCACCGACACCCCAATTGCCGCCAGGCAGTCAAATGACATCATTCTTGGATCCCTGCTTCGCCGGTTTCAAGACAGGTCACAACAAGCAAGTCAAGCTCAGCGACAAAGCACTGCAAAGAGCGCGCAGACTCATGCTTGAGCTCGACGAGTCCACTGATCTGCTTCCGCCTCCTCAAGCATCCCAATCCTCATCGCAGAGACTCGCAGCTGGAGCGGGAATGCTTTCACAGGTGTCGCAGCACCACGTCAACGGCGGAGACACACAGGCTCGCGTTCCCATGCAGGAAATTGTGCCAAGCCAGAGCAATGATTCTGCAAATGGAGGTGGAAGGCAACCTTCGTGTGCTGTCAACAAGGTCTCGGAGCCTCAAGCAGTGACACTGGTGCCCGCAGCGCCAGCGACGCAACTTGCCCCAGCACGCAAGATCGAGCCTCATCCGTTTGCCACCCCTAATCCATCTGGGAACGGTCTGCTGCCAAGCAGCCACACCTTGGCAAGTCCGATGCGGACACCAGCTGCTGCATCCGGCTCACGCTTTACAACGCCGCAGCCGAGTAAGCGTATTTCGCTGGGCATGATGCCTAGAGGTGAGCTCGGAGGAAGCAGCACAGGCAAAAAGAGGTCGCTACCAAGGTTCGTAACACCTTTCAAGGGTGGCAAACGGCCCCGTGCAGAGGATTCGCCCGACCCTGCCTCACCCCTGCGTATACCAAACGTTGCGATCACTTCTAATATCGCAGCTTCCCCACTCCAGACCCGAGTGTATCCATCCTCGAGCAAGGCGCATACAAAAGTCTCACAGGGCCCTGCGGTATTTCGAATGAAGTCGGACGTTGCACGAAACAAGCTGGCAGCCATTGGAAGGCCAGAACACTACTCGAGCTTGCAGATGGTTGCCAGAGGCGTGCCGGACGAAGTATTGATCATCCTCAACGACGCTTCGCAAGCCGCCCGTTACGCATTTGAACTTCCAGATAGAGGCTTGCTGATGCAGCAGCAGGCGCTCGAAGAGCTGCACGCGAAAGGCTGTTCAAATGCAGACATGGCCTGGGTCCAGAATCACTGGACGCTCATCCTGTGGAAGCTGGCAGCGATGGTACGGCTCGAGCCGAGCAGCGCGTCGGAGCGGTGGAGCTGGAACGAGCTGATCCGTCAGCTTCTGTACCGCTACGAACGGGAGGTGCACATGGCGCAGCGCTCCTGTCTGAAACGGATACAGGAGCGCGATTCTTCGGCGGCAAGACCGATGGTGCTCGTGGTCTCAAAAATTCTTGAGGAAGACACCGAGGTCCAGGCCCCCTCTGGAGAGGTCTCGATGCGGAAGAGCACCATCTTGGAGCTCTCGGATGGATGGTATCGCATTCAAGCCCAGATCGATCCGGTCCTGACAAACGCATGTAACCGCGGTCGCCTTCGCATAGGCCACAAGCTCGCCATCACAGGTGCCACCCTCGATGCACAAGGCGAGGGCAAAGAAGTGCTAAGCGCCTATCACATGTCGAGCCTGGTGCTCGCCGCAAATTCGGTCTCGTTGGCACGGTGGGATGCAAAGCTAGGCTTTGCACCCTCGCCGTTCTGCGCAAGCCTGCGAAGCTTGACGTCAGAAGGAGGGTTGATCTCGCTCATGGACGTGGTCATCACCCGAGTCTACCCACTCGCCTATGTCGACGTCGACAAGTCGAACCAAAATGCCGAGCGTGGGGAGCAGGAAGAAGCCGAAGAACGCGAAGCTTGGCTCAAGAGACGTGAAAGTGCCATGCAAGAGCTCGAGCTGAAGTGGGAGGCGGAGAACCGACGGCTGTACGATCTCGTCGAAGCACTGAGCGATCTTGCAGGCGAATCGTTCTTGCCTTCCATCCCGGACGATCCGACCGGTCGGCTCGAGTCGTTGGCCAACCAGGTATTCGACCAACTCAGGGCCGAACGGAACCCTGCCTCAGCAGTCAGAGAAAAAGTGGTGGTCGCGGGGCACATCAGTCTCGTTCCGTGGTTGCACAGCTTTGCCAAGAACGCAGTACTGGCAGAAGACGGGATGGGCGGGGGATCTCGATTAGGGGCGGAGCTAGACAGGATCTGCCCGCCACGCAAGGTGCGCGACTTTCGTATCGTCAAGTTCAGAGACGCTCGTCTTCCACCACCTCCGCCGCCTGCTTCCTTCTCTGCTGCAGCACAGCAAGCGAGTGTCAACGGTTCGGCGACCAAGAAAAAGAACCCGTATGCAAGGACGGTGCAGCTCACGGTGAGGGACGCAGCTCGCTTGGGCGACGAATTGCGCGAAGGCAGACGGTTTTTGGTGACCAACTTAGTGCCGATGTCGAAGTCTGCTTGGAGGAAACCAGATGACGAGGCCGAGGTTTACCTCACCACGAGAAGAGATACCAAGTGGCGTCCCGTTGGCTAGCAATCTGTCACCGCACATTCACGCGTGAGCTTCTCGCAGAAATGGTCAAGTTGGCAACATTTTGCACACATCGCCCGTTCAGTCGGTCATGGTGAATGTGAGGTTGCGCCGCATCGTATTTCAACATCACGGGATGGATCGGCATGCAATTTGAAGTGTAGGCAAGAAAGCTAGACAAGGTCGGCAAGGGGTACCGTGACGTCGTCAAAGTAATCATGATCGACTTTGCTCTTCCCACCATCACCGTTCTGCGCAGCATTTGCTCCAGCCGAATGTGGTTGTACATGGGCCTTTCCCTGAGTCGGATGCGTCTGAAGGTGTGACACCTGTTGTTCCTGCTCTGGTCTCCCTTGACCACCTCTCGCACCGATGACAGCATACGGAAGAGCTGGTTCATCCTTTGTCGGACAAGCAATCAACTCCTTCTGCATATACTCTCTCGGACCCAAAATCTGCTCGACGTTGTCAGCAAATCTAGCCAGCAAATGACCTGCCTCGTTGCTCTTTCGGTTGAAGTAGCGCATCGAGACGCAACCTGGCTTGGAGGCAAAGTCGAGATCAATGCAGCATCCGCCGTAGCAGACGTGGAACGGGTGGGACATGTATGATGCTCGTTCGAAGAGGAAAGCTCCCTCTGCAAAAGCGATATCGAGGCAGTGGAGAGAAATGATTGTCAGTACAAGTCGATGTGGAAAGGCTGACACTGAGAGGGTGTTTTGCTTACGGTCATCCGTGGCGTTGACAGGCGAAGCTCGAACAGCTCCAGGACGAATCTGATCGACGTAGATGCAGTAGCTGGTGGGCTCTTCGCAGAGTTGTGCGAGCACCACAGGTGAATAGACGGTTGGAAACGGTACGGGTGGAGTCGACGGCGGCGCGTGCTGCTGGGTTGCTGGCTCAGAGGGGTAGCATGAAGCGCATAGGGACAAGGATAGGCAGATGGCTAGCAAGGTGGTGAACGACATCATGGCTCGGTCATGCAGACGTAGAAGCAGCTGCGCGAGCGATAGATAGGTACAAAGGATGCGAAGAGGACGTTCAAACGAGCTCGAACGCTTGCAGCTGCTCATTTGACATCATGTTCGAACAACTCCGGAGAAAGCAGAGTTGAATTCATTGAGTCATTTGGCGTGGTTGTCGTCATTCCACACTCGATTCAGTTGCGTCGGGTTTGTCTACAAACGAGTCAAAGCCAGAATGCACACCAGCATGGTGTTGCCGCAGAATGGTATGCGAAAAAGCTCTCGAGGCTCGTCAATTGGTGATGGCCCCACGGCAGTTCATCAACGACACCACTTTGCCTGACGACGTCAGACCGATCCTTGAATGACCCACGTCGGATCGATAACGTGAGAGGCCCTGTTATCACATTCCGAGAGCGGACGGGTGCGACTGACGTTGCTAAGGGCATCTGCCGGATCGCGATTGCAGCACGACCTTGTCTTTATGTCGTTAGTGCTGACCCACTTTCGCCTTTGTACAGTAAGTTACAGCCGACCTGACCCCCTTAAAAATGGTGGCCATGTGGGGGTCGTTGAGTTCAATACAAACCTTCGCCGGCGTGAACGGTGGCGAACAAGCAGGGCATATCAACGAGCATGCACGATGATGGATGATGAGCGACACGTGACGATCCGCGCGTGCCTCCGTTGTCACACACAGTCTCAGAAAAGGTCCCGTCGTCTGTCAGCATGACCTGACCGAGAGGCTGCGAAGTTCGGGTGTGTCAAGCCGCAAGACAAAGGCCCCGTCTCATCAAGACCCGCACGCACTGCACAGTAAAATCCCAACGGTGGGACTGTGCACTCGCAACAACAACGATCGACGTGCTTTGTTCGCTTCAACGTTGAGTCGGTTGGCACGGACCTTCCGGCAACATGCCCCTCAGAATCTTTCGCAGCCTATAAGATGCTGGGATGTCACCTCAACGAACTTGAAGAACTTGCTCAGACATCTCGCAACACTATCATTCTCTCACTTACTCACTCAAAATGAAGACCATCACTTTCTCCCTCGCTGCGCTCGCCATCGTCGCCACCACAAGCGTCACTTCCGCTACTGCTACGCATCCCAAGGAAACCAAGCCTGTTCCCTGGGCTCAGGAAGTCAACCAGGACGCCACCAAGTGGGCCCTCTACTCGGCTCGCAAGGGCACCGATCTGAACACGGTCAAGCCCAAGTATTCCGAGTGCACCGTCACCAACCCTTCCGAAAAGGAGTACGTCGTTGCGCACACGTTCGTGAACAACTCGGAGTTCGAGTTCCAGAACCTCGAGGACGACGTGCTCGGAGCCAACTGCATCGACTGCTCGCCCCAGATGCTGGGAAACTACTATCTGACCAAGATCAGCGGTTACCTCACTTGCAAGATGTACGAGGACAAGCCCATCAACTGAGGTCGATTGTCGTCTCTGCTCGAGCTCTCGATCGACTTTGCTTCGGTCCGTTTACTGTTGATGCCATGACTTGATTGTGTTCTCGATCTGCGTGATCGCTGCTGCTACTGAGCCTCGCTTTTCGAGCTCGTCGCACGCATCTCATCATTGGTCCCAATTGCGATCTAGATTTAAGTGTTCACGATCTTCACTTTCATCGAGTGGAACTGAGTTCTCGGCTGAAACGTCTGAGAAACGAGCGCGCATGAGTGACGAGTACAATGCTCCCGAAAAAAGAAATACAACCTTGTCGAAGATGGTGTGACGCACTTGCGGACGACTATCGGACACAAGTTGTCACTATGCGTCTGCATCCAACATGTCCGAATCGCCCGCCAAATGATGGGCGCATGCAACAGACTGTAGCTCGCCCACTGGCGCGTCACGAATGCACCACGGACCTCCGATTCCGATCGGAAATTGAAGGCGCATGCCTTGTGGGTGGTGGCGGTGGTGTTTCGTTCGACCCACACGAGCGGGAGGTGCGGTCCGTGTTGCCGCAGAGTGATTTCGTGTGGCTTGCTAGGCGGTGGGATTTTTTGTTGCTCCTAGAAAGCAAACAGGTTAAGTCTGAGATCGACACTCGATCTCTTCCATCCTCGACGTGTATAAGAACCTCTCAGTCTGACTCGCCAATACAGTAATCGCCATTCACCTCTTCTACACTCTTTCCTCACACAAGCATACCCTCATCCAAGACCCCCTTGTTGCCGTCAAAATCATGAAGTTCACCACCGTGTTTCTCGCTCTCGGCGCCTTCCTCGCCAGCATCACGCTCACCGAGGCAGCCGCCATCGACCACGCGGGCCCCTGGTCGCAGATCCACCACAAGGACAGCATCGAGCACTTTCAGATCTACGCCGCGGCCAAGGAATCCGACCTTCGCACTGCCAAGCCGGTGATGAGCAAGTGCAGCGTCAAATTCCCTAAGAACAAGGCTTACACATACCACCAGTTTGCAGAGGGTGGACTGCTCGAGTTCCAGAGGCTGGGTGCTCACACCATGGGCATCAACTGCCCCGAGTGCACTCCCCAGCAGGTGGGTAACCTTTACCTGACCAAGTGGAGCAACTACTTTGAGTGCAAGGTCCAGGACCACAGGGCTTGAGGCGGCCGTTGCCGTCAGGGTTCAAAGTCGTGTAGCCACGACAGGCTTCACTCGATGCCCCTATGTGCGCTTCGTTTGGCTCTCGACCTCTTTCATTCCATATTTTCCTGCTAGATGCCATGTAGACTCATACGATATCGAAAAAGGCTTTTCTCTTTCTCTTACTAAGGGCAAGCGCTACGTGACATGAGACCTTTTGGAGCTGTGCGTGAATCGAGCAGAAGTCCAACATCTCTCGCCAATCTGCACGCCGACCCGCATGTGATGCACGAGCATGCATGACACCTCTGCAATTCTGCCTGGCGCGTCTCGACTGAGCAACCGACGCGTCCTCGAAATTGTGCGCCTTGCTTGGCTGTCAACCTGCGGCTGCCTCTCTCCACGTTTTTGCTGCGAGGGTGTTGTTGGTCTCGGCTGGACCCTGGATTTGGGCTTTTTTTGTGAGCCCAACGTGAGGGGAAAAGTGCAGCGTGTTGACGAGTCGCTGCCGCCGCTCGGAATGCTCCTCGGATTCACAAAGGGATGACTGCTCCGACTGTGACTTTGGTAGGAAAGCAAGGTTTAGCTCTCGGAATGAGGTCCGATTCTGCGCAGCAGCGCCAGATGAGGTATGCGGCAACCCCGTCGCTCACACCCATTCACCTGACCCTAAGTCGCGGTGTCCGCCAATCGGTCTTGTCAACCACCATCTCCAGTGCCCAATATTCACACGATGACAACCTCCCCTCAATTCGATAGCCAGAGAGCCGTAGTGGCGCTGCTCAACCAAGCATCCACCGTCCATCGCCTCTCCATCCTCGACCATCTGGTAGACACTAAATCGTCGCCTTTTCAACTCGTAGCCGAACGCTCGCTCTGCCTATCCCTCCCGGAGGACGACGACCTACTACGATCGCTGCTCGCACACGAGATCTCGACGCAGGGAGAAGCAGAAACGCTCGTTCGGTGGGCACTCAAGTTCACGGCTGCCACGAGCTTCTTCATCGTCCTCGAGATGAAGCACGCAACTCAGGATTCGGCCGTCGAAGTCTTGCTGCGTGACTTTGCACCAAATCTGTGGGAAACATACGGTCAGGACGAGATCTACGTGTCGCCGGACTGTGCTACTGCTGAAATGCAGATCGAGCTTCTCTTCCCGCACGGGCTCGACAGCGATACCACGGCTGTGACCGACTCGACTCACACCCTTTCCCTTGCCTCTCCCGTCGAGCACGCGCCACCGATGGTCCCCAACGCATCCTCGTCCAGCGCCGCCGAAAGCGCATTTAGCTACACCTCTGCCGCATCCACCTCCACGGCCGCTACGTCCGTTCGACCTCAAAGCCGGGCCTCTTCTGCTCACCCTACCTTCAAAGCCAGACCCATCCCCACAACCGTCAAGAGTGCGCCGTCGATCCAGCCCCGATTGAGCAAAGCAGCAGCACTGCGCATGGGTGTCCAGCTACCGGACTCCCCTGCTCGCGTTGCTTCTCGAAACGTCAGTCCGACCAAAGATTCTGCTAGTGTGGGCATTTCTGGCGTGGTCAAGCGGCCAGTGGCACCACCTGTCTCGCTCAAGGCGCCGAGCATCGCTCCTCGTCTCAACAAGGCTGCCATGGCTCGGCAAGGTGGACCATCAGCCGCTGCTCCCGAACTCGCAGGTAGACCAGCTTCAGCAGCAGCGGGTGCCACTAGACACGCCTTCCCAACAACTCTTTCGACGAGTGCAGATGCCGCACCTCGCAAACAGGTGGATTTCTCCAACACTCCGGGTCACAAACGTCACTCACTCATCGGTAAGACTACAATCGCGTCCATCGCCCCCCCCACCATCGCTCCGCGTCAGAACAGGGCCAGCATGAGTCGGATCCAGCCGCAAACTCTAGCCACCGCTTCTTCTCGACCGACCTCTAGGGATGCTGCTTCTGCTCCTCCATCGTCGTTCAAAGGCGCATCCCTTGCACGTCGATCATCCGTCTCCACCCCGCAAAGTGCAGCGCATCGCGATCGCGCACCTGTCGACTTTACCGCCACACCAGGTCACAAACGCACCAGCCTGAGCCTATCCATCCCGTCCCTCGCAGCGCCGTCGCTAGCACCTCGGCAGAACCGAGCCTCGCTGGCGCGCACCCAGCAGCCTTCCGGAACTGCTTCGCCGCGGCTGACGGAAAAGTCTCCGGCTGTGAAGGCGACGGATTTCACCGCTGTCGCGGGGCACAAGCGGTCGTCGTTGAGCTTTTCGTTGTCGAGTCTGAGGGCGCCGTCGATCGAGCCGAGGTTGAATAGAGCTGCGGGTGTTAGGATGGGTATGGGCAAGGGTGCTGCTGGTCAGTGAAGTATTCTGCTTGGGGTTGCGATGAGGGATTGAACGGATTCATGCTGGCGGAACAGCACGCTTCTTTGTAACAATGTCCCGTGATGTGTCAATTAAACGCAACAGTAACCCGAAACAAGTGAGCAATCATTTTTTCCCCGCACCCGGAATCTATGACTTGTGTGTTGGGGTCAATGTGATCTCGACGAGTGTCGCGAATCAAGTACGCAAACGAATCTATCGACTGGGGTGTGGTCGATCTTGACAGTGAAAACAAACCGATGTTCTGTAGTGAGGTATCTCAGAGAAGTCCCTTGCCAGGTGCTATCGAGCTGTCTATGCAAGTATGTTTCTCAGAAACGGTGAGCCGGGATCTGGTCTAGGCTGCAATAGCAAAGCTACCTCCTGCTCCCGCCACGCTTGTGTACTGTTAGTGCGAACCAGCGCTTCGCCCACCCAAGAGCATAATCTCTTATTCCCCCCTTCGCTTCCATTCGCACTCGATACTACAACCGCAGCTCACGTCCTCGCACCACCTAGACGTCCACCAATCCCTTCCTCCTCGCCGCCCTCCAACACTCCGCTCAACCTGTCACTCGTCTACCCGCATCCATCTCACCTCACACGCAACTCATCACTCTCATCCCCACACACACACACACACACACACACTCGCAAGCCACTCAACCTTCTCGAGAAACATTGTCCATAAAACATCAAAAAACAGAAAAAACTGAGAGAGAGAGAGAGAGAGAGAGGGGGGCATTACGACTCGGAAAGAACATTTTCAATCTCGCCATTGATAAACGTCTTCTTGGAGTCGATCGAGGTAGCGTACTTGGCTTCCAGCTTGGCACGCAGCTGCTTCTTGGTGATCGTCGTCAGGTCGGATTCGGCGATCAACGTTCGAATGTCGAGCTTGATCTGGCTGTCCGACGGAAGCATGCCGCTGGGTTGAGGGTTGTCCGGGCTGATCGACGTGCGAGCGCCCTGCTGCTGCTGTTCAGCAACAGCAACAGCACCGCCATAGCCTCCTGCACCGAAACCGAGCTGCGAACCACCGTAGATCGACTGGGTAGCTGCCACCGGTTGAGGATAGCCGTACATGCTTGCCGTCGTGTTGAACGGCTGAGGCATGAATCCGCTGCCACCAGTCGGCATGACGTAGCTCGAGCTGGCAGGCAGACCGTACATGGACATGGCTTGTCCACCGTACCCACCGCCAAGGCTGTACGTCGATTGGCGAGCAGCGTCCTGAGGGAAGTAGCCGCCAGCGCCGATCTGCGATCCACCACCCATCTGCGAGCCAGGCCCAGCAGGATAGACACCAAACTGCGAGGGGGTGCCACCGTACGAAGGCGAAGGGCTGTGTCCGAAGCTTGCATTGTGGGGCAGCACAGGCTGTCCGTACAAGCTCGGCGCATATTGCGATCCGGCACGCGATCCGAGCGACTTGTTCTCCGCGCGCGCCGCTTCGATGATCGATCCGATCGATCGCGCCGAGTTGCGCTCCCAGAGCTCATTCTCGTAGTCGGTCCACGTCTGCAGCGGGATCTCGCTCGGGTCAAAGGTACCTTCTTCGTGCACCACCACCTTCTGACCCTTTTCGCCCATGACAACACGCGTGGTTCCCCACGAGAAGTCGTCCATGTGCCAGAAAGAGTAGAGCGGCAGGAAGAGCGACCAGATCGGAATGCCGATGATGTAGACGATCATCCAGCCGATCATCTCGAACTTGCGGTTGAGCAAGAAGATGACAGCCTGACAACCGTAGATCGCGGCCAGCATGATGATGGCCGTCAATGGAACCGTGCCGTTTGCCGTAGCCACCAGTACGATCAAGTAGACAATGTAGGCCACCGTGACAGGTGCGATGATGGTCGACAGCAGATCGATAAACACAATGAAGCGCATCGAGAAGAGACAGAAACCGCAAAGACCAGGCGTAAAGATGAGCTCGACCAGATTGTGGACGGTCGAGTTGATCCATCGTCGTCGTTGCGAGAGCAGCACCTTCCAGTCGTCGGGAGCAACGGTCCAGGCCTTGCAGTCGCGGACAAAGATGGTCTTGTACTTGCCAAAGTGCTTGAGCACCAGGGTCGTCAGGTATCGATCCTCACCGAGATGAAGCAGGTTCTTGGTGTGCAGCGTGTCGACGCGGTTCTCGGCGTAGTCTTCCACGATCTGCGAAGCGATGAACAAGGGCCGGTGCGTGTCCGGGGTGCGGATACGGAACATGGAGAAACAACCGGGCAAACAGGTGACGGAGCCGAACAGACTCTCGAACGCCTTGGCGAGGTAGTGCGAAATATAGTACTCGTAGACCTGAAGCATGGTGATGATGCTCGCCTTGGCGTTGGAGAGCGCCGTCTCACCGCAGAGACCGATCACCTTCTTGTCGCGGATGAACGCCGAGATGAAGCGGTTGAGCGACAAAGCTTCAACTTCGGTATCGGCATCGACTTGCAGGATGTACTCGTAGAAACTTGGGTTGACACCAATGACGTTCTTGATCTGGTGGTAGATCTCGAGCTCCATCGGGTTCATGGGCAGACCAAAGTGCACCTTGTTGAGGAAACGCATGAGGACCAGCTGCGAATCACGCTTACCACGGTTACCGGGACGCGAACGTTCCGAGGGCTTACCGCACTTGACAACGACGATGTAAGGAACGACGTGACCGTGATGCTCGTAGAGACCGCTGTAGATCTTTGCCATGTTGTGCTGCTTGCTGCCTTCACCAAGCGAGAGGAAGCTGAGCGCCTCGGGCTCCAAATTGGGATCGGCACCGAGAATGTCAAGCACAATGCGTGGCGTGGGACGATCGTTACCGGAACCGACGATCATACCATCGCAAATGACGAAGAGCAATTTGCGCTTGTCATCGTACTTGAGCGCAGCGAGCGAGTTGAGTGTCTTGCGCATCGACTCTTCGCCTTCCGTGTAACAGGGCACCTGGCAAATGACGAACTTGTCGTGGTCCTCTGGCTTTCGGGCGCGTCCAAACTGGAGAGCAGCAAGGAACTTGAAACCGAGGATGCAAACCATGAAGAGCGACAGGGCCAAGAGGATGTACTGCGAGAAGCGGCACTGCGGCGAGTTGCGGTGGTCGACCTTACCGATGAAGAACAGGTTTCGCAGACAAACTCGTTGACGGTCCAGCACGTCGGGGTCGAGAGGCAGGTTGTCGAACTGCTTGGTGATGTCCTTGCCGGGATTCTGGGCGATCAGGCTGATGATGGCGTCGCTCATGAATTTACGGTTGGTGTTGGCTGGAGCCTGAAAGCCGTCGGGGGCCCTGAGCACGCCCTGGTTGCCTTGCTTGATGTAATCGGTCACCTCATACACGTCGCCACGGTAGATGGCAACCGCACGTCCCTCAGTGAGGATGTCGCGGATGCCGTCGCCAGTGTAGCCCATGAATCCGACACGGTAATTGGAGCGGAGCAGCCACATGGTCTCGTAGTACCAATCGGGTCGAGGGTCGTCGACGTGGTAGGATCGGAAGTCGTGGTACTGAGCGTTCTTGTCGGTCGAGTTCTCATTGGACATTTGGACCCACGGACTGACGTTGCCATCGACACCGTTGCAGAGCGCGTTGACCTGTACGGGGAAGATCGGGGTTGCATCCTCTCCGGAATAAGCAAGGATCGAATTGGCAGGGACGACAGGGACGGCAGTCTTGTGACTCCTGACGAGGCTGCTGAGGTCGAACACTTCACCGCGGATCGAAGTGAACGACGAGTCTCCCTTGTGAGTGGCGAATTCGGTAGGACTGTAGACGTGCTGCTTGGGGCAGATAAGGTTGCCAAGGACGACAATGACGAACACGGCGCAGCCGCAGATGAACCAGATGATGAAGTTGATGGCGAGCTTTTCGCGCCACGCCATGCGAATGTCGGGTCGCTTCAAAGATCGGAAGCGGCGGAGGACGAAGCTCGGGATGAAGAAGGTGAGCGCCCAAGTGAATGCGACCCACTTTCGACGAGTCGAAGTGACGCCGACCTCTTCAGCAACTTCGCCCGGTGGCTCCTCGGTGAAGGCAGCGGTGCCGGCCTTTTCGTTGAGGCCATTCTTGCCCATGTCGGCAAACATGTTGCGAGAAGGAGCGTACGCCTCGGATCCGATGAACGAAGGGGCGCCGCTGAGTCGACCGCCGAAGCTGGCTCTAGGCAAAGTTCCAGATACACCCGAGTACTGGCTCTTGACCTCTTCGAGTTCGTCGTCGTGGCCGGCGGCGCCATGGCCGACGAGCGGCAGAGCAACCGACGAGCGCTCCTTGAACGGGTCGCCGTAGGCGCCCACAAAGTCATTGCTGCGGCTGCGGGTATAGTCATCGGCCAGCACGGCGACCGGGGAGAAGGGATCGGATTCGCCGCGCGCGGCTGCGTCGGCATCGAGCTGCGCTCGCTTCTCGTTGTTCTTGACTTCGTCTGCATCAGCAGCGCGGAGCTCGTCTTCCAGCTCGCGGAAAGCGGTGTGCGAGAGGAAGACCTTGACACGACCGGAAGCGGCCTCTTCGTCGGACCAAGACATGACCTCGCGCGCTGCCGAGAACTTCTGCTTGGCCAATCCCGAGACGGCGTCGCGCATCTGGACGGCCTGAAGCGAGGGAACGTCGGCGTATCGCTGGCAGAACTCCTCGTAGGTCATGCTGACGCTGTACTCGTGAAGCAGCTTGCGCGACATCTCGGACAAGCCGAGCGTGGTGATCTGCTGTTTGACGACGCGAGCCTCGAACTGGTTGGGAAGCTGGTTGTCGTTGGGACGAATGCAGAGCGTGAACCAGGTCTTTGTCTCCTCGAGCGTCTCCAAAAGGAGGTCGAGTGCTCCACGGAAGTCGCCAGCGACGCATCGGACGGCGTTCTTCTTGGCGTTGGTGGAAGCGTCGGCAGCATCGTCCTCCGAGTCGTCGTCGTCACCCTTCTTGACCGTGTTGCTGCGCTTGACCGTGTTGCCACGATTAGGTCGACGTGTTGAGGGCGCACGCATGGGCCTGACCGACTGCTGAGCTGCGACGATGGTCTGGTCATTCTTGGGATGCGACTGAGTTTTGAGCACTTTGGTGTTGAAGATGCCGCGGATGAAGGGGATGGTGGAGCCGGAAGACTGAGTGGGGTCGTTGGCGAGCTTGCCCGACTCCTGCTGGCTGCCGCGGAGGAGCGAGACAAAGTCGGTGCTGACCACCTCGCTGTTCTTCTCGAGCAGGTTCTCGCTCGTGTAGGTGACGGCGCTGTTGTAGTGGCTGATGGTGAAGCTCGAAAAGCCGCTGCGGTCGGCAGGACCGACCTTGAAGGAGGGATGATTGCCCCATCGCTTGCCGAATGCTTCGATCATGGTCTGGTCGCTCTTCTTGGGCATCCTACGAGCCTGGTCGTCCATGATGTGGATCAAGCCACCGGGCTGGTTGGTCATGAGACGCAGAGTTTCTGCGTTGTCAAAGTAGGGGATCTCGGGCGACAGGTGGGTGATGCCCTCGTCGGTAAACTCGTCGCGTCGCTTCTCGAAGACGCTGCGGAGCATGAAGCGGTGCAGGTTCTCGCAGGCGAAGTTCACGCAGAACTGGTCGAGCGAGTTGCCCTTGGAGAGGTTCTGGAAGCCGGGAAGGTCGAGGAGGCCGATGAAGGTGTCAAAGTCGTCGCGGCAGAGCCTCTCGTTGAGGCTCTCGTTGACCCAAGCGAAGAGGAGCGAGTAGAGCGATTTGGCGAGGTCGTCACGGTGGTCGGATGCGCCGTCGGCGTCGAGGAGGATGGTGCAGACCTCGTTGCGGATCATCTTTGTCTTGTAGGTGAGCGCCTCTTCGAGCGACTTGGAGGAGATTCCGAGGTATTCGGCGACCTTGTCGAGCACCTCCGGGTTGCGGATGGTGGCAGAGTCCTGGGTGCGTTGACGGTCGTAGTGGAACTCGATGTTGCCGAGGTGGAGGATGGCGGCGAGCACCTGGCAGATGGAGGCGACGTGACGTTTGGAGAAGCCGACGTTCTTGAAGGCGAGCTTGAGCCTGTCGAACTTGGCAGCATCTTGAGCGTCTCTGTTGCGCGAGGCCTGGCCGAGGTAGCGGAAGGAGGCGGCGTCGTGGATGCCGAGGTATTCCTTCTCCTCGTTCGAAGCACCGGCGACCATGTAGTGGAAGATGTGAAAGTTGCTTTCGCTGGAAGCGGCGCTGACGACGCGGTTCTTTTCGAGGTAGTAGTCGAGCGTCTTGGCACCGACGAGTTTGCCCGAGTCGGAGAACTGGAGTTCGGTGTACTTGCCAAAGCGAGAAGCGTTGCTGTTGTCGAGGGTGCGCGAGTTGCCGAGAGCTTCGAGGATGTATTCTGCCGAGGGGATCTGGACTCCGAGCTTGAAGCCCTTCTTGCCTGGTGGCGCTACGCTGAGGTCGATGAGAGCGCGGAGGGCGAGTCGACGGACCTCGCTCTTTCCGCTTGAGGTGTCTCCGGCCATGAGCAAGCTCTGGTCCTGACCAGTGCGTCGCATGTAGAAGTAGGCATTGCAGGCGTGCGCAAAGATGTGTGGCGGCAAGGCTGCGGCGCGAAGCTGCTTGTTTGTTTCGCGATAGTCTCGTGTGTATTCGCGCAGGGTGTCATCGCTGTTGCGGTTGCCGGACGAGGCGTACGGGTTGACCGAGACGAGGATGGAGTCCGAGAGGGAGGTGTAGGGCAAGCCGGCGTAGAACCTATCGCGAAGAACCGAAAAGATGGTGTCGGGAGTGATGTTGGTGAGCTGCGAGAGCTTGACAACATCTTCGGGAGCCGACATGGCGGTGATGATTCAACGGCCAGTCGCAGACAAGCTGCGGGCGCTGTCGTGATACGAAGAGGTTTTGTGATGGAAGCTTGTAGGAGAACGACTGGTGGGCGATGCAGACAGAGGTGTACCGGACGAAACCCAAACCAGGCGACGATGGTTAGGAGCGAAGGTGCAAGCGTGCTCGAAATGACGAAGACCGCAGACACAAGCGGATGAAAGTGACGGCGACGACGCCCAAGTCGTGTCGAGATGGTGCGAAGAAAAGATGGCTCGACGCAGTGTGTGTGTCAGGGAGATAGACGAAAGCGTGTGTCAGCAGAGCGAGTCGAAGCGCCACAGCGAACCACGCACGATCACGGCTAGGAAGTGCGATCCGAGGACACGAGCTCGAGCGGGGTCAAAGAATGCTACGGCGAGCGAAAGGTGTGGTAGGAACGGGGAGATGGTGAGGATGGACGGAGAGCGACATGCACCAACAGTCGATGGTCTAGGCGAGCAGGAATGAGCAAGGGACGGTGAGCAGCTAGAGCCAGCAGCCCGCCTCTGACACACAAATGTCACACCAGTATTCTGTGCTGGCTCACTGGACGGCGTTTTGACAGCTTCAGGGGGATTCACTCAATACCAATCACATAAATTCCACATCGCACAATCACAAACGCACACACGCTTCAGCCCAGCGACAGCAACAATTTTCAGAACGAAAAAAAAAAATTAAGAAAAAAAAAGACAAAAGGACGTGAAGAAAGGGAGGGTTCACCAGCACGATATTGTACTGGCACCGGATTGACATGGTCAGTGAGCAACTTGGAAAGGCGCAGTCTCCTATGTCGGTTCGCTGGTGTCGTCTGGGCGTGCCCGTACGCCGGCTGTGATCACGGTAGACATTAGGTCTTCGTCCACTTGAAATATCGAGATTGCCCATCGGTCAGCGAGAAAGAAGCGGACAGAGAAAAGCGAGCAAGGAGCACAACCAAGCAAAGCGCGTAACATTTCGAAACCTCGCTTGCGTGGTCCGGGACCCCTTGTTCATCAGGTATTTTATTCATTTATGATAATTCCTTTTTCCTGGCATAAATGTTGATGTCTCTGCGAGCGGGGTTTGCTCACCACCATCGACGAGGCTCGACATTGCCGTATCGTGTGGGCCGAGGCGCTTCCGTCAATCAACTGAACATGCCTCGCAATTGTCTAGTCAGTAGATCACCCAAGATCTAGCTTGTGCACGACCTTGGTGAAGAAGCTCGCGGCGAATGTGATGGAAGACAGAGATCGTTTTTGATTTTCTGACGCCGGCAAAAGGTACACACAGACGATCCAGGAAGTCAGGGTCCGAGCGGGTGTTGGATTCACATCTTTACCCTTTCCTCTTCCCCTTGCAAATCGGAGGTCAAGATCGAAATTCGAACTCTCGTGGAATGCTCGTCGCCTGCCAGCGCGTCCACTTTTTTCCGCGAGACTCTCCTCTTGATCGCCGGAGTTCCTCGTGCAGCGGTCTCAGGTTTCACCAATTCTTTGCCGTTGGGTTCAGCGGTACAATGCTCGTCAGCGTACATTTTCCCACTGAAAATGGGCGGACGTCGCTTGCGATCCATGCACACTGCCTGCTGAGTGAAGTCCAAAATGCTCCGCTACCTCACGAGCCGCGCACCCGTCGATCCCAACGCAGACAGCCAGTAACTGCTGCCCTGGTCTTGCGGCATTTCGATTCCGTTCCGTAAACCACACGTTGATCGTCTGGCGTGCCTGTGTGCTTGTTTTGATCGACGAAGGCAATCTCGACTTCTCTCACTGTTCACGTTGTAAGCCTACGAAAAAGTCAACTGAACAAGCTCGAATCTCAAAGGCTAGGCAAAGCCAATTTTCCAATGATCAGGATCGACCCGTTCGGCTTGGCAAAGGAGAAGCGAAAAGGCGCGCCAACCTCAGCCTCGGAACCCCTGTGCTCAGGCGGGAAATTGCGGCCATGAGCCGTCATCCCGCACCCCGCTTTCATTTTGGGCTTGCTTGTCTGTTACATTGGGGTTCGACGCAAGCGAGGCATAGGTGTGAATGTATCATTTGTTCAATCGTAACAAACAGCATCCTTCCTCGTCCGCATCGTGCATGGTCAAGATCAAAAAGTACAAACGCTTCCGGCCTCATCGCCATGCCACTCAGAATCCATCCTTGAGCTTGAGTCGGTTGGTCGCCTTATCCATCACGGCCACCTTGCGCACCGCTGCACTCAGCTGATCCTTGATGTGCGGTTCCGACTTGAGACGCTTTCGGAAGTGCTGCACTAGCTCGCTCGTGTTGGCGATCTTGCCTTCTCGGATAAGCTGGATGATCTCGGCTTCCACCGCGTTCGCAGGCACGCGCGGTGCGCCGGGGCTTCCTGCACGCGAAGCTGGTTTCGAGCCCGGCGGCGATCCCGAGGGCGAGCCGGCTCGAGAACCGGTGCTGCCTGTCTTGACCCGCTTGGCTTCGGGATGGCTGCTGGACGCGTTGGATCCCCCAGCTAAAGTCGTAGCTGACGATGCAGGGCTGTCGGCTCTTCGTTTCAGCCCAGAGTTCGCGGCGGAAGCATCCGAGGTTGCCAGCGGCGGCGACTCTGCTCGGCCAGGACTGACGCTGCGAGCAAGGCTTGGACTCGATGAGCGACTGACCTGCTTGCTGCCAATCTTGGATGCTCCGCGTGTCGGGCTGGTAGCGCGGTGCGCCAGACTTGCGTGACCCGCTCCAGGACGCTGCGTCTGGCTGGCGCTGGAGGCGGCGGGTGGCACAGGGCGCTTTTCGGGACGATTGCTGGGCGTGTTGGACCCAGAGGCGCTTCCCGGTGTCGTCTTGTCCTTGTTCTTGGCCGCCTCCTTCTCCTTCCTCTCGCGCTCTTCGCGAGCCAGTTGGATCGCCTTTTCGGGGTTGGCTACGTACGATTCCTCCTCATCCTCTTCGGAATCGTCCGTGGCGTACGGATTGCGCCCGTCGTCATCCTTGTCGTACACTTCGTTGCCTTCGCGCTTGGCAAGAGCACGCATGATCTTCATCATCTGCTTGCCGCTTCCGGTCAAGATCTGGTCCTCGTCTTCCGGCGCACTCGCCTCTTCCGCTGCGTCCTCTTCGTCTCCGACATGGTTGGCGCGCGCCATTTCTCGCTTGAGACGCTCCTCGAGCTCCTTGGCCTCCTCATCCTCTGCGACATCGGCCTCGGGGTCGTGCAACTCTTCGTCATCGGCGAATTCCTCTTCAAAGTCGAGCTCGTCGTACCCAGCGCCAGGACTGTCTTCGCGCTTGCGTCTACGCGATGCGCTCGCGTCGTCATCGTCGTCATCGCGCAGCAACTCCCCACCGTGAACGGCCATGAGGTTGCGGCGACGACCTGCACCAAACGACATGCCGGTGGGCAGCGAGAGTCGATTGACCTGAGGCCAGCTGCGCCAAGTTGCATTGTCTTCGTGCTTGGACACGGATGCACCGGCCGAGACGGGCTTGTTCCGCAGGGCCCATCGGTCCATCTCTTTGGTCTTTTGGTACTTTTGGTATTCCTGCTCCACCTGCTCGTTGGTCATGGTGGAATGCTTGGGCTTTTGTAGGAACTTGTACATGCGCGAGACGGGTACCACCTTGAACCCACCCGCGTCACGCTCGTCAAAGACAAAGAGCACATGAAGCGACGAGGCCTCGGAGCTCGAGTCGCCTTCGAGCTTACCGATCCACGGTGCATGCGAAGTGGAGGACGAGGCAGAGGCAGATGCGCCCGACTCGTGCTTGATACCACCTTCGGCCTTGACCTTGGTGTTGGTGTCGTTCATCTTGACATCGCCGTTAGCGTCGGTACCGCTGCTACCGGATCGCTTGGCCTTGAGCTCGTCGATGTGATCCTGCAGAGCCCGTGCACCGGTGGGGAAGGGAGTGCGAACGCTCTCCCAATCTTCGGAAGTTTCGAAATCCTCGAGCACCCATGGGAAGTGTTCCTCCTTCATGGTTTTCCTTGCACTGTCGGCAGCCTTGTGGATCTCTCTGACTTTCTTCTTGAACAGCTTGGCTTTGGGCGGACGAGCGCTGCCACCTGGCGCGATGAGACTCTGATCAGCACCTGGCCCTTTAGGCGCGTTGTCCCTTTTGATCACTTCTTCAATGCGCTGCAGATCGTCGTCCGGTCCGGGCCATGTGAGAGGCTGACCGTCCTTGCCCATCATGGGTCTGTTGTACTTGTCGGTGATGGGGTCTCCCGGATTGGGACGCGGCAGCTTGAGCCTGGGCGGGTTCTTGCGATTGAGCTTGAGCGGTGGGATGAACTGAGCGGTGTCGTTGGGGTCGACACGGGTGTGATGGGCAAACTTCATGAGGTGAGTGAGCCACTGACCGCAGTCAGTGGAGAGCAGAGGGATGTCTCGATACGTGGTGGGCGGAGGTGGTGGTAGATCCTTCTTGTCCTCCTCCGAGTTAAGGTTGGAACGAGCATTGTTGCTAGTGCCGTTGGCAGGTTGTGGTCTTGGAGCGGCAGCTCTGCCATTCTCCGTCTTGACGCCGGCAGTGCCAGGCTCGGCTTTTACGGGAGGCATGGTTTGTGATCGACACGAGTCGGTGCCGAGCTGTCGGCGACAATGAGGTGAGGATGGCCAGTCGTCGAGATTTTGAGCAACGAGTTAGGACGATGTCTTGAAAGCACCAGCTGCTGTACGCCGATTGCCGAGCGTGAGCAACCTCAACTCACTTTTTAACTCCACTTTGGCTGTTCTTCTTTGGGCTCGCAGTCACATTTACTCTCGCACGGATCGCACGCCAGACCGACGGAATGGAAAGCGAATTACAGACGCGACACCAGAAGCTGCGAGTCAACGCGCAGTCGGGACGCACACGAGCAGACCCTGAATTGACTTTCAAGCGAGCCGACAGGAGCAGAGTGGCGCCGTGCCAAGTAGGAAATGTGGTTCCACTTCTGACTTTTTTTCCCTTTCCCACAAGCGAGCGAGCCGAAAGAGTTAGTTAGGCCTGAAGCCCAGAGCACCAGCATCGTGGCGTAGTGTCGGGATCACTCTCGCTAATCCACCGACGTCCACATGCTCCCTCTCGTTGCCAAGAATTGACCCAACGGCAATCGCCCAATCCGAGCAGCGTCATAGCCGCCATTGTTGGGAATCAATCGCAAGTCAAGCTGGAACGAAAAGACATTTCGGCGGCTTCTCGCCTATTCCGATCCTTCCCTACGAGACTCCACCATCGTGCCCCACACACAAGACCCGGGCATCTCCCACGATGGCGCCACAGACATAAGGTCAAACACGCTGTGATCATCCGAGCGGCCGGCAGGCTCTCACCTTGGCTTCATCCACCACAACGCACGTAAAGCAAGAGAAGGGCAGCCATGTCGAGCTTCAGAGCTCCTACCGCGCCGATGCAAAGCGGAACGGCCGACGCCGACGATGACAGTCCGAGGAGGAAGATTTCGGTCGACTTCACCAGGCTCAAGAACTTCCCATCGGCGCTGTCGCTCCGCAAGCAAGAACCGGATACGCCGCCGCGCTCCGACGCAATCCCATCCAGCGGTACCTTTTCTCGTCTCAGAGCGTTCAGCCAGTCGCAACGTCCGTCGCGCAGCTCGATGGGCTCAGAAAACAACGATGCTTCCACCGAGTCCAGATCCACCAGGAGAACGTCGCGCCTGCTCGATGCATTCAAACCTTCCAAAAAACCCACCCCCTCCTTCGAGGTGATTCGCAAGCCCGGCAACCGCAGCACTTCTTCCTTTCATCCATCGTCCCATCAGCCGTCTCCCAACACGGAAGTTTCGGATCCCACAAACCGTGCCGATGTCCAGCCTGCTCCTAGGATATCCTTGTCTGCGCCTCGCTCCGAGTCGTCTCGCTATGTTGCTGCCGCTGATGCTCCTCAGCCAGCTCACAACGGCCTCGCCGCTCGCTCGCCATACCCGCCAGCTACCACAACCACCCGCAAGTCTAGCAGCACCCACCCCATCTCAGCCAACACCCGTAAACCCTCGGACCCCTACCTCAACCTCGGCTCGGCTTCCAACTCTCGCGCACAGTCGCCTTCGCTAAATCCGAACACCGATGGTGCCAACGGAAGCTTCAGCTTGCACTCCTTTCGCAACATTCGCTCGTCAAGCGATGTGTCGACGGCCGACGAGTTTGGCGTACAATCTCATTCCAGAGTGCAGAGCATGATCTCGGTCGACGAGTACCTCACACCTGGCGAAGAGCTGCCAGAGCCCCGCTATCCCGACTCGCAGGATGCCATCAGAGCCCAGTCCACCAGCCCGGCGCCCAGCGCAAAGCCAGCCAGCATCTCGGCCGCCAAGTTCCGTCAAGCGTCGAGGCAACGTAGCGAAAGCGGCAACATTCCCACCATGGATACCATCCAGGCTGGCTCCGGCTTTGTCAGACCGCCTAGGTCCAGGACCCCTTCGCAAGACCTGGCCGCCATGGAAGCCCTGCTCGCCAAGACGCATCCGAGCACGAAAGGTTCCTCTGACGCAGATCGACGCAAGAGCACAGATCTTGCTCAACTCAAAACGACAGCAGACATCCTGCCCGCATCGAGCGTCAACGGAGACACGCAGCGCCGCAAACGAGGCGTGTTCATCGTCGTCGAGGGTCTCGATCGAGCTGGAAAGAGTACGCAGGTCGAGAGGCTTGCCGAGCACCTGCAGGCAAAATCCATCAAATTCCCAGAAAGAACCACGGCCATCGGTCAGATGATCAACTCCTACCTCGCCCAGACCAGCGAGCTTGACGACCAGGCCATCCATCTGCTCTTCTCTGCCAACCGGTGGGAGTGCGTCGCCTCCATCAACAGAACGCTCGACGCGGGCGAGAGCATCGTCTGCGATCGTTACGCTTTCTCGGGTATCGCCTACTCGGTCGCCAAAGGCCTTTCGTACGACTGGTGCCGCAATCCGGATGTGGGTCTGCCTTTGCCGGACCTCACCATGTTCCTCGACCTTGATGCACAAACAGCGGCGGCAAGAGGCGGTTACGGCGAGGAAAGGTACGAGAAGCTCGAGTTTCAGGCAAAGGTGCGCGAGGCTTTCAGTCGCGTTTCGCAGGATGTCAAATCGCACGGAGGCAGGTGGGTTACCATCGACGCGAGCAAGACGCTCGACGAGGTCACCGACGACGTTCAGAAAGCGGTTCAGAGGGTTACGTCGTCCATCGATCGAGTTGGAGTCAAGCTCGGGAAGCTCTTCGTTTCGGAACGTCCGCCCAACGTGCGTGCTGGTTCAAGCAACGAGCTGCTTCCGCCGACAGTGATTCCGAATATCAAACGGTCTTCCATGTCATCGCAAGATTCGGGAAGGAAAAGGCTGTCGCTGGATCTGCCTCGTATGGCGCACACCAACGGAACCTTTCCTGCTGCGCGACCATCAGGGTCACCCCTCACATATACCGAACAGCTTGCCGCGGTCCGAGCCGCTGCTGCCGGAACCCTGTCGGGTTTCTTTGGCGGCTCGAGCACCACTGTTGACCAGCAGACGCCGTCTACGCATGCATCAGACAAGCAATTGCCCGAGGCAGACGGACCTTCGCCGGTCAACGCGACTCGCGGACAGGGTTTTGATTCGGCTCGGGTGCTGGCAAGCCGTCCAGATGCATCCGGTAGACGACGCACCTTGATCGACGTGATCGGAGAGCTCGAAGGTCAGACGCATCAACCTTCAGCGCCGTTGACGGAGCATCGTCGGTCCATCTCTGCTTCTGCTGAGCCTACGTCGCCGACATTGCAGTCGAATGGCGAGGGCTTTCCCAGCACATTTGCGCAAGCTGCCAGGGTGCGACGCAGCACCGATCAGGGACGCGTGCCTCAGCTGCCGACGATTGCGAGCAGCGCGGCCGCACCCAGCGCGGGGCCAAGGAGATCTTCCTTGACAGTTCAGCCTGGTGCGGGTGGCGATAGCGCAGCCGGTCCGGTGACGACGACAGCTGCCACCTCTTCTCGAGGCACCGCGGCCCAGGTTGAGAGACCTGCAGTCTCGCCATCGGGCATCCGAGCTTCCTCCTCGTCCTCTGTCGGAAACGCAGTCAATGCCGATAGCACTCTCATTCAACCACAATCCTCAGCCTCTGCTCCGCGTGCCTCAACGCTATCGCCGGCAGCACGTGCCGCCTCGCCAGCCATCACCACATCTTCACGCAGCTCTCTTGCCAGTCCGCCGCTCCCCACCTCGCCCGTTCACAGACCGGCCAGCGTGACCCCTGCCGACCACACCTACGCTGCTCCGGACGCAGGGCTGCTGAGCTCGCACCACCTTTCGCAGTTCAACACGCAACAGACGCAGGCAGAGATGCAGGAGCAGTATATGCGCAACTACATGGCCATGATGGCCAACCCGATGATGGCGCAGCAGGCGCAGTACCAGCTGATGCTGCAGCGGCATCAGCAGCAGTACTATGGGAGGGCGGCTAGTGCGATCGGTGGAGTGGGAGCGGGAGCGAATGGTGTTGGGCAGACGGGGAGTGGAGGAGGGCCACCGTTGGCGGCGTTCATGCAGCCGATGGCGATGCGCTCGACGGATGCGGTGGGTGGAGGGGAGAGGGAGAAGGGGGTCGGACATGCGAGGACCCAGAGTTCGGGTTCGTTGAACGGAGCAGCGATGAGCAGCAACGGTCAGCAACCTATGTTGTCGATGATGATGGCAGCACCACCGCCGGTGAGCGAGACAAAGGGGTATTCAGCGGCAGTGGGGGGTCAGCAGGGGGGTGGGTTTTATGGTCAACCGATGTTTTATCCCAATGGAGCATTCCCGGGCATGGGGTGGAGTCAGCAACAGCAACAGCAGCAGCAGCAGGCAGCGATGATGGCAGCTGGGTACGGCAGACCGATGTATACCTCGACGAGGTCGGAGATCGCTTCGCCGACGACGTTGAGGTCCCAGAGGAGCAGCGATAAGGGGTTCCGCGGTCAGCAGCAGTAGCGTGGATGAACTTTGTTCGAGACTCGACTCACTTGGTGAAAACATGCTTATAGATGATACCATTCCTTTCGTCGCTGATGACGTGGATGTTTTCAAAGATATGTGTGGGATGGTGGGGGGGTTGCACGGCGACGAAACGAAATCGTCGGCAAATTTTCTCAAAGTGGGGGGGTAGAGAAAAAAGGCTCGGCATTCAACACAACGAGTTGAGCTGTGCGGCGGGCGGCCAAGTTGTGAAATGAAACGAACAGTGACGTCGATATTTCGCGTCAACTGTGATGCGAGGTTGATTATCAGCTCGAACCACACGATCGTCGCTACCTTGTCACCATCACCACCATAACCCCCTCTCCCTAGACCTAGCTTGGACCTTTCCAGAATGTCGGCGTTTACACGGTTCATAGCAGCCACATCCTCCACCTTCCCACGACAATGTCTGACCGGAGGGGTGCTCTTCGCTACCGGTGATACGATCGCGCAACAATTCGTAGAGAAACGTCGTTCGAACCACGACATCCCGCGTACAGTCCGTCTCGCTCTGTACGGAGGGTGTGTCTTTTCCCCTCTCGCATCCATATGGTTCGGTCGAGTTCTCGAACGCGTTCGCTTCACCTCAAAACCCCTCAACATCGCTACCAAAGTCGCCCTTGATCAGGGCATCGCCTCGCCCGCCTTCATCGCCATGTTCTTCTCCATCACAACCCTCATGGCTGGAGGAACGGTGGAGGATGCCAAGAAGAAGGTGCAGGATAACTGGTGGCCAACACTCAAGACAGCGTGGGGGTTGTGGGTGCCGGTGCAGACATTGAACATGGCAGTGGTACCCGTGCAGAGCAGGTTGCTGTTTGTAAATGTGGTGAGCATCGCTTGGAATACGTTTTTGAGTATCAAGGGTGCCGGAAGTGGAGGGGACAAGGTCAAGGGAAAGCTGAATGAGGCCGTCGAGCTGGTTGAAGCGAAGGTCGATAAGTTGCACTAAGGAGGGTAGCAGACGGCTGTAAGGAAAGAAGAGATGCTTTTGTTCTTCACACATATCACACACCGCATGAATCGAATGCACAGTCCAAACTAGAGAAAGCATACATTCATTCCGCGTTGCACAAGAATCGCCACTTGCGATTTCCCTCCGAATGACCTCATGCGGCCCGGGCTTCACTACCTGTCCAAGAAGCACTTCTTACTCACCAGCACTGACGTCTCTTCACGATGGGTCCTTACATTCGCGCTTCAGCGACAAACTATCGGCCAGCAGTGACTCACAGATACAGAGCTTTCTTCTCTAGCTCTCTCTCCGCGTGGACAGAGGCAAAAAGGAAAAAGTGAAATGTGGTTCAATACACCATGATTGAGCGAAGCAAGGGACGCACCAGGTTTTGCAGATTGTCATTCTTGTTGGTACAGATGTGGAGCAATGAGATGGGTGTTGGTCATGGTAACCTCGCTGCAAGGTGGATGTCTTGAGCAGAGCAACTTAGCTGGAGCAGAAGCGGTACAGCCTCGAGGTCTTGTTCTTTCACGGAATGACCGGTTCAAAAGGTGATACCTTGAGCCGCGGCGAGCGAGTCGACGAGTACGAGACGCCAAAGCTTGTCGACAAACGCCTCTGCTTCTTCCGCCAGAACCTGTTTTGCAACCCAAAGACAAACGCGAAAGAGAAAGGGTCAGCAACTCATCACCAACACTCTATCCTCCAAAAACCAGGGCAAAGGAGAAAGAATTTACCGGCTCAACCTGGTCCACCAGCTTCGCCGCACTCGACCTCTTCTGCAGCGCCTCGACGACCACCATCACCAGTTCCTCCACCTTCTCCCCCAGACTGTCCTCGATCTCGGCGTCCACCCAAGGCCTGTACTTGGACTGGATCAACTGCTCATCCACGTAATCCCATTCGGGCGATCGCTCGAACAATTCTCCGCTAGCAGAGGGCAAGCTTTGTGCGATCTCTGCCATCTTGCGCGCCTTGTCCTGCTCGGAAAGATCGGATTCGAGCTTGATGTGCGTGAGGCGACCGGATTTCTTGCGCGAATCTTCTTCCTCTGCTTCACCCAATACCGCTGTACCAGGCTTGACGATTGATCCGGGTCCAGCTGCAGCAGCGTGATGCGCACCAGTGCCGTTCGTTGCCGTCGATGCGGCACCGGTTGCGCCGTCTGCCGAAGAGTCGTTCTTGCTGATACCGGCAAAGTTGAGCTTGATCGGTGCAAGGGCTCCACCTTTCTCCTGCACCAAGACGCCTGCTGCGCGCTGCTGTTGCGTCAACTTGGCCATTTCTGCTGCTTGCAAAGCCAAAAAGTCTTCGGTCTCCTGCTGTGCACGTTGCTTTTCCTGAGCTTCAGCCGCACGGTCCTGATCATCCGCCTCCTGTTCCCTTCGCCTCGCAGATGCACGGAATTGGCGCCATCGATGTCGATCCGTGTAGAAGAGCTCCTTGCGGGTGGCCGTGTCGTCGTCCCAGTCCTCATATCTCCTGAGCATGGCGACTCCCTCTCGTTGCCACTTTTCAGCTTCGGCCTGCTGCCTGTCTTGCTCCTTCTCCCAGTGTGCGAGGCGTTGACGTTCGCGGACCATGTACGCCCTCTCTGCGTCGGCGGCAGCAGCTTGTGCAGCGGCTTTCTTGCGTTCCCGACGTTGCTGCTCTTGCAGTTCGTCGAGGTCTTCGGGTTCGCGTGCGGCGTCTGCGTGGGCGTCGTAAGCACCGGCAGCGTGGAAATCGACTGGTTTGCGGTAGCTCTGCGGATCCTCGTTTGGTCGGCCGTTGCGGGACGTTGATGCTGAAGCGGTGTTTTCCAAGTGTTCGCGCCTGGCTCGTTCGACGGCTCTCTGTCTCTCGTACTCTGCTTCCCTTCTCCTTGTCTCTGCGTCTCTTGCAGCAGCGGCTTGACGGAATTGCTCAATCTCGCCGAGCACGGTGGCTCGCTGATCCTCGGGCAGTTCCTCGGGCGGTAGATCCTTCAGGTGATCTGGAACGACGTAGCCGGGCTTGGAAGGATCCGTTTCGATTCGCGCGTTGGGATCCGACATCTGCCGCACAATGTCCTTCACCGCCGACAAGGCGCGGCTCTGCCTGGCTTGATCATCGGAGGAAGCGACACGAGTTTGCTGGTATCTTTCCAAGAAGCGCTTTGTCTTTTCATCCGCCTTCACCAGCAGCTTTTTCGGTGGAGCCGATGCCTCTGCTCCCATGGACGGCAGCTCTCGCCCCTGCAGAACCTCTATCGCACGCAGCACCGAATCTGGGTCCGCGTATTCGGCAAAGCCGAATGCTTTGGATGCACGCTTGAGCGAGCGAAGGTGGCCGCAGGCCTCGAGGAGCTGAGTGAGCCAAGAGTCGGAGATGCCGGGCGAGATGCTGCCGACAAAGAGGGTGGTTGCGACTTCGGGACCAGAAGATGATGCTGCCGAGGTGGAGGCGTGATCGTAGGCGGGGCTACGAGTATCGTGGTAGGGCGTGCTGCGCATGTTGGGGCTATCGTAGCCAGAGCGAGGAGAGGCAGAGTGACTGTGGGCGGGATGGTTGGAGCTGCCGATGCCGCCGCGCGGTCTTTGTGGTAGAGGCGCCATGTTGGGATTGTGGGCGCCCTGCCAATTGGAACCGTACCCTCTACGCGACATGATGGGTCGCAGCGCCTTGCGTATTCGGCTGCAATACCGAACGAAGTGGAAAGCGACGGTTGATGGTAGAAGAGGTTGGAGTCCAGTTGTTGGCGAGCAACAGGCTGGACTGGAAGAGGCTGGCTCTGGAAATGTCAAAAGAAGTTGCGGAATTCGGTGATGCCGCGCTCACTCGTCAAAAAGGAGGACGAGCTCGAATCGAACGCCGATCTCACATTCTTTGCTTTTGGAAGGAAAAGGTTAGGACGTGGAAGGGCGCGTTGCTCAATCAATTCTCAGCTGAGACACGAGCTGCTGCCTTGGCGCTCGCTCACTTCTTCTCGAGACAGACAACAAGCGAAATTGAGACAGATTGTGGCTAAAGAGAGAGGTGGCTCGACCGGCCATCCACGCCCAGCGAGCCAATTGGCTGCAAACTCGCTGTCAGGATGCAGTCGCCGTGCCAAGTGGGAAGTGAGAAAGTGGGGCTCGTGTGTCGTGTTCGCAGCAGGCAGAGAGACAGCACAATCACACACACACACATCACGCACAATCCAGCCGCTGAGCTTTCTTCTCGTTGAGTTATCTCTAACGCTCTTGCTTCCATCCCATCTCCAACCGCAAGCTGCCATCATCACACCTCACCGCTTCGTTGCTTCATCTCGCAACCTAGCAATCCAGGTGCTAGTTGGCCCATCCGTACACCATGGCTCAACCACCCCCTCAGCTCCCTCCCGGTTGGGTTGCCCAGTGGGATCAGAATGCCGCTCGTCAGGTCTTCGTAGAGACTGCTACGGGCCGTACCAGCTGGCAGCCACCCAACGCTGGTCCAGGCGGCGCTCCTCTCCCTCAGCAGCAACAGCAACAGCGTCCCACCCATCCGCAGGGTCAGGCACGCATGTCCATGCCTCAGATCCAGCCACCACCCGGCATGCGAGGCCCTTCGTTGAGCTCCATCCCTCAACACGGTCCCGGCGCTCCCGTCAGTCCCTCTGCTACATCGCCGCCTCCTGCCTCCATCGGCCCCGGCGCCAGTCGAAGACGTGCTTATCCTACCGCCCACCTCGCCGCTAACAGCATTAGCTATGCTGGCGGTTACGACGCTGGGGCAGCCTCGGCCGGCGGCGCCGGTTATCCCGGTGCACACGACGCTCAGCCTCAGCTCTTTACTCCAGGCGCCCCCGATCAGGCTCCTTCTCCCTACGGTGGGGCCGCTGCTCAGCCTGCTCCAGCTGCTCCTGGTATGGCTCCTACCCCTGGTGCTCCTGGTGTCGGTGTCGCCCCCGGCTACGCAGCTGGCGGCGTCCAGGGTCTTACCAACCAGTTCCAAGGCATGGGTATGGGCGGCGCCGGCATTGCAGGTGGCATGGCGCAAAAGTTCAGCACGCTCCAGACTGTCAACATCAGCGGCGTTCAACCCAATGTCAACGACCTCGAACGTCCCCCTCCCGAGATCCGTCTGCCACCCAACGCATGTGTTTCCACCAACCCGAAAGCCAACGCAGACCCATCCTACCAACGATGCACCCTCAACGCCGTCCCTACCACCTCTTCGCTCCTCCAGAAGTCAAAAATCCCTCTGGGTCTCATCCTCTCACCCTACCGCTCCGTTCGCGAGGCTGACGGTGACGAGCCCGTTCCCGTCGTCACCGATACCGTCATCGCTCGTTGCCGCAGGTGCAGGACCTACATCAACCCTTACGTCACCTTTATCGAGAACGGCAATCGATGGAAGTGTTGCATGTGCAACATCAGCAACGAGGTGCCTCAGCTCTTTGACTGGAACTCCGAGACGAACCAGCCAGCCGATCGATGGCAGCGTCCCGAGCTCAACCACAGCGTCGTCGAATTTATCGCACCTCGAGAGTACATGGTTCGCCCGCCTCAACCTCCCGTCTACACTTTCCTTATCGACGTCAGCTACCAGGCCATCAACAGCGGCATGGTCGCTACAGCGGCTCGCACCATCCTCGAAACCCTCGACCGTCTGCCCAACTCGGACAACCGTGCCAAAATCTGCATCATCGGCGTAGACACCAGCCTCCACTTTTTCAGCATCACGCCCGAAAGCACCGAACCCGAGATGCTTGTGGTCAGCGATCTGGACGACGTCTTCTTGCCCAAGCCCAACGACCTTCTGGTCAACCTTACCGAGTGCCGAGCCGGTGTCGAGGCGTTGCTGCAGAGGCTCGGTGACATGTACAAGGACTCTCTGGTCACCGGATCTGCGCTCGGCGCCGCTCTGCAAGCCGCCTACAAGCTCATCTCGCCCATCGGTGGTAAGATCATGGTGCTCACCGCCTCGCTTCCCAGCGTCGGTCCGGGCGCTCTCAAGAACCGTGAGGACCCCAAGCTGCTCGGTACCGCCAAGGAGAGCACCTTGCTCGGCGCTGCTTCGTCGTTCTACAAGACGTTCCCCATCGACTGCTCGCGATCCCAAGTATCGGTCGACATGTTCCTGTTCGCGCCCTCGTACACCGACGTGGCCACGCTCTCGTGCCTGCCTCGCTACACGGGTGGTCAGACGTTCTTCTACCCAGCCTTCCATGCCGGTCGCTCCGAAGACGCTGTCAAGTTCTCACACGAGTTCTCGGAGGTGCTCGCCAGCCCAATCAGCTACGAGGCTGTGCTGCGTCTGCGTGCTACCAAAGGTATCCGCGCCACTGCGTTCCACGGTAACTTCTTCGTTCGATCCACCGACTTGCTTGCGCTGCCTTCGGTGCCGCTCGACCAGAGCTACGCGATCGAGTGCGAGATCGAAGAGACGATCAACGCACCGTTCGTCGTGTTCCAGTCGGTGGTGCTGCACAGCACGAGCTCGGGCGAGCGTCGTATCCGCGTGGTCAACTTGGCTCTGCCTACGACGAGCTCCATGTCCGAGGTGTATGCGAATGCGGACCAGATTGCCATCGCAACGCTGTTGGCCGACAAGGCGGTGGAGCGTTCGATCCACTCTCGACTGGAAGATGCGCGCGATGCGCTGTTCAACAAGCTGGTCGACGTGTTCTCGACGTACAAGTCGACCATGACCTCGGCAGGGTCTGGTGCGAGCCCGCAGCTGGCGATCGCGCAGAACATGGCGCAGCTGCCGCTGCTGGTGCTTGCGCTGCTCAAGCACGTGGGTATCCGACAATCGTCTTCGATCCCATCGGATCTGCGCGCGTATGCTCAGGCGCTGCTGACGACGCTTCCGGCGCAGCAGCTGATTCCGTACCTGCACCCGAGCTTCTACTGCCTGCACAACATGGACGCCGAGGCGGGCACCACGGTCGCCGAAAAAGGCTTCGTGATGCCGGCCAAACTCAACCTGACCTCGGAGCGATTCGAGCGTCATGGGTTGTACCTGATCGAGGATGGACAGAACATTTTCCTGTGGGTGGGACGCGAAGCTGTACCTCAGCTGTGCCTGGACGTGTTTGACGTGGCCAACTATGGCACGCTGAGGGGAGGCAAGACGACGCTGCCCAAGTTGGAGAACAGCATGAACCAGCGGGTCAATGCGATTGTGCAGAGGATCAGGGAGAGTCGACGTGGACCCTACCGACCGCATCTGTACATTGTCAAGGAGGACGGAGAGCCGAGTCTGCGCCTGTGGGCGTTGAGCCTGTTGATCGAGGACAGGTTCGAACAGACGCCGAGCTACATGCAGTTCATCGGGCAGTTGAGGGATAAGGTGAACGGCGGATCGTGAGAGACACACAGAGGGCTGTGAAAAGCAGTTGCACAGTCATGTTAAATACCAGAGTTGTTGCGTTTGATATCGTTGACATGAGGGTCTGTGAATAGGAGAGAAGACAAATTGGAGGGGAGAGACGATTTCGGAGGTGGAAGGAGCAGCCGAGTCGCGTGAGCGAATGCGCAGAGAGGCTGCGGAGACCGAGAGTGAGTGGCAAACACGCGCGTATTTTTTAGGACGCGCCTTAATCCTTGAATTGCGACTAGTGGTCTCGCTCGAGACCAACACACCAGCTGAGACGATCTAACGCAGAGCAACTTTGGACAGGAAAAGGAAGGAAGGAGCAATGCTGTACGCATGGGCTGAGATAAGGTTGAATGAGGTCTGTTCTGATGGAGAGAACAAAGAAATTGAAGCATTTGCGGAAGTGTGAGAGAGAAATGTGTCAATTGGCTGATCAGGTGTTGGTCTCTTGCGCAGGGATGGGGGGGCTCGGGTGACGAGATGCGGGAAGACAGACACACGGCGCAGCGCCCTCTGCAAGCTGAGCGCTGAAGGGAAAGAGAGAGAGGAAAGCGCGCCGGATTTTTTGGACTTTTTCCTGCGCACAGTCTCTTTGTTCTGTCTTTGGTCGCTCCCGCACATCTCTCAGAGCTACTTATACGTCCCTCAACACCATCGACTGCTTTCCCCCCCCACTACACCGACATCGATAGGACGAAGTACGGCAGAGTCACGATCGCGGGTGATACATAGGATCGAAAGCCATACACTCTCCCACACACGCACGTATACACGAGGCGCAAGCTCTTCCCGCATCCTCCTCGCTTCAAACCATCATCACGAAACGTTGAGGTCAGAGATCGCCGCCAATCTTCCATCAACGCGACGAAAGGAAGAGGGACTTGACATCGTATTGCGAGCACGGACCCCTACGTCACACACACACATACACACAGATCACAATGTCGAAGGAGGACGCACCCAAGGAGCCTTCTTACGACGACTATGTCGAGCGGTAAGTTTGGGATCGAGCACCTCGGTGTTGGATCAAAGGCGTATACTGACGAATGCTATGGTATGGCCTCATGTTCCGATCAACGACGCGATCAGAATCCACTACAGCGACAAGTACAACGACGACGAGTGGGAGTACAGGTACGTTGTCTTTCTCCACTCACCGTTCACGCCTCATCCTCAACTTTCCCAAACTCACCTCTATCTCTTCCACCTCCCCATTCCTATCCTTTTCTCCATCACAGACACGTGATCCTACCCAAACCGATGCTCAAGCTGCTTCCCGAGAGCTACTTCGACCCGTCCGAACCGGGCGTGCTGCGCATCCTCTCGGTCAAGGAGTGGCGCGAGATCGGCATCACCCAGAGCATGGGTTGGGAGCACTACGAGGTGCACGCGCCCGAGCCGCACATCTTGCTCTTCCGCAGGGAGAAGGATTTCCTGGAAAAGGTGAGTTTGATTTGCGCGGGGAGAAGCAGAGGTTTAGGGAGTAGCGGATTGCGTGGAAGCGGTTGGGGGAGCGGTGCGAGCGGGGAGCCAGATGCGCGAAGCGGTGATATCGATGGATGCGAAGGCACTGGCATAAGGAACACCAGGTGGTTTCACCAGGAGCAGAGTGGTCACAGATTGGTCACCGCGAAACGGCAGTACAGAGGTGCAAGTGCGATGGGTGTAGCTCGCCGCATTGCCTTCATGTTTAGAGGTGGTTTCAGCACACAGCTGCACCGGAGGCTAGATCTCGCCCTGCAAACCGACAACACCAACAACGCTCCAACCCTTGCCCCTTTTCACGCACCAACGCTCGTACTAACACCTCTTCTTCACTTCCCAACCTCTCCAACAGTACCAAGCACAAGCACAACAACAGCAAGCAGCGTCAACAGCAGCAGCAGCGGCTAACGGCAAAAAGTGAAACTCCTCAGCAATGCGGGAGGCATGAAATGGCGCGCAGGTTGTTGTACTACGGTGGCACTTTGCCATCATCTGAAAAGTTGCTTGAAACGATGCTGGTGCGAGTGTGTGAGAGATGTGGTTGAGAGAGAGAGAGAGGGGGAAAGTTAGTGTGAGTTCGAGATGAGATAGATCCACGAAGAAGGACACATCTCTGTCGAGTTGGGACGATAAACACAGAAACGCGAACCAGTAACAACGAACGGCTCTCTGTCTCAAGAGTGGTCACTCGCTTGACACTCACACGCACATCTCTCAATCCAGATCACAACCTCTCTCACATGTACTCTGGTAACAAAGATTAAAGATTCGCCTTACTTAGCCTACAATGAATCATCTTGACCCTCCCAGCCAAATGTATGCGTGCTATCCGCCAAACTGGGACTGTACCTCCCCGCGGTCGACGACTCGCTGCGCGTCGAAGCCGCAAAACTGGGCGTGTTGGACAGACGTCTGTGCTGCTCCGGCAAGGCATCGCCTTCGTCGTCGTCAAAGTGTGCCGGTTGCAGGGAAGACCAGGTTCCGAAGGAAGGCGAGGGCGAGACGTCCGGGATTGGAGGTGGGGCATGTGTAGGTGCTGTCGGCTGCGGAGGCAGTATTCGAGGCGAGCTCGATATCGCCGATCTCGATGCAGACCTCGACACAGCACGATCAGTTTCGTACCCGTCGTCGTCTTCCTCCACCTCTGACCTCGTTATCGGCGAGGCGTACATCTGCAACCTCGCAGCGGCGGCAGCCGCTACGGCTCCACTTCTCGCGCCGCGTCTCGGTGGAACAGGCAACGAACTACCTCCTGCAGACGACGAATCGTGCGACGCTTCGATCCGACTACGCCGATGGTGGTCGTGCTGTCCTACAGTGGACATGCTGTCCGTGCTGTGATCGCCATTCACCGAAGGTAAGAGAGGCATCCTTGCAATGTTGCCGTTGGCGTACACCGTGTCGGCTGACAGACCGTGTCCGTCAGTGCTTCGAGCTTTGAACGCATCCGTCACAGAAGATTCTCCCACAGGCACCTCCACGCTAGAGGAATGACCCGCTGACGAGGATCGCTTGTTGTTGATCAACGAGCTGGATCTGGCTTTGGTCAACGCAGGACTGGCGGTGACGCCACCGTTGACAATGTTGGAATCGTTGCTCGCCAGCGTGCGACGCCGGGAAGATCCCGCTCGCTCCAGATTGGCATTTTCAGCAACAATGCCGTTCTTGATGGCGGCAGCGAGTCTGATCGCATGCGACTCGGGTCCCGGCGAAGTGTGACTCGTCTCGCCCGTCGACACGGACCCAGCTGAAATGGTTGATGGTGTCGCGTAGCCCGAACCAGATCCCGACCCCTGTCTCGAATGAGGGTCCACAGCGAAGTCGCGTACAAGCACCGGCGCAGCCGCTTTGTCCTCGTCCAGTCTCAACGAACGCATGCGAGCAGTGGTCTTGTCGACAGATGAGACAGCCATCCCTGCATCGACCAATCTTGCTTGACGCTGTCGAACGACGTCGTCCAAGCTGCGGTTGGTGAGCTTGTAGTCCACGTGCAGAGGTTCGTCATAGACTCCGGTGACAGAATCCGAGGGCCTCAACCAGTTTCTGAGGTTGCGTCGAGACTTGTGCCGTGGCACCGACTGAGCGGCTTCCGCTGCCAGTGACACCGGGGCAGTCTTGGGTTCAGAAGATGGAGGAGGCTTGAGCGAGGTTGCCGAAGTCTTGGTCTTGGCAGCTGATGGTGCAGCACCATGACGAGGAGCAGTTGCGATCCCACGTGCCGCGACAGCATCTCCGTAAACGATCTTGACGTTCCTCGAAATCTCATCGCACGCAACGGACTCGTCTGCATCGTGTTCGATGTAGAAGCGTTGTCTACCCGCCAGCTCGTGCTCGATCCTGCACAGCCACTTTTCCGCAAAATCGCGATGTCCCTTGTAGTCCCAAACTCCATCCAGCATTGCCCTTACGATGCCATCCTGATCAATGATGAATGTACACCTACCATCGATCAACCCCAAGAGCCCTCTTCCCACACCCCAGGCGTCCATGATCGAGCGGTTCGAGTCGTGCAGAATTCGGAACCCAAGATGGTGTTCGTCTACGAACTTCCTCGATCTTGCAGGTGGATCTTGCGAAATGCCGATGACGACTGCATTGAGATCGTTAAAGATGGGTGAAGTGCCGACTGCATCACGAAAAGAGCAGCTTTCCTTGGTGCAATGTGGTGAGCCTGCGAGAGGGAAAAAGTAGAGGACGATCGGACGGCCCAATTCGATGGTGGCGTGAAGGGAGACGGGTCGACCGAGATGATCTTGGGCAGAGATTTCGGGAGCGAGTTGACCAATGAGAGGCGAAGCTTTCTCCTTTGCTGGGATTTTGAGTGCTGCACCGGCTGCTGTGAGAATGCTCCTCTCTCCAGCGATAGGAAAAGCCGGTACGCGCGGAAGATGAGGCATCGTCGAGGAGAAGGCAAGTGCCGATGCGACTTGTATGCGCAGTTCTGGAGTGTGATGTATAGATGGATGGGCGTAGTGACGCTCTCGAATGTGCCGGCCAGACGTGAGAATGCACCCCGAGCGTCAATGCAGACAGAACTCGAGGACAGGATGTTACGATCAAAAGAGCATTAGAGCACGAGCGTCTGGCAAGACGCGTAAGGAAAGGGGACAGCTGTTGCCTAGCTTCGGCTGAGCGAGACGCGGCCACCGAGCTGAAAGACGTTTTCGGCCCGTCCGAACTCTGCGAGCGTAAAGCGAACGCTTCGCAAGCTTATCTTCGGTTCGAAACGAGACTTGTGATGTTGCGATGTAGCGACGCTGAGATTGCACGTCGGGGAAAGATTAGAGACACGAAACGGATGCGTCGAGTCGGAAACGAGGAAGCGGTACGGCGTTGAATGCTATTCCGAGATGGCGATGAGTGCACGTCTATAGGCTTGGCGTTCTCCACAGCAGAGTGGGTATCTATGAATCCGGAGACAGAGCAAAAGAGGGTGTGTGATGGATGGTGGCGATGAAGGATCAAAGTGGACGAGCGGATTGTATGGTCATGGCACACGAGATGAACCAGACAGGCGGTTCAGGACAGTCGGAGTGGCACAGTCACCAGCCGAGCAGGGCAAGTGCAGGTACAGTGGTCGTGACGGCTTCTGCCTTTGGCCCCAGAAATTCGCTCATGACTGCCGAGGAAAGAGAGGGGCACAGCGGCAGAGGGCGAGACACGCTAAGGCCGTCGGAATTTAGTTGTTTGGAAAAATCTGAGGTTTTCCTGGTTCCAGAGCGGCACGGGAAGGAGTGGGGAAACACTCATTGCCCTCGACCGTCGCCGCTGCATCTTCTGCTGCCGGGTCATCTTTCTTGCCGAGTCTCGTTTGATGAAAAACAGTCAAGTTCGTAGCTCTGTTCCAAAGTCCGCCTGTCTTGAATCTGACTTTCTTGCATCGTGTCCACGCTGAAGCACGAGCAACGGCAGTCGGTCTTCATCTTGAGGGGTAAAACGAGACACGATACTGAGAAACGTGGCACAGTAGTAGCGTCTTGTTGAGCTAAGGCCTCCGGAGGAAAAACTAGTCAGAAATTTCTTCACAACGAGGGGAAGGGCTCTAGGCAGACGTCCCACGCTTGCGTTCAGATCGGCTTTGCGTTCCCGACCACCTCGGGCCTACAACTTTCTAAAGTCTACCGAGACGAGCCGTCAAAGGTAGGCAACCCATGTGCCATGCTTTGCAAGACTCAGCCGCGAGACCCGCCATTGTTGGCCGGGTGGCACCGTCGACCAGAACGAAGAACTCATCTTCGTGTGCAGCCATTGTTTCGAGGTCCCGAAGCAAACAAAGAACGCCAGGGGGTGCATGATTCGTCGTCACCAAACACGAGGCGGTTTCTCTGGGGGTGAATCAATTTTTTTTGCCCGGTCTGGTGGAGGGCGAACACTGTGCATCAGCGTGGGCAGCTTGATTCAGAGACATGGCGAGTGACGTCGGCAGCCACCCCGGCGTACTGCGAGAGTCTACATTATAGTTTTTTTTCGGCTTTTCGGCGTCTCATTTATTGATTGTTTTTTTGTTCGGGCGTTTGCTGCTGAGTAGTCGTCTGACCATTGATTGTAGCATCGGTGATGAAAAGCAATGCAGCCTGCCGATCCTATGTTTGGTCACCCGATGCGCCATGCAGATCGCTCTTCGCTTTCAACCTCGGCAGTGTATTTTCACGCATGGCATCGGCTGAGCCGTAGGCCCGAAGGAAGATTCTTTCAAAATCCTACAGATCATGTGGTTGCGCAGACACTCAAAGATGTATATGAGCTTTCTCATCGACCAGAATGACACTGCAAATCCCAAGTGTGAGACTGTATCATTCCCACGGTAGCCAAGTGTCATCCGCTGAGTTGAGGTGCGAATTGTCCCCGGGCTGACGCAACAAATGCCGAACTACGACCTTGAAGCGGTTCGCAGAAAAGATACCAGTAGCTGTTCTACGAAGCCTTCAATCTTCGCGTCCCTGTTCAACGATGGATACCTCCGAACGTGAAGCGCTCGGATCATCCGAAAGGTCTGGGCAGCTTCTGAAATGAAGCAAATGGCAAGAGTCGGCACTGTTGGAAGTGTATCGCTTGTTCGGCTCACAAGCCCTCCCTTTCACACGGAATTTTAAGCTCGAACCGATACTGACACATACGATTTCAACATAACCTCGGCGCCTATCCGTCGTCTTTCTTCCAGCCAGACTCACCTGAATGTCAGCAGCCGAGGTGAATCATGACGCAACGCAAGCGACAAACAGAGAGGTCGTAGTATGTTTGAAAGTATTCTTTCATTTTGAAGGTGAAACCTAAGCCGTGCACAAGAGTGTCTATGGCCAGGAGGACCTAGTGTAGTAGTAGTATACAGCATTGGAAAACGAGAAGATTCTAGGGGACGACAAAACGAAGATGCGGGACTATGCTGGTAGGGACGAGAGGGACTGAAGTGCAAATGGGAGGACGAGGCGATTTGGGGATCCGAAACATAGGGCCATGACGTGTTGGGAAGCGTAAAGACAGCTACTCTCGATCGATTCCTTTCGTATGAGAAGCGTAGCACAGCCTTGTGGTCAAGAAGGGTGGGAGATGCAAGCGGCCCAGTCCAAAGGGACGGGCGCAAGCGATTGCATCACCAACTCCTTGTTCACTTCTATCTTTCTGTCGCATGTTGAGCGGAGAGAGAGACGCTTAAGTCCACCAGGTAATGGGGACCATGCCGGCATCGCGGTTCGACAGCTGGTCGAAAGCACCAGTCGACAAGTCGAGCGAGCCGTAGTCGCAGGTGGGGCAGGTGTCGGCGATGGTGGCCTCGATGGTCTTGCCGTTACCCTGGATCCAGATCGACTTGCCGCAGAGTCCGTCGTTCATCTGCGCGCTGTTGACTGCGACGATCGGGCGGGAGTCCGAGTTGTACTGACCGCACGATCCGGGGTTGCCGTTCTGGTAGAAGTAGGTAGCCTGACCATCACCACCAGCACGCTTCTCGAGAGGAGCAGCGACAACGGCGGAGGCGGCAGCGAGGGCCGAGATAGCGAGAGTGAAGAACTGCATTTTGTGTGTATGTGGTAGAGCCGAAGCCTGTTTATGTGTCTAGAGTGTGTGTAGAGATTGTATGAAGGGGTTGTGTTGATGGAGAAAGGGAAGCAGGTAACGGCGAAAGCATGGTCCTCTTTATACCATTCAATTTCGTCTAACGACACTCACTGCGACGTCTATAGCAGACACTGCACCATACTGCGACGTCTCTCACGCATTAGCGGAGCGAAGCTGGTGCAGCATCAGCAGGAACAAGCAGGCTAAAAATTTTGTGCAGGCGCCTCAGGACGGCTCTCTTGTGCTAAAACAGGAACTTCGTGTTCCTTGACACGGGCTGAGCATCTAGGACTCCGTTTCACAGAGCATCGTGGTCAGTGCTGAACAAATTTTAGGGGGTCAGGAGGTACCTGGCCCAAAGGTGACCCACCAGAAACTTCTTTTTTTTGTCTCAATATGGAGTCGGCTCGGTGGACCTTGCAATGGAGAAAAAGAAGCTTGAGGCAGTTTTGCGAAGTCGGAATGACAGCGAGCGGAAGCCAAGTCGCACTGCAAGAGCGGCACAAGGTCTTCGTGTTTGATTCAGCGTCTAGGCATGGATCCGGCGATGCAAGGCTGACAGAACAGCTTGGCAACGAGGGTGCTGGAACCGGTCCCTCGACCCCCCGTCCGATCCTCGAAACTGCTTTGTTTGCCGCCCTCGCGTGGCTTGCGGATCGCTGCTCAGTGACAAGCGAGAGAATACTCGAGATCGACCAAGTCATCAGCGGCAAGATATCGTCAAGCTTGCAGAAGCGAAGCCTGACCAAGGCGGCAAGTCGTACCCTTCAAATTTCATTCTCCCCTGTCACACAGACGCACACTACCCTGAAAACGAAGCGAGTCAACACGAGGCCGCACTCCCGATCGGTGGTTCCGCAAAGCTTTGGCGAGTTCCTGGCTGTTGGCTTTGAAAGGAAGGTCCAGCTTGACGGCAGCGGCGGCAGCAGTCGGCAGTGTTAGACAGCGGATCGACGTCGTTTAGCCTAAAAAAACTAAATTCAATTAATTAAATCCTATTTTGACGAAAGTCAGCACCCTCGAAATTTGTGGGCGCCGATTTCAAGCGCAACATTCTCCTCATCACGCAGCACCGTTCCGAGGCGCTGTCAATTGAAAAACTCGCCCCCACGTCTCTGTCGGTCACCTTTCAGTGTCGACAAGCGGCAGCCACCAACCCACTCGCTCGGTCCAGCTTCAAACCTTCGACCATCCGTCTGCAGACCGTGATGCGGCTGGGCGTAGAGAGAGCGTGTGGGGGACATAGCGGAGTTCGTTTTGCCGTTCTCGATGTCGAAGGGCCTGCTTCTGCCATTTCCGTTTCATCGCTCAGCTTCGGTTGTGAAAAGGAGAGCCCATCATTTTGTCGGCAACGGGACCGAGTCGCTAATGGATCGACGTCTCTTGACGTGCCGGCTCGAACCTGCTGCATCGTTTGTCAGAAGCGACAAGTGAAGCCAAAATAGGCAAGTGAACGAGCTTCCCTGCCTGACAAGAAGTCGAGTCCCCCTTTGTGACGGAATCGCAACGAACGAAGACGATGAAAGCAGCGAGGAACCCTGGAAGGAATGTTGGACCACGGATCAATTCTGCAAGCCTGCTGCAAAGCATTGTAGCCGTGCATCGGCCGTGTTTGCATTTCTCGGCGTGCTTGCGGTGCAGACAAACGCCGATGCACCTTTCATCCCCTCGACGTTGTCCTCGCCGACCGATGACTAATTCATCACACCGTACAGCACCGCTACCACCAGAAAATTCTGTCAGGGATCGGCAAGGTGAGTAGAGCATTTCACGATGCCGCTCCCACGACACCGCCTGGTGACCGGAGCTCTGTTTCAATCTCTGACTGCGACTCGAATGCGAGAACGACATCCAGCGTGGAAACCTTGCATCCGCACCTCATCGCAAGAATTGGAGCGGTGAAACCTGTGAAGGCAGCTGTGGTCGAAATGCCATGCTGAAAAATGTCTCAGACCGCATAGCCATCGTTGCGGTATTTGATTCTCAGCAGAGAAACTAGTGGAGGCGTGACGGTCGCGTGGAAGATCATGCCTCCCGACGGCGGCACGCGGCGATGACGAAGCGGGTGGTCCCCATTTTCGCTCTCTCCGAAGCCATCGTGTTGCTCATGTCGGAGCTGCCGCAGCGACATCGCCGGTCGTGGGCTGCGGCATGCAGCCACGGAGGATGCGAAGATGAGGAGAGAGAGCGTCTCCACAACCCCGTTTTGTTGTTCTTCCTCCCTCGGCGAGTTTCCCCTGAATTCGGCGCGTGACCGTCGGGTGACAGCTAAATGCCGAAAAAACTTCCGGCTCAGCAAGCAGACGGGGGTCTTCGCAGTGATCACCGAGCTGCGTGTGGATGGCTCTTTCGAGCTGTGCTGTGCAGTGGCGCAGCAATGCATGGCTTTCGCCCGTCACCCCCCAGAAATTTTTGACTTTTGCAATCACGCAGTTGCCAGCAGCTTAGCGCCATCTGTCAAAGTCACGACCTTGCCGTTGCAGAAGGGAAGCCACTCGATCTCAGCGACCTCGATCCTCCCGACCAGAGCTTCTTGCCGACTTCTTCGCGGAATTTATGCATCTCTTGCGATGAGCACGGAATGGTGCAAAACCTCGTTCGCTTGGTCAAACATAGCCACGGCACGGCCTCGTCAAGAAGATCGAGGGTGGGAGTGCTCGCGTCGCACAGTGTTTCGTGCGTGTCCCTGCACAAGAGGCGTTGCTCCGACTGGACTGTGCATTCGTCCGACAAGCCCAAATGAAGCAACGAATCGGTTGGGGACATGGCGCGGTGAGAAGCAGAGCGGCAGTCAGCCGACTATGCTTAGATGCGGTCAGAGACGGCCGTAGAAGGGGAGGGGCAGGACAAGTCGGCGAAGCCAGCTGCTTCCAAGGGCAGACACCGAAGATCGAACTGGGATCGCGATCGCATCCCACACAGCTCCCGATGTCGTGCGCCTTTCTCACTTTGACATGGGGCAAGACTTGTCCAGATATTCACTGGCGCTCTCATATCGACTACAGGAAAACCCGGAAGCAGCAGAAGGATCAGGCTTTCGAGCTTGACCGCAGCTTTGCTCTGTCGTTGATGAGCTTGCCTGTAAGTTACGAGTTGCTCCTCAACCGACATTTTTCAGACCTCAGTTTTGGTGGTGAATTGTGGGGTTTTCTCTTTTGCCCGCGATGTCACTATTGAGTCGATCTACTCTAACAAAAGGCATCAATTTTTTACCCAGATAGCCATCTCCCGATCTTGGTTGCATCGATCGATGGCTCACGTGTTGACGAAGGCAAACTCTCGAATTCGCAAGACGGATCGAAATTCCGTTCAGCCACAAAAGCTGTCATCATTGCACATGAGTAACAGCGAGAACGGAGCACGTTGGCTGGAAAAGCACGCGTCGAGCCGATGGATCGTCGCTCGCAAAGGCGCCCCGCCGTTCGTTTTGCAACCGATCTAAGCATGCTGGTTCCGACTTTTCCTCCAGACGGACCGACCGAAACGGCTATCATCTAGCGTTGCGGCAGCGAAGCCACCCAACTCGCGCTGCCTCTACTACCATACAAGAGTGGCTTTCATGCGTGGCCGCTACTGCATCCATCTCCCGTGACTTCGGTGGCGCGAGCGACGAAGAGCCGCGACAAGCCACCGAAGCGGACGTCCACAAGGGAACTGCTCAGTGAAGAGGATTGACTGAGTTGGAAAAACGTGCCAAGAGAATGAAGATGGCACTTTGAGGAACGACGGCGTGTCTCGGTGCCAGGCAAAAACAAACACGCAGCCAAGAAGAAGAAAGCTCCACAGCAGCAGCAACCTGCACATCGCCGGTGCGAACACCCCACTCCTCTCGTCGCTGGCTACGGAGAGACCGACTTCGGGCTGGCTTGGATGGCCACCTGGCTTGCTAGCTCGCTGGCGAGTATCCGGGGGTAAGAAGAGACAGTCAACGCTGGCGGAATCTCTCCGCCGTGAGGCAGTGCATCGTCAGTGCTTGACCCCTCTCTCTCCTCTGTGAGCTGACACGGCCGCTAAAGCGCGCTCTTTCTCTCGAAGATCGTGCTCGAGATCGCGACCTGCTGCTCGAAAAGTTTCAGAAACACACACCCACACCAGATAAGAAGAGCAAAAAATCAGAATAAAATGGCAGCACACAGGCAGACACGCAAGAGCCAGCCGATCAAGTCAGGGTCAGGGTCAGGGACAGGGACTGAAATCGCAGTCAGGGTCTTTTTTCCATTTTCTGTCTCAAATCGATGTCAACGCACGCCAACGCTGTGCTGGCTGGACACGGGCGTGCTGCTTGAATGCGTGTGTGTTGGCTGATCCGCTCCGTCACTTTGCTGCAGCTCGATTCTTGCTGGCTGGGCTGAGATTCGCTGCGTCTGCTCACCACCGCTGACTTTTACTTGCTCCGCTCGGCCTGACCGTATCCACGGCTTCCATCGCTTCTTCTTTCTCGATTTGGCCCTTCCATCCTTCTCCGATTCCGCTACCGTAGCCGTTCTCATACACGGATATTCTTCGTGTTTGGAACCTCCCATCGCCTCCATCCATCGGCGCGGCTCTGCCCGTTTTACCACGCCTCTTTCCGGAAACCGAACGACATCCACCAGATCCTCGAAGGCATCGTCGACTTCAAGCTCATTTCAAGAGACCTGCAAAACACCTTGCAACCACCCGGATCTCCTCGACTTAATTCATGCATCGCTTGCCGTAGATCCTTGACCGATTATTCTTACGGTCTCAGCCAGCGAGCACGCAGCAAAAAGGGGCCAGCAGCACTGCCTTTGGTGTCTCTCGTCGTACAAGACCAATAAGCCTCTCTGCCCACTTCCCCGGTCCACACAAGACTCACACTGCTCTCCATCTACGCCACTGGATCCTCCAATCAGCGTCCAAGACTCACGTCGGACAAGATCCGCCGCACCTTGTACCCATCATCCTTGAACTCCCACGGCTTAGACCTTTGAGCCCCAAACCGATACCAGGATGGCTGCCCCAGTTTCGTCAGCCTACGCCTTCCACCACCGCTTCGATGCCGCACCGGAAAAGCAGCCTTCGCTCCTCAACGAGGCTCCTTCCAAGCCACAAGATGGCGCAGAGCACTTCGAGTATCCCGACCTAGACGCAGGTCAGTTCTACTCTTCTGCTGCCACTCATGCGATCCCAGCACCTGCTCTCACCAAGCTCCCCGATTTCCCAGAGTTTAAAGGTTTCGACTCCGATTCCCACTTCCTCTCCAAAGACGGCGCCAGCGACAGGCTCTTCAGCCAATACGCACCTCAACACGCCACCTCTGCCGCGCTGGTAGAGCCCCAATCGGCTCAGATCGAAGGAAGTCCTGAGGCCAACGAGCTCGACAACGCAGCAGAAGCAGAAGCAGCAGCACCGGTGTCGGCACCGGAACCGGTACAGCCAGCCGCAGCGTCTCCTCAACAGGCAAGCACGCAGCTCGTGTCCCCTCCTGATCAGACTGCACAAGCTCCCACACCCCATCTGCCCTCAGAAGCGGGAAGCGCTGCTGCCAGCGAAGGTGCTCGATCGCACGACCAGCAATACCCGCAGCAACAGCCGCTCCAGCCGCAGCTCGAACGTCATTTCTCGTCGGCCAGCTCCTACGTCCAACATCCTGCAGTCAACTCCATCAGTCACGACTCGCAGCACCCGCAGGCTCCTTCGCATAACTCACACACCAGCCCTCGCAGCCCGCTTCCTAAGCCTCCCTCTCTGCCTAGTTCTCCATCCATGCAACAATCTGTACCAAACGGAGCACCGTTCCCGCAAGCGACTTCGCCTCGCAGTCCTCCTGTTCCCGCCTTTGCCTTCCCCGCCCAGGCTCCCGTTGCAAGCTCAACACATTCTCACAACTCGTCATCCCCGCAAAGGCCGCTTCCGCGGCCTTCTGCCGAAGCCCTGCCACTCGCTGCTCTTCAGATCAACGACGCGGACCGAAGCCTCAGACAGCAGCCACCTGTACCGTCTGCTGGCAATCGCGACGAGAACGCCGATCGAGAGCGACCCAGCAGCTTCTTTGGCATGCAAAGGCCCGCTGCTGCAATCAACGCCTCCGGTCAACAGGTCCCAGTCCCTGCTAGCCTGCTCCCCGGTGACGACGACGGCTTCTATCAGGATCAGCACCATCTCAACCAGTCCAACGGCCACTCTCTGCCTCACCAGCGCTCTCCGCAAACACAAGCACCTCGTCCCTCCTCCTTCTTTGGCGTCGAAGGCGACTCGCACTCCAGCATCGCCCCCGAGTCGGCCTCCATACCCTCCCCCGCAGGCGAGATGAATGTCTCCGGTCCAGGTGGGTCTTCGTTCCACCGCGCAGAGTCGGTGCCACGCGGCATCTCCACCGCTGCTGGCGGCACCGGCAACGCACCCATGCCCTCTTCGGGGGGATACGGCGGTCTCGGACCTGCAGGCGCCACGCGTCCGGCAAGCATCGCTCCCTCCGTGGCCAGCGGTCCTCTACTCGACCACAGCCATCTCAAGGTCGGCCAACAGGCGTCTCTGCTCAGCCACGGCAAGACGCTCGAGCTGTATCGGCAGAATGCAAAGAAGACCAACGATCCTAACCTCATCTACGAGCTCGCTGTCTTTATGGTCGATGCCGCCAAGACCATGGGCACAGAGGATGAGGCTAATGGCCACGTCGCCGCGGTCAACGGCCCCAACAAGGTCGACACGCAGAAGGAAGAGCTCATGAAGGAAGCCACCGGCCTGCTCAAAAAGATCGCGGATCGTGGTCATCCCGACGCGCAGTACTTTTTGGCCGACTGCTACGCGAACGGCATCGGCACGCGCACAGGCAAGCAGGATTTCGGCTCGGCTTACACCTACTTTGTACTCGCCGCCAAGCACGGCCATCCCGATGCGGCATATCGCGCCGGGACCTGTTACGAAAAGGGTTGGGGCTGCCGCAAGGATGCGGGCAAGGCCCTCCAATTCTACCGCAAGTCGGCTGCTCAAAGCCATCCCGGCGCCATGTACCGCCTCGCCACTGCCGAACTCAACGGCGAGCTCGGCCTGAAGAAGAACGCTAAGGAGGGCGTCAAATGGCTCAAGCGATCCGCCGAAGCGGCTACACCAGAGTTCCCGCATGCGCTCCACGAACTGGCTCTGCTTCACGAGCGTGGCATAGACAATGTGCTCTTTGTCGATCCCGAGTACAGCTGCGAGCTGCTCGCCCAGGCGGGCGAGATGGGCTATGCACCCAGCGCCTACAAGCTCGGCGTCAACTACGAGTACGGTCGCATGGGCTGCCCACAGGACGGTGGTCTCAGCATCCACATGTACAACATTGCTGCGCAGCAGAACCACAAGGAAGCGTGCTTTGCGCTCACCGCCTGGTACCTCGTCGGTGCTCCTGGCATCTTGCCGCAATCCGACACCGAGGCCTACCTGTGGGCCAAGAAGGCCGCGGAGCAGGGTCTCGCAAAGGCCGAGTACGCCGTCGGCTACTTTACAGAGATGGGCATCGGCACCGTAAAGGACATTGGCGAGGCGCGCGCCTGGTACAAGAGGGCTGCCGATCACGGCGACAAGCGTGCCAACCAGCGTGTTGCTGCTCTGCAAGGACGCGGTGGTCCGACCAGCCTTGCTGGCGTCGGTGCTGGCGCACAGGCGCCTGCTCTCAACCGACAGCAGCAGCGAATGGAGCAGAGGCAGGAGCAACGCGAGAGCATGTACGAGTTTGGGCGACACGCACAGCCTACGTCGGCGCCGTTCCCCGCCAGCGTCACCCAGAGCTCCATGACGCCTAACTCGCAGACGAGCTACCCAACGCCGCTGGCTATGCGAGATGCGCAGACGCAACAGCGCGAACAGCAATACCTCGCTAACGTCGCCGCCAACGAGCGTGCACAGGCTCGTGCCATGCTGCGCCACTCGCCTTCGCAGCCAGACATGCACTCGCCCATCTCCACCAGCGGCGCCTCGTCTGTCATCGGGCTGCCTCGTCCACCGCCCTTGCCACAGCAGTATCAGCCGCAGCCGTCGCAACCGCTACCGCAATCGCCACCCTACCAGCAGCAGCAGCCGCAGGCGTATCCTTCGTATCCCATGAATGGTAGCGCGGGCCCACCTGCCCCGTACATGAATGGGCAGATGCAGCCACACAATCCCATGTTCCCACCAAGCGCTGGACCCGGTGCAGGATCTGCATATGGAGGAGGGGCCGGATCTGCGGTAGGACCACCTTCTGGCGCGATGGGTCCAGCCTCGCCAGTCGCTGGCGGCAAGGAGGACGAAAAGAAAAAGAAGAAGGGTTGGTTTGGGAGGTCGTAAGCTCGTCGCAATAGCCTGCCTTGCACACGTTTCACAACCATGTGTTGCCTTCGCTGGCGCAAAAGTACATTCTTCCCTGAACAATTTGATTATTTTGTGCTCTCTGTTACAGATGGTTGTCTGATGTGTCACGACAGAAATGCCTGAACATGTAGCGCAGCGTGGCGTGTGTGATTGGGCCCTTTCTGCGACTCTCTGTCTGCTGTGCGCCATTACATCGGCGATTGTGCTCGTGATGATATGTAACTTGTGATGCGCGTCAGCTCATGATGGTTCGCAACTTGCGTTTCGTTGCCGGTGTCGCGACTGTCTGTCTGCTGTGCGCCATCGCATCGATGATAGTGCTGTGATGGGATGCAACTTGTGATGCGCGTCAGCTTATGATGGTTCGCAACTTGTGATCCGTAGCCGGTATCGCAACAGTACAATCTTTGCCGAACGTTCTGAATTCGTCATGTTCTCTGTTCCACATGGTTGTCTGATGAGTCAAAGGAAGGATGTCTGACGATGCAGCGCAGCGCGATGTGAGTGACTGCCGCTTTCGTCCAACTGTCTGTCAGCTGTGCAAAATTGAATCGACAAGTGTGCTCATGGTGGGATGCAACTTGTGATGCGTTAAGCACCGACCGCTCAGATGCGGGTGTCGCAAAAAGGGGGGTTCTTTCTGCAACCTTTCATATGCCCTCTCATGTATCTAGATTCTCCCTTCTCCTCCTCCATCATCTTTCTCATCGTCGCTAGGCTGGTCTTCTCCCTCCCTTTGTTGTTGCTCTTCCTTGCGCTCGTCCAGCCACCTCTGCAGCAGATAGAGGAGGCTGAATCGACCTCCCAGGTCTCACAGACCTCATGCGCAGCCCAACGTGAGTGACGTTTTGCCTGGAAAACGCTTTTTCTGCAACTGTCTGGCTGCTGTGCGCCATTGAATCGACAATCGTGCTCGTGACGGGATGCAGTCGGTGATGCGCTGAGCGTCAACCCCTGAGATGGCACCTGTCACCTTCGAAGTGTATCGACCGCTGCTTGCAGGTGCCTGATGGACAGACACTGCGGTGCCGAATCGCTGTCGAGTTGAACGCCTTGCCAAGAGATGTATTGAGGATTGGCTTTTGTTGCTTGTGCATTTTGACGCGTCGTGAATGCGTTTGAGAGGAGAGCTTGGCTGAAGAGTGCATGCGGCAACCGAGATTAGGAATGCGGGCTGAACTGATGGATGGGAAAGACCGCATCGCTCTTGGCTGACGTTTGAGTGAGCGCTCTAGGAAGACAGCTACCGATGCCGCTCTCGGGTTTACTTCCTGACTGATCCCCTAGGACGCTTTTGCGGTTCTGCGATATCTGTGAGGACTTTTCCGACTTCGGTCGAAGGAACAACCTTTCTTCTCCTTTAGCTCCAGCCACTTTCGATCTCTTCTCCGTTTCTTCCACTCCATTAAACATGCCTAGTCTCGGCCACAGGTTCCGCCAAGACCTTGGACCAATCCGTCTGCTTATCCTTTTCCTGATCCACCAATCCGACCAGGCATATGCTATCGCCTCTTAAGATGTACAGCCCGAGCGGTACTTCCTCTACACCGTCATCCGGATCGAATATCCTCTCTGTGGAGTTCGCCAAGATGATGCTGCCTACCGCGTCCGATCCACGAAGCGTACCGACGATGCATCGACCGTCTTGGGTTATGACGAGGACGGATTGGTTGAGGTACTGCTGCAGGGCGGACATCGTCAGGGATGTTGGGGGACAGTCGCAGATGAGCGGCTATGAGAAGTGATGAGAGGAGATCATGTGTGTGTGTTCGGTGGGAAGAGGGGCGAGGAGGCGTGAGAAGCGGGATTGGATTAGGGATGGGGATGGTTCGTTGCGATCTGTGTAGTGCTGAGTTGCGGATGGGATCGAGATGGAGATGCAATCGAGCTTGTGCGGGAAAGCAGAAGCTTGCTTGAATATGCTTGGAGACAAGATGTGGGTGTGTGATTGCTGGCGTCGGCGTGATTGTGATCGTGAATGAGTGGAGTGGTGATGTATGAGGATGAGAAGAAAGATCAAGAAGCCGTGCGTGCTTCAACACGCAAACATAAAAAAGTGGAGCAAAATCATAGCGATGTTAGAGCGGCTACTCGTGACGTCTGTGCGGAAAACGGAAAAGAAGAAGAAGACGACGAGCTGGATTGGAATGCGATGCACACCCAAAAGGCGGATTCTGTTCGATGGCGAGAGAGCGCTTTCGGAAGAAAGTGGAACTCGGTTGCGGATACAGTTGTAACAGAAGCGCACGAGCACCATCGGCATCCACCCACCGCAACACGATCATCCACAATCTTGGCCCAGAATGCTCGCTTCTCGTAGCGTTCGCGCCTTTGCTGCGCCGTCGCGCTCGTCCCCAGTCGCTGCTCGCGCTCTGCGAACAGTCGCTCATGCGAGGCCTCGCCCGTTGATCGCATCATCAACCTCGTCCTTGATCGCAGACACTGCATTCGCTCATGTCGGGCGACGCACTCTCTTCACCAGGGCTCCGCCAACACCTCTTGCACGCACCAAGCAACTCGTCTATCTCGTGTTCGCCATCGCAGCCGGTACTCTCGGCGTTGCCTACTATGCAGACTCTCGATCCGCTATCCACCGCTGGATCGCCATTCCAGCTCTCAAAGCCTTTTTGGATCCAGAGTCAGCACAGAAGCTCGCTGTCAAGATGCTCGAGACCGGACTCGCACCACGCGACCTGGTCGACGACGACGCTGTGCTCGAGACCGAGCTGTTCGGTAGGAAGCTCTCCAACCCCATCGGTCTCGCAGCTGGATTCGACAAGCAGGCGGAAGCCATCGACGGCCTGCTCGACCTCGGCTTCGGATTCATCGAGATCGGAAGCGTCACTCCAGAACCTCAACCGGGTAATCCTCAACCTCGCTACTTCCGCTTGATCGAAGACAACGCCTGCATCAATCGATTTGGCTTCAACTCGGAGGGACACAACGTCATCCTCAGCCGTCTCAGAGATCGTATCCGCAGGTGGCTGCTTCACTCGTCCAGTGTAGCCAGTCTGCAAGACGCGCTGGTTGCATCCCCCGACTCGGCCACCCCGGATGCCAGACAGCTGATCGCATCGCACCCGAAGAGTACCTCTGCCTTTGTCGATGCAACCGACCTGCCTCGAAGCTTGCGACCAGCCAAGATGCTCGGCATCAACCTGGGCAAGAACAAGACCAGCAAGGAGGAGAGTGTCGATGATTACGTCAAGGGTGTCGAGCGTCTTGGTCCCTACGCGGATATGATCATCGTCAACGTCAGCAGTCCCAACACGCCTGGACTGCGCCGCTTGCAGCGTCGCGGAGTGCTCGAGGATCTGCTCACCCAGGTCGCCAAAGCTCGCGATAGCATGGTCGAGTCGCACCTGCGTTTCTCGGACAAGAAGGTGCCCGTGCCACTGCTCGTCAAGATCGCACCGGATCTGAGCGAGGAGGAGCTTCACGATGTGGCCGATGCAGCACTTAAGAGCGGCATCGACGGACTGGTCATCAGCAACACCACCATCTCCCGTCCAGCGTCGCTGCGATCTTCGGAGCACGTCCGCGAGACGGGCGGCCTTTCGGGTCCTCCCGTCAAGCCGCTTGCTCTCAAGGCGCTGACTACTGTGAACAAACGCTTGCAAGGTAAGCTGCCCATCATCGGATGCGGTGGAATCGCCAATGGTCAAGATGCGCTCGACTACGCCAAAGCAGGCGCCAGCGCCATCGAGCTATACACTTCCTTCGGCTATCAAGGTGTCGGTCTGCCGCGTCGTCTCAAAGATGAGTTGGTGGAATTGCTCAAAGCCGAGGGCAAGACGTGGAAGCAGGTGGTCGGGAGTGGACTCGATCTGTCCAAGATCAGCATTGCAGCTCCTAACGCTGAAACGCCCACAGGACTGCACCCCGGCAGCGATGCCGCGTTCGAAAAGAGCGTTGCCAGCGTAAAGCTCGAACTCGATGGGTTGCGGGAAAAGTTCGGTCTCAACCAGACCCTCACCAAAGAAAACTTGCACAGCTTCCTGCCCACGCGAGAATCGGATGCCACGTACTACGACCTGATCGAAAAAGCTCACTCTGCCTTGGGGCTCGAGTTTGCAGCTGGTGAAAAGACGCACGTATCAGCGCCCTCCTCCACCGGCCTGTCTCGACAGCAGCCAGCGACGGCGGGCGAGAAGCAGGTGCAAAGGGCAGAAGAGATCTTGCAAGATCCCAAGGTTCCCAATGTCAAGGTGGAGATCAAGGACAAGACCAAAAAGGTGTTTGGCGAGACGACACAGGGCAAGGTGCAGGAGGCAAAGGAGAATGCGGCGAATCGCGATTACGGCAAGATCGACAAGGTTCGCGTTGTGTAGTGCTGACCGCGTCTCTCACATGAAACTGCAGTTTGTCTCGTTAGAAGAAGCATGTCCGTACAGCTTGGTTTGCGGTCTGGATGTTCTGCTGTGGTGCTTGAGCAAATGAGTTTGAGGACGATGTTGACCTGGAATGAGACCGAGTCGCGTGATCGGGTCGATCGGGTAGAGCGAAACAAGAGAGCCATGCACAGACGCGGATGAGCTCGTCAAGGCGTTTCAGGGTGCAGAGCGAGCAGCGGTACAGTGGCAGCGCACGACCGAGCCAACGCCAAATCGAGTCGAATATTTTTGGAGGCTTTTGGTTTCTTTCGCTTGGGCCAGTCTCGGCGGCATCGCACCCGACTTCTACGCACTCTCTCTGCATCCTCAAGCCAACAACATCAGCTCTCTTTCCCCTACCTACCTCATTCTTACTAAAATCAACACAACCGGTGGACAGATATCGGCTCGCTTCCGACTTGCTGACAAGGTGCTGGAATCGTCTTGTAAATAGGCTTCGACCGCGCCTCTCGGCTGCCTTCCTTTGCGCCGGCACGCCTCCGACAGCTCTGAGCTCAGCAGCAGCAGCATCACCTGCCACCCGAGCACTATCGACCTACAGCGTTCACTGCCGCTCAGTGCTGCTGAATTGCTGCCCTTTGCCGACGCTGCACTCAACGGGGCCTCGGTCATGGCTGGCAACTGAACACGGCTCAGCAGCCCTTGCCTAACTGTACTTTCGCCCTAGCGAAGGTTCAGCTGGCAGCAGCTTTGGCGACACCATCATGTCTCTTCTCGGCAACCACCAGAACGATGTTCTCAATCGCATCTTTGCTGGACTCAAGAGCAGAGATGAACCTACACGACAGGCAGCCGGCGAAGAGCTAAAATCTCACGTGGCCTTCATCGTCTCGGAGCTCAAGGGCGACAGCCTCTCTTCCTTCAACAACGATCTCCACCGCAGAATCTTCGAGCTCGCACACAGTCAACATGTTCACGAAAAGCTCGGCGGCATCATCGCCATCGAGGAGCTTATCGAGCAGGAGAGCGAGGACAACAGCGCGCGTCTATACCGATTCTACCAGTACCTCAAACCCAACTTGCCGTGCAACGATGCTTCCGTCATGATCGCAGCTTCCCGCGCTCTCGGCAGAGTCGCCTATCACGGCGGTCAGTCACTAGGAGAGCAGTTCATCGAATACGAAGTTCTGCGTGTTCTCGACTTCCTCCAAGCCGGCGATCGAAACGAGTCGGGTCGATATGCCGCAGTTCTCATCATTCGCGAGATGGCCAAAAGGGTGCCTCAACAGTTTCACCCTTACGTCCCTCGTGTCCTAGACCGTATCTGGGTGGCTCTTCGTGATGTTCGCGTCATCGTCAGGGAAGGTGCAGCAGAAGCCATGGGCGCCTGCCTCGGCATCATCGCTGCGAGGGAAAAGCAGATGGGCAGCCACTTCTTCGAGTCCATCTACGAGGAGGCCGAAAAGGGCCTCAAGATGAGCGCCGCCGAGGCCATCCATGGAAGTCTGCTCGCTGTACAACAGCTTCTCCAGCACTCCAAGACCTTCATGCGCAATCGCTTCCAACGCGCCTGCGAGCTCGTCTTTCGCCTCCACAAGCATCGCGATCCGCTCATTCGTCGTACCATCACCAATCTCGTACCCGTCTTGGCGCGTTATGACCCACAGTACTTTGCCGAGGAGCATCTCGGCGCTGTGATGGGCATCCTCACCGAGCAGTTGCGCAAAGAAAAAGATCGCTCACCCAAGGAGTCAGCGCAGACGTTCGAAACCATCGGCTTCGTTGCTGCTGCCATGGGCCCCAGGATGAAGCCTTTCATCGAGCCTGTCCTGGCTTGCGTCAAGGAAGGCTTGCAGATGCGTGGAAAGAAGAACGCTACACCAGAAGGCCCCATCTTCCTCTGCGTCGGCAACCTCGCCACGGCGGTGGGTCCGCACCTCACAAGATACATGCATGACCTGCTCGACCTCATGTTCTCCTGTGGCCTCAGCATCCCGCTCGTCACGGCGCTCGATGGCATCGTCAAAGCCATCCCTCCGCTCATGAAGGTGGTTCAGGATCGTCTGTTAGACATGCTGTCCATGACTCTGATCGGCCAGCCCTACCGCCCGCTTGGAGCGCCTGCTAGTCTCCGTCCCTCTGCCAATGCCAGCCGCGATGTCGTGGCAGCACAGACGGTCGAGTCCAAGGGTGTCGAAACCATCACAGTCGCGCTTCAGACGCTAGGTCGTTTCGACTTCCAGGGTCACATCCTCAACGAGTTCGTCCGCAACTGCACGCTCCCCTATCTCGAGGATGACCACGCGGCGGTGCGACAGGCTGCGGCCGAGACGTGCGCAGATTTGTTCGTCAACGATCCCATCTGCCGTCAGACCAGCATGCACGCCATCGAAGTCGTCAACGATGTTCTCGACAAGCTTATGACCGTCGGTATCGCTGATCCGGACCCGGAACTAAGATGGACGGTACTCAGTAAGTTTGGTGCGCAAGAGCAGTTCGACCGTCATCTCGCCCAGTCCGAGTACGTGCGATCCCTCTTCATCGCGCTCAACGACGAAAAATTCAAAGTGCGCGAGGTGGCCATCGTCATCATCGGCCGACTTGCCAAGCACAATCCTGCCTACGTGATGCCTTCACTCCGAAAGGCGCTCATTCAGCTGCTTACCGAGCTCGAGTACTCGACCGTAAGCAGGCACAAGGAGGAAGCTGCCAAATTGCTCACCGAGGTGGTGCGAGCTTCGCAACGCCTCGTCAAGTCGTACGCGCTGCCGATGCTGGAGGTGCTGCTGCCCAAGGCGAACGATCCCAGCGTCGGTGTTGCAGCGAGAGTCATGGAGTGTCTTGGTGAGCTCGCCAAAGTGGGAGGAGAGGATCTCGCACCAAACGTCGACCAGCTCATGCGCCTTGCCATTGACCAGCTCTCGAGCACGACACCTGGATCGTCCACGGCAAAACGGGATGCAGCGCTCAAAACGCTCGGTCTCGTCGCCTCCAATACTGGCCATGTCGTCAATCCGTACCTCACGTACAGGAATCTGCTCGGGACGGTCGTTAAGATCCTCAAGAGCGAGCAGTCCAAGCCCGTTCGTCGCGAAACGATCCGTGTCATGGGTATTCTTGGAGCCTTAGATCCGTACCGGTACAAGCTGCTCGAAAAAAACGGAGACGAAGGGCAGGACGAGACGTCCAAGGGCAGCGGCACGGATTTGTTCGAGCTCGCCTTGGCAATCGGCACTTCGACGGACGACTACTACCAAAACATTGCCATCGACGCACTCATCACCATCCTCAAGGACCCTTCGCTCTCGACGCATCATCACGCCGTCATCGAAGCGATCATGTACATGTTCAAGACGCAGGGTCTCAAGTGTGTCACCTTCTTGCCGCAGATCATTCCGGCTTTCCTCAACGTCATCCGCACCTGCGGCACGGGTCTCTCCGAGTTCTACTTTCAACAGCTCGCTATTCTCATCTCGATCATCAAGCAGCATGTTCGCAGCTACCTCGAGCCCATCTTTGAGCTGGTGCAGGAGAACTGGAATCCAAACTCGAGCATCCAGCTCACCATTGTCTCGCTCGTCGAAGCTGTGGCAAAGGCGCTCGAGGGCGAGTTCAAGTCGTACTTGCCGATCTTGCTGCCCAACATGCTCCAGACGCTCGATGGAGAGATCACGAGCAAGCGACAGCCTACGTTGCTCCGCATCCTGCAAGCGTTCTATGTGTTTGGCTCCAACATCGAGGAGTATCTGCATCTGGTGCTGCCCGTCGTCGTCAAGATGTTCGAGCGTCCTGATGCGTCCCAGACGCTCCGACGTGCAGCGATCTTGACCGTGGGTAATCTGTCGCGCAAAGTCAGCTTCTGCGACCACGCGTCTCGCGTCATCCACCCGCTCGTGCGTGTGCTGCCAACGGGGTCACCCGACATTCGCAACGCGGTCATGGAGACCTTGTCTGCGCTGGTTGTGCAGCTCGGCGCATCGTACGCCATCTTCATCCCCGTAGTCAACAAGGTGCTCGTGCAGAATCGCATCCAACATACCACGTACGATCAGCTGGTCACCAAGCTGCTCAACGGCGAGCGCTTGCCGCAAGATCTATCTGCGGCCGACAGCGCCTTGGGCAGCAAGATCGACGAGTCGCCGCAAGCCGAGGCCAACAAGATGACTGTCAACCAGCAGCATCTTAAGCAGGCCTGGGATACGTCGAAAGTGTCGACCAGCGAGGACTGGCAGGAGTGGCTCAGGAGGATGGCGGTCGAGTTCATGCGCGAATCCCCAAGTCATGCTCTGAGAGCCTGCAGGAGTCTTGCGGATGTCTACCCAGCCCTGGCGTATGGTCTCTTCAATGTCGCTTTCGTGTCTTGCTGGACCGAGTTGTACGAGCAGTACCAGAGCGACCTAGTCAAGGCGCTCGAGACGGCGTTCGATGCGCCCGAGGTGCCTGGCGATGTGGTGCACATGCTGCTCAATTTGGCCGAGTTCATGGAGCACGACGACAAGGCGCTGCCCATCAACATCCGTGTGCTCGGAGATCGAGCGTACAAGTTCCACAGCTACGCAAAGGCGCTCCACTACAAGGAGGCCGAGTTCCTGACGGATCCCTCGCCGCAGGTGGTGGAGAGCCTCATCGACATCAACACCAAGCTGCAGCAGTCGGATGCTGCGTTCGGTGCCCTCACGTACGCACGCGAACATCTGGATATCACCCACCATGAGGAGTGGTACGAGAAGCTGCATCGATGGGAGGAAGCGTTGGCGGCGTACGACCGCAAAGCGATGCTCGACCCGGACGACTATGGCGTGGCGTTTGGAAAGATGCGCTGTCTACACGCTTTGGGAGAGTGGGAGCATCTCTCGGATCTCGTGCAGCAGAAATGGGGCAGGGCGGATATGGAGGATCGTCGACACATGGCGCCGCTTGCGGCTGCTGCTGCGTGGTCGCTCGGTCAGTGGGATACCATGGACGACTACATTTCGGCCATGCGGTCCGACTCGTCGGAGCGCTCCTTCTACCGTGCCATCCTGCACACGCATCGCTCGCAACGAGGTGCGGCCAACAAGCAGATCGCCAAGGCGCGAGAGTCTCTCGACTCGGAGCTCACTGCTCTGATTAGCGAAAGCTACGGCCGAGCGTACGATCTGATGGTGCGTACGCAGATGCTTTCCGAGCTGGAAGAGGCGCTTGCGTACAAGCTCGATTACAAGGAGCAGCCGGATCGCCAGGCCACGATTCGATCGACCTGGATGAAGCGCCTCAAGGGATGCCAGCCCGAGGTGGAGGTGTGGCAGCGCATTCTTTCCGTGCGTTCAATCGTGCTCACTCCCGCGGACGATACCGAGACGTGGATCAAGTTTGCGAACCTGTGCCGCAAGAGTGGACGCATGGTGCTGGCTGAAAAGACGCTCAACTCGCTGCTGGGTCCGGAGCGCACGAATGCCGATCCGCGCTCGCCGATCGGGCCGAGAGCGCCGCCGCCGGTCATCTACGCGCACCTCAAGTTCATGTGGGCCTCCGGTGCCCGGATCGAGTCGCTGAGCTACTTGCAGGAATTCACGCTCAACCTCGCCGAGGATCTCGGCGTGCACACCGTCGACGAGCACGGCAATCTGGTCACTCAGGACTGGCAGTCGTCGCCGCGTCTCGGCGAGTTTGCGAGGTTGCTGGCGCGCTGCTTCTTCAAGCAGGGTGAGTGGCAGATGTCGCTGCGCGAGAACTGGGTGACGGACGACAACAGCAACGTGATCGAAAGCTATCGCAGGGCGACGGAGCTGGACCGAAACTGGTACAAGGCGTGGCACGCGTGGGCGCTGGCCAATTTCGAGATCATCTCGCACCACGAGGAGAGGAACGAGCAGATCACGCCGCAGATGATCGCGGCGAGCATCGTGCCTTCTGTGCAAGGCTTCTTCCGGTCGATCGCGCTGGCGAGCGGCAACTCGTTGCAGGATACGCTGCGGTTGCTGACGCTGTGGTTCAAGTATGGCCATCAGGAGGATGTGTCGCAGGCGGTGAGCGAGGGTTTTGCGAGCGTGATTGTGGATACCTGGTTGGAGGTGATTCCGCAGATCATTGCGAGGATCACGGCGCCGTCGCCGAGGGTGCGACGGCTTATTCACAACTTGTTGTCGGACGTTGGGTTGGCGCATCCGCAGGCGCTGGTGTATCCTCTTACGGTGGCTGCGAAGAGTCCGAGCCACATGCGTATCCAGGCGGCGATGGGGATCATGGACAATGTGCGCGAGCACTCGCCGGTTCTTGTCGAGCAGGCGTTGCTGGTGTCGAACGAGCTGATCCGTGTCGCTATCCTGTGGCACGAGATGTGGCACGAGGGACTGGAGGAGGCGTCGAGGCTGTACTTTACAGAGCACAACATCGACGCCATGTTTGCCACGCTCGAACCTCTGCACGATGCACTCGAAAAGGGTCCCGAGACGCTGCGCGAGACGTCGTTCGCTCAGACGCACGGCCGCGACCTGGCAGAGGCGCGCGAGTGCGGTCGACGCTTCCGACAGTACGGCGACATTTCGGACCTCAATCAGGCGTGGGATCTGTACTACCACGTGTTCAAAAAGATCACCAAGCAGCTGCCGGCGGGCAACTCGGTGCAGCTCGATCTGCAGTACGTCTCGCCGAAGCTGTTGGCGATGCGCGACTTGGAGCTGGCGGTGCCGGGAACGTACCAGTCGGGCAAGCCGATCGTGTGCATCACTCGGTTCGAGCAGATCGTCCTGGTCATTGCGTCGAAGCAGCATCCGCGACGTCTCAAGATGAAGGGGTCGGACGGCAAGACGTACCAGTACCTGCTCAAGGGTCACGAGGATCTGCGTCAGGACGAACGTGTGATGCAGCTCTTCGGTCTGGTCAACACGCTTCTATCGATCGATTCGGAGAGTTACAAGCGGAGGTTGGAGATCCGACGGTTCCCAGTGATCCCGTTGTCGCCGAACACGGGTATGCTTGGGTGGGTGGAGAACACCGATACGCTGCACGTGCTCATCAAGGAATACCGAGAGCAGCATAAGATCCTGCTCAACATCGAGCATCGACTGATGCTCCAAATGGCGCCGGACTACGACCATCTGACGCTGATGCAGAAGGTGGAGGTGTTCGAGTATGCGTTGGACAACACACCGGGGCAGGATCTGTATCGGGTGTTGTGGTTGAAGTCGCGCAACTCGGAGTCGTGGTTGGAGCGTAGGTTGGCGTATACGCGGTCGCTGGCGGTGTCTTCGGTGGCAGGCTACATTCTGGGGTTGGGTGATCGACATCCGTCCAACTTGCTGTTGGATCGTTTGACGGGGCAGATCGTCCATATCGACTTTGGCGATTGCTTCGAGATCGCTTGTCACAGGCCCAAGTTCCCGGAGAAGGTTCCGTTCAGGTTGACGAGGATGTTGGTGAACGCGATGGAGGTTGGGGGCATCAAGGGGACGTTCAAGGTGACGGCGGAAAATACGATGAGGGTGTTGAGGGATAATAAGGAATCGGTGTTGGCGTTGTTGGAGGCGTTTGTGCATGATCCGTTGATCTCGTGGAGGTTGGTGGCGGATGATGCGGAGAGGGCGCCGGATGCGCAGGAGAACGAGGCTATTGGGGCGGGAGATGGTGGAGGTGCGGGAGAGGGGGCTGTCACGGGTGCGGCGAACGTGGGGGCTGGAGGGACGGTTGCTCCAAACCAACGCGAGTCTGGCGCTGGAAGTGCGGCGGCAGGCGGCAGTGGTGGTGGTGGCGCGATCGCCGCTCCTCCCACGGCTGCAGGCCCGCAGGCAGCGGGGGGTGCAGCACCAGCACCAGGCGGCGCAGCAGGCGCAGGTCAGGATGTTAGGAACAAGAAGGCACTCGAAGTCGTCCGTCGCATCCAGAACAAGTTGGGCGGTCGAGACTTTAATCCAGCGGAAAGCCTCAGTGTGGCAGCACAGATCGAGAGGCTCGTTCAGGATGCCACGAGCAAGGAGAATCTTTGCGTGGCGTTTGTAGGGTGGTGCTCGTTTTGGTAAGAGATGCAATGCATGTGTTTCAGTTTTTGCAAAAGACGCAGAGTGTGTTTGTGGTTTGAGGATGAGAAAGTGAGGGGCGAGGTGTTGCTGAATGCGCGAGGAGGCGACGAGGCCTTGTGATTTCAGAGTGCGTGCAGGAACATCGGATGACGCTTTTCCCGCTAACTTACTCATCGTCTCACACCTCGCACCGTCACAGCAATCACACACACTTGGCCACACAAAAAAACCACATCGTTGACGTTACATTGCCGATTCGAACAACATTACTGCATCTTCAGCCCAGAACCTTGTCCTTCTCCTCCTCAGTGCTGGACCGGCTGCTGTTGAACCTGCTGCTGCTTACTACTGCTCTCCTTCAACGCCAACAGCTGCTTGCTCCTGAACGCCTCGTAGTGGATTTGAGCGGTGGTCTCGATCAGATCCTGCAGATGGGTTCTGGTCAAAAAGTTCCTGAGATGGACAAACTCGCAATGGCTCTCGTTCTCGACATTCACCACACCGTACCTGTTCTTCCTGCCCCTGACCTGTTTGCCCTCGATGACGACGTTCTTCTCGCTGCCCACCACGGCGAAGGGGATCAACGTCCTGATCCTCTCGTTCAACTCCCTCTCCTCCTCCTCGTAGTCCTCGTTGTCGAAGGGGTAGACTCGGATGTTGTTGTACGCCATCTCGGCCCTGATCCTCTCCTTGAACAGATCCCTCTCGTCCATCGTCAAGCTGTCGCTCTTGGCGATCACGGGTACGACGTTGACGACGTCGCTCAACTTCTTCATCACCGTAACATCGATCGGTCTCAACCCGTGACCCGTGGGGTTGATGAAGAAGAGACAGCAGTGAATCCTGGTGTCGACGATGTACCTGTCCCTCATAGCGGTCAACTCCTTCCTGAGGTACGCCGAATGCTGGTCCTTGATGTACTTGATGATGGGGTCCCAGCAATTGTCGTTGTTGACGAGGTCGCCGTAACCGGGGGTGTCGACGATGTTGAGTCGAAGCTTCACGCCGTTCTCGAGGATGACGTGCGAGACGGGGTGGATCTCGGTGGTTTGACGGATGACCTCGTCGGCTGCGAAGCGTCCCTTGGTGTCGATGAGGTGCGCGGCGAAGAGCGTGTTGATGAGCGTGGATTTACCAAGACCGGTCTGACCGACGACCATGACGTTGAACTGGAAACCGCGTTTGAGCAGCTTCGACTCGATCTGTTTGGTGATCGAGTCGAATCCGACGTAGGACTGCAGAGGTGTGTGCCCCTGGTCAGAGGAAAGGACGGCCGCCATCTTCGCGTTGTGCAAGGGCAGGTGTCTGCGTGTCGGTGCTTTTGAGGTATGAGAGTCGGAAAGGAGTCGTAGCTACGATATGCCGCGACTTAACGGCCTTCGTATCGTTCTATGCGTAAAGGGAAAGATCGAGCAGAGAAGGACGAGCGACAGGTGATGATGGCGACAAAAAGTAGGTGATGATGGGGGTGAACTGAGCTGGAATAATGGCGGCGCTTCTGTCTGAGATGGCTCATGCGCTGGTGCAAGACAGAGAGAGAGAGACACACACACGCTCGCGCACTCACTCCTTGCAGAACCCGCCCGCACGCACACGCACACGCATCCCACGCAATGCGCACCGCCCTTTTGCATGTCTCAAAGTTGATCTTTCTGGCGCCTCGCTTCCTCCATTTGCAACTTTGTATTCCATTTCGCACCGAAAAGCGTGTGTTTTGTATTCATTCACGAAGCAGTGGAATTCCAGCGCGTAGGTTTCTAACCAGTGTTCTAACACTCCGAGTTAACAACTCAGGGGAAGAAATTGTTGCAGAGTGTTGGAGCGTGGCAGGGTCCACCTTTGTTCGAGACGTCCAACAACACCTGTGCTTGCAGTAGAACATGATCGCAAGCTCGTAACATTTTTAGACAGATAGCAACAAGTACAACAAGGCAACACATGCACCGGGTTTGACATCGGTATAGACAAATGACGGAGTGGAATGTGGTGTGTGTCAAACCAGCTCCACCCGATTTCGACAAGAGATAACAACGCAGAGCGGAACAGCTGCAACGCAAGCGTCTGCACCAAAGAAGGTCCTTGTCCCTCAACTACACCTGCGATCCGCGCGTAAAGTACGCCTTCATACCGTGCGTCGCCAACTCGTTCTTGGCCTGGGCAAATGTATGTCCCTTCTCGTTGTTGTGCTGCCAGATCAACCTGTAGTACCACAGGTTGCCCAACCCTTGCAGTCCGAACCCTGCCGTCGCGATTGCACCCAAAATGCCCGCCACGATCCTGTGCCCCGCAAACGCCTGGATCGTGTTGATCAACCCTGCTGAACCCGTCGACGGGATCCCCAAAAACACGTACACCGAGAACGCCAGATGGAAGCCGCAGAAGATAAAGTAGACGTAGAAGAACAACGAATGCTCCTTCATCAATCCGTTGTAGATTGGTCTGTACCAGAGCAAGAAGCTGGCGACCGTGATGACGGGCAGATACACGATACCCGAGATCATGTCCTTGCCACCGTCGCTCGCTCCCTGGATCAACAGAAAGATGCACGCTACCATGTTGATCACGAGCGTCAACACGAGCAACAGCCAGAGCTTGTAGAGGTTCTCCATGATCTGCTGGCTGTCCGGCGGGATCTCGGCTTGGATGTCGTGGTAGATGAGAGGGTAGAAGAAGGGCCAGTTGTTTCGACCGTGCTTTTGGATGTGAGCTGCTCGGTTGTCGAGGTCGCGTTCTCGACGCGCGAGCTCCTCTTCTCGACGACGAAGCTCTTCGGCGCGGTTGGCGTCGGAGCGGGAGGGGATGTCGTCGACGGTGCTCGACTTGTACGTGGATCCGACGTCGTCGTCGCCGCCAGAGTACATGCGTGACGAGTCGTTGAGAGCGCCTTGCACGGCTGGATCCGCGAACGGGTTGGCGTCGAGCGCATTGCGATCCGAGAATGGGTCTGCTGGTCGCGACATCTTGTGTGGAAGGCTCGTCGCCGATATGTGGTGTGTATGTGTGTTTGTTTTGTGTGCGCGTGGGCTATCGAGGCTGTAGACTGGAGAGGGTCTGCTGTTCAGTCGTGTCCACTAGGTTATATCACCGCGATGAAGGAGGGGTGTCGAGTGATGTCGAGACGGTGCTGATGGGAGTGACAGCTCGCTAGCTGGTGACAACGTGGAGTCAAGGTATACTGGGTATGGTGACAAAAGGAGAGACCCGCGCCCAATGAGGTGGTCTGAGCTCTGCGTGGAATTTAGCAGGACCCACACCATCTGCAGCCAGAGAACTGTTTCCAGCCCTTAAAAAAGTGGCAGCTCTCATTTACACACAGCCTCCTCGACACGTTCATGTTCTCCTTTTTCCCAGTTGGCTCAACTCCTGTGTCCCGCGTTCGGCACGCTCCGAGTCGCCGACCCACCCGATTTTTAGCGGGAATCTTGCCGATGGACCCCTTGCCAGTGAGCCGATGCGCGTCCAGGGAGCTCTCTGCGCGCTGTATGGTTGATCTGCAAAGTGGTTTTCGTGACCTTCGCGAGGCGCGAAGACAGACGCTCTGAGAGAGAGCCAACACTTTCTCTCCTCTGTCACTAGGAATCACACACATACACTCATACACCTAGACTTTGGCAAAGGTCGGAAGCAATCACTACTTGCACTTCTCACCGCCTCGAAAGCTCACTCGGCCATCTTGCGCACTTCCAGCACTTTAACACCGTGTCAAACGCCCTCTGTCGGAAGAAAAAGGCGCTTGGACTGTGGTCGACCTCACCTTGGACACACACTCTCTCTCTCCACGGCGGCACATCCGACTTGGGTACCACTCAGCTTGCATCATCGACCGCTGCCTCGCTGCAACATCCTTTGTAATCCCGCATTGGAGCGCCACCATTATTCGCAGTTGCTGCACCAAAGCTTGAGCTTGAAGACGCTTTCGCTCAAGAGCCCCACTTCATCACCCTGGCCCTCTCCACGCAGCCGAGCCGCAAGCTCTAGAACTTCCCGCATCGAGTCTATGCTGTGATCGAGCGATCTCTAGAGCAAACCTTGCATTGCATCACTCTCTCAAACTGCACACGCTGCCAGGCTCCGACTCCAGCGCCAGCTCAGCTCAGCCCAGGTTAGTGTGACCATGTCGAGACGCGGCGGCGAGATCGAGTCTTCCAACATTCTCGATGGCCCACGCAAGCGACTTCGGGCTAGCAACAACGCTGCCGCAGATGACGCGTCTGCAGCAGCAGCATCTTCTCCCGCTGGCACATCCGCCTCTGGCTCCGCTTCCGCGAGCACCGCTGGCATGGGCGTGATCGAGCGCAGAATTCACAGCCTCTCGGTGGAGCAGGTGGCGCAGTATGGACAAAAGCTCATGGACACGGTCATGGAAGCCACCGATCCAACCGACGGCGATCCGCTCCACGAGTTCTTCCTCGAGCTTCCGGACGCGCAAGAGTATCCGGACTATTACGAAATAATCAAGCGTCCCATGGCGCTCGAAGAGATCCAGTCCAAGCTCGACCAACGTAGCTACCCTACTCTACCCGACGTCAAGCACGACTTTGAAACCATCTGCAACAACGCAAAACGCTACAATCTGCGCGACACTCCCGTGTGGCTCAAGGCAAAGGAGCTTCACAGTCTCATCAAGATCACTTACGTTCAGATCGTCGAGAGTCTTCCCGAACCAAGCGCTGCCGATACATCTGTTCCCGCAACATCTGCTGCTCCCACCACTGCCTCTGCCGTTGGCGCTCAAGATACTCCTTTGCGTCCCAAACGCATCATGCTCCGAGCCTCAAAGTCACAGGCCAGGCTGAACGATCAGTCACAGCCAAAGTTGGAAGCGCAGGATACCGCCATTCCTCCATTGCCAACAGCATCTCAACCTCAGCTTGCTCAGCAGCAGCAATCGTCCGATTCCAAGAGCTCTCTTCTACAACAGCCCAGCAGTTCGCTCACACCCGCTCGCCAGCAAAGCCAGCAACCCTACACGGCAGCCGGCACGCCCAGCTCGGCCGCAGATGACGACGACGACGCTGATGCCGACGCTGATGACGACGACAACTGGGACGCAGACGGCGATTCTTCCAAGCTTACAAAAGGCGGCCTTCTCGACGGTCGCAAGCGGCCAGGCAAGCGAGGCAAGCGTCTTAAAGCAACCCTTCGACAGCTCGTCTACGACCTCCGTCGTGTCGTTGGTTCGCGCGGCTACCCCCTCGTCCAGAACTTTGACGCTCTTCCCGATCGAGCTCAGAACCCTCAATACTACCAGGTCATCTCCCGACCCGTCTGCTTGCGAGACATCGAACACCGCGTCTACGAAAAGGGCTACATCAACGCGCACGCTCTCTTCACCGATCTCGAGCTCATGCTCAACAACGCCATGTCGTACCACCCTCCCGAGCACCCTGTCTGGCAAGACGCTGCAGAGATTCGCCAGTATTTTGAACGCGAGGCCATCCCTGCGCTCATGCAGGACGGCTTCACGTTGGAAAAGGACGACGTCAGACAGTCTGCGCTGCCTCTCCACCTTGCTGCCAACAGCACCATCGAGGCTCACAAGGCTGCCTACAGGATGATGGCCTCCAAGTTTGCCGCGGGCGAAGGCGCTTCGCAGAGCCCTGAGCCATCCTCTCGCGCCAGACTGGGCTCCGCAGGTGTCGCCGCGTCACCTGCGCTGTCTGCGAATGCAGCCTGGACGGCAGGGTCGCCAGCCGCGTTTGGCTCGCCCTCCCCGGCCTTGCAGTCCCCTGCGATGCCGATGTCGAACGCAAACATTCCTTTGATGGGAGGAGCTCCTGGATCGATGCCCATGTCAATGCCGATGGCGCCGCCCATGTCGAATGTCGGATCTCCGTTCCCCATACCGGCAGGAATGCCGCACATGGGTATGGCAGACTCGCCCGCACGACCTATGCAATTTCCAGGGACGCCGGGCGCATCGCCGCGCAACGTCGCAACACCCGAAGGCAGAAGACCAGTCGGCCGTCCGCCTGGCAAAGGCACTCCCACCCGATCCAACCCCTACCCATTCCTGGAGCGTCGTGTCGGTCCGGGTCGTCCCAAGAAGCACGAAGCTGCAGCACGTCAAGCCGCCATCGCCGCGCACGAGGAGATGCTTCGCAAACAGTCTCTGCAGGACCAACAAGATCAAATGACGCAACAGCAACAGGCTGCTGCGCTCGCCGCGCAGCCCATTCCGCAATGGCAGCAGCAGCAGCTCCTTCAACAGCAACACCAGCAGCAGCTGCTGCTTCAGCGACAGCAAGAACAGGCGGCTCAACAACATCGACAGCAGCAACAGCAGCAGCAGCAACAGCGTCGACAACAGCAGCAGCTTCAGCAGCAACAGCAGGCGCAGCAGCAGCAAGCGTATCTCGAACAGCAGCAGAGACAACTTCAGCAACAACAGCACCCGCACGGACCCAGCCCTTCGCCTTCGCATCAGATGCTGCCGCCCGGTGCACCTGGAGGCCATTCGCCGTTTGGTAGTGGCATGGCTGTTGCAGAGCCGCCGTCACCGGTCAAGAGGAAAGAATCTGTGCTGCCGGCCGAACCGCGCGAGCCACCGCCGTTTGAAGGCTTGGAGAACCGAACCCCTCTGATCAGCAACTTTGCCATCGGGATGGAGGTGGAAGAGCCCGACGGGCAGACACTCGCAGTACCTTCATTGGAGATCAAGAACGGACATGCGACACAGCACACGCTGCAGATCCCACCAAATGCGTCGAGCATCACCATCGTGTTCCCTCTTCGCATGCTGAATAAGAAGCACCAGCCGAAGCTGGAGGAAGCGGCCGCCGATGCCGCAGGTGCCGACGGCGATGTATCGATGGACGACGCTTCCAACGCCGCGACTGCTGCCAACGGTAACCAGGCCAAAGCTGCGCCTCAGACGAACGGCAAAGCAGACGACGAGCAAGCTTCATCGCTGACATGGCCGTGGCAGCCGGAGCTGAGCTTCAACGGTCGAAGCACCGAAGGCAGTTGGACCGCGTCAGAATCGTTCATCGATCCAGCACTTCTCGAAGACGCTGATGGAGACGACGACGACAACGATGAGGGAGGATTCACAACCTCGATCGGCTACTCGTACTGTCAGGTGCGTCTGCTTCCGAGACGCGGGATCAACGTGTTTGAGATCACCGTCAGACCGGATTCGACGTACGCGGCTGTCAAGGGCGTCCCTGCCGAGAGGTACTCCATCTTCTTCTGCTGAAAGCAATACAATGAAAAGGGCGACAAACTTTTAATCGGTATGACTCCAACGCTGTGCTGATAGTGCCTAGCGTGACGTGTGTGTTGTGAGATGAGTTGAAAGATCCGTGTGAGTTTGCAGGGATGAGAAAGTGCAAAAGGACGCGATGTCAGTGGGAGCTCGGAGCCTTTTTTTAGCGCTTCGGAGGCACAGCCTGTGGGTGATGTCGAGCGAGCAGCGGCCCGGGAATTAAAAAAGTGGCCGAGCGTGTTGGAGTTGTCACCATCTCATCCGCCATCTTGTCTTCCGGACGACATCTAGCATCACCAAATCAGACTTGATCTCCCTGTTCGCACTCGTATTCCCTCTTCATTTACTGCCGCACACAATCGCGGACCGTACGACGCTTTCAAGACTGGCAAGGTAACTCTGCTTGCACCACCTTCCGCTGTTCGCAACCACCAATTGATCACCATGAATCACGGCGGGATGGACCATGGCGGGATGGACCACGGCGGTATGGGTCATGGAGGTATGGACCACGGCTCCACATCCCACTGCAGCATGAACATGGTCTGGAACTACGACACCACCAACCTGTGCATCCTCAGCTCCTCGTGGCGAATCACCACCCCCTTCTCCCTCTACCTCTCGCTCTCCATCATCGCTCTCTCCGCCATCCTGTACGAATACCTCCGTCTGTACATCCGACGACTCGACTCGAAACTCGCCCGTTCCTCCATCAACTCTCTGTCCCCAACGCATCGACGTCGTGCATCTCTTCTCCCCACATCTTCATCCCCCAGCAACAGCAGCGGTGGTGGCAGTTCGGGGATATCCGACCGTCGTGCTAAACGTCGTTCCTCCAACAGCAGCGATTCCCTCGCAAATGGCAGGGATCGATGGGTGAAACCACTAGAGACAACGAGGAGAATGCAGATATGGAGGTCGACGCTGTACGCCACTTCGATGGGCGTCAGCTTTCTGTTGATGTTGATCAGTATGACTTTCAACGCCTATGTCATCGGTGCGATCGTCTTTGGTAAGTTCATTTGTCGACACACGATTGATGGAAGAGAGGATGATGTAACTGACACCCAAGGGTATGATGTTTTGTTCGTGGGGAATGACAGGTGCGGGGGTGGGTCATTACCTGTTCAACAGAGATGTATCTTCCAACGTTGGTGTTGTCGACGATCAGGGTCTTGCCTGTCACACGTAAACTGCATTTTCGCAATCAATCAAGTCGTATCGAAACACTCTTCCCTCACTTGCAGTCTGATCCCACGCGCCTTCGACAGACATGACTTCATTGGAATCGCTACCAGCTAGTACTTGGCTCTAGGAGCATACAACGCAGTCGTAGCATCATCATGCTTGGTCCTCACCACCTTGACCGCCTCTGCATACACCACCTCCTTATTGCTACCCCATGCATTCATCTTTGCCTTGACCTTCAATTTCTCCGCCAACTGCAAGGCCTTGTCCAACGTATCTTTGGGACTGTCGCTGAGGACGTCTACAAATCCTTCTTCCAGGGCCTCCTTTGCGCTGAATCTGTGACCTTCGAGTACGACCTTGCGCATGGTTTTTTGGTTTTCGATCTTGCTCTTCAACGTAGCCTGCAGGCCGTGCGGGAGGGGAGCGCCGAAATCGATTTCGTTCATGCACATGTAGCCTCTCTTGCTGTTCATGACGCGGTAATCGTGTGCGCAGGCGAGACCGAACCCGGCTGCGAAAGCGTGACCGTTGACGGCGGCGATGGTGGGGATGGGGAAGGTGAGGAGTTTCTCGTAGAGAGCGTTGAGATGGGTGTCGAAGAAGTTGGGATCTGCGATGGCGTTTTCAAAGTCGAGACCGTTGGAGTAGATCTTGGCACTGTCCGCAGTTCCACCAGTTGAAACGAACGCAGCACCGAGGGAAGACTCTCCAGAGGAGAGCATGTCGTTCCAGCCCTGTTCGACGTGCTCGAGAGCAGGGAGTAGACCCTCGGCGATGAAGGTGTGCGTGAGCCGGTTGTCCGGCGTCTCGTTTCCGAGCATGGTGAGCACCCAGATGCGCGCGGATCCGTCGAACTCGAGCTTGACGAGCGGCGAATCGTCGGATGGGAACTGACGCGTGTAGGACTGCATGGTTGCGATAGGAGCGGTAGGGTCGTACTTGGGTACCTTGTCGAACTCAAAGAGCGTGGCTGCGTTTCGGATCGTGTGACTTGCACGAGTCTGGGATGGCCTGTTCCAGGGTCGATGTGCGATGAAAGTGGTCGATAGGATGGATGTCTTGCTGCAGAGTAGATTGAGGGTACGCAGAGAAGAAGAGGCAGAGATCAAGGACGATCGAAACAGCATCGGTGCACTGGCGATGATGGTCGGGAGGATCGTGCGGGGTAAAGGACGAGGAGGACCAAGCAAGCGTGAAACGTGCGGCAATATCTAGCGGAGTCCGCGGTTCGGGTCGTTCGGCTAGAAATTTGGCATTTCAGCCGGAAGCGCGCAGCTGTGCTCGCAGAGCTGTCTGTGCGAGCTCGACTATCGGCCGTCACACTTTCGAACGGAAATGTTAGAGTGGTACGGCATTCACACCGGGCTTGGCTGAGTTGTGGACCCTTGATAACGACAAAGAGTGTTACTTCGCAGCATTGGACGTCGAGCACAGCTCCCGCTTCCGTCTTGTAACCATCATCAGCATCTCACCCAGCAGCATGTCAAATCTGAATCCAGAAGAGTACGTCGACATATCGACCATCGGCATCGATGCTGTTCCTGCGAATTCCGCACCGCTGCCTTCTTCCAGCGACAAAGCCACCGTCAGCTACTGGCTAGCTACCAACCCGCACAACCTCCACGCTGCTACCATCGATCGTCTGCCTCCGAATTCAGACGTCGTCATCATCGGTTCTGGTATAACCGGTGTGTCCACCGCCTACCATCTCGTCAATGCATCCGGCCCATCCATCAGCTCCATCACCGTCATCGAAGCGCGTGCTTTCTGTTCGGGTGCGACGGGCAGGAATGGAGGGCACCTGACCGCCGCCTCTGCGTTGGCGTACACCGACCTTGCTGCCAATCCGAACCATCTCCTTGGAGCCAGGATCCACAGTCTGAATGCCGAGGATGTCAAGGTTGAGGCTGCCAAAGTGGTGGAGGACATCCTCGCGTTCGAGACCCATACGGCGGATGCTATTCGCGAGATCATCAAGAAAGAGCATGCAGAGGAGAAAGTAGGATTCGCAGACGAGAAGAACTGGCATCTCTGCTTTGATCAGCGCGAGGAGGATGCTTTCGAGCACTCGCTCGCACAGGCAGCTGAGCATGCCGGGTTGCACAAGTACGTCGATCAAGTTCGTCGTGTACCGAAGGACGAAGTCGATCAGCGGATGAATAGCCCTGCAGGTATCAAGGCGGTATACGAGATTCCAGGAGCAACCTTGCATCCTCGCTCGCTCGTAACCATCCTCTTCCAAAGCGCGCGAAGCATCGCCGCCTCCAAAAACATCGAACTCAATCTGATCACCGATCTACCCGTCCTCAACATCACCTCCTCACCAAGCGGCGAAAGCATCTGCACTACATCCCACGGAGATATCCGCGCAAAGTACGTCGTCCACTCCACCAACGGATACGCCTCCCACCTCCTACCCCATCTCAGCTCCAGCGACACTGGAATCATCCCGACGCGTGCACAGGTCGTCGCTGTCGCACCCACCTCTGGCGAGCACCTGTGGGGCATGGGTCTGTCCGCCGGTGGAGGCTACGAGTACGGCCATCAACGACCGTCCTCTGAATCTGATACCCCTCTGTACATCTTCGGTGGAGGCAGAGAGTACGCCACGGGAAGAGAATGGGGTGTGGCAGATGATACGACTGTCAACCCTGAGGTGTCGGAATTCTTGCATCCGTATCTGGCCAATGTTTTCCCTCAAAGTTATGGGGAGGATGTGAGGAGCGAGTGGACGGGGATCATGGGGTATACGCGAAGCAAGGATCCGCTGGTCGGGCCGGTACAAGCTGAAGGGAGAGCGGGGAAGGAGTACGTCGCAGCAGGGTATAGCGGGCACGGTATGACGAGGGCGTTTGGGTGTGCGGGCGTGGTGGCGGATATGATTGTGGCGGATGCGGGGACGGGAAGGTGGCGGAAGAGGGAGGGGTTCCCAGAGTGTTACCTTACTGAGGAGGCGAAGGCGCTCCTGAGTGGAACCAGTTTGGACAAGGATGGATATACGGATGGCGACAAAGAGAACGATACCGGTCTGCCGGAGAAGGATGCGCCTTCAGGCGGCGGCTGCTGCACCATCGCATAATTTGTTGGGGCCCAGGGGCCACTCATTTGAGCATCGCAGGTCCGGCCAGTCAGAAAAAGGTCGGATGTCAGTGCTGAGTCTGTGGACATGTCACGATTCAGCAGAGTTCAAGTGGTCGGGTCAGGCAAGATATAGCGAGAAGGGATGCTTGTGAATCGAGCATGATGATTGCATTCGGTGATGTGGATGATCGGAAAGTGAAGTGATAAGAGCGAACGATCACGCTCATTTGTGGGAAATGCGACCACCTGGAAGGCTAGAGATCAACTACTTTGTGATAGCACATCAGCATTCTCTGTCATGCCATTTCAACAGCATCGCCATCGATCGCCTTCTCCGATCTGCTCTTTCACCGTTCACGGTACATCCTCCTTGACGTGGATGTGCAACCACTTTGTGCAGAGCACCTTGTCCGTCTGGCGATGATGCTCAGTATCAATATCCCTGCCTTTCCCGTCTTCGTCCGAGACCCAGATCCTCCAATCGTTATCGTATTTGTGCTGCAACGAGATTTTGAAGCATCCCTTGGCGCGGTCGAAGTCGGAGTAGGTCATGGAGACGTCGCCGAAGTTCCAGGTGAGGGTGAAGGGTTGGGTGGGATCGCGTGTGGTAAAGTCTGAGGAGCGAAAGTGGTCAGAGAGACTGAAGAAAAGAAAGCGGGGAATAAGAAGAAGGAGGGTTGGGGCTTACCGAGCTTGTCACCGTTTTTGATGAGAAAGTGGTCATCCGGTTGAACTTTGCTATTGCCGTCGAGGGTGGCGTTGACGATGCTCATGTCAGAGTACCACATGGTGAAACACGGCCACTTGGGATCGCTTCCGGACGGACCGGAGACGGATTCGCAGTGTTTGCTGTAGAGATCGTAACGAGGGAGCAGCTTGGTGTACGACTGGCAGCCTTGTACATGTGCCATCGATGGAGCACCCCATGCTTGAACGACTTCGGTTTGGGAGAGAATAGTGAGAGCCGTGGCTATGATGGTCCCGATGGAGAGTTTCATCTTGTCCAAAAGAGTACGGTCTTGGGAAGAGCAATGCTGAAGCGGGTCACAATGTTTGTGGCGGTAGGTGGAAGAGAGGCGTAATTTTGGACTTATACGAACATTGTTCGAGATGATACCGAGCCGAAGGTGAAGTAGCCAAGGGCCAATGGAGTTGCCACTGGCGCTGCAATGAGCTCACATGAAGTCCCACCCCCCACTTGTTGACTTGCCACTTGCCGAACAACGGTGGACTCGGTCTCGTCGGTTGATGGATCTGAAATGAACTTGACCTTGGCGGAGACCGCCTTGACACAGTGTGCTACCCCACCAACCAAATTTGGATCTTCGCATCAGGATTTGAGCATTCTCACAAAGCTGCGTTCTCGTCCACCACAGTCAGCCAGGACCGGGCCGTGAGAGTCGCCAAGATTCATCTTATCTAACACCCTCCCGACAAGAACACCAAGTTCATCCCTCGCACATTGTCTCTTCTGACCCATAGCATCTTTGATCTTTCTCCCCGAACAATGGCGCACAATTCACTCATCGTAACATCCGCACTGACACTCATCGTCATGTCGCTTCTCCCACCCGTGCTCTCAGTCAGCAAAGTCTTCGGTCTCGGTCCCGGCCCACAGATCGTATCCGATCAATTCCCGTCTCAGTTTGCCTACCCCCTAGACCAGCAAGACGCCAGCTTCGCATGCTCGCCCTTCACGCCTCTCTTCATTGATGGTCCCATCTTCGTCTCTCGCACAGCGCGCATTGGTGCTGGCCCTGAACCCCAATTCCAGGTCTACGGTGCCTCTCTACGACATACTCTGATCGAGCCTTGGTTGGAGCCTGTCAACATGACCGATCAGATTGTTCTTGCCGACTCCACCGCGAAAGGTAAGCACTTTTGCCCTTTTTCCAGACTCTCACTGAAAGCAGTACTGACAGCCACCATCGGTGTTTGTCCGGGTAGCTTTTACGATGAACGATCCCACCGTTGCATTTCAGATCACATTCCTCGAGTATTCGGGTGTCAAGTTCACATACTCCAACTACGATCCAGAGACGCGATGTTTCGACGTTGCGCTGAAGCGGAAGTGGAAGTCGAAATGGAGATTGACGGTCGGAGAGACGCCCGAGGCGAAGGATCTCGATACTCTGAACAGCTTGAACACGGGAACGAAGTTTTGTAAGGACAATCTGGTTATTCGGTTGAGTCGACAGCCTTTGAAGAGATACTAGCGACCCAGGTGGGCGCGCCATCGCAACTCTTTCCCACTTCGATCTTGACATCGTCACCTCATTGCACGTTTTGGGGCAGATGGGTTGCAATGAAGGCTGTCGAAGTGATGTCGATCAGAATGAAAATGATTGCAATACAGCACGAAAGTGTTTGCGTGCCCTACAGTGTTCAAAGACGAAGTCCGGCTCGTTGTGCCAAGTGGATGTTGCCGGTGGAAGCTAGCGAAGGTACCGTGAAACTCTGCATATTTTGGCCAAGACCGACAACGGTGGGAAACACTCATCGCGGTTTGCCGATCCAAGACGAGTGAGCCACCAATTGGCCGCCAGTCTCCCCACTCGGAAGTGGGCTTATACTACCTCCCACAAGGTTACCCACCAAGCGTACATTCAGCGCGACTTCAGAGCGAGATCTATCATTTCCGTACTGTCAACACATAGCCATGCCCCTTTGAATGCCTCAGCTCCTCGCTTGCCTACGACCAATTTAAAGAGCATTCACTGCCTTTGTTCCAGACCAAGAGACACTGCATCCAGTAACGACCATGATCCTGTTCTTTAAAGTTGTCATGTCGTACAGCGCCAAAATGCTGCTGACGATGGCGCTCGTCTCCTTCGTCCACTGTATTGTGGAAGAAGAACCTGCTCCCTCTACTGGTCGCGGAGGTGGTGGAGGAGAAGAGGAAGAAGGCAGTCCTGGCGGAGCCAGAGGCAGCAGCACCGGAAGTAGCAGCATGTTCGGATACGTCCCCTTCACCAATGCAGACACTCTCGGTCACTACTACCCCAGCACCTACTGCGACATCACTCCTCTCAAGGTCGACTCCAAAGAATTCGACAAACGTTGTGGACCTGCATCCGATCCCAAATGGCCTTGTTTCTCGCATAACGGTGAGAGCACGATGCAAATGGTCACGGTTGAACCTTGGACGAGTCCGCTCAACATGTCGGATGAGATCGTGCTCAAGGACGATCAAGCCATGGGTAAGTTGCCGTTTTCCTTTCCTCTACCTCCACTGTGAAAATGGTCATTGACCAAACTCAAATCTTCCTTTTGGTAAAAGAGTTCACCCTGAGAAACGCAACCGATGAGTTCACCATCGAGTATGCAACCGCACGCTATCCCAAATTCAGGTTCTACGGCTACGAACCCACCACGGGCTGCTACAAAATCCACCTGAGCGGTACCGAACACGGTCGCATCCACGTCACCCTGACGGAGGACGGCGATGCAGAAATCGATACGAAGAACGTCAGGGAGACTGGAAAACGTCTTTGCAGCAAGTGGATTTACATCGGAACGAGGTGGCGTGATACGATCACTACGATGGCGGAAGACGACGGACGGGGAATCTAGGCTGCATTTCTGCACGGCGAGACCCTGATCGCCACCCTTCGCCGCTCGAATGCTGTCATCGCTGATATACAGAGTAGCTCAAGCGATGATGTGAATGAGAGTTCGACATCGTTACCACCTTTCAATTCTTCCTTTGACGCTCTGCAAGCTCTATGATGAGGCGAGAAGAAGGACGAAGAGAGCTCAAGGATTGTTTCAACTTGTCTCTCACGGAGACACACTCCTTTCTGAAACCATCAAAGGATGAATAAGATCAACATTGGAACGACAAAATCACTGACAAGGTTTTTCAAAGCTGAGAGCGTGCCAGAAGCACGAGCTGGCACGGAAGTACGACCCCACATGTGTCCGCACAAGAAGGCGAAGTACACCTGAATCCCTCTCTACTTTTCGTTCCGATCGGCAAAGTTGAAAGAATCATCTAAATCCTCCTGCATCAATTCAGCGCAGTTGTTTCTGTCCCAAGTACAACCAGTTCGGCCTCTGTTGTGTCAAATCAGCGGATCAGTGAGATGCTATCATCGACGTGCGTTTCAAGGCTGATACGTACCCGGCCTTGCAGCAATACTGTCCAGGGCTACAGTCGCAGCCCCCGGCCATCGCCATAGGAATGACAGCGAGAATAGCGAGACAGACGATGGCGAGCTTCATACTTGTTGAATCGGAGATCTGGTGAAAGAGGTATCTTGACAAGAAATTGGAAGGCGATGTAGATTTAAGAAAGGTGATGATCTGCTCGTGCTACTTATGCCTTTTGCGTGAGTGGACGAGGCTCAGCAGCCAGGGTCCATGCACAAGCCAGCGTGGCAAAGTAGGTGGGTGGGTGGGTGGGTGAGGGAAGTGTATTTGCAGCGAGCGGCGTGG